CGCACCCACAGACAGAACCCTCACTTCCTTGCAGCCTTTGAGCTTCTCGGGTGGGCAATTTTAGTGGCAAACAAAAAGTTTGGCACTTTTTCTGACCAATCCACTCGATCGGAAGTGAATATTTGCCAGAGGAGGCCTGTGGTGCTTCGCCAGGAAGAAGTTGGCTGAGCCAACAGAAAAGGGGGGGTCCTCTTAGTTTCCCTTGAACAACCAACCCACACCCTTCTTGGGGTACCCTAAACCAAAAAACCCACACGCATCATGACCATAGGTGTCCTTTTTGGTTGGTTTGGTTGAAAAATAGATGGCCCTGCTTTACCTGGTGGTTTAATCATCTATCAGTGAAGTCTATCAGGGAAACCCGTGTATTTGCCCCAAAAGGACACCTATGATCATGACACGGCCAGAGGCCGGTGGTCTTTGGTTGCGGTTTCAGGAAGAAGGTGCTGCTGGACGAGAATCTCCACGACGCCGCCTTGTCGCCCAGCGGCAAGATGCAGGCACTGGACGCGCTGGCGGTGATCAAGCGCCTCATCATGCGCCCTGGCCGCCCTGGCCGCCCCACGCCGCGCTTCTCGGGCGTGGCTTCGAATCCAACGGGGTCTCTCAATCGGCCTTTCAAGGTGATGTACCCGTTCTTGTGAAATTTCCAGTCTTGACAGTTCATTGGCGGAATTCACTCTTTGCAGCCATAGGTTCTCTCAATTCGGGTTTTGGGGCTACTGAGTTTGGGGGAGCTCTGGAAAGGCTTGCAAGAATAAGAGCAGAAAACAGAAGGTACCGGCTAAGTTGCAAATCGAAGACAAAGTCAGCTTTCGCCTGAGTAGTGGATTGGATTAGTGGCTGAGTGGTCTCTTTGGAGGTTAGCGGTTCCCTCCCCGCAGCAACTTTGCGATACCCTCCAACAAAAATCATAATCCGGCTGGTTGTGAATTGCCCCTGCTAAAGGAAGCCACAAGAGTGCTTTACCCCACAGGCAGCAGAAATTGGCCGCCACCCGAATCGACATGAATTTCGAAAATGGGGGGGTTGAGCCCACTTTGGGCTTGTTTTTTCTATCGATGTCACCTCCCATGCTGGGATTGGCACCCCCGATTTTCTATATTGTGAATAAAAGAAAATGGGTCCGCAGAGAACGGGGGGGTCCAACCCCATCCCCCCAACACCAGACCGTGGCGGCCCTTGGCCCTTGACTGGGGTGTGGGAAGCAACGCCGACGTTTATGGCACCAAGGCTGATGTCAACTTGTTCGGTTGTTTCTGCATGTTCTCTTGTTGGCTTGCTTGTTGGCTTGCCCCGTTTGTTTGCTTGTTTGGTTACGCCCTTGATTGCCTCTTTTTTGGCTTGGTTGCGCGCTCGGAGCGCATTGGCTGAAGCCACAGAAAAAGGCAAAGAGGAATTGTCACTTCAAGTTCTGCTGAAGTCTCAACTGGCATGAGCTTCTTCCAAGCGAAGCCCCTGCTTCTTCAGGATTTCTGTTATTTACTTGCATACGCATAGGTATGAATATGTATATGTAGTATATATATATATATATGTATATAATTCTAGGTATATTTACTTATTGATATCAATACTATATATATTTTGTTTTTTTGCTTTCCTACATTTTACATCACCCCACCTAGAAGAACCTCCCTTTAGCTCGGCCCAAAAGCTGACATCCAGAATGGGACCCTTTGATCCAGGTCGATCGGCATCGCTCCGGACCACTCCAGTGTTCAACTCATGAGTCATGATTAGTTCATCGACCTAGGGAAGAACCTCGCAGTTGGCGCATGAATGGCGCATGAAGAATGCCCACTTGAGCCTGTGGCTATGGCTAGGACTCACGGGCCAGTTTCAGTGTGGTCAGAAGCCAGGAGATTCCTGAACCTGAAGTTAAAAGGGGGGCTTTGGTACAAGGGAAAAGTCGGGTGTATATGGCGGTTTTATACCCATAAAGTCTTCCGAAACGGCGGTTGCATACCCATATTTTCCCTTGTGGTTTGGGGCTCTGACTTTGGCCCCCTTCGCTGGGAGCCGAGAATGGCAACACATGGCAACGCAGGCAAGGCTACGCCCAGCCCACTGCCATTTACGTCTCTCCGCTCCAGCGGACTTTGCAAACCGCCGCGATCCTGTTTCCAGCGCATCCTGGAATCCACGTCGGGGGCTCAGACATCTCACTGCAACAGCGACAGGGCTCAAGACACGGCCCTCATTTCACAGCGCGGCCCTTCCAATATGCGCCATCATGTTGAACCAGCTATTCGATTGGACAGATTTCGCCAGTCTTGCTGAACAGTGCTGTGAGCATCAATCCAGCCGGATGCCAGCCCGAGTAGATTCTTTCTGTGAGCCATTGCGCAAGCTCCTCGTTGCTGCTTCCTTTTTCCAGGCATGTGATCTTTGATGAATCTAGAGAAGCACACACCTCAGATCGCTCCCTTAAAGTGTGTCAATTCCACACTAGGGGAACCAGGGAACCAGATTAGCGCAGTCCCGCTCCGAGTTTCAGCAAACTTTGCGGAGCTGGTTTGCTCCAGCCATGTAAGTCATGGAACTGCTTGCACACCGCTGCTCCTTGAAGCTTGCTGTCAGCCCTCGCATTTCGCGTGAGCCTCCCCATGTCAGTGCTTTCATGATGTTAATGACAAGTCATATGCCGGCAGCTAGTCGATGCCGTACCTTTGTGAGCGTTTCGCGCCAACTCTGTTGTGGTTGATTTTTGCTTGGGAGACCTGCAGTCAGAGGGGTGAGGGTCCATGATGGATCTGTGGCAGATGGTGCTTCTGCTTTGGCAGGTGTCGACTTTTGACGCTTTCCGGTTTCGGCTTTCCTGTTGGCTCATAGCCAGAAGGCAAAAGGCATTTTGACGAGGGAACCTGCTGGCGTTTGTCCCATAGTTACCTTCAGTAGAAGTGGCTGAGAAGTCCACAGTCGTAGAATCGTTGGCCCCTTGGTATCTTCTGCAGAAAAAAGAGGCATCTTCCGAAAATTCGGGACTCTTGCCTTTGCCTGGCTTCACACGTTCGAGGTCTTTCACCCAAAGGAAGGCTTTGGCAACACTTCGCCGGCCCAATGAAGTACTAAGCAGAAGCACAATCAGATAATATCAGATGCTTGGGATCCAAGCGAAGAATTTGCGTAACACCCACGTTCAACGGGCCAAAAGGATCCCAGAGTGGCAGGCTCATGGCTTTCCCCATACGGCAAAAAAAAGGTCTCTTGGATTTCGGGCAGCTGAGGCAAGCTTCAATGTTTCAATGGTTGGGGTTTGGTACAACCCATTCCTCGTGTGTTTAAAGTTTCGGCAACTTGTGTCAATGATCCTGTTTGCAAGCCAGCTTTGACCCAGTGGAGTAGAAGTTGACGAGCTTCTGGAAAGAGACAGGAACTACAATGACTACAAGTTTGCCAGTTGTTTGCTGTTGTTTGAAGGTTCAAGACTAGGAGATGGCCCTTTGGCGACACAGCTTGCAACGTGCAAGGGCAACACCAAAGTTGCTGCTGTTGCATTTTTTTTTGTAGAAGTGGGCTGGGCTGTCGGCTGGGCTTTTGATGGAACCAGAAACTTCACGAAACTCGCGGGCCTCTCATGACAGGCCGGTCTTTTGATAGAGTTGGGTCAGCGTTCTGAACGAGTACCCAAAGGAAACCTAGAATTTTGGGGCCCTACTTTAAAGCAAAGCTTGTCTTAATTGCATGAACAATCACACTCGCAGCAAGATGACCGGCAACCGGCAAGGTGACATATGCAGTACCCAGCTTGACCTCCCTTTGGTTTGAAGGGACCTGCTAGAAAGTGTACAATACCTGGTGCATTGGGGCCCTGCGTTTTCGGAAAGCCTGGACGGAATGTGCTTCAAGAACCAACCCTTGGGGATCTTGGAGCCACAGGTCCGGGAGGAGCTGCGGGAAAGGCGCACGGGCTTGCCCTGCGACGAGCGGAAGCGCGCGGAGGTGGTCTCCATGCGCGCGACCTTCAACTTCATGTCCTTCGCGGCCTGGCGAGTGATGCCAGGGCATGGACCCCTAGGGCCCAGTGCCCTTTTTTCCTTTTTGGTGGGGGAGTGCTCCTTTAAAGTCCACCAACCCAAAAAGGAAGATGCCCTTTTTTTCCCATGGCCACTGTGAGTGGACCCCCTAGGCAGGGCATGGGGGGGTATCCCTGGATAAGCCCAGGAGCCAAGGATAAGCCCTTAAGGGATCAATCAGGGATAGCCCCCCCATAGCCCCCCGTAGGGGTCCATGAAATGGGCTGACGTGTTGAGTGGGCAAACTTGATGTTTGCTGAATGGTTTTAGGAGAAAGGCCCAACAAGTTGAAGATCTTTCTGACCAAGCTCAGGAAAGCTCAATGGCATGAAGCCACATTGGATGGGTCCCGTGGTGCTTTCTAAAATTGCAACCAACAAGTACCGGAGAGTGTGCAGCCGGGTCTTTACCATCCCTTTTGCGCTGCCATGGAGTCATGGAGAGTGGGGGTTCCTGCCAGACGACCGTTCCTTGAAAAGAGACACTGTGGGTTCCATGTTAAAGGGCGGAAGGGTGTGTTTCCACGATGGCGTGTCTCTCGAGTTAAGGGTTTCCACTGCATGATGAACCTTGAAGTGTATGCAACCTTGTGGCCAAGGAGGGCACGGAAGACCAAACGGCAATAGTCTGCAAATATGCTAAGCCAATGCATGAGAGAGAACCCGTTTGTCACCAGCACCAAAAATATGTTGAAAGACCAGGGCAGGAAGCGGAGAAGGGACACCAGGGACCCTGATCAAACAGTAGGAGCCATTGTGAAATCAAGGGCCTCCAGAAGTCCTTTGCAAGCGGCTCAAATCCCAGCAATCGTTGAGGCCCCTTACTTTGTGGGTTGCCCGACTTGAAAGTGGCAGCACGGTAGAGCGAAACAAGGAGCATTTGTGGGCCTGGGAACCGCGCTCATGGTCTCACAAAGGGCTACTAGCCACAAGAGGAGCACGCATTCTGCAGTGACAAAAGGTGAGGGGAGGGAAAGCCTCGAGTTGCGGAGGCAGTGTAACATTTCCCCGAGTACCGTTGAGAGGTGGGCCACAATCGCATATCAGCGGCATCAGGAACTTTGAAGACCGGGCTAAGTCCAAGCCTGGTTTTTGTTGGCGTGTACGGAACACGGCAAACACGCGCCTTGCAAAGGTCCAAGGACCTTTTGTCTGCTGATGTCTACCGTTCGTTTGGCGAGGGTGTCCTTGGGCCTTGACAACCAAGAAGCCACAGTGCCACAGGCACCCATGGCCGCAGCATGCTTGGGCCGGCTATCTTTATCTACCAGGGGTTGTCACAGAAAATGTGGGTACCTAATGGTTATTTCAAGTTATGTCTAATCAATGGTACGCATGGCTGATTTTACATTAGTTTCCCTTGTGAAACGCAGCCAAAGCAGGAAGCCCTCTATTTGGGTGTGTCTCCTTAGTGGCTGCGCCTTTGCAACACCGCAGTGCTTCATGTCAGGGTCCATCTCCTATGACATGTTTGCCCTTTCGTGATCGCCACGTTGCACCTCTCTTGGACTTTTGGAACACGCACGCACCGCCCAGCAAGAAGCTGAAGCCACTGCTCCAGGCATCCCGGCAACGGCGAGTGCCTTGCCATGTTGGCCCGCTTGCCGCTCGAGACTTCAGGCACCATCTTGATCCTTGCTGGCTAGATCTCCTCTAGGTCTTGGAGGGTCTGCAATTTGCAGCCCCGAAAAATCGCCCTTGCGCTTGGATTTGGATGCAATTTGGATGCAATTTGGATATCTGGCTGGCATTCCGCAGTGCAGCCCCACTTCTCGTGTCCTGAGCTCCTTCATCTACGTGCGATTCGAGCCTCACACATGGCAACGGCATCGAGGCCGTTTGCACAGTCCACATTTGCATCGCTCCTGCCTAGTCTCTGAGTCTCGATCCTGGATTGGCCGCGTGATTGTTCCATCTCACACTGCTCACAGTTCCCCTTGCTGTGGGCGAGGGCAATTTTCAATGCCGAAATAAATTTCATGACCCCATACCCCCCAGAATGAAAACATTCAAGCGAAAATGTCGTCTACTTCCAGCCGTAGTTCGTGGACATTCCACTGGCCTCGTAACAGACCATCGCGATGTTGGGAGCAAAAAGCTCAACTGGTCGCTGGAGGCATTGCTGTTCAAGCTACTTTCTCTTGATCAGCATCACGAGGGGATACGCCTTCCGAACATGTCCAGCTCGAGGGGACTCGACACTCGATGCCTTTCAAAGGACTTGCTTGGATGTTCAACCCACTTAGCCAGATGTAGGCATGGTTAAATCTGGGTGAAGTTATGCTAAGTCATGTTGTGGTTCCTTACGATCTCTTACGAGCATGTGTATAACTAAATGGAGTCGTTTTGCGCTGAGGACGAGCTCAAGAACCATGACCGGTCCAGGCGCGCGCCGGCCTTGGCTGGTCAGGAGGAGGCGCGTCGGGCGGCGGAGGGAACCCAGGGTAGACCACTAGTTGTTGGGGGGGGGGAGGGCCAAAAGGGTGGTTTACTTGACCAAGGGAAGATTAGAAGGACTTCAAGAGAAGAATCAGCACGAGTGAAAAAGCGCATGCACGTGTGGCGGGGGAACAGAAATGCTACACAAGTGCAACCCTCTGCGGGTTGCGGTTCCTTGGCGCGCTCAAAAGTTAGCCTGATCGCGACGGCTGGTCGGACCACGTTCGGAGACTGGACCATTGGCACAGACGCGTGCACTTTTCTCAACACTAGTTTGCGTGGCAGGCGCAGCGCTTTTGCAAGGTCAAGTGCGGATGTCATGCCAGGCGCGGCACTTTCACAAAGCCAGGAAAAGACTTCAGCTGCACGCGCAAGGTCAGGTGCGGAAATCTTGGCAGGCGCGACACTCTCCCAGAGCATGCGCAAGCTTCGTGGCAGACACAGCACTTTCGGACGATTTGATTGATTGATTGGTTGATTGGTTGATTTTATTGATTGATTTGATTGGTTGAATTGGTTGATTGATTGACTGCTAGGGAGAGAGGTATTTAGATGAACAAAGGTAGAGAGAGCAAGCTGGCTTGCTAGATGGATGTTAGATCGATAGATAGAAGCGAGAAGTAAGCTAGATGGACAGTAGGGTGGACAGGTAGATAGACGGAGCGCAAAATAGTTGGACAGATGAATAGATAGAATCATTGGATAAGTAGATGGATGCACAGGTGGACAGAGGAGGAACGGAGACAGAAAAGGAAGAATAAAGAAAATAGGGAAATGAACGATAAAATGACAAGAAATACAGGGAACAACACATGAACGATATGAAGAGAACTTAAAGAGAACTATAGCCTGCTTTGGAATCTTCCGTGCAGTAGGCCCGTTGGAGGGTTGTGTGTTTTTGTTTGAGGGTGCCCTTTGTTGGGCTGTCCTAAAGAGAAGCCAGAGCGACACCACAGTGCAGTTTGTCATTTAGAGCAGGACCTATGCAAGGTTTTGCATTGCTGCTGAGCACACACATCAACATGAACACAGAATCTCATGAAATATGGAAGGGAAAATGCCAGCCCTAATATCGGCTGTCCGTCTTCGAATGGGTGTGCTTTTTGAGTTGGTCCCCATTTTTTGCTGTTTTGAAGGGAGGCCAAGGGGCCATCTCAGCCTCCAAACCACCAATCCAGCAAACCTTTTGGAAAGCTGCGCACCGTCCACGTCGGCAGTACCCTCCGTCCCGAGACCAACGCCCCGGGCCCAGGACAAGTCGGAGCTGCGGTGCCGCACCGCGCTGCTGGAGGCATTGCTGCGAGAACAGGCCGACAGATTTGGAGCATATGGGCTTGTTTTTGTTTGTTTGTTTGTGCGTTTCCGACCTAAAACCGAAGAACCAAACATGGAGACTACCCTTTTGAGGCAAGCCCATGGCTTCCAACAGCCCTCATTAAATTATGGATAGCTTCCTTGTGGTTTTCCACTCAAAACGATTCCCAAGAGGGTAGTTGCGCTTTCGACATGTGCAGTGACCTGTGGTCCATTTGGACCCAACAAAAGGGTCAACCGCGAAGCACAGGTGACTCACACCTTTTCCCATGTGTAGTAGGGTGGCAGTCAATTTTGAGCGTGGCGCATGGTGAGAATCAACATTTACAAACTGATTTAGAAGATGTCCTCGTGATTCGGATGATGTTGCGCCGCCCAGAACCGGAGATTGGGTGGAGAAACCCTAAACCCTAACCTCCCAAGGCACAGGTCCTTGACCTCAGGGAGAAGTTTCTGGTGGATTCATGGGTCCTTCGAATTCGTCACTCGTCCGCGTAATTGGCCAATGTCAAGGCAGATTCCAGTCTTGCTGTGGTGACGCACAAGGGGTACTTGCGCCTTGGCAGGGGACGAAGGCAGCGGATGTGTTTCGTGCTCCGAGTATTCTGGCAAGTTCCATACTCAAAACCAGGGCAGGTGAAGATGAGCGAAGGACAGTCCCGACTAGAAAAGGTGCCCCTCCCCTGTGTACTGTTGACATGGTTTTTGGGTCGGCCGGCTTTTCTACTAGCCGCTGATTGTGAGTCAGACTGGGTGTTTGATTGGTGGTTTGGCTTGAGGCCGCCTGGCCCTTGGTCCTTGGCTTCAAAAAGGAAAACCGCCCAGAAAACGTCCAAGCGCCAACTAAGTTGTGTATTTCTCCGTTGTATCTTGACCCATGCTGGGTCACTGTTTGGGTCACTGCTTGCCTTCTTGGCTTCCTGCATCTGCCAACTATACCAGGAGGCTTCACCCGGCTTTGTTCATTTGCCAACTAGCTGGGCTGTTCAAAGGCAATCCTGGCTGAATTCTTGCCTTGGGTTACGCAAGGGGTCTCCTTGGCAGTGGCTTTCCAATAGGCATTTTGGATTACAATGATTAGCCAACAAACACTCCGTTTTGAACGGCCCAGGCTAAATGTAGTGCAACGCCTCCCTTTCAAGCGGGCTGTCAGCTAGGGCCTATGTCCGCAACATTTAGCGCATTTTAGCGCCGCGGCCAGAAGGAAGTCACTCCCCAAAGAGGCAGTGAGGTCAATGGCTTTCGGAATCTGCCCGAATGGCTACTGGATGTTCAAGTGACAGGGGGCCCATCTGGCTTCAAATAGGGATCTGCGAACATCAAGTCACCAGCACCAAGCACAAACGGGCCTCCTGTTTCGTGATCCGGACCTCTTGTTTCCATTCCCAAAAATTGGGGTGCCCTTTCCGCCCATGTTCATTAAACCCCGTGGAGTGGTTGGTTAAGAATTGGTCAAGGGAACCTGGCTACCTTCACTGCTGTTGGCATGTTTCTGGGTTTTTAGGTCCTGTTCACGCGTGATTTTTCGTGCTGCGGCTATGCCGAGGGGTAGGCGCGGGGTACCCAAAACGGTCTCGAGCCTCGTTTCCGGCGCGGGACCCCCCGGACCTTCAGCGCCTCAGGCGCGAGCTGGAGCGCGGCCCGCTGCAGAACCCCGAGGCCAAAGAGTTCGGCAACTGCGAGGTCCGTGTGTACCAGGCGGATCGGTCACGTGGGCCTTAGGGGATGTGTGTTTCTTGGGTGGCCTTTAGGGTAGCCTTGTGCTTGGTGTTTTACATGGAACCAATAAGAAGCCCCTGCATCTTGTGGCCGCCCTATTTTGACAAGAACCAATTTAGATTAAATGCTGCATGCGTATTTAGGTGGTTTGTTGACAAAATCGTTCGATTTGTATCGACAGCGATGTTGATCAGGGGAATCCTCTGAGCTGGGGATTTGAATTCCCCGAAACCACTGCTTCATTGGCATCGTTTAGGTCTCTGTCAAGAATCCGGGCTATTTTTGTTTGAACATCCACGTTTAGGCTTCCTGTCGAAACTGGGCGCCTGAATATTGACTGCTTCTACAGGCCTTAGCGTGCCACTTCAGGGGCGACATGCAGTGACTGACTTGTTTCTTCCAAGTTTGCCTGGCGTGAACAAGTCAGCTTCCCCTTAATTTGGCTTGGCTTGAAGTCTGCAGGTAGGCCCTCCTTGCACGCTTCACGGGTTTCAGAGAAGATCATTTTGAGTGGCGAGCCGGCGAGCCACAAGTTTGCACTTGTGTCAGACAATCCCGCGCTCAAGCCTGGAGCGAGTTGGCTACTTTCACTTCCCAAAAACGGATCCTTATGCAAGGGTCTACTTTTTTTTGGCGAAATTGTGAATGTGTAGGACGTGCCTTGGTTATGGAAAACTAAGCCAGCAATCCTACCGAAGGCTACTCCTCTCCGGCGGAGTGTTTTAGTTCATCGTTTTTCACAGGCTGACAGCTATGCTTCCATATGACTTATATGACCCCGTGGTAACCCTAAGCCCTCTTGTTTGGTTAGTCAACCATTAATGGGGTCCAACATGGCCATGGGTTCATATATGGGCATTTGCAAACAGCCTTCGACGTACATATATGTGCGTATGCATCTATTTGTGAGCATACATATGCACATATATGGCAGAAGTGCATAGCCCTTCTCGAGTCAGGTGACGCTTCCCGCCGAAGGCTGGTCTTTTGGAAGCTGTGATGTTCGGGGTTTGATACTTGCGGAGGGCTTGTGGCTAGCTCGAGACGCGTTTTGCAACGTGGCCAGCTGATGATGTGCTTGGGTTTGTTTGCGTCGCCTGCAAATTTAATTTACCCTCCCACCAATGAACATTGAACCTGACAGGGGCCTTCTGTCAGATTCCATGTTACTTGGTGGGAGGGTAGAAATGCTCATGACTTGTTTGGCCCCTTGCTGAAGACTCAGCTCTTGCTTTCTGGGGTGGACACGTTCTCATCTTGGCATTCGTCGTGCAGATCGTCTTTTGCTTGTGCTTAAAAACGCATGAGTGACCACGAAGTACATGTAAATCACGCGTGTTGCTGAAGTCGCTTCATTTTGAACACTGGCCGGGCCAGCCAGGTGAGCTGCCGAGGCATGCCAATGCTGTTTGAAGCCCTCAATATCTGGAACGCGAATTCGTCAATTGAATGGGGCAGGCAGAAGCCTGGATTCGTCTTTGGTCTTTTGGTGGAAGGTTCATTTCAACTGAGTGCCATGTATGTGGCGGGGAGGGGTACTGTTTGTTCAGACTGGGGGGGGGGAGGTTGTCCGGGTTAGGGCTGGGAATATCTTGCCAGGCGGTATGATGGCCAAGATCCTGTGCCGGCGCTGAGCAGCTTCCCGGAGAAAACTGGCCGATGGGTGGGCCAAAACAAGAGCTGTTCAACTGTTGGGGGGGAGGCAAGTTCAGCCTCTGACTCCGCAATGGGTTTTGGCTCGGGTGGGGTCGTTTGAGGAGGACCATCATTTTTAACCACCCTCGAAAGCGGGAGCCCTCTCTCAAAGCCTGCAACCTCCACATTTGCCATGGCCACTAGCATTGCACATGTTGGAAAGTAGGGGTTTTGGGGCTAATTAGGTGCTTTGCCACGCGTTCGGGCACGCAAGTGATATTCCGAGGATGGGAATCAAACGCTCACCGAACGGGTCAACGCTTCCCACCAGCCTAAGGCCTGCCCGCGTGACTCGGGCTGGATCAGAGGCCGAGCTTCCACTTGAGCGGGAGGCACAGCCTGGTAACGCCATCAGGCCAGCGGCGAACGGATGAACCACGAACTGCGGCCCGAACAATTTCAGTGTGGAAACCAGCGTTTGGCACATTTGGACGGTGCGAAGATCTGTTTGCAAACCGCACTTGCGCATGTGTGCTTGGGGAGGCACTCTAGCGGCACTGAAACCTGCACCTTGGTATGCACTTCCGATCCCAGCAAAGGGTCCATGCATGGATTTGTGGTTTGTCCACTCGGTTTTCAAGCACTCGTCTCACCTGGCCTCTCTGTGCCTTCAGCATCCCACCGTGAAGCAGCCGTGCTGGGCGTCCTGTGTCTCTATCAGACGTTTTGGGCCAGTGTTAAGTGAGTTTGTGTTTGATGGGGTAAAGTGGCCCGATAGGCTTACCAAGGACAGTCTGAGGCACATAGCATTCATGCTCCCAGAATTCTCTCCAGGGCACGCTCGCAGTGTCAAGATCCGACGCAATTGGCGGCTGCGCTGGCAAGGTCCGTCGCAATTGGCGCCACTGTTGGAGCGTTCCAGTACCTGCAAGGCAGATAGACGGCCCTGCCAATGATATCTTGGCTTGGCTGATTTCTAGCATTCCTTGTAAGCAAGGTCTGAGTGCTCCATTTTGAAAGTCGTAGACTCGTTAAAGGCCATTTTTGCAGGAGAACTGCCGCGAGAAAGCTGCCCGGAATCGGGGCACTCCATTCCACACTTGACGCAGAAATGCTAACTTTGCCTCAACATGATTATGCGTTTGCCCGCTGACAGGAGAACCGCTCCAGATTGGTATAAGTATATGGTCCTCCGGATTGATCCGTCAACAAACCAATTCAGGTTAATGAGTCAAACTCATGGCATCTTTCTTGCTGCAGGCATATCTCTTTGCCTTGTCCCTGGAAAGGGCAAAGTGCCATAGGCCGCCGCAGTGTGCGTTCGTGGCAGGAAAAGGGGCTTTTGCCGGATAGAACGGGAGGACAGTCCCCGCGCTTGTTGTTCGCTGCCTGCTAAGTGAGCACAGTCAGCACGGGCCTACCATGGGCGCATGCGGGCACGTGTCGTAAAGACACGTGTTGTTAAGCTCCAGGTCCTCGTAGCTTAATGTTGGAGTTCATCGCGGTTTCATGGCGACATTGCGCCCAAGCGCTGGGGAAATCATAGCAGTCTAGCACGTTCAGATCCGTTCTTCCTGCCCATGCTGTGTGTTCGCTCGAAATCATTGATAGCATCAGCTTGGCAACGTCACAAGAGGACTGGGTGCTGAGTGAAGCCATGAGGGGGCATGTATATATATATATATATACACATATATATATATATACATATGTATATATATATATAGTTGTTTGTCTTTGACAAGGCCTGTTTTTTTTCACTGAAGGCCTGTAAGGCACCAATAGCTCCAAGGCTGCGGTTGTCTCAACATGTCTTTCTCTTGCTAAATCTCAGATCTCCCCAAGCGTTTTGCGGTGGCTGAGCCCATACCTATTTGGCTGGTCAGCAATAGGACGAAGATATGCGGCCAAACCTTATATAGGATCTACTTGGCTTTGCCCGGGAAGCGTTTCTTGAATCCTAGCTGCTAGACAACTTGTATTCACTGGTTTCTATTGAAAAATGTAATGTTCCAGACCATTTTGCCTTTTGCAAGATATAGTGCTTGCTTAGTTTCTGCTCTTTCGGTAAAAACATGTTTGCATTCCCCATCGTGGTTCATGCCCCGTTTGCCTGATTTCTAGAAGCCAATGCCCCAGAACGACACCCTTGTGGAACATCTGCCCAGATGACCCTATTGCCGGGTTGGCCAGCTCTGACGGTTTTTAAGGGGCGTGCTTAGGAATGTATGGTTTCTGTTTTTGTTTGGTGTGCGAGTCGCATCTTTTCTTTTTTTTGCGCGAGCTGAGGTTCGCAACCAGAAGTCCTCATCCGAATTTGCTGCAGAGGTCGACAGATTTAGTGCCCGATGGTCCAAGCGAGGAACCATCCCACAGAAGTTGCTCACAACCAAAATCAGACGTGGTGAGTCCCTGCGAACACTTTGCCTGTTCGGATGGAAACCCATCGGTCCCTTATCCGCCCCTGGTTCCAAGATGTGTTCACATTTGAGCCTATGTTTGCGGTTCCTTTGGTGTGATGTTAATCTTGGAGCTTTGAGTTACCTTTTGCAGCCGTGTGAGAGCAGGAGCTTGTCCAATGGGCATCTGCAAGTATCCAACTGTCTGCAAGGTCACAAACACAAACAAACAAACAAACAAACAAACAAGCAAACAAGCAAGTTAGCAAGTAAGCGAGTAAGCAAGTAAGCAAGGTAGCCAAGCAAGCAAGCAAGCAAGCAAGCAAGCAAACAAACAAACAAACAAACAAACAAACAAAACACACCCTCAAATAAAACAAGTTGAACAAATAATGCATTTTCAAGCGGATGGCAGTATACCCACACCGTTTCCATGATTGAAAGAGGCCAAGTCAGGCCATAAATAAAGCTCCATGGGAACCGGCGCTGAGATGTTGAAAACCGTTGACATCTCAATGGTACGGGGCGCCGTCTGGGTTACGCGTCCCAGCTGTGCAAGTGAGATATGCCCTTCGTCTACTCGTGATTTAGGTGACACGGAGGCCACCACTTCAATTGCATTATGCCCAATGCGAGGGTACGTGTAGCCGGTTCCCCGAGGAAGCCTTTGTTACTTGCGCCCGGTGGCAATTCAGTGTCCATTTTATGATTGAATTGATAAGTATCGTTATCGAGCCCCCCTGATCCCCAATTCTATTTTGATAGAATACACCAATACTAAAGCTGCCGATGCTGCGCCAATCCCGACACCAGTCTTAAAAACGGGGGATTCCAGCACATTGGTCTAAGACCCTAAACGCATATTGTGATATCTTTACTTGTAATTCTAATTTAAAATTCCGCCTTGTTCTGTTGAGCCGCAAAAACAAACAAGCAACCTTGAACGGTTTCGTTTAAAATTGGTTGATCGACAATGGCAATTTTTGACGATGTTCGGGTCCGGGAAAGGGGCGAGTCCATTCGGACGAGCACCGAAGCGGAAATCCGGTCGACTCCCAATTACCTTATTGATAAGTATCGTTTGGGCCCCAGAGAATATTTATTAGTTTTGGGCGGGAGGTATTTTGGGTATTTATTGCTAGGGGAAGCGATTAACGCTGCCTGTCCCAGCCATCGTTGCAGGCTTTTCGGGGAGAGCCAAATGCCGCTCACGTGCTGACCTTGGACTTGTACTCCAATGCCCTTTTTGTCCAGTGAATGTCATAAGAGCTGGTGCAGCTTTAGCAGTTCAACTGGTAAGAGACAGGGTACTTGGAACCCGAGTTCGCTTTTTTTGAAACAGGGGCAATTCGCAAGGGCTGCTGAAATGACTCAACAACTGGCCGAGCAGCAGCAAAAGGAGCAAATGCAAAATACCACAAGGCAAACAACACCGCACTGAAACGACATGCCGACAGCAGTGTGAATGATTCGGAACCCTTTTGTCACATGAATGGAAGGACCCATGAATTGCCATTCATTTGGGCATAGCCAAGACTTGCTGGTTCTCAGTAAGAAAGGACCTTCCGGCTTTTGGGAATGAAATCAGGGTCGCCGAAAGCAAAAACCACAAGAGATGGTTTTTGTCGGGTTTTTTGTCGGGGTTCCAACTCGTTCCCTGCCTATCAAACCGATGCTGTTCTCTGAGGCTTTTCGAAGCCACAGTGCAGATGCCCAAGGGAGTGGCGCTCATGAACTGCCGCTCTGATTGGCGGGGGTCCCAGTGGCCCTCAGTGCGAGTGATCAGAGAGTGTCAAGCCCAAGTTCCACTCAAAGTGAAGTGTTGTCCCTGGGACGGGAGACGAACTTGCCTACATGGTCCGAACTTGCAAGCAAGGGCAGTGCAAAAATGACTGCCTTCCCGTTCGTTGAGCTGCTGTTTTACGCTTCAACGTGCTTGCCTGCTGTCAGCGTATCCTCGGCAGAAGCGGAAGCTGTATTTGCAGTAGCCAGTGATCGGTGGCCCTGCAGTCGTGGACTCGAGCATTGGAACCTCAAATTAAATTGGCTTGGAAGGTCTGCAGAAAGCTGGAAGTGTGCCAGAAAATGCAGCTTTTCAACGTTTTGGGAATGCTGCTGAAGCCAAGAAACTTATGGACCTTCGATTTTCAAGGGGGTTTGGCCCAATTGGGGCACAAGGAGATGGGCTGACTTCAACGACACACAGCCAGTCTGGCACGAGGCCGCTGCTCAGCCATCCGGTCCCTCATGTTTTTGTTAGGTTGCTAGCCGGTTTAGTGGTAGTTGCTCCACACATCTGAACAGAGCCGGGACCTAGGCCAAATCAATATTTGGTTGATAATCACCAGGGGAGTGTCCCGTTTTGCAGGGGGATACTGAACCTCTTGGGGGAAGCACCACGAATACACATCTATCAGGTTGATGCAGGGGTAAACATGACCTATGAAAATGTCGCAGTCTTGCAGGCGGCGAAAGGCTACCCAGGCAAAAAGCATGGGCCACATGTCACATGTGCTATCTTTGCTGCAGCTTTGGAGGCGTTTTGCTAAAGTCATTTGATGCACGGGCCAAAGTCACAGGAATAATCATTGGTTCTGCTCGTCTTGCGCTTTACAATTGGCTCCCTCATGAGAAGGGCAGTCATGAACCACAACCAGCCTTGGGCCAGACTGAACAGGCCCTTTCGCCCATTGATGATTCACCATGTCCCCATGCACAGGGTTTGGTTCCGTATGGGCCTAAGTCTGGCCAAGTTGTGAGTCAGATCTGCCTTCTTCCACATCCATGTGCAGTCATCTTCCCGTGTGTCTCAGTTTCTACCCAAGCATTGGGCTGATCTACTGAGAAACCAAAAGGAAATGCGAGCAATTTGTATGTTCCCGGTTTTGACACGCACACACTCACACCCATTTCCTTGCATGGCTAGAGAGCCCTCAGGAAGCCACCCAGAGGCTAACTTGAGGTTAGGGCTTTGTCTAGCTGAGAAAAGGTACCATTGGAATGATTCGCACGCCCGTTTAGAAGTAGTACACTTAGCATGACCCGCCCGTTTGGAGCCACCTTGTACATGCTGAAGTTGATGCTGTTCGGATGACTCACGACGTGTGGAAATCCAATCCTCCTGTTGAGGGACCATGGCCGGGAGGTTTCGCTGTGCATGTTTGGGCTTGTTCGTCTCAAACTGCGGGGTTCCTCCAAGTGGTTTGCTCTGGCCCTTCTGAATTAGAGTGGGGGCTTCCAGACTTTTGTGGGCATACTTCCCGGACCACCCTACTGTGGCGTTTGGGCCCGCGTTGAGCTGGGGAGAAGAGTGCCCATGCGAGCTCAAAAGGCCACGCGGCCAACGAGTACCAGCGCCACACTCCCCTACAAATTATTTTCAAACGGTCCCCCCCAGCCAAAAACGACGTGTTTTTGTGTCCAATGCGGGACTCGGGGTGAGAAAAACAGCAAAAAGATGGTTTTGCGTCCTGTCGGGCATCCGGACAATTTGAAGACGGTGACGTGCAAATCAGGCGATTTCGCCGCCGGTGCGGGTGCTGGAGGTCACCTGCCCGCTGCGGTGCCTCAGCTGCATGAAAGGCCCAGAGGCGAGCAGCACGAAAGCTGAGTGGATTCCACACGCATGGCCGTGTATGTGTGTTCTTTTTTAATGGGACGCCCAAAATGGGTGGTGTTCCTTTTGGTTTCTGTTTCAACCCGCAAGAAAAGGAGTACCCTCAAACACGGAGAATTGTTTGGGTCCGTATCCGCACGGAAAGATGGGGGAGCCCCAAAGGGGCTACGGTGACGACGGTGGGAGGTGGATCTGATAGCGGTGGCTGATCAGCTGAGGGAGGCCTTTGGACCCTACTTCATCCAAGGCAAGCGTGTTCAGAGGAGTGTCGAAGGATGCTTCTTGAAAGGGCCTAGGGGGGCCCCTAAAACAGTTTGCTTTCTTTCGAAATCGTGTTTAACATGAAAGAGGGGTCCGTATGTTGAGAATCCAAGAGAACCCCACACACACACACATTTATCTATATACACACGTATATATTCATGTCTCTTCCCAAGATCTCAGTTACAGCACGATTGAAGGTGGGGAGCCAAACAGTTTCCCCATCGAACTGCTCACACCGCTGGCAGCGTGGGTCCACTCCCTGGTTTGGTTTGCGAGGCCCAAAGGCTTCTTGCTGCCTGGGCCCATCATGGGGTGTCGGCCTCGGTTTCCTTGCGAAGTGCCCAACAGTCCTCATGCCTGAAACCGATAAGATCACTATGCTTTTGGGGCATGATAGACTCGCTTTCGGCAACTTAGTTGGTTTAGTGGTGGGGTTTCCAATTAACCCACTAAAAGTTAAACTTTTAGCAGTGGATCTGAGGGCAGCCCAGGTTTGTGCTGACAGAGATGCACACGTTTGGAGAGATGAGGCTTGACCAGGGCACATGCGCACACGTGCCATGCCAAATTGGAATCCGTAGCGGCCAAATGCGCGCGTTCCATGTGTGTAACGGTTGTTTCTGCACAATGTCCGAGGCTGCAGGATTCTGGCAGTCAACTGAAGTCTGCGTGCCTGGGTCTTTCCGCGTTTCTCTGAACCAGGCCGTTAAGTTTGGGCACTCGTGTGCTTGAAGCAGACATTGCATATCATGAACGGCAGTCCTTCACCCAAAGGCCCAGAGAACTTTGCCCAGGGTTTGTCTTTTGCCACCCTTCCTGATGATAAAGCTGACTGGACCTCCAGTCCCGCAGCACCCTCTATTCCCATGCAATGAAAATGGTAAGGTACCAATTGCCCACAAGCATGGAAGTGGACAAGGGTTTTCAAAAGGATCGCAAGATCCTTTGCCCACTTTCATAACTTTTGGAAAGAGGGTACACCCGTCTTGATACCTTCGGCTCCAGCTTGCCGTCGGGTTCGAGCCAAGCTTTCGCGATGGCTTCGGAGCTGGTAAGACACCTAGGGGGCGCCTTGGATCGGATCGGCGTCGCTGGGTCGCTGGGCTGGCTGGGTCGTGTCGAAGGGGTGGAAGGCATTTCCTCATGTGTCTGTTTTGGGTGGGTTCCATGATCCATGGGTGGCCTGCCCCCAAGCACTTGGCCATGTTGTTTTTTTTGGGGGGGGTGCCTGGAAGCCGTCCAGGGCGCGGTGACTTTTCTGTATCCTGGCGGCCTAGCGACGGAAACATGTGATTTTCTTCTGCTTGCTGACGTGCTGTGACTGGCTGCGCTCTAGACTGTTTGATAGAGACTTGGGCATGGCTCAACATCATTTTAGCTAGGGGGGTTCCTGATTTGAAGCAAAGTAACTGTACTTGTTGATCAGAAACTGGATCTCAGTGACTACTGAGAGTGGAGAAAGGTGCAGACAAAAGGATGGCCCAGCATCAGAAGTACAATTTGCACATACGTATAACGATATCACAATGACAACTGATATTTATATTTCATATCAATACAATACATATATATGGCTCCCCCCCCCCAAAAACCCAGGTTTTGTGAGAAAATACTGTAAATACCAGTGTCTTCTCACAAAAACCTGCATCTGCCAGAGCACACACTTTTCAGGCCCACTTTCTCCATCTGTCTCATTTGGCAGCCAATGCTGCAGCCAAGCACTATGATTGCGTAAGGGCATCTCTTCAACTCTCTGGAAACTGAAAAAACGGAAAAACTGAAAAAGGATTCAGGGGAACATGGGGGCTGCCCCCCCCCCCAGGCATGTCCCCCTGAATCCTTGGTTTTTCTGCTTTTTCAGTTTTTTTTTTTCAATTTTTTCAGTTTTCTCCTAGCATTCACCTTTAATATTCCCCTAGTATTGTCTGAGCAACCAAGCACTATGATTGCGTAAGGGCATCTCTTCAAGGAAGCTCTCTGGAAACTGAAAAATCTGAAAAAAACTAAAAAAACTGAAAAACCCAGGATTCAGGGGGACATGGGGGCTGCCCCCCCCCCAGGCATGTCCCCCTGAATCCTTGGTTTTTCAGTTTTTTTCAGTTTTTTCAGTTTTCTCAGTTTTCTCCTAGTAATCACCTTTATTATTCCCTAGTCTTGTCTGAGCAACCAAGCACTATGATTGCGTAAGGGCATCTCTTCAAGGAAGCTCTCTGGAAACTGAAAAAACTGAAAAAAAAACTGAAAAAAAAACTGAAAAAAACTGAAAAACTAAGGATTCAGGGGGACATGGGGGCTGCCCCCCCCCCCAGGCATGTCCCCCTGAATCCTTGGTTTTTCAGTTTTTTCAGTTTTTTTCAGTTTTTTTCAGTTTTTTTCAGTTTTCTCCTAGTAATCACCTTTATTATTCCCCTAGTATTGTCTGAGCAACCAAGCACTACGATTGCGTAAGGGCATCTCTTCAAAGAAGCTCTCTGGAAGCTGAAAAAATGAAAAACAAATATAATAACAACAAAAACAGAAAAAACCAAGGATTCAGGTGGACATGGGGGCTGCCCCCCCCCCAGGCATGTCCCCCTGAATCCTTGGTTTTCAGTTTTTTCAGTTTTTTCAGTGTTCTCCTAGTATTCACCTTATTACTCACCTAGTATTTTCTGAGTATTCCCCTAGTATTGCCCTAGTATTCCCTTAGAATTCTCTTGGTATGCACCTAGTATTTCCTAGTAAGGGAAGGGGAATACTAGGGGAATACCTTCAGTATTGCCCTCGTATTCCTTAAATATTCTCTTGGTACCCCTAGTATTCTCTCAGTATTCTCCTAGAATTCTTCCAGTATTCACCTTTAGTATTCCCCTAGTACTTCCCTAGTAGTGCCCTAGTATTGCCCTAGTCAGGAAGCCTGAGAAAAGTCACGCATATTGAGCTTGAGAGTATACCCCTACTATTCCCTCAGTATTCACTAGTATTCTCCTTTAGTATTCCCCTAGTATTCCCTACTTAGTATTGCCCTAGTATTGCCCTAGTATTCCCCTAGTATTGCCCTAGTATTCCTTTAGTATTCTCTTGGTATACCCCCAGTGTTTCCTCACCACCCCCTTAGTGTTCCCCAAATAGTTCACTAGCAAAGGAAGGGAATGCTAGGGGAATATCTTCAGTATTATCTAACTAACTAGGCAGCTAAATAGATAACTAACTGATTAGCCAATTAACTAGCTAACTTGGTTTAGAGCTAATTCATTACAACTAGTTACTAGTTAACTGACTAATTAGTTGACTTGCTGACTGTTTATTTTCTAACTAATTGAACTTGCCAATTTTTACAGCTTGAACTTGAAAAATATGCGTTTCGCAGAGGCGAAAATACACATGTTTCTCAAAAGTAGCATTTTTCCAGTGATTTTGGCAATTGTCCAGGTTCAAAACCTGGGTTTTGGGAGGGGGGGTAGCATATATATATATATATGGATATATATATATATATATGGTACCCTCCCCCCCCCGTGGATCTACCTTCCTGCTTCAGAATTCCCTAGTATGTACAGTGTTGTCTGCCTTTGTTGGGGCTTTGGGGCAAGCCAAAAAAAGGCGCATGTCCAAAGACAATCTGAAAGCTTTAGGCCAAGCTGTTCCACGGAATATTGAATCCGGTCGGTTTGGATCTACCTTTGTCCTATTTCTAAGCTGAAGATGCAAAACAACAGCTATGTTGGAGCCATTGGCCCACAAATAAAAGCGTAAGGAAGTAAAATTATGGAGCCACTGACCCAAAAGTAAAAAAGTAAGGAAAACAGTAAAATTATGAGTGCAAAAGTAAAATGCTGGAGTCAATGACCAACAAGTGAAAAGGTAAACAAAAAGGTAAACTATTGCAGTCCGTGGGCAAAGCATTCACTTCAGGACCATGGGCTGGTTTGTTTTACTTTTTTACTTTCTTACGGTTTCACTAATTTTCTTTAATACTTTTGGGTCATTGGCTCCAGAACTTGACGCTTTCACTTTTGGGACCATTGGCTCCGTAATAGCTGTTTTGCATCTGACCAAACCGCTTAGAATGTACAGGTTTAGGGTGTAGAGTTTGGGGTTTATTGACTCACGTTTACAGGAATCGGGCTTCATTGGACACATGTTTTTGTTCAACTACATACTGGTTTTATTGGTTAATTGTTTTGTTGCTTGGAAATCAAGTTATTTGATAAGGATTAAAGCATCAAACAATCAACTAGAGTTCTTGTCTCAAATATAAAGGGGGAGGCTTTTCTAGGATTGTGTTTGTTCAAGTTTCCAATTCAAATTGAAATGGAATCCAATAAGGAACCAACCCTAGTAGACTTTTTAGTTTAAAGATAGTTTGAATAGGATTTCCTTGTCAAGCAAGATGTGTAATCAAATTATGATTTGTAGCTAGATGTTCAATCATGTTGATTTTTTGGCATATGCTCAATAGAATTCAGTAAGGACATATTCTACTAGATTTTCTAGTGTTGAAGATAATTTACATAAGTTTGTTTAAACGACGGATTTTAATGATTGGAATTCTTATTTCAACTAGATGTTCGAAATGATGTCTTTTCCAAATGCAACAACTGCATTCCTTCTCCAAAATAGCCTTCAAACAGCAAAACGGTAGATCCATCGGGTAGGGGTTGCATATATATGTATATATACAGGTATGCACATATTACAGCACATCCTCACTTCTGTACATGGGCAAAGGTTTTTGTACTACAGTGGGTTGTCGCGACCACCGCCATTGCGCCTGGCCACTTCTGAGTGAGCCTTCATGCTTGAAATTGGTTGAAGACATGCAAGCTCAAAGGGTGACTTCGAAATGTATATTGTGAGGCGGCTGGCTTCAGTTACCGCCAAGGATTTCCAGTTCCCCACTAGTTGAATCTCTAGAGGCAACGTTTTATTTTCGCTTTCTGGTTACTAAGAAGTGTGGGAAATCATAGATATAGCTGCCCGATTTTTCAGCGCACTTCTGTGGAACCTGCAGGCAGCGCTAGACATGGGCTTAGAGTTTGCTGTGTGCTCGTGACTGCGCTCTCAAAGGAAACCACCTGAAAGTGATTCTGGGAGCCCACCTTGCCTCTGGAGGAAAAACACACATCAAAAAAACACATGTTCACTTTACTAGGCCTTCCAGTAGTGCCCTTTTTACCGTTTCTTTTTTGGGGGAGGGTTCCCCTACTAAAATAGAACCTTCTCTACTGGAGGACCAGGCCTTCGTCCACCCACGTGTTACGTTTGCCGTGGCCGACGCATCGTGTCCAAATCAAAGGCGATGACGTGGAAGCCATTGTCGCCTCCTGCAAGGCCAGCTCCTAGAGAGCCAGGGGTGAGGTTCACCCTGGCCTTCTGGAGTGGTTGTTCTGTTTGGTGGATCCATTTTGGGAAGCAAACAGTTGTCCAAAATCTCCAACCAATTTCTGGAAGACCATTCAGTTTAGCTTGACTGCTATTGGGCAACGGATCTTTAGACTTTAACGCTTTGGGAAATCAAGTTGCCTTTTCCACGAAATCCCCAAAAGGTTTAACTTTTTGCAGGGGGGTCAACAGCAACCAGGTTAGTGGAAAACAAGCAGTTCATACTTTTGTTTGGCCGAGCCACTCAACAAGTGAGGCTTCCACTGTTCCTGAAAGGAAGGGGTTTGCCGCAAATTCAAGAAATTCTTGTTGGAGGGCTTGAGGGGGTAAGTCAATATAAGTAGCCGCCGCCATATTCGTTTGTTACATTCTCTTGGGTGGGTTTCTTTAGCGCTTGTTTTTTTTTTTGTTTGTGTGTGTGTGTTGGTTGTTACTTTTTCATGAGGAAGGCTTCGACGTTTTCCCTGCCTTGGTCTCGGTTCTTCATGCTAATCTTGTCTCTATGGCTTCTGGCAATGTGCTTATCCAAGTCATCCACGTAGCTTGGCCCGGCCAAGGTAAATGCAGCAGTTTTGGTTCAAAGGATTCCCCAGGGATTGACTCGATCTTCGTGCTGCTTCGCGGGTACCTGTCTACCTTCCTGAACTAGGTATCTCACAAGACATCTTGCAGATCTACATGGACATCATGCAGAAAGAAGGGCCTTAACTTCCCTGGTTTTGCGTCATTTTTTGAAGAAGCCTTCCGGCTACCTTCAAAACTGCACGGTCCTCTAAGGATGCCAACTCAGCTGCAAGGGCTAGAACCATCTACCCTTTGGGGTCGTACGCGCCCTCCATGCACCAATGTTTCTAATTGACAGGCATATGTGGCATATGCTAGGCGCGCACTTTTCCAACATGAGGTTTGTTTGCAGAAACGTTGACTATTCAATATGTTCACGCACGCCTTGTCTAATGGATGCAGTTCTGTCATGCATCGTGTTTGTAAAGCTGTAGCATGCATCTATATGCACAGACCTGGATACCATACTTGCAGATTATATTATCATCTATGCAATTTAACATTTTGTATATATATATATATATATACATATGTGTATATATATATAATGTGCACATGAAGAGCAGGAGGGACTAGATATGCGGTGAGTACAAATCAGTCAGCACATGGGCCGCCAATTTGTGGATGTCCTGCGCATTTTAAGTCAGGAGCTGGCCTCCATGAACTTGGAGCTGGCTTCCATAGCAAAGCTCTTGTCTCATCAGGAGCCTCGGGTGGCTCGGCGCGGTGTTGCTTTTTTTCTCTCTCTTTTTTGCTTTTCCCCTGGGGCCTCTTGTATCAATCGGATCTATGCCCCTGTATTTGGTGGTTTGGATTGGCGCTGGTTTTTGCGGGTTTCATGTTTGCTTTCCCGGGTTTGCTTTTTGTTGTTAGTGGGATATCTTCTCAAAGGCTTGTGTCGAGTACGCATCTCGTTGCGCCTTCAATGGTTTGGATTGGTGCTGTGCGAATTTCAATCCCTGGTTCTAAGAAACAAATAGAAGTAGGAAATCACCCCCGAAACTCCAGACCACCAGTGCACCCCGCCAATTTGGGGGAAGCTGAGTATCAGGGGCTTGAGCTATCATCCCATGTCGCACCCCCCGCTTTTTTGAGATCTCGCTTGGTGTGTTTATTTGTTGGATGTTTTGTTTTTGGATTCGGAGTGAAACCAAAAGGAAACTACAGGGACTCCTTTTGGCCTTGGTTCTAGAGGGTATGGGACACCACCCCTGGTCAGCTTGCCTGGTTTGGATTGGTGGTTTGGGGATTTGAACCCCAAGCTTTTGTGAAGCAAAAGATGTTTGCCACGTCCTGACCAAACCACCGGGCTCCAAATCAAGGGGAAGCTGACCCGGAGCAGCTCCAACCAAAAGGACGCCCTAGGTCAAGGCCGCCGCCGCCTCAGCTCTGCAGAGCATGGAGGGCGCCGAGGCCTATGCCGCCAACCTCGCGCAGCGGCTCGGTGGTTTTTGGGTGCGGCTGGCCTCGCGGAAGAGGAAGGAGGGAGTTTGTTTTTTTTGCTTATGCGTTTTAAGGGGATGAGGTGTTGTTTTTCCTGGAGCTGGTTTTTCTTAGGTCTGGAAAACCAAAACACCTCTACCGTTCTCAGGTTCACTAAAGATGAACAACAATTGTTGATTGTTTGAGATCTATTTGGATTTGTTGCATCAAGGGCTTACTAAAACTGTACCATAATTCAGCTGAGGTAGAAATGGGGAAGTGGGGTTCTCTTTGGTTGTCCCGTGCAATCGACCAAGAGGGAACCCTCAACACCAAACTTAGCCATGAGTTTCCTTTTGGGTGGTTGGACCCACGAGTGGCTCGACACTTCAGTCGAATGTCATGTTTTGGGGTGGGTCCATGATCATTTCTCGGTTTTAGGCTTATGCGCCTTTCCGTTGCCAGCTCAACATGATCTTCCTTTCGGAGGGGTAGTGGAACCAGGTGACACATAAAGAATCCTGTTGAGGGCTTGCGGCTTGCTTAGGGGCCAAAGTCTGCAAGCGAGTTCTCGCTTAGATGTTCAACCCACTTAGCATACTTGGGAATAAACACTGGCTTCCCGTGATGATAGCCTAACAGCTTTGAACATCCAAGGCGCCCCCCCCCGACCCCTCCTTGCCCCCCCCCAAAAAAAAAGGGGAGAAGAACAATTAAGTCTCATTTTTAGTGGCCTCAAAGGCCCGGGCGCTTCCCTTCTTACAACTTGCACGCCGGCTCCATGCCAGTTCGTAGGGCTGTGCGCAACTTCCACCAAATCTCCCCGAGGCTCGTGGGGGATTCCGACAGCTACGTCCGCATCGCGGCCGCGGGCACACTGAACTCCCTGGGCACCAAGGCAGCTTCGCAGGCGCGGTCCGCGAAGGTTCTGGTCAGACTGGATGGGACAAATCCGCAGCAGGCACTGGCCACAAGTGGATAAAACTGTCTATGAAGGTTGGTGGATAAACCACCTTTTCCAGTGCCCGATTTTGTCACAGAGACCACTCTGACGTGCGTTGCCTTTTTGTTTGTTCCTAGTTGAGCCATTTCCCTTTTGATTCTTTCCTCAGCGTTGCACCAAACCTTAAAACAGAGAGAGAAGCCACAAGGGGCCCAGGGTAGAACATTGGTATTGGGCCCTGGTTTTTTTTTTCCAAATACCAAATTTCTATGGTCACCAAATTGGTCTTTGGAGCAGCCCTGACCAACCTTTGCATTCCACTGCCTGGTGAACTGTGCTCGTTGGGACACCCTCAATGTGCGAAAGGGGACATACAAACCCAATGCAACTGATGGGGGTCAACAATGAAAATATGTTGCCAACTCAGTTTTCTTTGGGTTGATTTCTTCAAGAGATATGTGAGAGGGGTTTGGAGAACAAAAAAGGGTTGTTTTTTCAAGCCTATTTTTCTTCCTGCGGCCTTCGCCTCAAGACTCGAAGACGTTATCCCCCGGAAAGCCAGGCTGTGTTCTTCCATGTTGGTGGGAGGTATGTTGGGCGGGTGTGGAAGTGGGCCCTTTTTGGCATCCCGGATCCCTTGTAAAGGCGTCACAGGTGGCGCCAAGAGCCATGTTTGATGCACGCTGACATGCAGCAAGGTGGCAGCTGCTCGTGCGCAGCTGGATAAAGCGAGCACCATGAGGAGGGTTCCCTATCGAGGGCATTCGCCCAAAATCTGGATGCCCTTTGCCGTTGCTCAGGGCCTACGCTGCTCCTTTGCCTGTGCAAAAGCAAATCAGAATACCGTTGGATGTGTATGGAGGAGATGATCATTCCTGGACTAGGCAAGCGCAGCATATCATTTTTGCGGAGGCCTCAACCCAGTTACAAGCCCAGTGTAAAACCCCTTGCCAGAATTAGCTGAGCTCCTTGGGCAGGGTGCCTGAAAGAATACGTCCAACAACCACCTGCTTTACAAGGCAATCCCCCAAATCAGCTCAGTTTTGGATGATCCTTTTGCAGGCTCCTATGTGCATCTTGTAAGAGGCTTGGCATCCAAGTGCCAAGATCCAGGGCAGCCGAACAGGTGCCTGTGCAAAAAGGATTCTGTTGGGTGAACCCGCCCAGCAAGTATACGCTCGGAGTAGCGATTGTAGCCCACCAAGTGGGCTGAACATTTAACTTACACCAAGTGGTAGGAACCCTGTTGCTTCGCTTTCTTCCAGACTTTCTCGAAAACTAGTTTCGTCTTTTGTTTTTTTATATACAAGCAAGCCTTTCAAACTTGGCAAGTGAACATCGGGGCCCCATTTTTTCAGGGGGGCCGAAGTACCGTAGGTCCGTGTCTTGGGGAAGTTCCTCGGCGCCTCGGATCCGGGCACCGTGGCTGCGGCGGCCCACGCCTTGGCCACGCTGGGCCCCGACGCCGCGGACTTCGCGCCGCAGCTGGAAGCGGCGCTCGGCAACGGAGCCGCCCCTCGGCGCTGGGAATGGGCGTGTTGGGAGGCGACCCATTTGGCCGTTGTCAAAACCGTTTTGGGATCCCATTTTCGGGTAGGTGAATTCACCACCCATTTTAGAACCTATTTTAGTGGGGATTGGGATGTTCACTGGGGGTATGGGCTTTTGACCCATGGCCGTTTTTTTCCAGGCGAACTGGTGGTTTGGATTGGTGGTTTGGGGAATTGAATGAACTGGTTCTTGTAGAGAGCCAACCGGGGGGTACCCCTCCTGCACCACCCAACCACCAATCCAAGCCTCCAATTAGAGCGGGGTTGTTTTTGTACTTGAAGGAATACCGGCAAAATGGAATCACCACAAAGAGCTTCAACCTTTATAGATGTGCTTTTCGAGGGGACTTATGTTGAAAAACCAAAGGGACACCAAAGGGAACTCACTCACTTTTTGGGGAGCAGGGTCCTAGATCTCGTTCGAAACATGGATGGCGCCCACAAAATTCGACTTGTATATAAGCAAGGTGCCAGTTCTAGTTCTTGGATGCCTGAAAAAAGAAAGAAAGTCCGGAACACCTGAAAGGAAGCCGCCATCACCCTGCCAGCACCCCACGGCCTTCTTAAATCCCCCCCCTCCCCCCCCCCCCTTGTGAGGGGGGAATGGGGCAGGTTCTGCTTCAGCCTGGGAGGCCTTAAGAGCGGAGTCTAACCCTTCCCTCGCTTCCATGATTGCTGTAAGCAAGGGACATTGATAGTGTTTAAGGGGCTTAGCATGGCTTAGCCCCTCCTTTGAGACATACCCAGGTCATTTGCTCAAGGAAGTTGCCTGAACACACCTTTTTGATAGTTTGATTGGTGTTGTTTCTTTGCATGACCCGAAGGGGTGAGTTGCATGTGTCAATCCTGAGCATGTGTGCCCTTTAGCCTTGTTTTCCTCCTTTGAGACCTGTTGATCAGAAACAAAAACTGCCGCGTTTCTTCGAAGGGGTCGAGGTGCTGCCCAGATTCTCTTGACTTTTTGGGCGACTTGGAGCGGAGGAAGACACCTCCACCCACATGCTGGCGGCCGCGGGCGTGCTGCCCAAGACCCCAGAGGCCAGGGGCCGGGCTGCGGGACTGTTGCCGCATCTCAGGCCATGGCTGAAGGCCAGAATGAAAAGACCAGCGCATGCCAGGCGGTGCCTAAGCAATGCAATCCCACGTGAACCAACCATGCTGCCAGAATGCGCTTTGCTTCCACAAGGCGTTCTTTTGCAGATCCATCGTTTGCTAGTCGCGGGCCTACTTGGCTCAGGTCCGTTTGAGTCTGAACCAGGCCTGGGTTGGGCCAGCTGCGTTTGGTAGCGTCCTCTCCTTTGAGACTGTTTACTTCTGTTTGGCCAGCTTCATTGGCACCTTTTCGTACTCAATGGCCGATCCCCACACTACCAAGCCAACAAACCAAACCACAGATCTCGTGTAGAGACAAAGTTAACTTCTGGCTGCATCCAGGCCCTACAAATCACAGGAAGCCTTCTAAATTGACTTGATCTCCCCTTTCAATCCACCCATTACAGACCTCCAGTGCCCTTTCTTGCTTTCCTTCTTCCTTGGCATGGGTGTTTCCTATAAAATCTAGTATCCCTTAAGGAAGCTGGCTGGACATGTCTCGAGGTGCTGAGGAAGCCAGCCTGCGCGGCTTGCAAAGCCCTGGGGAACCTGGGCCAAAGCAGTGGGAAGCTCGAAGAGCTGCTCGAGTCTAAGGACTTCGAGCTGCAGCTCGGCCGCAGGTTGAGCTTGCGCCGAATCGGCCATGGGCCAAAATCCAAATCGGTTAGCCCCCAGTGAACATCAACCAATCCAACCACTAAAATAGGTCCTAAAATGGGTGGTGAATTCACCTACCCCAAAATGGTACCACGGGTTTTGACCCACAGCCAATTGAACTCATGCTGACCCCAGTTCTTCATCTAGTCTATGTTCTAGCGAGCTCACCAGTAGTTAAGATACATCTGAAAAGCGAATCCGCCCAGTGTTGCCCGGTTTATCAATATATGCGGGTGTCCAACTGGGTGTGGGGAATCAGAAGCAAAATGGGGGGTGATTAATATGGGGTCAACATGAAGTGGACAGCCCCCATCGCAGCGGGAAACCATCTCCGCCCGGATTTAAAAAAAGAAGAGAAAAAACACATAACATATTTGCGGGGTTGGAACAGCAGGTGCTGTGATTTTGTGGCGTGTGTTGTGGTTGACATGTCTGCAACCATATTCTCTTTTGTTGTGCGCTTTTGCTGGATCCCTTGAAGGACAAGGCAGGTGTCCTATTGCGAACATGCCTTCATGCTTTGCATGAATGAGCTGAGGGCCGGAATTGAATGAGCACCCTACGTTTGTCGCATTTTTGACTTGAGGCTTGCCCTCACAAAGCAGCCCAGAATCACAGTTGTCCCATGCCTTTTCAGGGAATGTCTGATGTGTGATTCACCCCACATCTGCCTTTTGCACCCATCAGACGAGTCTCCTTTGCAGGGGGCCTCCAGTGCGGCGCTTTGTCTGCCATTTGTTTTTTGGGTTTTACTCGGAGCTGAGGCGAGCCTGTGCTATCAAAGCCTTGACCCAGATGGGCGCGGACAGCACCCGCTTTGAGTCCAAGCTCATCGATTTGCTGAAGCTCCGCCCATATTGCGGTTGGGAAGCTGGATGCTGAAACGCCTTTGCAAAGAAAGATTTCACAAGGGAATTCCCGGAGAACAGCTTGGACCCCATGTTTGATATTATACTTGAAAGGTATTTTGTTCTTAAGTGCAGCACCCCAACATTCAAAAGTGTGGTCAAGTTGGAGAGCTGGCTGGCACCAGGATGTACCCACCCCCACCCCCACCCCAACCCCCCACCCTGCCCCCACCCCCCGCCTGCCCCCACCCCCCCGAGCCCCCACCCAACCCCCACCCAGCCCACCCCGTGAATCCCTTGCCGAGGAAGGACCCGGCGCCCAGCGTGGCCAGCGCGGCCTGCGCCGCGCTGGGGGCTCTGAGCGCCAATGGCAAGACCTCCAGCTCCACCGCGGCCACGGTGGCGGAGCTCCTCACGGACCCAAGCCCCATGGTCAAGGCTCACGTCCCAATTCGGGAGAAACCTCCAAAAGGCACATGCAGGTGGTTTGGCCTTTGTTTAAAAAGCAACCTAAAGGGACCCTCAAGAACTTAACCACAAAAGCGGTTTGCTTTTGTTTTCTCAGCTTGGTTCTAATTACTTGGAAGTTAAATGGATCCTCAACAAAACGCAAAAGCATTTCTACATGTTTTGGGGACGTCAACAATTTGCCCAGGTACCAACAGCCCCGGAACCCCCGGAAACCCTTCTGAAAGCCGTCTCAAACGACCCCGAACGAGCCTATTTGGGCAGAGACCCCATAGCTTCCAGCTGTTGCAACATGGTGCATTTTGTTTTTTGAGAGGGTACCCATTCAGCTTGGGACAAAGGGAAACCAACATTTTGTCGCACACGTTCCAGGATTCATGCGGTCATGACTTCGCGAACGGGTTTACGCAGGAGGACCATCCGCTTCAGTCAGCAGATAATGGCCCGCAGTTCTTCGGCCATTCAAAAGAAACGACACAACTTTCACAACTCAAGCAAACCTGAATTGAAGAGTGGCGTTCCCCCATCACAGCCCACAAATCTGCGATGCCACACTCGGGTGATCGAAGCCTTGGCTTCCGAGCCGGGGGCAGGCCAGTGCGGTAGAGAGCCTTGCCCAGATGGGCGACGAGGCCGAGGCCTTTTTGGAGCCCCTCTGTGGCTCGGCGAATGCGAATGATGCGAGGGTCTCATGGGTGCCGTTTCGAGTAAGCTCTTAAAAAAAGAGGCGTCCCAAGTTCTTTCCCTTGGCGAAGCTACCCTGATTTGTTGGGTAAAGGCAATGTGTTTGGTAAGATTTTGTAAGTTTCCTGGGGTGGTCTTGGCTTGGCAGAATGGGGACCGTTTGAAGGCGACTGAAAGATCGCCCACAGGAACGGGCCTTATTGGCATCTTGGAGGTTCAGGGGACTCCTCCTCATGCTGTTTGGGGTTGGCAAATGCTGTAGCAAAGGAAGGAACTGCCACACACGTATATAACAATGAGCTAGCTCTCTAACTGACTAAGTGGTGGTAGCACGTCTTTGCGACGCAGCGGTTCCGGAAATGATCTTCAGCCATGACTTTCGCAGCTGTATGACGTATGACAGAGTTGCATATGAGAAGAAGACAATTGGCGTCCAGCGCGACTTTCTGATACCAAGGCCATCCGCTGTGCAAAGTGATGCACTAGTCATTGGGGATGATCCACTCACAGAAAGATGATTCGCCAAAACCATTCTCAGAGCAAGGCCTTCTTCGAAGTTTCCGATCACCAAGTGACCTTCAGCTGGAAGCCCCAATCTCAGGAAGCGGGGGCATAGTAGACAAACGTGTTTTGCAAACTTTACACTGGGTGACAAGGCCCAGCAACATGGCTGACATGAGCCTCTGATCTGACCTTCAACACGGCTAAAGGCCTGAAGGGTCCGGAGTCACCCGTTTGACCATTTTAGTGGGCTCCCCACAACCAAAAAAGCGGGCGCACCGCAGTCTGTATCAGGTTTGCTTGGCTGGTCATTTTGGGCTCCACATGGACCGCAGGAGGGTAGGTCTGAGTGGCCGGCGCCAGCAGCGAGCCCCGGTGTTCGGATTTCGGATGTCGCGAGGCCGGCTCTTCAACGACAAGAGCTGGACAGTTCGAGTGGCCGCCGTAAAGGCGCTGGCTGGCTGCGGCGAGCTGGGCCAGATGTACGCCTCAGAGGCATGTGTCCAAAACCGGGCCTCAGTAAAATCCCCAAACCCCCCACTTGGATCCCGTTCTTTTTTTTCTCCCCCAACAGCTGAAAGCTTTGGGGTCTCAGCCCAGATAGGCTCCGGGGTGGTCGGGGCGGCCCTGGGTAAGGTTCCACGAGCGTTCCATGAGGGTTCCACTTCTGCGAGGGCTGCGGGGTGGTGCGAGCACAAAAAAGAGAACCGCATGCTGTTGGGATATTACCCGAGCTTATTTTCTTTTTTGGGGGCGGTTAATTAGGTTCTTCATACCTCAAAATTGTAAAGCCTCAGGGCTTCATAAGCACAATTAGAGCCAAAGGGGGCGTCCGGCTCTCTTGGGGTTTGGATGTTAGCACCAAAAGGAGGTTGTTTAATCCATGGCCCAGCAGTGGTTAACGTAGTGGGGCACTTGGATGTTCGAGGCAGTCAGGCAACAGTCATGTCTATGGGTTGGTTTCCCTGATTTCAAATGATCTCTGCCTTCCAGCTACCCCAGTTACCCGTTTTGTTTTTCCTCGGAGCCCCGGGCGGCTTGAAGGGACCCTGTCAAGGTGGCATGGTAGCGGGGAGGTTACGACCAGGATGCCCTAAGTAGGTTGACCCTTCAGCGAAAGGGCGCACCGGGAGCGTATCAAGTTGCAAGAGCGGAGACCACACATGGCCAGGCTTTTCATATAGAGGGTTTCCAAAACAAAACGACACGCACACAGGGGTCATACAGTATGGCTACACTCGAGCATTTAGGCCCCAGTTGGAAGACTAGAGCATCAGCCAACAGAATTAGCAGAAACAGATGGGATGGGACAGCCTCAAACTTCCCGGTGGCCTCCTCCCCTTCTGCAGCTTCCCCTTAGCCGCTTCTGCAGCTTCAGCCAAGCCCAGACCCGAAACGCAACCGAGGAGAACATGTCAAATCGCGGGAAATCATTTTGTAGTTCCAAGAAGTTGAAATTGAGTGGAGGGACCTTACCTCCTTCCCCATTGAGCGAGAAGCATGGAATTGACTTGAGGTCCCCCCTCCCCTTTGCACAGGAAGAAAGGAGTTGGGCACCTCAACACACAGGCCTCACTTTAGACGAGAAGTAACTCAACACCTTCAACATGGCAGAGGCTTGTGTTGCCTCGCGAAGTGGGACTTTTGGACGCAACGGCAGAGAGAGAGAGAGAGAGAGAGAGAAAAAAAAAAAGAGGAAAAACATATATGGGTTACCTTCCCCATTCTTTTCAGGGATCCTTCTTTCTAGACAACCTCCAGAAACCCAGGGAAACGGCCAGGTTTTGAAAAGAACGATGGTCGAAAATCATGAAATCTGAATTTTCCCCGAGGTTCCCCCCTTCCCCCGGTTTCTCGCTTCAGGTGTGCCGGCTCACCACCAGCACGGACGCCAAGACCCGTGCGGCCGCCGCCAACGCGCTGGGCCAAATGGGCGAACGTGGCGCCTGCTTCGACGAGGAGGTGGAGCTGCTGCTCAGCGACCCCGATCCCTTCGTGGCCGCGGAGGCCAAGAAGGCCATCCAAGCCTTCCTGGACGCCAAGCAGGCCACATTTTTCGCGGAGGCATATGCATTGAGACTCACAAGTGTGTATATATATATATATGTGAAAAAGTACAAATACATCTACAATCATCTACATTTACGCATATGTACATGCATACATGTGCTTGGCAGTGCTTGCACGCATGCATGTCTAGAATGGTTGTGCAGACAGACAGGGCATAATTGAATGCAGACATGCGGACATGTGTAGCAGTCATGCGCTAGCATAATTGATCATGCCTGCGTGGCTTCGATTAGAGAGGCAATTGCGTTGGGGCAAGTCATCGCCCTTGCCGTGGTTTCTGGATTGCACCAATGGCAAGATCCCAAGCATGATTCCTTCGCATCATCCTGAAGATTCACCCTAGCCAAAACAGCAAGTTTGCAGGTTCTAGGGTCTGTTTTTCCAGGCTGCAAGTGACATTTCATGAGCCGACTGTTGGGGATCGTATTGGGGATGCTGGACTCAAGCGGCTTTCAATCACATGTTTCGTTTTGCTTCTGGAACAACAATTCACCAACCGTTCGCTTGCTGGTTCCCAGCCATCCCCTTGGACTTTTAGTTTTTAAGGGGTTCTCCATTCAACCCATTTTTCGGGGATCTGAAAACGGACAGCCCAGAAATTGAGTTTGGTACATGGGAGGTTCATTCCCATCAGGAGGCCCTGGCTGCGCCCAACCACCTCGCCATTGAGACGCCTGAGACGCCGGCGCCCGCCGCGGCCGCGCCGCCGGCCAAGGCGGACGCCACGCTGCCGGTGGGCCTCCTTTTCCCTGGCCAGGGCTCGCAATACGCGGCTCGGATGACGGACGTGCACGCGGTATTTAGGATCAATGTTTGGCATAGGGCTGTGTTTTTCTTTAGCCTCCTTGTAGGCTCAAGGAGGCTTAAAGGTAGATGGAGGTTGGGACATGTGCGACATGCTGCGCATGATGCATACTTCTTTTGGCCGAGTGGCTTGGGTTTGACTTTCTTGTGCTTCGTGACTTTTGACAAGGGAGGGCGACGGCCATGCAATCATTCCAGCACGCTGGTGAGAGGATGGCTAAGAAGGTTTTGCACAGATCTTGCAGAGCTGCTGACCGCATTGGACACTTTGTTCCCACTCGTTCGGCCAAGACCATTTGCAGACGTTAATGTTATCCCTATCCTTCCTCGATTTTTATTTTTATTTTTATTTTTTAAATAGGGGTTGTTCAACCCCCTTTTTTGCATTGACAACCCCTATTGTTTGACATTGGCCTTTGGGGTTCATTTTGGGTTGTTACTTTTTTTCCGAAAACTACGCCTGCTACTGCAACCTCTTAAGTAGCCTTGGGAGCCACATATTTCTCTGCCAGCTAAGTAAAGTACTATTTCTTGATAGGGTCCTGGGGTCCCTTTCGTGTTTGCGCAACGCACCTGCTGAAAGTTTTGCATAGCCATAGCCTTCATTCTAGCAAATTGTAGAATTGTCCCCTGCATTTTGCGCAGGTGGCACGAACAACAAGCAATTTTGTGCTTGCTCTTTTCCGTTCCAATTTTTACACAGGTCCGAAAACAACGTCAGCGTAGACAAACCGTAGACAAACCATAGAACAACCGTAGAAACACATTGTTTGGCGTGGAACCACTATTTTTTGGCGTAGACCCACTATTTTTTGGCGTAGAACCAGAACCGCCATTTTGTGGAATAGAACGGGCAAATTTTGCTGGGGAACCAGAAGACCAACATCCTCATCCTGGAATGGTTGATGGGAGAGATGCTGGCTGTCCCTTGTCTTTTTGGTTTGGCCAAGGGTCTGGGCGAGAAGAAGGACAGACATGGTCAGAAGAGGGTTCACCTTCACGCGCTACATGGCCATGTTAAGAAACAAGCTACATATAAGCCAACATTAGACTTGCAAATAGTGAAGCATATATCGCTCCGTATGTATATACATATTCGGCTTTGGGATCTTATTCAGCGGCCTTAGCGTCAAGTCTTTCCTAGCCCTTGTTCCAGTCCAAAATGGAGGCGGCCGCTCGTCGTCAAAAAATAGTGTTTGTCAAAAAAACCGGGGTTGTCACAACGCCTATTTTTTAGATAGGCTTTGGAAGCATAGGGTTATATTCGGGCATTTGAAATGTTCAGCACTTGGCACAATGGACATAAAATCCATGTTCTTTGTCCAAAGAGGGTCCCCATGTAATACCGCTACATTTGTCGGGATGATATTCCCTAAGGGGAGGTTTTCCACCTGTGGGTTGGCCAGGAACCCTAGATGTGTTTGCCCCTTTTCGGGTTGTTCAAACATCCCTTGCTGGTTGATGTCGGTTGCCCATTGTTGGTGCGGTCCCCAAGGAGATTCCTCCACATTTCTTTTGCGTAGAACAACTGGACCTCGACATTTGGCGGGTTAAACATCCAGAAGTTTGTTTCGTTCATTTGCACGGGAGTTCCCAAATTCCAACAAGTCGTGGAGGATGACAAGATGTGCCACGATGTGCTACATTCCTTTTGGGGGGCCACTTCCATTGTAGATCCTCCACCTGAGGGGTATCACCCGCTCTCTTGCGGGGTATCCAGGTGAAGATGCTGCAGGAGGTCCAAAGCATGGCCAGCGTCAAGGACATGCTGGCCACGGCCCAGAAGATCCTGGGCTATGACGTGCCCCGCCAAACGAGCCTTTCGGGCCTTGGTCTTGTTTTTCACAAGGCCAAAGGCTGTTGAGCAGAAAATGGTTCTGTTTGGCTCAAAATTCAACAACAGGAGGGTTTCGCAGGTTTTGGTCGTGTTTCCACTTACCAGGGTTCCATTTTGGTGCCAGTGTTTTTGAGCCACAGCCACACGTCTCAGCTGTTCAGCCCAATTTTTCGCAAACCCAGCGCAGGTGCTGAAGCTGTGCCTCGAGGGCCCCGAAGACAAGCTTGAGCAGCAGCTCGGTGAGGTCTTTGACTCGTGTGGGGGTTGTGGCAACGGGGGAAGGGACTTCTCTATGGAGATAAGTTGGCTTTGTCTTGATTGCTCTTGGGCACAGGTCTGTAGACTTTAACTTGTTGGGCGGTCCATTAAACCCACGAAAAGTTAGAACAACTGTTTGGCAGAGGGGTCAACAGCAACCAAGGTGTTTCCACAAAACAAGCGACAACTTGCTGACATTTATCACCACATTGGCACCGGGCCTGGCATGTTCATATGTGTTTTTGCTAGCGGCTGGCCGGTATGTCGCCTGTGACGTGGCCCCACGTTGTCATAGTTTCGCGAGAAGGAGGAAAAACAGTTACACGCTGCACGTGTGGTAGGAAGGCATTTTGCCTGATTCCCAAGCTTTGTGTGTGCGAGTGTGGCTCATGCGTTGCTGCTTTGCATGGATGTGCGCTAGACAAGTGTGGATCTTCAACTCATGTTGTGGAGATGCCGTAGGTTTTAACTATGGTAATAACTGGAGTTACCGGGCGAAGTCCGACGCACGATCATGGTTCTCACCTGTTTGCCTGACGTGGGTTGAATATCCCAGTGGCTACTCCTGATTTGGCACACTGGATGCACATTCGTGAATGCGCATTCTGCGATTACTAGCAGCCATGGGGCTTTTTAGGCAACCAGGAGTCTTCAACAGGTGGAGCCTGGCACGCCTGCAGGATCCCTCGTCTGCAAGGTATTTTCCCCTAAACGGTGCAAGAGCCCCTTCACTCTGTGGCTGTGTGGTTGGATCTTTGGACTTGAACTGTTTTGGGAGCCAGTGGGGTTTCTATTGGACCGGCAAGAAGTTGGTTCTTTGCAGAAAGACAAACAGCAACCAGGTCAGAAACGCTTTGAGAAGCCTTCCAACAATTCCCAAGAGATTAGGACTTCTTTTTGGGGGATGGCTCTCTGGGTTCTTTGGTTTGCTCCAGTTATTGATGCAACCTGTCCACCATTTCCACAATCCAGAACTCCAAGGTGCGTCCAATTTGCCATTCCCACGGGGTTTTTCCAAACTGGAATTCGAAGTTCGGAGTCTCTGATTGGCTTCGCCTTGCCCTTGGCTCGGTTCGACGAATCTCCGAGGGGTAAAAAGAACCGCCCAAAGCCCTGTTCAAAGGTAATCCTTAATCCTTACCTTGAGGTCCGCAAGGGGTTTGTTGTGTGGCTTCCCTACAAAAAGTTCTGGATTAGGATTGATCAAGCCTTCATTTTGAACAGCGAAAGCTCAGGACCAAGTACTGCCAGCCGGCCATGTACATCGCCGGCCTGGCCGCCTTAGAGCTCCTGAAGTCCGAGAACCCCAAGGCCGCGGCCAACTTCCGGGCGGTGGCCGGGCTCTCCCTGGGGGAGTACACGGCTCTGAGCCTTGGCGACGGGGGGGCCCTGTGGAAGCTGCAGCAGTCTTTTTTTGGAGGGCACTTTTTGTGTTGCGGTTTCAACAGGAAGCCACAAGAACAAAACACCCATTTTGGGGCTGTGATGTTGCCTTCCCATATGAATCGGCCAGCCAGTTTATTTTCATAGGGGGGAATCATCCCCTCTAAAAGTGGTCTGATTCCCCACACTCAGTTGAACACCCCCGTATTCACAAACTGGGATTGAGTAATACGAGGGCAACATTAGGAGGATTCTTTCTTTTTTTTCTCACATGTATTTCAACTCCTGGCGATGAAGCTATCAAACTGGGGGATGCACCAAAATTCCGTGCACCCTCCATTTGTGGCTCGGCGCTGCGTTACTTTGGATCTAACATACTTTTTGTGCTAAAGTTGTGAGTTTTCCCACTGACCACCCAAACGCAAGCACGTTTTGTGAAGTCAGCGCAGTGACTCGTGCCACTCGGATGGAAGGAATGTGAGGGTCTTGATCGCCTTTCAATCCAACACTCAGTGCTGCCACCGTGGTCATTTCAGTGATGAATGCTGGAACCTAACATCGTCACCGTCTTCACCCCTTGAAATCACAACATGCCTTTTCAGAGGCAAGGCACAGGGAAACTGAGCTGCGACACGTCAGTAGTTCCGTTCCTCTGCGCTGGGACCTCAAACATCCCTCCGGCCGGGCAAGTTTCGGACTTGGCGGTCCTTCAAAACCAGAAAATGCCCCGGGGCCCCAAAGGATACCCCAACCTCTCAAGCCATGCGCGTTGACCTTTGGGCGCTTCTGGCAAAGACGCGCACTGCCCACAGCTACCGGTGTCACTGGATGTCGGGCAGCGCAGTTCTCCCCACACTTTGCCCTTTCTCCCTTTTTTGGCTGGGAGGGTTCCCCTAGTAAAATAGACTTCAGAAAAACATCGGGCACCCTTGTTCTAACCTCTCTACTGGAGGACCGGGCAGGGATGGCAACTGGGAAACCCGTTTCCGAGGACGGTTGCGGGGGTCTTCGACTTCGAGACGGGCCTCCGCTTGGTGAAGCTCCGGGGCGAGGCCATGCAGGAGGCTGCTGAGGCATACGGCCAGAGAAGGGAGTGGGTAGGTGCTTTTTTGAGAGTACCCTGTTTCATTGGCCTGGTTGCGGGGGAAACCGAAATGGGGGCCGGCGTGTTTGTGGCCCCCCTGTGTTGACGCGTGCCCCCTTAAACTTATTCTTCTCGGAGAAGAAGGAATGATCGGGGCAAGTGAACGTGCCAAACCTTGCATGTCACAAAGGCTATTGGTTTGTCACCGAAAGACCATGATGAAGCGTCCTTGCTTCTTGCTTGGGTCCCTCTATTGTCATGTCCCCAGATTGAGTAGTTGCCTTTTCGGTGAGACCCGCGAAAGTTTAAGTAGTCATAGGAAAGGGAATCGCAGCAAGGGTCATGTTCCAGCACCATGGCTGGGGAAGAAGGAATGATAAGATGCGCGAATTGGGCCTATATCACCTACACGCGTGCGAATGTGAATGTGTCAACGTGTGTGTGTACCACATGGTTCTTTCGTTTGCATGTACATGGGCCCATGTACGCACATGCGAATCTGTGCTACCGTAAAGTTTAAAAGAAGCGGCTTTGTGTCGAACACGTTTCTTGGTCCATGTGTGTTTTGTTGGCTGCGTTGGGGACCTCAAAGAATGTGCCCCTTAAAGGGATGTTTCTGAAAGTATGTCTTGTGGTAATTGTTTGTTCTCGATACTGCAGTCCTGGGACATGTTTCACTGTGACATGCCCAGGATCCCACCCCATGTCCGGGACGATTTCTAACCAGTGTCGTATGATATGTGCAGTACTGCAATGCAATTTAAGATACGGGGTAGGTGCAATGTAATGTTCTCAAATGTTTGCGCAAATGTTTGTTTCACAACTGTGAAGCAAGTCACAAATGGACCCTTCATTCCGCAGAACGAGACCATGTGTTGATTTACCTCATTTGACGACGCCATCAAAACTCATTTCCAATTCCACTTCAATTTCATAGTCCATTTTCATACTTTTCCCAACCACTAGCCTGAAACTGTTGTGCAGAGGTAGACAAGGGATCTAGCCTAGATAGCACTATGCCGCAAATTTAAGATATGCAAGGTAAGCAGTGCCATACAGATGCAGCCCCATGCGATGTATCGCAATGACCTACTGTAATGTCCTAGCTACGCTGTTTTTACGCAACACAAAGAAGTTCAATCTGACGTGCTGCAATCATTCTCAGAATAACCTGGCACAAAGGGACTTTCTGGCACCGCCCGGATCAATCTGCTTTTACCATTGTTGACGCAAACACACCGAACATGAAGAAGCCCACCTCCAGGTCTGGTCTTTTTTGTCTTCCCCGCGGGTGTAAATTGTCATGGGGGCCTGCGGGGGAGGGAGAGGGGGAGGGAGCCCAAACAAGCCACCTTAGGGCTGGTTTTGGCTCCTCCCCCTCTCCCTCCCCCCCAGCCCCCATAAAATTATAATTGGGGCAGGCGTGATGGTGGTTTGTTTGTTTGGGTCGTCGCAGCCGGTGCAGGCCACGCCGCAGAAGATGATCTCGGTGGCCGGGCTGAGCCAGCAGGTGGTGGAGAAGATTTGCGCGGAATGCAGGCAACATACCCCAGATGTGTCTCTGTGTGTAGGGCAATCCTGAGAAAACAAATGCTGAGTGAGTCCAAGAAAGGCAAACGGTGGCTGCAAAAAAATGCTGGGTGATTCCAAGAAAAAAAAGAAGGAAAAACATCTGCCCAGGTGGTGTGGGTCTGGGTCAAAATTAGTCACCACCAGGATATGGACCGCAGGTTTTAGTCCATGTTTCCATTTGCCAGGGCAAGCCATTTTGGGTACATACTTTTGACCCACCGCATGTATGTTTCAGGGTGTCATGGCAAATCCTTGGCCACCTTGGTTTAAAGGCAGGCCGAAAGGAAATTACGGTTTTGGGGGTCTCCCCCACCAAGAGGCAGTGCACCTCTTTCCAATCAATCATGAAACTGACGTAATGGGGAGCCCTGCGTTACATGAACCTACCCTCTATTTTTGGGCTGTTCAAAGAATCCTCAATCCTGACCTTGGGTTACCCAAGGGTCCCGTTTAGGGATTACGGATTAGGATTGGCCAACCCTGCATTTGTGAAAAGCCCAGATTTTGAATGGCCCGGAATACTGGGTGTGCGACTACAGCTACACCTTGTTGGCAGATGGTTTACTGGCCACTTTTCAAACAATAGTTCAATTTTGAGTCATCGCGCCTTCAAGAATTGAAACTAAAACTATGATTTTGGAAGACTGTCAAAAGGCTGCAAATAGCTTTCCACCATAGTTGCTGGAAGCCAACTGAGGGATTTGAATGCGCTTTGAGGCCTTGACTGCAGTTTGTTGGCTACATGCTGGTTGGACCAACCCGTTGATTGAATTGTGATCTGCGGTTGCCATGTGCCATGGGCTGCAGTCACATGTCCACGTGCAGAGCTCGGGCTAAAGCGAGCCCTGGCTAAAGCCAGGAGCGGCCCGGAGGATGTGTGCCAGGCCGGGTACAGCGAACACCCGTTCGATCGAGCCGGCCTTTGGGCTTTCGGATGGCCTTGTCCACAAGCGTCTGACTGTGAACGCAGGCTGTGCCAGATTGACATAGAGGCAGCAGGATTTGAGCATGGGCTATGTGCTGACAGACATGCCCACGGAGAATGCTCAGAAGCATGTATGTCCAGACAATTCTGTATAGATATGTATCATATTTGTGCGAAAAGCGGTTTAGCAACATGTTAATATCATCTGTATATCTATCTACATGCTCATCCATATGTGTATATATATATACACATGTATATACATATGCATTTAGATGTAGACAGTTGCATTTGACATCCTTGGAGCTGGTAGCTTTCCTGCCTTTGCTTTTTCCAATAGGGGGACAGGTTGCCAGGCCGCCTTTGGGTTCTGACTTAAATTCCTCAGATCTTTGTTGGATCTCTTCTGTTGTTCTTGTAGCCTTGGGATTATCTTGCTTCAGCTGCCCACTAATTGGTTGGATCAGCGGCTTGGTGGTGAAGGTTCCCATTCAGCCTTTACTTGAACCAGGGGGTTCAAATCCCCAAACCACTCCTGCAAACCCCCAACCAAGGGTGCCCTGTTTTTTTTGAGTATTTCCGTGGCTTGTCCCAGTTATTGGGGTTCATCTATCTCAGCAGGATATCGGAATGGGGCCCCTTTGCGGCTTCTTTCCCCCTTTGTGCCAGACAGCCAATACCTTGTTCTCTTCCCTTAAGGGAGAGCATAAGGGTAAGGGTATGTATACATATGTGTGTATCTCTATATACATATATGTATATCTACATGTATATCTATATATGTGTTTATGTATGTGTGGTATAATTGTTGGGACCTGCAGGTGGCCAACTTCCTGTTCCCCAACGGCTTCTCTTGCGCCGGCAGCGCCTCGTCCTGTGACAAGCTGCTGGAAAAAGCCACGAAGGCAGACGGCTGCCTGCAGGCCAAGGCGCTGAAGCGCCACGGCGAAAACGGGGATACCACGGCGCAGCTGACGGGCCCGCGATTGAGGTGAAAGATTTCTATATATATATATATTATTTATTTATTTATTTATTTATTTATCTATTTATTTATTTATTTATTTTTTTATGTGTTTAATTATTTGTTTGAAAGGATCTTGGTATATGTTCTTTCTGATCTGAAAGAAATGGGATTCTTCACATCAATCAGCGTGTTTTGCGTACATAGCTGAAGGCTTTCCCCCCTGAAAATTATTCACGCCCCACACGGGCTCCATTGTATTGATTTTTGTCTTAGCTTTTCCGCAATAAGAGCATGCATTTGGCATCATTGCAGCGTGTTTGAATGTGAAAAGAGAGGGTGCCCCCTCAAGAACATAAATGGCTAATGTGGTTGTCCTGCTGGTTTCCAAGAAGCCTTCAGCTTCTCAAGCCCCGATGGCATAAGATATCCACCTGAAATCCAAAGTTACCACCCTGATCGGCGGTTTCGACGGCCCAAGTCCTTGGGGCTCATACCCAATCTCTTCACCTCTTACGCGAATCCCATAGGCCTCCGGGACGAGCGGGGGGCAGTTTTTAGGAACCGGGGGACATCCAACGAGTCCCGGGGGCTCAGCGGGTTGGAACCGGCCTCAGTGACTCAGGACCTCGGGGGCCTTCCACACCAAGTGCATGCTGCCGGCGAAGGAGAAGCTCCAGAGCGCGCTGAAGGAAGTGGAGCCGAAGCTCCGACCGCCCAGCTGTGCCCCAGGAGCAACCAGTAGCGTTTTCCTTTTCATATGTTCATCAGATCTTTGTTTCGGGGGGCTGGAGGGGGTTGCATTTTGAGAAACAACAGGCACCACTTCATGAAGGGAGTGTTGCACGTGCTTTGCATTGTTGTGTTTTCTCTTTCTTTTTTTCTCCGACCACGCATGTTTGGTGTGTTTGTGATTTGTTTTTGTTTGCCGTGGCTGGCCAAGAAAGGTGCGGTGTACATGAAGCTTGCCTGAACTGGGGCGTGGGAAGACGGCATCGATCCCGAGAGGTTTGTGCTGTGCCTTCTGAAAACCTACATATGGCCCGTAAGAATGAGATTGGAGGAAGTGAGAGGGACATCAAACAATATTTTATGCTTTCATTGTCCGTTCAGGGGGGAGGCTAGAAGGATGGAATTTGGGAGACGCAACCGTCACTCCTGCGTACGCATCCTTGAGGTATGGGATGTGGGTTTTGTGGAGTTTGAACCCTTTGTGGAGTGACCTTGGTTCTTATGTAGCAGTCATAATGTTAACTTCGGGTTAAGCTGGAGGAGAACACTATTCAGTCTATTCCCTTTCAAACGAACACACTGTCACTTCGGGATGAGTGTCGGTCTTCCGGGTGAATCCGGAGATGGCATTAGAAGCCGAAAGGGCGGCTGCATCTCAAGATGTTTTAGAAACGTCTTCACTATGCGAGCACATTTCAGGACAAGAGTCAACAGACCATCAGACAGACCCCAGAGCAGCTCTTGCCTGAGGAATGTCACCGGTGACAAGATCCTGCCAGGCACCTTGAGGGCATGGAAATGGCTGGGGGCGTTTTTTTGCTTTACATCGGTGTGTCTCAAGTAGGGGGGGCCCCAGCACGATGGCTTTCCGGTGGTTCCCAGTGGAAACAAGCCCAACAGCCCTCCAAAAAGGTACACGGATTCGTCATTATTGCGGTTGTGCGCCGAATCGCCAAGTCATAAACGCGTTTGTTTGCTTGCCTTTTGCACGGCGATAACCACAACGGCGAAAACCAACACCCGTTTCAATCGGCATGGCGTGCTAACTACGCATGAGCTCATCGCAAAACAACACATCTACCACTACCCCGCGCCTTTACAGCCAGCTCTTCAGAACATTTCAACTCACAACCCGTTTGCGTCGATATTCGTAAATTAACAACTCAAAAATATTTGCAGGAAATGCACCAGCCCTCTCTGGCCATGCTCGAACCACCAGAATCCAGAACCACCAGGACTCATCCAAGTTTCCGGGACCAACCTCCAAGTCCGCGCAACACGAAGCGCGGAAGCAGCGCGCAGTGACCGTGTGCGGCGAGGCACAATTCCCATCGCGTTTCATTGTCCGCTGTACTGACACACAGAGTTGTGCCTACTTTCAGGCCAGAAGGGAGGGGGCCTTCAAAGGCTGCAAAAGCCGACTGATAGCGAGAAGTTGGCTCTGTGACGAAGAGCTCATGATATGAGCTGCTTGTTTTGCGTTTGCGTGTTGTGTTTGGTTTGCTTGTTTGTTTTGTTTTGTTTGATTGGGTGTTTGTTTGATTCATGTGATCGATTCATTGGTTGACTGGGTTTGATTGATTTGAGTGAGTTCAAGCGAATTGTATTCAATTGGATTGTGTTGGTTGATTGCTTGGTTGGTTGATTGATTGGTTGATTGAAGTGATGGATTTGGTGGCTTTTATGGATTTGTTTTGGTTGGATTGGATTGATTGGTTGGTTGGTTGATAAACTCATTTGTTTATTCGTGGAATGGACTTTTGGTTGATTGGTTGATTGATCAATCGATCCATCGCTCATTTGATCGCTTTGCCGTGTTGTTGCTTTGTGTGATGTACTTGTCGCGTTTGGGTTATTTGATAGTTTGTGTTGCTGTTGTGTTCGCTTTGCAGTATTTTGTTAGGATTGTTGGATTGAGTTTCTTGCGTGGGGTTGTGGGTTTTGTGTCAGTTCATTTTATCGATCGTCCGTTTTGATGTTCTAAATGTAATGTGTTTGCTTTGGTGTTTTGTCTTGTGTCTGTTTGTTGTGTGTGTGTGTGTGGGTGCGTTATGCGTGCGTGAGTGCATGCCTGTGTGTGTGTGTGTGTGAGTGCCTGCGTGCCTGAAAAAGTGTGTGTTAGTTTTTTGGGGTGCGTGCATTTCAAGGCTGCGTTTCCTTGCCACTATGTAGCGCGAATTGCCAGCAGGCTCCGGGAGGTTTTCAGGTAGCTGCAGGAAGGTCTATAAACTTACCCCATTAGGCTGCCACTGGTACTGCTCACGCCTTGCCGTAGATACCACAAACAAGTCCGGCTATAAACCTCCGACCACACGCTCAGCTACCTTCGTACCAAGTGGGTCTGAACGGATTTGTTTTTCCATCGAGGCACTCCGGTCCCACAGATCATCGAGATGATGTCGGACCAGCTGACCAGCTGCGTACTTTGGGAGCCGGCCATGAAGGCCATGATCCGGGACGGCCCCGGCCCCAGAGACGTATCCCCAGCCTTTACTTTCCAGGGCCCTTGTTATACATCTCCCCTTGGGTTCAGCAGTAGTGGCAATAGTTGTAGCCACAACCCAGACGTGCTGATAGTGAATGTGCAGCCCCTGCGTTCAGCATGCTGCCTGGCTGACTGGCCTAGGGAGCAAAACCTGAGTCTGTGGCAGTTGCTGAGTGCTTGAAAGCCCTTCAGGCTATGGGAGAACCTGGGCGGACCTGAGTTCATGTTTTGTGCAGTACGTGTGTGTGAGTGTGGCATCCATATTGTCGAGACAGAGATGGGGAACGCGCGAAGGGCATGTTGTTTGGCTCTTTTTTGCCTGGTGGCTCTGCAGTAGATTCTGGTCTCAGATTTTTCCTTCGAAGCCGAGGCATTACAGACTTCTATGAGTGCGGCCCTATGAAGCAATTGAAAGCCATGATGAAGCGCATTGACCAGCCTGCTTGGAAAACCACGCAGAACATCCACGTCTGAGGGCCGTATGGCAGCTGCAGTGCTGAGAGACTTTGTATGAGCAGTGAGTTGGTTTAAAGAAGCGCTGCAGCCGTGTTAGTCTTGGCACCGGGAAGAACTGCTCAGCACATCTTCCCACGAAGGAAAAGAGAAAAGAGCGCACTGGGGGAGTGGAGGGCGGATCTCTGAAAGGCGTGTGCCCCTTCTTTGTTTTTTTGGAATCGCACATGGGCTGGCTTTGCATTTTACAGACACACAGGGCCTTGCTGAGACCTAGGTTCTCATTTTCTTGTGGTTGCTTTGATTGAAGGAAATAAGTATATGTGCAAGTTGAACAAGTTTTCAGCGGCTTTGAACTACCTTAGTTTCTGGCTTGCAAATCAGCGGCTTCCGTCGCTTGTGCACGTATGATTTCACTTTCTGTGGATGCACGAAATCTTGCACCACCTACGAAACCCTGGAATGATGATTCCCCATGTAAATGCCAACAAACAGTGGCTTTTCACGGTTTCTTAGGTGGTGCAGGATTTTGTGCATCCACCGTATAATATACATGAATACTTATATATATATATATACACATACATATATCCTTCAAGCCCAAAAAGGTTCCGTTGAACTCAGCCCATGTCCTTTGGATGGCCATGTCACACATTTTTAGGACTGTTTGGGGCTGCCAATCCAGATAGAAGGTGAGGAAATCAGGGGTTCGTAGCCAACAAGAAAAGGGTATCCTCTTTCTGGAACCGGCTGGCCAAGAATATCCTCATGCAGGTTTCTCCTCGGATTCCATTGATTTGGCATATTTGGCAAATCAATGGAACGCGGACCCAACTCAAATTCTCCAGTGAAACCCGTCTTTTTTGTTTATGTGTTTTTTTTGGCAGGAGGAGTCGCCTTTTTTTTCTGGGCGAAGAAGCTAACCAGGCATCCTCTTTTGAGCCCAGGAACTCCAGCAACCAGAACTGGCGGGACGTGGCGATGAACTGCTTTCGCTTCGCCGGGCCTTCGGAGAACGGCCGAGAGTGGCGGGAAGAATTGGAGCCCACGGAAAAACGAAAAGTGCGTGAAACTTAGTGGTTCTCAGCGAAAAATGAGAAAATGGAATGAACCCCAAAAAGAACAGAAAAACAAAACAGATGTGTTGTATGGTTTCTGTGTACCGGAGGAACCCTGAGTTCAGTCCCAAAACCCAGAATGTCTTTCCTTACCCCTGGCACCAGCAAGTAAACAATTGGTATATATTTGAACCAGTCCAACTCTGAGGATCAAAAGGTGAATTGTGGTTTTCCCCCAAAGGAACCTTTGAAAGCAGCAATGCACCATGCTAGATCAACCACTACCCAGCGTCGGACAAATGCAGCGAGGAAGCTGACCGCCGCAATTCACCCAAAAGGACAATCAGGTCAGATACGATTGTTTACTTCTCGGGGGGTGGGGCAGGGTCAGCCCTGGGATTTTCTACGTCAAGCTAAACGGCCCAACCCCACCCCACCCTTGTTCAGAGTCGTACCAAATGGTTGCCGTCCATTGGGCGCCTCTGTCATGCAACGTAATGGCCTCTCAGGCGCAAAGCGCAGAATCTGGCCCTGTTTCCATAAGCCAAACATTTTTGTGGGGCGTGGAGGATTAGATCATCGGCCACTTTTCTAGGGATTTAGACAACTGTAGTGAAGGGTTCCTCTCAAGAAAGGACCAAGGGAAGGACCCCATGATCCACACAGAGTGGAGTTTTGAGAACACGGAAGTTGGGCAAAGCCACGGTCAAGGCTCGATGCGCAATTCAATGACTGAGGCTGCTTGTGTATGCTTGCGTGCTCTTTGCCACATCCCATCATCTTCCAATACGGTCTGCAAAAGGACTGCACCGCCATGGGTAGAGAACTGACCCCAGTCCCCATAGTTCTAAAGCACATCCTTGGGCTCCCGGTTTTGGAACCAACGGTTTTAGCTTCAGGCCTTTGTTGCCATCCTGGTGCTCGTGTGCGTGGCACAGGCGCGACCGCTGGATGACTTGGCCTGTCTGCAATTGGAGCACCTCAAATGGATGTGATTGCCTTGATTCACCCAAACCAACCTCAAAACAGCAGGGACAAAAAGGCTCATCCATTCTCCCCGTGTCCGATGTGTCCCCCTTGAAGGCGATGGCAACCTACAGGGCCCCCCATTAAGGCCCTTAGAGGCCCAGGGAATGCCATGAAGATTCCTACCTGGCATTCCTTATGTTCGCTGCCTTGCCAAGTCGAAGGCTGCGACTTGGAACAGCTCGGGGCTAGGCAACCTGATGGCCTTGTCGCATCGGTCTGCATCCGTGAGTTTGCTTGTGGGGCGGTGAGTCAAACTCGATTAGATGGTCAATTGAGTTGAAAGACCCAAGCACAGATTGCGGGCTAGAATTGGGGCTGCCCAAGTAGCCTAGCCTTGGGGCCGCTGTGGTCGTCCTAACGCACTCCCCTTTGCCGCCCGAATATCGTTCAAGCAGTCATTTCGAGCAAGAGCTTGAACCAGCAGACATCAAGCACAATGCATTCTCGGAATTTTGTTTGGGCTTATTTCTGGCCTGGTACTGTTTAGAATTGTTGTATAGTTTGGACTTTGTCCAAGCCGTTTTAAAACTTGTCTTTGTTTCCCTTGCCTTTTTCCTTTGAGGTCAAACTTATTGTGGGAAACGCTTCTCGGCTTCCTTCAAAATGTATGAGTCGCTATCCGACGCACGGAGTTCCTCTCGTCCCACCAGCCGAGCAGGGTCTGTCGACTTGGATGGTCAACCCACTTCGTAGATCATAGCCCGCTGGGAAGCTACCCGCGTAGATTGAGTGGGTTGAAAGGTGGTTCTTCTCATGGGCTGCATTGCGATGCTGGTCATGCAAATCGGCAGGGCCCCCAGCCTCAGGCGCCCTTTCCAGGTGAGCTTGGTTGAGCAAGGTTGGTCCTAATTCTTTACCTTCTGGAATCCATTTAAGTTCATCCAGAAGGAACTAAAGAGCAGATACGAGCAAGGGAGCAGCTGGGATGCTCAACAAAAAGCCTTCGGAGCTCTCTCGTGTGTTGCTTTGACAAGCCCGGGGGTTTCCGCCAGGGCTCGACTTGGAGTGGCCCGGCAGGGTTGTATAGGCTTGACCTGAGGTTCCAATTTTGTGGATCCCCTGAAAAAATGAGGGGCTGCAAAAGATGGTTGAACAAGGCTCAAGTAGCCAGCTGTGACCTTGTGAACTTGTGATAACATGCTGGTCATCGGCATGCCTTGGGCTGAACTATTAGGTTCCACAGTTCCGAACCGGCCTGCCTCAAAATGGGATCGCTTTCACACAGCCTCGGCAAGCCAAATAGGTGCAGCTTGATCTTGGCCTCCTGTCGATGTTTGATCGCCCTGCGCAGCTAAGGCCAGCAATGGAGGGTGCTGCAGTAGCATTCCTGTCGTCGCCAACCAAGTGCTGGCGGGCTTGTGCAACGCTTTTCTGGTTTTAAACTGGCAGGTGGCAAGTGCTGGTGGAGAAAAGCGTTGTTTGAGATAACTGGTGGGATGCTCCGGCCCTGGTGTTATCTTGTGTTTGCTGCACCTGCTGCGCTGCCTGCCGAACGGCACTTCCACGTGCCAGGACAGTTGGGACTCGTGTTGCCCCAGGTTACGCTCCGGATAGGCGTTCCTACTACACACTTACCTGCTCAGTGTTCAACTTTTTGTTGCCAGGGGTTTTGGCGGCCCCTGGCCGAGGCTCACAGCATTGAAGCTTCTTGCCAGCCAATCAACTCAGCACGGCACAAGTGTTTGCTTTCATCACCGGGCCCTGCGCATTCCCAGGCCAGATTCGTGTCACCGCTGGGTGAATGTCACCGAAAGTTCAGTGGAGGACCCTCGGCCCAGGGACGCCCAGGCGAGTCGATTCATGGGAGCGCAGCCTCCTTTGCTCGCTTTGCTGCGGAAAGAGCCGCCGGAGTTGTTGATGGCCTAACTGACTTGCGGCCCCAACTTGCCAGCCGACTCACACGTTTTTGGTTTTGCCTGATGGCCCAAGCTGAGCTGGAAGTTGGACTAAGGCAGGACACAGCTCAAGCTTTTGCACTGACATTGGGTGCTCAATGCCAAATGCATCCAGTTTCAAGTTTGGAGCTTGAGCACCTCCAAAGACACCACGAGGACACAACTACTTGCCGAATTGTCAAAACACCTGTTGAACATCCGGACTGGCTCTTAGCCTATGGCTGGAGATATGCCTGGCATCAGACTCAGAGCTGAGGTGCAGCCATGGGCAGACAGCAAAACGAGGAAGCTTGCAATGTTGTAGTCGATTGAATCGAAAATCCAAACCCCGCTTGGATGCTTCTTGCCCATGTCGGGTGAGCAGGTTACAACCTTGGTTATGAAGAAACTTACCCCAGTTAAATTATAAGCATGATTGTAGCCGACCTAGTATAGAGAGGGGTTGAACACCCACGCACCAATACGACTGTCCAAGCTGATGTTAGTTTGTAGCGATGATTGCTTTGCGCTGGGAAGTTTCTACTAGATTCGGTTGGGTCAGATTCGTGTGCCCCTTTGTCGCCCAGTGCTTGACCCGAAGCGCTAAGCAAAGCCGACGCAGCATGTGCCTCGGAGTCAACGAGCTGCTGGCCCAAGACTCCAAGCATCCAACTTGTGACCCGAAAGGCACGGAGAGAAGTGCCTCTAAAGATCGTTTTACCAGGATCATGGCCTTCCGGAGAGGGTAAGGCCACTAGACCAATACACCTTGTTTGAGGTTTGCTTCATCAGCGAGCCCTCCAGTTACTCCAGTTCTTCGTTCCTAGCCTCACAGGGAGTCCGAGTCTCTTCAGATGGCGGAAGTTGCCATGGACAAAGAAGCCTTCGCGGATTTTCTGGATGCTTCGTGGGAGGATTTTCGGCAACACATTTTGGACGCCATCCCGGAATCTGCCCCATCCCCAACCTTCACCTCCAGCGGGGCATTCACCTCCAGCGGTGGCGCTGTCCACACTCGCAGGCATGCCAGCAAGGCAAAGATGGGAGCCTCAGCGTGCAGTGAAAAGAAAAACACGGTTGAGTAACATGTGTGTAAACAATCGTTGGCTTCCTCAAAGAAGACTAGACGACCAGTGGCCAGGAAGCATAGAAATACGCAAATCAACTCTTGATACCTCCCCACCGGATGAGCAACAAAACGTATGAACGTGTTATTGCACCTGCTCAAGTGTGGCTTCTTCAAGTTCTGATGAGCAAGCGCTTTCGCATCATGTTTCAGAGTCTCTTCTGTCAACTTCTGTTGTGCATGATTCTGTGAATTGATGCGCACATGATGCCGTCCGTGAGTTGATGCTGCGCGCGAAGCTGCTCGTGAGGCCGTGCATGACGTTGCGCATGACGCCGTGCATGAGTCTGCGCATGACACGGTGCCTGATTTTGCCCATGGTGCCGGGCATGTTTTGCCTCTTGCGCATGATGCCCTGCATGCAACTTCTCTTGTCCAACCATTTGTGTTTGTTTCTTTTGTCAACCTCTCTTGTCCGTATCTGTGCGTACTTTGGCTGCGCCAGAACGCGGTGTTAGCTTCGGAAATGGAATGCTACTTTTGCGCTTGCAAGTTCCGATTTTCAAGCCAGGGATGCGGAAGTGTAATTCACGTGTTGCTTTCACCTTTCACAGCTGCGGCCAGCTGGATTTGCGAGAGCGCGCTTTCCGAACAACGCTGTTGTGTTTGCAAGTGGCAAATGTCGAGCTGGAGCTGCGGGACACTACTCTTGTACTTAAAAGTTGCCATTCTCGAGCCGGAGCCATAGCAAAGAACTTCGCGGACGACTTTCGCGCTTGAAACTGCAGTTTTTGAGCCCACCGCGCGATTGCGAAAGAAGGCGCGCAAACCACGCGACAACTTCCGAAGACCGTTTGGCAAACAGCGAAAGTGAGAACACGCGCACGGCGCCGCAGCAAGCGCAATCCTCACGCACAATAGACACATTCGCACGACGCCGCAACGAGAGCTCTATGACACGTACGGCCAAGAGAGAGCTCTCCGACACATACGGCCTCCGCAGAGGGTTCGCCAAGGTCTCGGCACACTCGCACGCCACAGCGACAACACTTCGATACGAACGATCTCGTCGGGTGGCTGCGTTTGGATAGCTCCCGTCCGCCGCAGAAAAAGAATAATAATTAAGAGTCGAGAAGAGAAGGTGCACAAGACAAATTAGCTTGTGTTTTTTAGGGTGAAGGAGCACCCCAAAAAGTCGGCAGGAGAAGTAGCACTCTGAAAGTTGGCAGGAGAAGTGCGCAGGGGAAGTGCGAAAAGTTGGCAGGAGAAGTTGGCAGGTGAAGTGACGCCCGAAAAGTTGGCAGGCGAAGCAGCGCACGAACAATTGGCAGGTGAAGCAACTCAAAAAGTTGACCGGAGAAGTTGGCAGGTGAAGCAACTCTCGAAAAGTTGGCTGGTGAAAAACTCCTGGAAAAGTTTGCAGCTGTTCTTGGAGAAATCCTTCGCATGGCTTCCGGAAAAAAAGGATGAGATTGATTGAACAGCAGGCGCAACATGCTTAAGAGGTTGGCCCAAGCCTGAAAAAGTCTTTGCTTCAGTCAGGAAGACCTTTTTGGACGATTTCACAGGTCAAGATTAGACGATGATTTCCAGGTCCTTTTGGGCAGCGGAACCCGTTGCCCAAAAGATTTCGCCACAGTTTGGGCTTCATGAACAAGGCCAAAAAGATTATGGCATTTGATTTTTCACAGCTGTAAGGTACAAACGGTGGCGGCAGGGTGAACGGCAAGCATGGTGATGATGATGATGATGATGATGAGACTGGCTGCGTCATTACCGACCTCAACGGCAACGACCTTTTGGAACTCAGGAATTTCAATGACCACTCCGTTGACAGTTCCTCAGTTGCAGTGCTTGAGGCTTCTGATCGGCGGTTTTAAAAGGGCCTTTGCTGGGGCAACTTGTGAGGCGCACTTCTTCTGGAAGGGGGGCATGGATGGGCATGGGACCAATATTACTACCAATCAAGGCTGAGCAAGGCTTTGGATAGTGTTGACTCGCAGGCACGTGGATGAAGACGGGGGACTTGGGGGGAGGGGGATGGGAACGAGAGGCTAACCAAAACAAAGCTGGCGGAGTGCTTGGACTGCCGCCATGCGCTGCAGCTCACTTGGTATGCTGGGGATTGTGATTCTGACGGTTCTGACGTCAATGCTAGGACAAGCTTGTGCCGAACTGGCAGGGGGGGATTGCCCCACTTCAGGCACACCCATTGAAAAACCGCAGCAGTCAGAGCAGTAGAGGCCCGGGGAACGGAACGGTGCAACACCGGGTCAAGGAGCACCAGCAGCGGCTAGCTGTGATGCTAGCAGAAGGCAGCAGGAGCATAGAAAGATACATGAAGAAAGTGCGGCAGCTGAGCAATAAGTAGATGTGGCTGGCCAGTGGGCAAATAACAGAAGTATAGCGAGGGCAACAAACAAGCCAAGCCCACTACCCCAGGGCCTACTTGGGCCTATCCACCCCAACAGCTTTCAGCTGTTGAATGTCCTGTGCTGCCGCTCAGGCACGGGCAGCAAAGATTCATGCGCCTCCGCCACCTCCGCAGCCAGTAATGGCTCCATGTGGGTTGCGCAGCTCCTCGGCAGCTGAATGAACGGCGTGCTGTATAGATTTATTTCTTTGTGTGTGTATACATACGTATGTGCCACTTGTTGTCAAGCACTTGTCTGCAACAGTAGGTGACTTGCCCCCTTGCAAGAGGGGGTGTTCCACCAGTCGAATACTACCCTCAATGCACCCTCTACTGTTTGTGGATCAACCTTTTCCAATGTAACAACAACACCACTATGTTTGATTGGCATGATGACATTCCGTTTGGGTCTTCTTTGTTTCCTTCTTTGAGGCGCGTGGGATGCAGGGCGCTGCTGGTTTGCCTTGCATTTGCGAGCTTCGATCAACGATGTAAACGGCAACTTTAATCACCTTACTGTATTTGTTGCATGTTTTGCTCCATGTGTTGCGCTGTTGCACCGTTGGAGAACATGTTACAATGTTCCCTTCCAGAGCTTCGTTCAAAAGAGTGAGGAAACCGAATCTGCACAGGGCGGCAATCGTTCAGCAGAACAACAAGTTTCGAACAAAGATCTCAAGCAGCTAACATGTACAATAGCACAATCTGTTAAAGTTGTATTGTTGCAAAAAGGTCCAGGATTAACCCCGGACAAAAAAAGGACACACACACTTCGACCGGGCAGTCGAGGACCTCCATTGAAGGGGGTTGGTGTTCAGAATATGTTGGGGGGGTATTTTCCAATTAGTTCGGCTGGGCCGGTTCTCGTACTTGGGCGTAAGAAATGGAGTAAAGGACCTCTTCCTGAATCGCATTCTTGTCTCCAATCATGCGCATTCACCAATGGAGAATATAGTGCATACTCCATCCCTGGGTCCTTGCAAGGAAGGTTGGAAGAAGGCTTTTTAACAGAAGGAAGCAACCTTTTGTTTGTGTATATTCGCCCCTTGAGTTGCTGGCTGTTGACACCTTCTTTGAGACCTTTTGAGAGTGTTGCAGGTGCCATCCCAAAGCCTCCACGATCATCATGAGTGCCCCACCATGGAGCCCTGAGCTGTGCTCAGGCGAGACTCGCAACACGTCTTGACCAGTGCGCTGGCGGAGAAGTCTGCCGAGGAGATTCGGTCAGTTCGAAATCGTCTGCGCTTGCGCTTGGGGACTGTGTCCTCCAATACGCTTGCTTCTCGGCAACGGAGACTCGCATAGCTGCGCTGTTTCAGATATGCGCCTCAGAAGTTACAGTAAACTCGTGCCGGAGTGTTAGCCCACTTGGATTGGTGATTGCCAGTGTTTTTCCTCCCAAGTTATTTCCCCTCGCTTGCCCAAAGCTAATCTATCTTTCTCATTTTGGGTTCCCATTTTTGACATCCCAAAAGATGATCACCTTTGACTTGGGCCTTCCCTGTGAACTCGTGAACTAGCTGGGGGTGGTTTCTTTCACCCGTTTCTTTTCGTTTTTCACGCTGCCACTGGGCCACTCTGCATTTGTAGGTCTTTCCTTTGAATGGGCAACATTCGGGCATATCCCCAATCAGGGGCCCTTGCCCATGTTCCCTGGATGGGTAGAAGGGGCTCAATGAATTACAGGGGACTAACAGTAAGGGTTGAGAATCTTCTCATGCCCAGTGACCTTTACACGCCCTTTGAACTGCTTTGAGGGCCGCGCATGCGCCATGCCTGTTGCAGCTCGTTTTGTCCTCTAAATTGTCTGCAGGGGAATGACACGGCGAATGATCTGGGCAAACTAGACAGATCTCACCGGCGAAACAGATCTCGCCGACGAAGGTTCTTTTCTGCTGCAGAGTTTTCTCATTTCCAGCTTGGGACGTGTCGTGCAGCAATTGGTTTGCTAAACCAGTTGACCGAGGTGACTGGCAAGTCTCTGCTCGATGCAGTTCAAGCCCTTGGATTGACCAAATATTCGGAAGAAGACGCTCGGCCTTGCCCCGTTAACGGCCTTTGCTTTTTGTTGCTGTATCAGTTCCGGTGTGCATCTTTGGCAAACGTGTTCGGGAGTGAGGATGTGAATGCTATGCTGAACCAGCTCGCAGACTTCATTGGATTGTACTTCGAGGCTAAGGACGTCCCTTGTCAAGTCGGGTTGTCAATGTCTCTCGGGGCCCATCAGCGACGGCATGCAGCGCTTGTTGAACCCCATTCGCGCCTATGTGCTGCTTTTGTATGTTTTGTGTTGCTTGCTTGCTTGCTTGCTTGGCTTGGCTTGGCTTGGCTTGGTTTTGCTTCGCTTCGCTTCGCTTGGCTTTGCTTTGCTTGCTTCCTTGCTTGCTTGCTTGCTACGTCACTGCCCACACGCGCTCCTGGAGTCTTGTAATGTCGGGTAGCTACTAGTAATTAGTGAGGCATTTCAGAGAAGTTGTTGTTTGTTTTTTTGCGACAATTATTCCCGGCCCTGAAAAGATATAGCGAGGACATACTGGAAAGTTGTTTCGGTCAAAGGACACATATACTGCACGTCCGGGGGTGAGAAAAAAGATTCCAAGCCATGGCAATACAGTGGCGAGCCAGGAGTTCCCCGGCAAAAAAAGGCATGCCATGGCAATACCAAACGAATGCACGAAACCAATACTAACAAACACTCAAATCATTGCTAAGCCAATCCTGAGTCAGCAGGGAATGCTGAGGCCCCAAGCAGCAAGATTCTCTGTGACACCGTTTCACTAAAACAGACGCCAAGACACATGTTCGAGGGGGTGGTCCGAAAAGTGAGTAATGAATGTGTAGAAGCAGAAAATACAGAAAATAAAAGAATTGGGGCCAGTATCGAGGAGTTTTAAACCAATTCTCCACAGTACTGGACCAGCTGAAAGGAATACTAAAACAGTTCTGAACCAGTACTCAGCAGTACTTACTGAGAGACGAGTAGGATCGAGTATGCCCGACTCTTTTTTTTTGTTGCTTAGGTGTATGGACCCGCCCCCCCTTTTTTCTGAGGTGTGCCCTTCTTTTTTCTTTTCATCCCCCCACATCAAGTATGGCTGCCTTTTCGTTGAGCACTTGCAGCCACAGAATTGCGGAAGACAAGTCGTGGGTTGGATTCGTGCCTAATATCTCAGTTCTGCCGGCTCCAGTCCGCTGAAATTCACGTAGTTCAAGGCATCACACGCGGGGCTAGAGGAATTGAAACATTGGGATTTTCCAGTATCTCGCATCAAGCTCCTTTGTGACATGGAATATGTGATACCGTTGGTAGCTATTATTATCAGGTGGCCAAGAGTCATGGACTAAGACATGACGCCGTGGTGCGGTGTCTGGTGTCTTCAAGAGCCAGCATCTAAGGGGTCCATGGCGTTTAGCCCCTGCCTTATCCGGCTTGGGTCTGTGTGGGTCCCTGGCTTGAACAATCATGTCGCTTTGGTCTGAACATGCACGGCTCCTCACTCTTGGGCCCCAATTTGTTGGTGTTTCCAGCGCTCAAACTGCGGAAGACCCACCCAAGGGGTTGAAGACCAACCACTTGGCGTCAGTTGAATTGAATGCCCGACAGTCTGACCGTTGTAGAGACGGTACCTTTTGAGGAGGCGCGTCTCCAATTGAGGGGGGGTTCTTGGAGCTACTGTTGGTTGTTGTTGGTTGAACCTTGTCGCGCCTACAATTCATTGTTGGTTGTTCTTTCTCAGGATTTCCTATCAGGTGGCAGCATGACCCTGGATAACATTTGGCACGTCGGAGCCATTTTGCTTTGACAGCGTATCATCGGGGAGACCAGCCATAGACCTAAAGGGGGATTTCAACATCTTTTGGCGTACACGTTTGGGGGAACTGTGTTCTACCTGGACTGATGTCTGGTACAAGGTAAGTTCCTTCTGGCTTTAAGACATCATTGCCGGGACTTTGGTACCAAAAGTGTTTCTCACCCTCAAGGGGAACCTTCTGACAGGGTCCTTGGAGTCTGGTGCTTTGAACGCCTGGCCGTGATTGTTTTCGCTGAGTCGGAGAAACGCACCAGCCGGTCCTACGGCCTCTTCAAGTTCACCCACGACGCGGCGGACTTTGGGAAGCCCCACTGGGCCTGGCCTGGCAGGGAGGTCAAGGCGAGAGAGGGAAAGGCCCAGCACTCCATATATATATATATATATATGGGTCAAAATTGAACCACCAGGGGACCGCGGCTTTTAGTCCTTGTTTCCATTTATCAGGGTTCCATTTGGGTACCAAGTTTTGACGCATAGCCATATATATATATACATATACGTACTTCGGATGAGTCCGGAAAGAATGGTTTGAGCTTGTTTGTTCTTAATGCCTGAAAATCTCGAGAACGGTAGGCCAGAAGAGCACACCAAAGTATGTGCATCTGCATGTGCATAAACACGTATACACATGTACACATATACACATATACGTTTATATATATATATATGTATATGTACAAACGTTTAAATGTGGGCATGTGCAATGCACGCATTTGCACAATAAGGTATATCCGTTTGGGACAGTTTTTCAATGGTGGTGCAAATCCGTCATGAGAGCCAAAGGGTGTTGTGCGGGCCACGGAAATTGGCATTTTGGATCGTGCTGGATTGTTTGCGCCTTGCGCATACCTGGCCCGTTTTGTGTCGGCAACACACTGAAAGTTAAAGAACTTGGGCAGCTGTCATGCCAATCCCCCCTTGCATTAGTAGAAGTGGAACGATGCATGTTTGTTATCAGAAGTCAAATTGGTTCTTAGCAGTACTGCTTCCTTTTCCCTGTTATGTTCGGCCTGTAACCCTCATGCAACATTGGCCGCACCCCGGCGTGGTGTCCTTTTCGACTTACGTCACTTGCGACTCCAGGAGATGACTCGCAGGAGCTTCACCACTAGCCTCGCGGAGGTCTCGCAAAGCGTTCACAAGTGCAATTACAACTGCGCGCCGTCGAAAGCCGTGGTGGATGTCTTCTTGGCGGAGGAAACTGAGGTCACTTGGCCGAGAAATGTTTGTTCATGGCTTCACTTTCGGAAGTTTCAATCCCATCAGCTAAGAAAGTCAGCAACTGGCTTGCTTGCTGGCTGTGCACTTGAGGCTGTATGACAAGAGTCGGAGCGACTAGGCAGACCTTTTCTTCCATTGTCTTGCACGGTTTTGTCTCGCCTGGATTTCGTTGCTGCCTTCTTCCAATGATAGGTGTCCGCTTGGGCGATTCGAATTTGAGCCGCGACTAGCTGACAAGATTGAGACTCGGACAAGGTCGGCTTTGTGCAGCTGGAAATGTGTCATGTTGGAGCTTGTGCTGAAAAGTTGTGATTTTCGAGTTGGTGTTCTTTTTTCTAAAGTGCACTTCGCGCACGCTGCTTGTACTGACGAGCCGGAGCTGACAAAATGCATGTTTTTACTAACTGCATCTTGCAAAGCAGAGAGATATGAAAGCAGCTTGCTTACACCTGCGTTTGGACGGGGTGGCTCCCGTCCGACCCTTAGACAATACCTGCCGCGCGGGCTTTCGTCTAATCCGCGACACTTTCGAGGAAAACGCCCTCGATTAGGAGCGGAGTTGCTGACCAACTAACCTGGGGAATCGAGAAACGAAAGCCGACAAGGGGTCTAATTCGCATGTTCCGTGGCATCGCATTCCAACTTTGGTACTGACAAGTTGTGACTTTCAGCCGAAGCTGGGCTGAAAAACTGGATTTTATTGTTGATTTTTGTTAGCGAAGAATGTCCGTTTTCGAGACAAAGGATTTTGGCACAACGACCGACCGTATGTAAAATATTGTAAAATATAGATATGGAAAACATATGTGTGCGTCCCTTGCAGCGCAGGTACCACCTCAAAAGTACACCCCTGCAACCCTAAGCTGTAGCCATGTTTGACATCACGGTAAAGAGCAACTGTGGTTTGGGGGTTGTGGGTGTCCTGCGACTGAGCATGATTGAGCCCTCGCTTTGGTTGCGCTCACTTTCAGCAGTCGGACCTTTTAGCCTTCCTAGTTGTCAGCCTCATTGCAGCAGCCTTTTTTTGCACCCGCAAGATACCAGAAGGCCCGGAGAAAAGTTGCCTTCCAGAAGCCTTAGGTCAGGTTTCATGCCCCCAGAAATGGAATGGGGGAGTGGAGACGTAGAGTTCCAGTTGCGCCAGCTCATGTTCTGCTTTGCGGCTGGGAAACGCCAAAGATGTTTTGATTGGAGCCAGTTGCCCCGCGTCGGCAAACCGCTCAAAGGTGGATTGGGCATTTCTTCCGAGAGCAGTGGTTAGCCTCCTTCTCCCCCCCCAGTATGAGTTGTTTTCTGCCCGGCCATGACAACATTGTTCCTGGCAACCTTCCAAGCAAAGATCCGCAGTTTGGGTAACCCTTGCTTGCCTCCTTGAGGTAGGCACGATGCCCAAACTGGGGTCTTCTTGAATATGTGTATTGTCAAGGTTGGCTATAATATACAGCAACATCTGTTCACAGTACTTTTTGTGCATTCCATGTTTGCTGCGAAGGGCCCACCGCAGCCATTCAAGGGCTGTTGGTATTCCTTCTGGGTCAGACCGCAAACTTCAGGTGTTCAAGAAGATCTTCAGCCCGCGGATACTGAAGCAGTTCGTTGCCATGCGGGAGATTTTGTTGGCGGGGGACACCAACCGCCTGGTCGCGGAGCTCACCTTTGTGAGGATCAATGACTTGGCAGCGCCCCCGGAGCCCGTGGCTTTGGCGAAAGGGGGGAAGCTGTGGCCAGGGTGTGGGGAACGTTGGACTTGAGGCCCGTGAAAGGCCAACAAATTAGAGGGAGACTGAAAGGAAGTTGTTTGAAGAAAAGGCGGTTTGAACAATGGGATGCTTGCATGTTCGACCTGTAAGTAACTTTTAACCATCGTATCACTGGGATAGCTGTGGTTTGCTCCCTTGGAACCATGGATGTAACCTTGCTTGAACATGCAAGTAGGGCGCACTGGTTTCAAGGGCACCGCCTTTCACTAAAGCCCAGTTTCCATGCCACGGCCATGGACGCATGATCAGGCAGATCCGGTTGATTTTGATCAGGGTTGCCACTTTGCACCTCGCTTTTGGAGGAAACAATCTGCCAGGTTAATTCAGGTAGGGTCGACATTCGGGAGTTGTTGCTTTTCTTTTTCATGCCAGAAACAGACACATATACATATGTATAAGTGTATATATATATATATATATATATATATTTGTGTATACATGTATGCAAACACAGATGTCTCAGATGTATACATAAAGAGATCCTCCATTTGAACTACAGTAACCAACCTATAGGGTTCCGTAAGTGGTATGTAAGGGTATACATGTGCACATACCCCAGGGGTATGCACTCATTTCCCTCGAGTTTATTTTGTACTTTGGTTCTTAGTCGGCCCGAAGAGGGCCTACAGCTGTGGGCCAGCTAAACCAAGCAAGCCGACACTCAGGTAATGGTAATTTGCGCAGGTTGTATGCCAGTTGGTTTTTGATGAGCTCAAAATCAGTGCACCGGGAATCCAAAATCAAAAGTGTCGCGCTAAGCCAACCCTCAGCCAGCCCCAACAAATCGTAGCCAGCAACCCACCATTTTCCAAGTCGAGCGTTTCGAAGCATTGATCAAACGAGTTTTCATCCAGAGCACGCTGACTTCTATCAAAGCTGGCTTCGACAATGCAAGCCTATGTTGGGCGAATCTGACCCGCATCCTTCCATACCCCCAACAAATATGAGAGCCCGTTTTGTCTGGGAAATCATGCAAGGGAACCACAGGTGTTTGAGTTCAGCAGGGGGATATCCACGCAGGTTGGCCATGCGTCCCTTTGGATTCTTTTGATGCACGGCTTGCGGAGGAATGTGGCCAGTGCCTGTTTGAGCGTGTAAACCTCCTGCGATTGTCTAATTTTAGGATTGCGGTTTGCATCCATATGCTTAAGACTATTCCTTGCATGGACTCGGCATCCTCAATCTGAATATAATTTTGATTCTGATTACTTTGTGTCTGTGTGTGTGCGTGTACCCATGTTGGGCTGAGAATGGAACCAAACTGTAGCAACAGGCATGAGTCATTGTGCATGTCAGGTGATTTGCTGTTTGCATGTTTATTGCAAAGCAGTTGCCGTGAGTTTCTTGTTTCTCTCCGGCTGCTTCTGATTTAGCGTAACCCTTTTTTTTGTGACGTGTGCGATCTGCGTTTCTGCACACGCAACTGATTGCATCAGGTTCATCCCTTGACTTACTTGGAGCCCTTTATTGCGATACTCATCGTGGGCAACGGCGTCATGATTGGTGCCATGATGGCAGATATTCTGAAGGCATTGGCGGCCAGCAGGGCCATGGCTACACATTGTGTCGACATTGGCTTGTTTAAGCCAACCTCAAACCTGATCGAACAAAATGCCATGCTTTTTGAGGGGCGCGCCTCCAGTCAAGAACAACGCCTCAAGGTATGGTTCGATGGCAGATGATGGCAGCTAAAGTCCACCTACGATTAGCAAATTACCCTGAATAGAGCTAAACAAATCCCCAAGCTAAAGTATCAACTACCCCTAAACAAAGCTATTTGTTTTTGCCCCTGGACAATCTTGGACTGCAACTCCCAGCGCTAGTGGGATCTGGTCTATTCGAACCTTTGGGTGGCTCTTTGTTTGGGACGCGTGCTGCCATGTTCATGCTCTGGACCCTGCCCGAAACTGAGTTGGGCAGTCATGTTTTGAGGAAGCCTTTCTAGTTTTGACAGTGTTGGGGTCAAATGCCACACACGGAGCTTAGCCTGCAACAAAGCAGGGCACCACCTGGATGGGCGCACTTCCTTTACAGGAAGAGAGGTCTCAAAACTGCGGGAGGTGCAAGCAACCGGGGTCTGGAGTTTGCGGCATGTACAACGCGCATGTTCAATTCACGTTGCGGGTTCTTGTGGACGTGCTGCCTGCTAAACAATCCAACAAAGGTAAACTAAATCAGCCATACTCCAAGTAAAGTTAAGTACGGCTGCGTTGGTCCGAAACATGTTTTACCCCTGTTGATTCAAAGCCTTGACCGCCATTGCCAGCTTCCCTTTATGACGCCAACCAAATATTGTTGGAGTCAAGTTCCATGACGATCTCCTCATGCGGAGCCTTTCCAAAACTCATTCCAGATCAGCCGAGGGTACCCCCCACTAAGTCATATGCACTACATTTAAAAAAGAAATAATTTAAAGCTTAGGATGGCATCCTAGAAATTGACCCCAATCCAATACAAAAGCAATTTAATTGTAGAATTGCCCGTTTGCCAGTTGTACTGCCAAACTTCTGGGAAAGGTGCTTGTTCAGGCCAAAAGCTGCGTGCAGGCCCGGCACAGTTTGTGGGAAGGTGGCTGATGGTTCAGATTGCCGACCGAGAAAGGTCCAATGGTGGGCTTTGACCGCTGAACTTCCAGTCAATAGAGCCACGTCCCTGTGAGAGGGTTTGCCAGCTGCCTCTGTGCCTTTATCTTAAATGCAAGGCCCCTCACAGGCCTTGCCACGTGCAAGGGCCAACAAGCAACCTCTTAACAGGCACCCGATTCTTTCCCGTCATGTTTCCAAACCAAGAGTCAATACGGAGCGATTGAGATGGCCCAAGGTCACGTTCCTGCAAGGCTCGGTTTCTCTTCGGGCCGGAGTGCTTGACAGGGCATCCAGTTGCACAAGCAGCTCAGGATTCCAGACTGACCCCAACTATGCTGATTGGAACGGCTGGATTTTCATCGAGCTGTTCTTCGGGGCATTCTTGGTGTTAGAAATTATGGCTCGCATGCACCTGCTCCTTGGCAAAACTTGAAGCTAAAGTTGCGCAATGCAAGACATCATGTGTTTGTGTGTGTTTTCTCCAGCAGGAACCCATCCGGGCACGAACAACATGAACTGTCGCTTTCAAAGCGTGTAAAGACGATACGCTCAAAGGCCCCCGCTCAGCGCTGCAACCATGCCACATCATCAGCATGCCTGCTCAAGACCATTCTTTGCACTGCGTCCACGCCTGCGAGCATGGCAAGCGCACAACCCGCCAAGCATGGCATTCATGCTTGCCAAATGATAAAGCGCACCCGCTCACCCGCTCAGCTCTTCATCCATGCGAGTTTGATAAGCCCACACGCTGACGAGCACAGCTCGGCGCTGCAACTGCCGTGCCAAATCATCAGCACGCCAGCTCAAGAGCAGAAGCTCGAAGCAATGTGTGCATGCTTGACGCATGATTCTGACAGGCGCCCGCTCAAGAGCACATTCTCAGCACTGTTTGCTTTTGCACATGGGAAGCGCACCCGCTCAAGCGCAACCTCCCCAGACAGGCCGCTCAGCACAGCGTCCCACGCCTGGCACAGAACAAGTGACACCCGCTTAAAAGCCCCGCCTCAGCGCAGAATTACCACACCCGCTAGGCCCACCCCTTTGGCAAATGTACGAGTGGGGGGGCACCCTAATGTACGAGAACTTGCTTTGTACATCTTGGAGGCGTTTCTGACGTTCGCGGATTTGGCCAAGAGTTCCCGGCAATTCTTGCCGCACGTGCAGTTCCCAGCATTTCTCGGCAAATCCCGGCAATCCCTTCTGCAGTTAGCACGTGTCCCTGCCAAGGCACATGTCCACGAGTCTTACAAGATGTTGGTTTGGTGCAAAATCGTTGTGTTTGTTGAAGCTCAAAACAACAGGGGGGAGCCCACAATTCTTCCAAAGTCCTTCTTGGGGGCTTGACAAAACCTTGCGTGAATCTGCAAATCTGTGGACCTGATTCCATTTGAGAGTCTCTCGTCGCTAGTTCACATATGGTGCAATGTAGCCTTTTCAATATCCGAAATGGGGACGAACGAGATCCAACTCAGAACAAAGCGCAGAAGGCGGTCCCCCCATTCAGAATATACAGGCACAGGTCTTTTGTTCCACGTGCTTTGGGCATCTTTGGGCCACTTCGCCGGAAAACGTGCAACAGGGGTGGGGGGGCTGCCAATAGGTAGGCCCTTATTTCTTCAAATCTGGTGTGAAGTGGCAAGGGCAGCACGGGTGCTCCCCACGCAATGGCAGGCTACGATGCTGGCCATACTGGTGTGGTCCGGAGAAGCTCTGGAATTGGTTTGATCTTTTCTTAGCATGCACGAGCCTCACCGAGCCTCGGCATGCCGAATTTGGAGTGTCAAGGTTGGCCTTAGAGGGAAGGAGTCGTCATCAAGCTCAGGTCTCAGCAGGCAGGGAAAATGACGTGAAGGAAAGCTGGCATGTAGAATTTCTTCAGAAAGGCTTCAAGGCCACGTTCATCAATGCTTACAGCGTCAGCGCCGAGACATTTTTGAGCCGTCACCACGCCTAGCATTCCATGGGAACGTGCTTGCACAAAGGTTTCAAGACTGGTCACCCTGAATGCGAACAACTCCTGGGCATGACATTGCCTCGGACCGAAAACCGCTCAGAAAATCTAAGCTTGAGGCTTTGTTTGTGTTAGCGTCGCTTGCAAGATTGACCAGTACTGCCCATCGTCTCCGCGGAGATGCCACAGCACTGCTGCATGTGAATGACGGCAGGTGGCCTGGATTTATTTCACATGTTGGCTTGGCCATGCCAACAGTCACGCCTTTTTCTATGCTATTGGATCCCTTTGCGGCATCCAATGGCCAAAATCTGCCCCTTAGCAAAACAGAGTGACTCCAAGAGGGCTTCGAGATTTCGAGGGGCCCTTTTTCCCCAGGGGCCAAAGGCGAGTTAGATGTCTGGGATTGCCAATTGAGAGGCGGAACGAACCTCAATGAAATTAGAGACGTGGAAGTGTTCATCTTGCAGCCGTAAGCTGTTATTGTGGTCTACACGCCTTGACCTCTACCGCACGATGCAAGTTCCTTGTTTCTCCAGGCCCCGACAGTTTCTAACGAGTAGATGGCGACATCAGAGCGTTTTCTTTGAGCTGCGTGGCCTTATTGTCCTTAGCTTAGTTCTGACTTGTTCAAGTATCTAATGTCTGTAACCCCCCCTGCTTAATTAAATGTGCGAGTGCCCAAGCAATCAAGTACCTTGCTGGGCGAGATTTTCCAAAAACTGGTACGAGTCACCAACTACGAAGGGTGAAACGCAAGCACACCACCCAAAGTTGATGATCCAAGCCACCCAAAAAATGTGGTGCCCTTCCCGTTATTTCTCATTTTGTTGGCCGGGTTCCCCGCTAAACATGGCCAGCCCATGTGTCGACCCTTGGGGCCTGTGAATTCCAAGTCTCAGGATCTCGGCTTGCTGCTAGCAGCGGGCAACGACAAGACCGAAGCCAGCGGCACATCCCTGTTACGGCTCCTTTTCTGGGTGCTTCCAGGAGAGTGGGAAGCCGAGAAAAACTCCCTTAAATCTTTCTGGCTATTTGGTTGGATCTTTGGATTTTAACTTTTGGGAAACGGCGGACTTAGTTGAAGTGTTGGCAGAGGGGTCAACAGCAACCAAGAAATGACATCCCAAAATGGCAAAGCCTCTGACCTTTCACATGGTAAAATCTCGTGGAGGTAAAGAGGTGCAACTCATTGAGCCACCCACTGACCTCACACTGATTGCCCATTGAGAAAACCGAGAAAACCCTCGATGAGCCAGCGAACTCTTGCCGCGTGGGTAAAGATATATAAACGCATTCTCCAAAGGAACTATAAGCAAGCCTTTCCATCATACGCACTCTTGGTGTGCTGCTTATGCGTTCTTGCTCACGTGTCTTTGCCTTGCAGTGCTTTGCTTTGCCTAGATTAATGTTGCTTGCTTGGTTGTTTGCTTGGTTGTTTGTACCCTAGTTATGTTTAGTGTGTGTGTGTGTGTAACTTAGGACATGTGTCAACACGTGACCGTCTGAGCACGCCTTGGTCGCTACGCCGTTTGCTTAGGTTCTTCAGGCTGATCCGATTGGTGCGCATCGTGAAGGTTTTTCGCATCAAGTTTATGAGGGATCTTCGCCTGATGGTGAAAGGACACGAGCGATTTTCGGAGGGTTGGTTGGACACTAGCTTGAAAGATCCCAGCCAGGGAGATGAAGATCATCTAGCACTGGTCAGGACATGACAGTCTTACCAAAGTCCCTTGAGTTTGGCATTGATTTGACATGTTCATGTCGTCCAAGTGACTCGAGGCCCGCGGGTGTTGAAGCTGCTCATGTTTTTTTTGTTTTTTTTGTTTTTTTGGTTTTTTCGCATGCTGCTTGGCCGAGCCGCTGACATGGCGTGCAAGAATTAAGGAGGCGATCCTGCCGGGTCGGGCGCCAAACGCATATCCCTCATCCCCCCCGCGGGTGAATGAGGTGCATATTTGTTTTATGCACAAATCGTTTGTTTCCACAAGGAGCTGAAGAACAGAATCCGAAACGGCCCGAAGGCACACCGTACCCCTCCTATACTGCGCACTGCAACTGACGTGACACATCCGAGCATCGCAAAACCTGACGCGACTGTGCACACACACCCAGGCACAGCCTCCACACAAAGCCTGGTGTACTTGCTTTGGACAGGTTGGTGTCGGCTGGCGTCTTGGCGTCAGTTGCCTGTGGTTGGCGCCGGTTTGGCGTCGGCTGGCGTCGGCTGACGTCAGTTGGTGTCGGTTGGCGTCGATTGGCGTCGATTGGCGTCGGCTGGCGTCGGTTGGCGTCGGCTGGCGTCGCTTGGCGTCGCTTAATTCGCGTCGGCTGGCGTCAGTTGTCGGCAGGGGACGGGCGACCGAGAGAAGTCTCACGCGCAGCAAGCTCAAAATTGGAGACTTTTCCTGCGCGCGATCGATGAGGATGCAGTGAACCTCATGGATCGACCTTAACGTCAAAGCTCTGAGCAGGCAACCACTGAAACTCTCAGTCTGGCAGCAGTGGTTTTTTGCACATCTTTCTGCACAGCCGCAGACATGAAGTTGCTATTCCTGCTTGCCCTGGACAGCCGCAGCCGATGGAAATGGCTTGGCTTGATGTTCCTATCTTGCCCCCTTTACCCTCACAGCTTGAGTATATGGGTGTCAGCCAGCCACGGTTTTCGCGGTGTCGCGGAAAATCATGGAGCAAGAAGCCCCAAGGTGTCTCCTGGCCAAACCCCAAAATGACGGGGTGTGAGTGGCGCACCCTGGGGCGAGGTACGAGCGCCCCAACGAGACTTAGGGCAAGGCGGCACCTTTTTTTCCCTTTGCTTTCCGCGTTTCCCTGAACAAAGCTGGACAACCCCCACAACGGGTTCCCCACAATGATAGGTTTCCCTTGGAGTTCCCCTAGAACTAATCCAGCAGAGGATTACTTTGTTTGCAACAATCTGCCGCGACCAATGATGGCAGAAAAGACCCCTTTTAAGCCAGCCAAGAGCTGACAACAGAGGCAATTCCCAGTGCCAGGACTGGTCGCGGGGATCCGCACGCTAGTGCTGGCCTTCATGCTGCTCTTCACAGTGTTGTATGTGATCTCTGGGTTCGCAGCCATGAGCATTGGCTCCTCCCCAGAGACGGATGCTCAGCGGTCAAAATGCTCAAACCACTAGGCCTTTGGCGCGTGTTTTAAGGGACACCCAGGTGGGTTAAACCCTCAGCCCAAGCTCCTTTCAGTTGAATGCGCCGAATCAGCAAGCCTCCCTTGGATGGCATGCCACAAGAGTCCTTCTCATGGCATGCCAGAAGGACCGGCGTTTACCTGGCAGATTACCAGAAAGCGTTCCCTTAAAAGTAGTTCTTTTCGGCTCCAATGGGTCAAGCCCCGCGTTGGCTGATGAATCTGTAGCATCCTTTTGCATTTGGGAGTCGTTCTAAATTGCCAGTCTTAAAATTAAGTACAGGGAGGTTCTGAAGGTCTAGCGCGAAAGGAAAACACTGCATCGCGAAAGGCCGGCGAAAGGAACGCGAAAGGACTTGTAACATAACGATGGTAGAACCCTCGTTTGGGCTCGGAAACAAGTTTTTCAGGACTGGTTTGTCACCGCGAAAGGAAAACATGGGGCCGCGAAAGGACCGCGAAAGGCCGGCGAAAGGGCCGTTTCCAGGAACTTTTTTTTTGAACAACCCCCATTTGGCTTTTTGTTTGGCGTGCCGCTTTGGGTTACGGTTGTGTCATGTTCATTGTGCGAGGCAACCTACATTCAACGTGGGAGGTTTTGTCATGGTAAGCAAATGGAGCCCTGTTTCTCATACGCCCATGTGTTTCTTTCAATCCTTCCAAAGGGATACTTAGCCTCATCCATCAAAATGAGAACATCCTGATACTTCCCTCGAGCTGAAAGCGCATCCGCCTGTGCCCCATGTTTTTGGCCAACCTGACGCGCAATGAAACAACAGCCTCCGGATCCAGATCCGATGCTAACACCAATGGGCGCTAAAGATTTTCTCTCGGACTGAAGGAAAAGACGCGGCGGTGACTCGATATTGTTGATTCGTGGTGGTTAGACAACTTGCGCTCGACTCCAGCAACTGGCTTCGGGATTCTTCGACCCCTTGTCCTCTGCATGATTTGTTTATGCCGCAGCTTCGCGGAACCCTTCGAAAAACACTTGCAGAACCCTCCCAAGCTGGGTTTGCCCAAGGTCTGCGGAAACTACACCGTCCAGAGCCCTTTCCATTTCAGTCCCAATCGGGATAGTCTTCAACAACTTCAAGGAAGGTACTGGACATGTTAAACGTAACGGCTGGTTGCCCGAGCTTGAATGGCTGCGGCAAGGAGCCCCAAGGACCCTGATGCAAATCTACAAGTCCATTCAGCCAGAAAAAGAGGCCTTTCAGCATTTGGGCCCAAGGTTTTTTTTGGTACAGCGGCAAGCAAAGGGCACCACTTTCTCTTAACCGTGGATGGTCCTTCACGAGGTAGAATTGGGCCTCCAGCCCTACTTCGAGACCATCCCGGCTTCAATGTTTACAGCCTTCCGCTGCTTCACCGGTGAATGTGCCGCCCGGCTTTGTGCGATATGCACAGGGGTTTGTCTCAAGATGGGTTGGAACCACCGCAATGGTCGCAATCGGTTGCTATGGTTTGTTTATTTGTGTGTCCCCTTTAAACTAACTTTACGATCCAAACAGAGCCACCCACACCATTTCTGGCCAATGAAACATGTGAGTTTTGTTTCTGGCTTGGTCGGGACACGCGATGCTGTTTAATGGACATTCGCCACTTCCCCAAAAGTGTCAGGCCGGCACCAGCCAGAAAATGCAGTCTACCTATTTGTATGGCGAGCTCACCTGAGGAGCATGATAGAGATCCTTTTGCCCTGGGGATTCCCCCCAAAAATCAGCTGTTGGGATGATGTGTTTTTGTCGTGCTTCTTGCAAGTGGGTCACACAAACTCTGTTTCGGAGCTCAGGTCAACGACGCCGGGCAGCCCATCCACTCGTTGCTTGCGGCAGAGTTTGGGCTTCCGTTTATCGCCGGCTATGTGGCCAGCTACATGCTGGTGTCCATGGGCATCTCGCCGGGAGAGCAAGGAGCAACAAGAGGAATCTCTCATTTGTCTCCCAAATAGAGGGGAACAAATTTGTTGTCAACAGTGGTGCGCCTGAAGCCGGGTAAATCCAAAGCTCCCAAAATGGGTTTGCGGCTTGTGAATCGGGGGTCCTGACCGTTCTTAGGATTCTCAGACTATGTGTTGGTCATCCGTCCATGGGATTCCAAGTCAGTTCATGTTCACCGCCGGCAAGGCATGGCACGGCACGGGTCCCGAGCCCCCTACCCATACCTCAGCAGCCCCATGGGCGTTTGTTGGATTGATACTTCTGCAATTTTAACGGCAGGCACCCTATTAAACATTGGCAAGTCGTGGGGAACACAGGGTGCCCAATTGTAATCCATCCTATGGACGTGCTTAGGGGAAGGCTGCAAACCAACTCAACATCACAGGCTTGCCCCAGGCGGGGGTTGTGTTTCTATGCTTGGGTGAAGGATCAACCAGTAGTTAGCGATACCGGTTTCACGTCTCTGCCCGATGTTTGGTTGCAAGCAGGACCTGAAAGCCCACTGTGGAACCTAGCTTCCGGTGATGGTGCAACTGAGCTTCCTGATTAGGAATCTTCAACGTGATTTTGGCGGTCTATGTGGATATCACTATGAAGGCCGCTAAGGAGAACGACAGCCTCAACGCCGAGCAGTACTCCCGGGAGTCTATCAGGTGCAAACTCAGAGTTGAATGTTGAATCAGAATTGCCAAACGAAGCCAACAACATGCCAACAAGGATGTGTAGCAAGCTGGGAGCTCTTCCCTGCGAAGTGTGTATGTGTAGGGCCAGCAAGCATGTGTGAGTGAGTATGGCAGGATGGGGCAGGGCATGCTGCATGATTCCCGCACGCCGCGGTCTGTGCAGGATAGCACGCATCACCAGGGAATTGGTCAAGAAATTCTCGATGGCCTATCACATGTTTCACGAGGACTCATCTTCGGACACGTGTTGCAACGTTGCAGAGAAGGAATCTGGGTGTGAGTGAGAGCTTGGGATGACAAGAGCGGCTTGCTTGCATGCTCAATTAGGGGGTGTGCTGGCCACAAGGTGTGAACCAAAGTCCCTTGTTCAATGGCTGAATGTTTTTGTGCTTAGAGGGAGTTCGGGTAGGAAAACACTTTTTTTTCATTTGTCCAGGAGACGTATTTTCAACTGGAAGATTTCGCGCTGAATTCGCCAGGAGGCCGAGGGAGAAAAAGCGGAGGAGAGCCGCGCCAAACTCCTTGCAAGCCTGGGCGGGGCAGCGTGGCAACTTGGAGTCCAGTGCCTAGTGCCTGGGTAAACCATCCCCACCACTTTAAATGGAATTGGGGGAGGGGGGTGGCCACTTGAATTCCATTCGTTCCGTTTCCCTTCGGGAAGATCAATGGAATTGGGGACCCCCCACCCCCATCTCCCTTCTGGTAGGGGGGATGAAAAATCCCATGTCACCCAAACCACCCCGACATGGTGCATCTTGGCTCAATCTTGAAAATGTTTCCCTGGTGATGGTGTGAATCCTGCTAAGTGTCGAGCACCCTTGCTTTCCCCCGATACAATGAAGGGCCTTGTTCCTTCACATAGACAGCGCAAGAGGCTGAATGTGCCAGGGAGCTTTTTTCAGGATCGCAGAGGCTTGGCGAGGAGCTTGCTTGCCCCGAGCATATTGAGATATTGCGACTTCAAGGTACGCAGAGGACGGCATGCAGGACAAGATTGCCATCACCAAGGACCTGTTTCTGCTGATCATTCAAGATCACGCTGTGCAGGCCCATGTTTGAGTAGAGAAAACGGATTCAACGCATTGGTGAGCATGAAGGGATTTGGAGGGGTGCCCAGAAATTCACTTGTGTCATTTTCCCTTTGCGGGGAAGGCTATAATTTTCATGATAGATAGATGGGACTGGACCCTAGGATGGTAGCTCGAACAGGTCGGAGCCAGGCTAGCTCGAACAGGATCGGTTTGGCTCGGTTTGCCCCAAATGTTGGACAAGTACACCCACTGCACACTTTTGGAAAACTGATTTTGTCTATCAGCTTTGCAGAAATGCGAGGCTTAGGGTGCGGATGCGACTCATTGCTCCAAGTGTGGAACTCGACTCGGACAGAATTTGACACGCCAGGGTCTGATGGATGATCTTGACCTGCCTCCGGATCGGGCGAATCTCTTTGAGATCATCGATGCGGACGGCTCCGGCACGCTCCAAATCACGGAGCACTGGGGTTTGAAGTCTGGCTGTGTTCCGCAGCTTGAACATGTGGCGACGAAAGGCGGCATTCCGTGTTTTTGGAGGAGAAACAATGTGCATGTTTGGGGGTTCAGAAGAACACGCAAACAAACATTAACTTCGCAGCTCCCTTGGCAAAATGAGCCAACGTTGCGATTCGCTTTTTGACTAGATGCACACCAAGAAGAAGCCACTTGGAGAGCTACCAGGGCAAAAGGACGCCTACCACTTGCATAATAAAGCACCGCTTTCTTGACCAAGAACCCTTTTGAGCATGTTTTTTTCTTCGCCAGATTCCAGTTTGGTGATTCTCGTGCATTCCTCTTACCTCCTTTCAGGGAGTCCATGCGCCCAAGCTGAGGACAGCCAAGTCACTGTGTGGCCATGGTCAGGGGGCCTGGTTACGTGTCATCCAGCTCTTTATGGGGGATTTTGGACAATCATATGGCTGTGGCTGCAGGAAGTTATCCAAATCCTGGGTATTCGCTATTTGTGAGCAGTAGGCAGTTTTCCTCTACACGCTACCATGTTTAAAAGAACACGCTGCCTTCCAGGACTCCTCTTAGGCGGTTTTTCAGTTGCGTACCGATCGTGCGGCGGGAAAAAACTAAAACACGTGAGGAGCTGTTGCATGGGCTTCTCAAAATCCGGGGGGAGATCAACAAGAGCGACGCTGTGGCCTCCCTCTTGGCCACCCGTGCAGTGCAGACCATGGTGGCTGTTCTCCAGGACGGACGCCGAATTGCCGGAGACGACACTGAGCCCACGATTGAACAGGAAGTCTCAAAGGAAGACACGGAGGGCGCCCCTTTCAAGTCCAATTCGAAGAGTCAAATGAGATTAAAGCTGGAGAGAGCCTATCCAAATGGAGAGCCCTTAACTGAGTTCCTTTTAGTTGTCCAGGTGGAAAACGGCCACACGTTTCCCGACCCAATCATCCAACCCTAGCCCTCCTGGGCAGTGCTTTGGGTGCCCCGTGCCACTTGCCTTTTGGAGGGCGGGGGTAGTTGGTTTCAAGGAAATGCGACAGGAACACCCATTTCAACCCTAGACCCAATTTGAGCTAGTTTGGTGTTCAGCCCCGACGGGTGCGCCTTGCTGCGCTTCTTCTTTTTCAAGCATATCCGCGGTCTTCTGTTTTGAGACAAGCGAGATTGTTGGCAAGATGCTGGGGTGTCCTTTTTGTTGAAGCTTCTCTTTTTGGGGCAAAGGGACACCTCGGGGAACTTCCCCTTGTACGAATCCCTCGGAGATAAACCCAGCCCATTCGTAAATTGGAGGTGCAACAAGATGTAGATAGCCTAGCAGTCTTTATGGCAGGGTTGCGCTTGGAGATGCATTGGACCCCTTGCCTGGTTCAATAGATGAAAAAGGAGTCCGGGTGTTGGTTGAATGAACCGGTTCTGGGGATTCCCTTAAAGTGATGAATCCCCACTAAAAGGGGACACCCCCCTATCAAAATCAACCAGGGGTTTAACTTCATCCGGGGTTAACATTATTGGGGTCATACGCAGGTGAGTGCCTTTGGCTCAGGAGGAGAGCGCTATGCAGCTGGAGAAGACCAAGGAGTTGTCAGAGTAGCTTGGGCGGATGGACCTGGTTCCCGTTGCTTCAAACCCATCCCGTTGCTTGTAATTTATGGCCCCTTGGCCCCTTTTTGGCTTTCCGGTGACCTTAAGGGAAATGGCACGCCAGTGCCGGCAGATAACTTGTGTCCCAGTCATGGTTTACAATGCGGACATTCAGCCGGGGCTCTCAGTCTATGTTCAGAAAACGTGTTTTTTGAGTGCTGAAAAGTCCTGAGTCTCTTTCGCAAAAGAACACCGCAAGGGGATGGGAGTTTTCTTTGTTTTTCCAGACCCGCTATTGAACACAGGGAAAAGGCGTAATTGAGACGCTGAATGGCTGCAAATGGGTCCTTAACTCGAACTGAAACGCCAACCCTTCTTGATTTGCTTCATGACCGTTTGTGGCCTCCAACTGTACCCGCCGCAATCATACTCCAGTATATGCAGTGCACTTCCTATACCCAGATGTGCTCGGTGCCTCAAAAGGAATTTTGGGGGGAAGAGATGGTGGGCCGAGACTACGATGCAAGTCGGATGAGGATGAGCAGTCTCATTTGCGTGCCTCAGTGGGGGGCCATTGATGTGTATGTGCATGCGTGCGTGCAACAATGCAGCCGGCACAATGCGGCATCAGCGCATACGTGCGAGTTTCACAGTGATTAAGACATCCTATTTGGCGCTAACTCTTGGGAAAGCCCTTCGAAACAGCGCTCGCTGCGTGCTGACACTCCTTTGAAGATTTGGGAAGCGGTGAAACCATTCATAATTTGAAGGAGAGGCTCAGTATCATTGGCCTATTCCAGAGCTTTGCCTTAAACATCGTTGTTTGGACCCCAAGGTGAGTTTCCTTTGGGCGATATTCCAACGAATGGTCAGGTCGAGGCCCAAAGTTGGTTGGGAATTGTTGAACGCGACTGGGAGTTGCACAGGATGGGGGATGCATGTTCCCTGCCCTGTTTCTGCGATGGGACCTTCCCAAAATGTGAGCATATCGGGAATCAAAGGGGGCTTGGCAAGCTGTCAGTGATCACTAAGTATGGTGAGCTCAGGTCAGTTTCCGAGCTCCGGCTGCAGATGGCCGGCTTGGCCGAGCAGCGAAGCAAACCCACGAGAAGTTCTATCAGGTTATCATTTGTCTCACAGAAAGCGAGCCGAGCGGCAAGGGAGGCGGCGCCGTTGAGTCGCTTGACACCTGGTATGCATTTGTTTCGTGTCCGATCCGGATTTTACCTTAAGTCGAAGCCTGGAAAGCCCACGTCTGAAGGTACTTCATGCGTTGGCTTTTCCCATGTTTGTCGCCTTAAGTATGACCACCTAAAAGGGTTTCTTTCATTGCAATCACTGGGCAGCCGAGGGAGAATCTTCTGCCGGCCGTCAGGTGATTGGTCCAGGATCCTATTTGCTAGCCTCAGCAATCGGTTTAGAAAGCATGGTACCCCATTCAATGTGCGCATGTGATTGCATCAAGAGGGTCCGTAATGAATGAGTGGTTTGAAAAGTTCTTCCAGACACGCTACCTGGTTCAAGTACATGAGTACTTGGCGAGGGTGGTACGCACTCAGGGTCCGAATCAATCGGGGCCCAGCCAGGTTATGTCTTTTTCTCGCTGGGTCAATTTCTGGTTGTGGACAAATTGACATGTGAGAGCAATATAGTATCGAGGCAACACCTGATCAGTAAGCACGTGCTTGCCACTCCGGCAGCACAAGCAAGCTGTCTCACATCAAGCTTGATAAGTATAGACGGCCATGGACGGATATGAATGCAGCATTGCTTATGAGTGGACGCCGAGTGGATAATACCTTAATAAGAAATATACATACATAAAGTTCCTGCTACTAATGGCAATTCGACTTGTGGAAAACACTGCCATTTAATATTATCTCAGAGCGATTGTTTGAGGGACTGCAGCCATATTAAATACGATACATTACGATAGCCCAATGGATGAACAGTGAGGGCCGTAGCCATATGATACCAGTCAGCTGTCGAACGATGACTCTTGCAACCGGATCTTTGCAGTGAGACCAACGCAAAGTGACCGGCCGAAATCAGGTGATAAATTTGTGGCAAGGTTCCAACTTGTAGATGGAATACTGGAAACGGATTCCATTGCGCCACGAATGCGAGTCACGTTGAATACCCCCAAGAAGGGAACAATGAAGACACTCCTGGCTCGATGAGGCACCTCTCACCATGAAAATGTGGAATTGGGTTTTTTGTCTCTTTCTCCGCCTCTCTTGATTGGCCGCATGCGGTGTCTGCACAGTTGGTTTGGCAGTCGAAGTCCAGTCCTGGATGCGCCACTTTCGCAGAGAAAGGAACCTGTCCGGCATGGCCCGCCAGCCCGGTCGACAAGGTTCTTGTCGCGCAAAGTTTCTGGGACTGGGAGTTGAACGATGCTGATGGGGTTCCTGCCGGATAGAAGCATTGAACATCTTGGAAGCCTTTCCCGCACAAGCCATCACGCCTCCCAGGAATTCGTGGATGAAAATGACAAATATCACCCGTGGTTTGTTTCCTTGTGAGCTGGAGCCACTGTCGTCCGGGTTGGATACTGCGCCACGCTCGCAAGACTGCGCCTGAGAAAGCCCAGTTAGCATTCAAAGAACGAGGTTGATTCTGGATATGTTGTCGCTTTTCACCCTCTATGTTATATCTGAGCGGTGTGGCTCCTCCTCGGCCAAATAAACAAGTCGGTCCATCCCGCGTCGATGAACTCAATGTGAAGATGCTCTGACTCCAGAAATCGTCCGACTTCTTGGGGGAAAGGAATATGTGCAGAGTGATCACCAGTGGACGGAATGCTTCATACTGATTCGTTTGTCTGCAGTTTGCGGCCTCGGCTAAGGTTCAGGATGTGTTGTACTGACTTTGACGCATGTCCTCCACGCATTGGACTCTTCGCCATGGCTCGCATGATTTGCTGGGTATAGCGCTCCTTTGGTTCGCGCTCGATGAAGCTTTCTGGTCTCGCAGGATATCCGCAGAGTTGTGCTGAGCTAAAAGCAAAAGAGCGTTGGGTGTTCGGACTCATCGTTATAGTGTAGCTTTCTTAATATACGCTCATCCTCATAAATTTATGGGTTCCTCTGCAGTTCTCAGGCTAACGCAAACTTTTGTTTGTCGGCATTGTAGTTTCGAAGTGGATCGTTGTGGAGGTGTGCTGTGCGAGCCCAATGCTCTCTTCCAAGAGGTTTCGAATTTTGGCCGTGGCGTTCGTGTGTGATGATTGTGTCGAACTCCTCTGATGCTCCCAGTGGTTAGGGATCTCTGAAGAAGCTTTAAGTCATAATATGTTTCTGGTCGATGCCTCTGTGCGATAGAAAGTCCCGAATGATGCAGGCACATGGTCCGTGGTCGCAGCAATATCACCAGACGCGTTTCGCACAGCTTGCCGTTTCGGATTATTTAGGAAGCCTATCAGCACCTTGCCTTTGGCACTTGAACATGGACCGAGCGTGAACCTCCAAGGGTATCGTACTGGGTCACGTAGCTATATCTCGTAGGTTTGTTTGCCAGTGGATCGATTGACGTTTTGAGGTAGGTCAGGCATGTTGATTTCAAGTGACAACCCTCCTTGCCCAGGAAGCTTCCAGCAAGGCCCGACCTGCCGGAAATGGAGGATGCGCCGCCAAACCCATCGTAGGACTCGAATCCGTTGGCCAGTAGGCTGCTTTTTAAGCTGAATCGCCCAAACGGGCTCGGCAAAAATCGCCTGGGAGATGTTATCCCTTTCTACGCAATATGATTTGCGGCCCAGATTGGATTATCCGTGTTATGGTTCGCAACCATGGCCAACCCTTTTAGCCAACATGTTACTCAGCCTGGAAGTGTGTCCACTTGCAAGGGTGAAGCGCCGACACTGCACGAGAGTTGCGGCGCTCAGTTGAGAAGTTAGCACATCCGGACTAGGAGGTGTTCAGAATGTGCCTGTCCGTATTGTTTTTTTTTGTTCGCTTTTGGCTTGTTGGCTTCTTGGCTTCTTGGCTTTTCGGCTTCTTGGCTTCTTGGCTTCTTGGTTTCTTGGCTTTTTGGCTTCTTGGCTTTTCGGCTTCTTGTTGGTTTATGCGGCTTTTGGTGGCTTTTTGGCTTTGGCTTTTCGCATCCTCTGCATTCCCAGTTCCTCTTCGGCAGGTGGCATTTTGGCTTTTGTGGCTTTTCGCTGGTTTATGCGGCTTTTGGCGGCTTTGGCTTTTCGCATCCTCTGCTTTCCCAGTTCCTCTCCGGGCGTTTTGGGTTTTTTGGATTTGGCTTCCCGCATCATCAGCATCACCAGTTTTATCCCTGTTTGAATCATCACTTCTTCGAACATAATGGGGGGGGGGGCTCCCCCGTAGTAATTGCACCCCTATTTGAATCAACACTTCTTCAAACATCATGGTGGAGGCTGCCGCCTCCCCCCCCAACCCCCCCGCTACTTTTTAGATTTCTTGCAGAGATTTAATTGCACCCCTATTTGAATCATCACTTTTTCGAGCGTCCACTTTCGTGAGAAAATGCTGTAAAATACAACATTTCAGGTAATCTATGTAATCCATGTATGTATGTATGTAATGTAATGTAATGTAATGTAATGTAATGTAATGTAATGTAATGTAATGTAATGTAATGTAATGTAATGTAAAGTATGTATGTATGTAATGTAATGTAATGTAATGTAATGTAATGTAATGTAACGTAATGTAATGTAAAGTATGTATGTATGTAATGTAATGTAATGTAATGTAATGTAATGTAATGTAATGTAATGTAATGTAATGTAATGTAATGTAATGTATTGTATTGTATTGTATTGTATTGTATGTATGTATGTATGTATGTATGTATGTGTGTATGTGTGTGTATGTGTGTGTATGTATGTATGTATGTATGTATGTATGTATGTATGTATGTATGTATGTATGTATGCACTTCTTCGAACATCATAGGGGAAGCCACCCCCGCCAACCCTCCCGCTGCCTTTTAAATTCTATCGCACCCGTTCTTGAATCATCACTTCTTCGAACATCATGGGGGGGGGCTGCCGCCCCCCCCCCAACCCCCCGGCTAAGTTTTAGATTTTCTACAGAGATTTAATTGCACCCCTATTTGAATCATCACTTCTTTGAACATCATGGGGGGGCTGCAACCCCCCCGCTACTTTTTAGACTTTTGGCAGAGCTATTCGAATCATCACTTCTGCGAACATCATGGGGGGGGCCGCCCCCCCAAACCCCCCCGCTACTGTTGTTTCTTCTTTTTTTCTTTTTTTTACAGGGATTGAAATGCCCTCCTATTTGAATCATCATTTTTGTTGACCCCGTCAACCCGCCAGCTACTTTTTTGATTCTGTTACCTACGATTTGTTGGTGATGCTAGGGATGTTCGGACATGCGGGGGATGTTGAAAACGATGCTGGGGATGTTGGCGGGCTAGTGTAAAATGCGTCAATTTTGCGAGAAAATGCTGTAAAATACGATATTTGCTGGCCCGGACGAAAAACAAAACAAAAATCAGAAACAAAATCCCAAAATAAATCCGCACCCAAATCGTGGACCTGATCTTTGAATTTGCGTTCAATTCCTTTCAGCATTGCCCAAGGGCGACCCTGGTTTTTGCACGCACCTCAAGTCTCAAGTTTACCGCTTGCAACGTTCTGAATCGTAACTGACAGGCATCAGCAGGACAGGTGCTGGCCGCCTAATTTGCGACATCCTGCCATGCAGAGCCAGCCTGACATTGTTTCCTGGGATTGTTTCTCACTCTTGTTTTCCGACTGGTGAGCGGAGAAGTAGAATTCGCTTTGGCCGCCAAAGAGAATTCGCTTTGGCTATAGCCGCTTGTTTTGGCATCGCAGGTCACAGAGTTTCACTCACTGCCCCAAAAGTGGAGGCTCGGCCGAATGGCCTCCCATGTGCACTCAGCCGTGTTTCTTTGCTTGCGTGTTAGTTGGGCCGGCTCGGCCAAACTGCCGACATGGCGAGTCTCGGAGTGATGCGCGCGATTTTCCCGCGCGTTCTCCAGACGCCCTACAGCTGGAACCCGGATAGCCTTGAAGTAGAAGATTCCAATATTCTACGAAAAGTCCGGGTTCCATGTAGGGTGGTTTGCGCAAGCCCTCGCGGTGCACAAATCCAGCGAGGTTCCTTTTGCATTTCCGCACCGGGCGCAGAAAACGATCGGGCAACGCAATGCCTTTGGGAGATGGGGGGTCATTTGTTTGCCTGGGTTGGTGTTTTTGTTTCGTCAGTTTTCACAACATATCAACCCTCTCACTGGGACTCACTAGACGTCCCACCAAAAAGCACGGGACTTGCACAAAGTGTCCTTGTCTTTTGCTGGAAAGGCAACCCCGGACTAATACACCCGAGTCCCGAGTTTAACAATAGGGGGGTGTCATGCTTTACTGGGGGTTCATCACTGTTGGAGGGGAAGACTAATAGGACAGGTTTCTCCGGAGCCAAAAGGACAGGTTCATGAATCCGGGTTCAACATTCGTATATTTCGACCATGCCTCGCAGGAAACTGCTGAAAAACTAGGGCAACGTCACTCATGTGGCTGTGGCCCAAAAAACATGTACCCTGGCTCTTAAGTTTTTGCCACACCCATGTCACAATACTGTTCTGTCACAGCCTGCTTTGCAATGTTTCGCTGAAGGCCACCTCGCCGCGAGCCGGCTCTTCTTGGGACGCGCGGGTCCACGGTCCTGAGAGACGGGGCCCAAATCAATCCAACAGTCATGATGTCCATTCACCTCTTTCGCTCTCTGCATGTCTAAGCCAAGCTTGCTTCTAAAGAAGGTTTAGAGTCTGATGGTGGCAAGCGGCATTTGGGACATACTAAGTCAGTGTTGGCTTGGGCCTGGTTCCATGGACCCTTTTTGCCGCTTTTTTTTGGACAGGGAAGACCAACTGGCCCCAAATTTTGAGACATCCACTTGGAGCGCACTGCCTCAACAGCGTTTGTCTAAAGGTTGTCCGTGGGTGCCCAAACAGGTTTCTGATCGGAGGGCCATTTTTGTTAGGATGTTTTTTTTAAATATATATTTTTAAGGATGAAAACAGGGTGGGTGGCTTGTTGTGGCTTTTTATGTTGCATCCTCTGCATTCACAGTCCTCTCCAGCAGGTGGCGGTTTGGCTTTTGCGGCTCTTCGCTAGTTTATGCGGCTTTTGGCGGCTTTGGCTTTGCGCACCCTTTGCTTTCCCAGTTCCTCTCCGGCAGGTGGCTTTTTGGCTTTGCGTCATTTCCTAGCCAAGACGAAAAAACCGTCAAACATCCCAAAACAAAACAACAATTCCCAAATTAAATCTCGACCCTGTCCGATCTCTCAAATGATATGTCCACATTTTCGATTCAACGAGACCTGCCCAGCTTCCTGGAACAGAAAAAAGCCTGTGGTTGCTATTTGGGAGATGCCCAAAAGGCCTTTAGATCCAAAGCCGCGCTCAGTCCGAGCGGAAATGCCGGCTGGTGCTTGGCGTTTGTCCCGTTTGTACTGGTGGCAACATTGATGGGTCGACCCCCAGCTTGTGCTTTCCGCCAAAACGACAACCGTTGCGATGGTTTTGCTTATTTCTTGCGTTGCGATGCCAGGCAACTGTGAACCAGTCAACGTGGGCAAAGATATCAGTGCATCTCGCGGTGGGCGCTCTTCTGTTACCTCGAAGAGCCCTGCAAGTTGGCAAAAAGATTTGTAAACCTTCATAAACATCTTGGTGGGACCAAGCGTCAGCCAGCTTTTTCGGGTGTTTTCCATGCGCTGCTTCTGAAGCTGTGTGCTCTGCAGCGTCTTTCTTCAATGCCTGAATGTGTTGTGGTATCACGGCCGCAGCCTCAGCGGGGCAGGCATTCCACATAACGGAATCACAGGATTCATGAAGCTCTGATTTGTTCATAGGGTCGTCCCATCTGAAAGGGAGTTCGGCACTTTTGAGGGAAGATTCCCGTATTTCCGCCAGGTTCTGCTTGAATCCGACAAGGATACGATAAACGTGTTTTGGGCTACAAGCTTCACATAGGGCATGTTTGGAATCAGCAAGGGTCTCTCGCGGCAAGAGTTGGGCGGGTATCGTCGCACTCCTGAGGGCAAAGGTGAGCGCAACTTTAGAAATTTCGGTCATGAGATTGCTGCGTATGGAGGCAGGCGCAGCTACAATTGGCTACTTGCTTGGCTACTTCAACGTTGCAATGGTGCATGACCTTATTCCAATCGGAATGGCAAACGTTCTGTTTCGAACAGTCAGAAAAATGTCGGAGCCTCCCAGAAGAGTTACCTTGCATCCTACAACTCATCTTTACAGGGTCTTTGCATTTGCGATTTTGGGAACATGCAAAGACCCTGTTCCCTGTGCCATTCTTTCAGCTTGGGCAAAGTTCCAGTTGGCTGATTCGAAGTTTTTACGCGAATTCTGGCAGCTTCAGTTTCACATCGGCAACCCTTAAAGAAACAGGAGAGCCACTCGCTCAAGCTTGAGATGCAACAAAGACATGGGGAGTTCTCAAAACAGTGGCACTCGTTTTGGCTTCTTGAAACACTCTTCAAAGCTTGTGGTCTCCATTTTTTGTTTCGAGCCGCCCTTTGGACCAAGCCGGGGAGTTGTTTGTCTCCCTTTGGCTCCTGCCTTATCCCCAGTCCCAGGTCCCGGGGAGGGTGGGCCGAGCGTTCTCTTTGCACCGAGGGCATGGACATAGAGGCCTACAGCTCCTTACTGGACCACTCCTGGCTTACCTTCCGCCAGCAGCTGCTGGACGCGACTCGGCTAAGGGTGACCCCGATCCACAGACAAAGATTGGTGTCCATCAAAGTCAACAGACAACAGCGTTTACGGTCCCGCTTTCCACACCTGCCGGTTGCGCGGCTTGCTTTAACAATCGTTCCGCTAATGGGCAAAGTGCAGAAAAGCAAATAGAAAGCGGCTCATTCGAAATGGAACGTCCTATCTCGATTCAAGCGTCACCTTTGAGCTGCGATTTGTTGGGTAATGTTGAATGGGGGTGACTAGTGTACTGATTAAATATAGCCGTGGCCCCCGCAAGAAAAAACACAAGGCGAGAGAGAGAGAGAGACAGAGAGATTTGCCAGGATTTGTATTGCTTAGTGCTGCCTTAGTGCTGGCTTAGCATTGGTTTAGCATTTCTTAGTACTGCCTTAGAACCGTTTTAGTATTGATTTAGTATTATTTTAGGTATTGTTTTACATTGCTCTGTGTTGGTTCTATTGTTTTGGCACTGGTTCAGTATCTGGGAACCTCTTTTTTTTGCGTTAAAAGCAACTTTTCTTTATCGAGGACCCTTTTCCATAGGCGGAGTCACTATGGTGTATTTTGTTTGTGTTCCCTTTTCAGTGGCCTTGGCGCAGAAAACTGCTGGCTTGGGCTCTGTTCAAGCAGTTTGCGGGCACTGACTTGCTGGGAATTTGAATTTTGGAGCAGGAAAAGACGTGGGATTGGAGAAAGCAGCGTGACATTTTCTCGCAACTGGGGGAACGGCAGGGTTGGTGAAGACTTGGGGGAGACCCTGGCCGCTGGCCTATGTTTTTTGTTTTTGGCTTGCGTGTTCACAACACGTTCTTGTATTGAATTCGTTTGAGCGGGGACTGAACATTTTGGGTATACGTTCTTGTATCTATTTGGCCTCCCTTGATTAATCGGTGAACCGCATTAAACACTGAGCTCTGGATAGTTCGGACCCCAAATTCGGGACCCTCAACTGTTTCGTGGCGCCTCTTTTTCCCTTCATCTTTGGAATGGTCCACGCATGTCAACCCCAAAAGAGGTTCCCTTGTTCTACTGGAGTCATGCTGCAGTCCCTGTCTACGAGGGGATTCTTTCTTGGGATCGAAGCTGACGAAGGACCGATGGAACATGTCATCCTTTTGGGCACGCAGAGGCGCACTCCCAGTGCGTCAGTTGGCATTATCACTGTGCTCTGCCTGAGTCCAGTCTTTGGGCCAGAAGGAATCCGATCTCCTCTCAATTTCGGTTGATGAATCGTGGGGCCAATCCAGGTAAACAAGGCTGCTTCCCAGCTTTTCTTTTGGCTTACGTGTAGCCAGTGAGAAAGATCGCTAGGCCCTCGCTCAAGGGAAACAACAACCGGCAATCTGGCCACAATCAAGGCAGCATTCCCCCGTACACGTTCCTTTGGGTAGCCGGGATACAAGGTTTTTTGGTTTCGAGGGGTGGGGATCATGGGGTTATTTGTCTTTTTTGAGTGGGTCGAACAACACCTTGCGCTTGCGATTTCAGCTGCTCCTCGTCTTGTTGATGATTGGCAAATAAAAAGGAACGCAGAGACTTTAAGAACCCCTGGGGCCTTGTCATTGGTTCAGGGCTTCATGCGTTTGCTTCTTGGGCTTTCTTTATTTTCCGGCTTGCTGCGCTTCTTCATTTTTTTTTTGGGGGGGGGGGTTGCTCTAATAGACTTAACAATAGGCAAGTCTATGGCTGACTGGGATGTTCACTGGGGGTCCGGGATTTTTGTGGCAGGTTTTGCGTCTTCTGCGTTCGGATTTTTTGGAAAGCCTCGCTCAGGCTTTCCCCAAAAGCGCAGCGGGCCCGGAGCCCGCGGCGCCCGAGCTGCCGAAGGCGGGGCATCGATTTAGGGGTTGCGGCCGGTTTCACGGCCCAAAACGAAGGCTTGGGGAGTATGGAGTTGTTTTTTAGGTTTTGGGTGTCTTCTTTTGGGCGAAACCATTTTGCGGACCCCCCAAATGGTTTTGGGGATGTGACGTTTTGGGATTTTGGTCTCTTCTTTGCGATCAAGTGTCCGAGGCACAAGTCTTTGCAGCCGTGGGTATCCTCAGTAGGCAGACCAGCTACCCGTTAGAAACGTGTCATGTTGCTTCTTTTTTCGTTTCCCGAATTTCCGGTAGCTTCTGGTGTTTCGAGGTCACAATGCTTGGCTCTCATGTTGGGAGGTCTGGCATAGCACCTTGAAGCTTCTAGTTGGTCTTGTGTAGCACTTTGTGCTGTCTCACGCACTTGTTTAGGCCAGAAGCTCACCTGTTTTTGATGGGGCGGAAGCTAAAATACCTCCAGCATCACCAATGCAATGAACAGTTGCCAGATTTCAGTTTCCGGCTCGGAAAGGAGCCCAGGAGGCTTCCCAATTCACTGCAACAAGCAGACGTGCACCCGAAGGAACGCTCCGATCAACCAACCAATGACCCCCGCAACCGAACTTGGCGAGAGCGAGCCATGCGTTGGGCGTAGAAGCTTTGGAGGACCTTCGCATTTTTCATCACCTTGGGTGGGACTTCTTGTGGGATCCACGGAATTCCTCGGACTTCGCCGCTCCCTTTGCCAGGCTGGGAGCAACAGCAGCGAGCCCAAGGAACCCAAGGCGCGATGGGGCGGAGCATGGCGATGTGTTGCGCGGAAAGGTTTCCGAAACCCGGGCAGGGCCTGTCAGAAATAGATGGATACTGGTGAATCAGCTTAGTGGAATCTTGTTTTTCTTTTGTTTTTCTTGTTTTTTTTGTTGTTCTTTTGTTTTTCGTCAGAAGAACTATAGGCGTTAAGCCGGGTGGAAAAAGAGCTCAAGGGGCCTTTCATGAGGGCAGGGAGCGTTGCTTCAAGTGTGGGATGTCAGCTTGCAGCCCATGGAAATGTCAACAGGGAACACGCGAATGCAATGGGAGGGTCTACTTGTTTCGCAGATCTCAGATTTTCCCTTGTATCTTTGGAAGGGGGAGAATGCCTCTATAGGCTTCCTCTGCGAGCTCCAAACAAATTTCAACAGCACCAGGCCTACGCCCTGGCGATTTTCATGAGACCTGACCAGCGCCTTCGTTTTGGAGTTGGTACCCTTCGGGGTGCTTCAAACCAAAGGAAAGCCTAGGCCCAACATAGTCGGTCCACTTCCCATTCTGCGACACTCATTTTGAGCCTTGGCATTTTGGGCAAGGAGAGTCGTTGCTCACAATTCCGTTGCACATGGCCTGTCATCCCAGGTCGAAGATTTGCTGACTTGGCTGGCCATTTACAGAGGAAATCCACAAGATCCTTTCGGATTCCGAAAAGGACGTGAGGCCCATTTGGTTGTCCAACCGGGATGGAAAAAGTTTGGTTGGACAAAATTGCTACTTCACAATCTGGAAAAAACAACGTACACCTTCATCAAGCGAAATATAGATTGCACAAATTGTGTTCGAGGGTTGGAGCAAGGTTCAAATTGACCCAACAAAGTACAATGCCCATCTTGCTAACGCCCAGGAGCAAGCTCCTCATGCTCAAGCTGGGCTGTTCAAAGTTGAGGGTTGGATGGTCTAATTTTACCACGTGTTTGGAGCCTCCAAAGTCTACGGAAGTCCTGTCATATGGACTGATTTGGAAGGGCCCACCAAAAACAAGAGGGGATCCAATAGGGGGATCTCAAGAAGTCAAGTTGTATCACTGAGCACTTGCTTTCGCAAGGGCTTAGCATTGCGAGTACATTGGCTTGTGTTTGTTTGCTATTGTTTTGGTATGGTTCAGCATTGGGGAAACTTGTTTCAGTGTCAAACACCGCTTTCCGGGGAGTGAATATGGTTTTGGTTTTTCTTTTATTTGTTACCCTTTGATTAGTCGAGTGCGGGCGTCACCCTTGTTCCTTAGTTGGGTTTAGACGTTTAAGCTTGGTCCAGATCAGGGTTTCTCGGGGTCCAGAGAATGCGTGGCTTCCCCGCGTTTCCATGAAACTCTCCAGGAAACCAAAGGCGAGCTAGGGCGAGTATATCTATCCCACGAGGTAAAACCACCCCTTTCCAGTCCTGGCCGCTCGGACCGTCTCGCTCGTGCAGTCCCGGCCCTCCGTCTACAGCACTGGCCATGCCACAGAGCTGTTCCGCTCCAGCCTGGAGGGCCGATCTGAGGTACCTGAAGGGGGTGGGGCATGGTGGCTTTTGGAGCCGGTACTATTTTGGGGTAGGTGCACCACCCATTTTAGTCATTTTAGTGGGGATTGGGATGCTTACTGGGGATACGGGTTTTTGACCCACAGCCATGTTCTGCGATGCCAAGGCAATGCTTGTTACACAGTTGTCACAGGCAAGGCCCGCTTTCCTATCACAGACTTGACGCTTTCCCGCAACCATGGAGTTGGGGTGGGGGGAGTGTGCCGGTTTGCGGCTTGTTGATTCACAAGAGCCTCATGAGCTCAGGCTACTCGGTCTGCTTTCCACTAAAAAATGGGCCGATGGCTTTGCATGCAGCATGTGTTTCAACTTTTGTCACTCGGTGGCCCAGAGATTGTGTTCATATCTGATTCTCCATGGATCGACCACGATCCAGGCTCGGAGGCTCAAACATGTGTGCACGCTCTGGGCACCCAGTGAGCGTTTCGAGGGTTCTGAAATGTCTTGGGGCGCCTCGTTTCGCAAACAAGTTAGAGGGTAACTTTGAGGATGTCACTTGAGTGGACCCAGACCTCCCCCCTCCCATGAAATATGCGTAAAGGTTGCTGTTTGTGCGGTCACCAGAAGTTTAATTACCGTTCCCACCAAGTAGCAGTAGCAAACTGTTAAACCAATACTGCGCCTCAATGAGCGTAGCACCGTTTACCTGAAGCTTCAAGCAACTAATAAGAACGTGTTCTTTTATCTTTCCACTACGGGCAGGGCATCTTTCCCGCACCGGCAACGGGCCGCGATGAATCGGAGCGCTTCATTTTGGCACCGGCTTGAAGGCCGATACCATTTTACTTATACAACCTCATTTGGCCTAGCACGAGCCTAGCACGAGCCTAGCACCGTGTCGACCTTATACACCAACCAGGCGTAGCTGTGCGCCAGGGGGAGCAAATGTCCATCAGAAGACGGCTGCGCCTGCGGCTGGGGGTCATCTCCCCCAAGGCGCAACGGCGGCAGTTTTACCAGGGCTCCTTAAGATACATGTTGCCCATTTGAAACATGGCTTTTTCGAAGCAAGCAAATGCGTCGCACGCACCTCAACAGCAAGGTACTTCCAACGCCCCCTCAACACTTGGGTCTTGGGCCGCCGGGCTCAGTGATTCAGAGAATTTCAGGCATTGGCTAGGGCATGCCAGTCTCCGCGTGGCTTGCGAAAACATAAACAGGGATCCTTACATTTAAAAAGAATATCGAATCAGGTTGTGGGAGGAGGTTCAACAAAAGAATATCGAATCAGGTTGTGGGAGGAGGTTCAACAAAAGAATATCGAATCAGGTTGTGGGAGGAGGTTCAACAAAAGAATCTCGAATCAGGTTGTGGGAGGAGGTTCAACAAAAGAATATCGAATCAGGTTGTGGGAGGAGGTTCAACAAAAGAATATCGAATCAGGTTGTGGGAGGAGGTTCAACAAAAGAATATCGAATCAGGTTGTGGGAGGAGGTTTAGCTCCCGCCGTGCCCGGTCTGGATTGGTTTGCCGCCTGCTGCAGCTAGACACAGTTTGGTGTTGTGCTGTCCCACCTGTTTGGAGTTGCCATGTTCACATTCCTGGTTCGGGGCGGCGATCGTACTAAGAGGACTTGCATCAAGCAGGCTGTTGAAAAAGGCACGTTGGCTCTTCTCGTAAACGGTGCTGATGGAATGCTTGAGGTACTAGTATGGCTTTCTTTTGGACCATGCTCCTGTGTTTTGCATCCCTTGTCCTTCAATCCGTGGGTGTGCGCAGGCGCTGGTTTCAGGAAAGGGCCTCCTGGATGCAGTCTCGGCATTGGGCTTGACACGCTACACTGAGGAGGATGCGACGCTCAGCTTTCGGGAAGGCCAAACGAAACGGACGGGGCTAAGTGAGGAAGCGAGGCACCGTATCACAGAAGCTGCGCATCTTCGGATTTGCGAGAATGTTTTCCCAGGGTGTATGCTCTGGAATATCCTCAATAACATCTTCAGGACCATGCAAACCATCATATGTGGGTGGCTGTTGAGGGTATAGTTTTATCCCATTGTCCATATCCAATCAGCCAAGCCATATTGTCATGTTGCTTTGCCAAAACTCGGAAGGCTCCATCACGCATTGCCAGACGCAGCTTGCCTTTTTCATGTTTTGCCTTGCCCCTTTTCACAAACAGTCGACTTTTTCAAGTTGGATCTTGGGCCCAGAGCGGAGGAACGACATGGTGAACCTGCTTGCGGACTTCATTGATCTCGAGTTTGAGCCGGAGCTCCACAAAGCCAACCAGGTGAACGGGCTCAGGAGCAAGAGCTTTGACCAAGGTCTGGGCAAACCAGCGCCGTGGCCAAAGAGGGAGCCGTGCTTTTTGTTTGCTTAAATTGATTTCGAGGTGTCCCGTGGATTTGCGGAAGTCAGTGTATATATTCATATATATATATATATTCATATATATTATATATGAATATATATATATATATATTCATATATATATATATATATATGGTTTCCCCAACATGCCTGGACTTGCTCGAAGTGAATTTGGTAGTTGTTTCAGCTGGGTTTTAGAGGGAGGTGCGACTTGTGTTTGCATACTCCGCAAAGCAAGTAAGTGTTAGCTGTCAACCTTGACTGTCACGGCCCAAGGGGTGGCAAGCGCTTCAGACAAATGGAAGTTCATCCATTCATAAGGTCATGTTAGGTGCTGGCCGCAAGCCCCTCTTGAGATTGGGAGAAGGAAGCTGGGCCATAGGAATTGCTGGGTGCCATCGGTTCTTGGGTGCTACTCTTTTTGTCCCCTTGACTGATGAGCCAAGGGGCAACATTTCCTGGGGCACGACTTTTGAACCAGGTTGGACATGTAGTTTGGGCACTCAATTTTTGAAGAGCCCATTACAGGAACATATAGGTACTGACTTGAGTGATCACAGCTTGATCTGTTCTGTTGGTGGTTCACAGAGGACGCCCCCCCCCCCACCCGTCCCAAAAAACAATGGGCTGGGAAAGATGATCTTTAATAGCAGGTGCCTTGTAAGAACAAATCACATTCTGAAAAGCTAGTTTGGCATCTGGTCAACCTCGGGGGAGAACACCCCTGACTGACCATGATGTGGCCTTTGCCCGTGCAAAACCACTGGCTGCATACCAGTTATACCACTTGTTAGTAACTGCACCTTCGTTCGGGTCCTTGCCTGTTGAACTGACATTCTTTTTTCCAGCACTTTTTCCCCCAGCGACACTCCCAACTGGACATTTCCTCGAACGCTTCGGGGAACGCCAACATAATTACCATGCACTTGCAGAGGTCCAAGTGGTGTTGACATTTCCTAAACCTGGCAAACTAGGCGGAGGCTCCAGGAGCGGTCAGCCCTTGCTGGAATCCCCGATGGAAGTTTTTCAAGGCTGCGATCATATTCGGGTGGCAACATTCTCGGGTTTCCGCCTTGTGCATGTTCACATCTGCCTGGACAACATTTGCCGTGAGCACATATTGCGGCACGGCTTGGCACGTGGCTTCCCCTGTTGCAGCATCAGTGTGTGTGTGTGTGTGTCTTTTCTGTGTGTTTGTTTTTGCCTTTGTCTGCGTCTGTATATCTATCTGTGTCTTTGTTTGCTTGGCTGCGTGTGTGTGTGTGTGTGTGTGTGTCTGCATGATTGTGTGTGTGTGCGTGTGTCTGGGCCTGTGTGCCTCGCTTTGCGCGTCTCTCCTTGTGTGTGTGTGTGTGTGTCTCTCTCTCTCTCTATGTGTGTGTTTGTGTGTACGTACATACACACACACATGTATATATATAAGCACATGTGTATATGTATATGTACATAGATAGATAGATATACATATATATATATATATGTGTTTTAATGTTTGTATATGCACTATGTGTACGTGAAGCTTCGCCGCGGCCAGAGTCATGCAGGGTAGGCCGTGTCGCGAGATGTGTCACTCAGATCTGGGCCTGGCCCAAGAGCGACAACTTCCGCCAGACAGTGGCCCTGGCAGCATTGGTCTTATGCTAGATTTCCCTCGGGTCTTCACGCATTCCAAAAAATTTGCGGAGATGCAAGGTTGTCTACATCCCTGTGAGAGGGGGACAGCAGGCAGTTGGCACCAGGCTTGCCCAGAATCTGAGAAGAAGTTGGGAAAACGTTGGTGGCTTTGGGGAGAAAAGAGGGACCCTGCATGGGATCCTATGGCTTTCTGTTGGGGCAGGCTGGTAAATTCCGGCTTTATGCGAGATGACAGGGGCTGGTCAAAAGAAAAGCAGACGGCCTGAACCGATTTGTGGAGAAGCAGCGCAGCGGGACAAGGGGTGGGGAGGCTGTTGCTGGATTTGTTGTTCGCAGTTGTTCATAGCGTTTGCTGGTTTTTGCTGTGTTTTTCCTGGCTTTTCACAGCTTTACCTAGCTCTGGCAAGGGATTCCAGGAAGAGGCACTGGTCTAGGGTTGGCGCAGTTTCTGGCCCCTGTCGCAATTGAAGCGAAAACAATTTGGAGGGTGTGGGAGTCGTAGGTCATAATTTGTTCCTTCAGGTTTTGCCCTTTGCAAGGGTTGCATGATGGGCCCGTCTCACTTATCACTTCACAGGCTTGTTTCGTTCAATCTTTTGAGGTAGTGGCTAGCTGCCAGTTTCCTTTTTTTGCGTCTCTCATGCACGCCCTTGTTGAGCACTCAAGTCACATGGTAGGGGCTGGTGCAGGGCAAACAGAATCTGCTCGAGTGAAACACCGCAAAGCCATTTCTCGCTACTGGAAGCCCTTTTGGCTGAGCTCGAATAGATGGTTTTCAAGGGTTGTTCAAAATCAAGCCTTAGTCCCAATGCCAGTACCATTTAGGCTGACTTTTGTGGCTCCTTTGAACCGATGCTCCTTCAAAGCGTGGGAGAACACACCGTACGGTCAAAAACGGGCATTCTGCGCGGGGCCACTCTCTTTTTGAGGCCTAGGACCAAAAGGAATCAACGAAGGGAAGCCAAAGGAGCAAAAACACAGCAGACTGTCCTAGACAGCATTTAGTATAGATGAAAACTCCACGGCAGGAAGCCAGTTGAATCGGAAGTAGGGGAGCCAAGAGGAGGCATTCCGTGTTCACTGCTGAAGTGTTGCCTCTGGTTTCCTTACTTTGTTTCGCACGCTTTGCGTGTATCTTTCAGGAGCTCCCTCTCACTGGTTCGGTTTCCATCTCAGGCAATCTCGGGAGGAACGGAAAGTCACGAGAGCGCACAATGACCCTATGACAGTACGATGCTTTTGTGAACCAACGCTGGTTCATAATCGGTTATTTTGTTCACAGGCGGGTTCGGGCAGCATCTCCTTTGAGGTATCAGTACCTCCAAAGTATCAGAGCCACAGTCTTCTCACTTGCCCAAAGCGAATCGACCTTTCGACCTTTTGGTTTTCCCATTTTGGTCCATTTTTAGTAAAGGTCCCAAGAGGTTAACCTTTTATTTCCAGGTCTTTTGGGCAAGTGAGTTTTTGATCCAGGCTCAAATGGGCATGAACGCCTTTGCGGAACCCACCGCAAGTCGATCCTACAACGTGGTGCCCTCGCAGCCCTTGATCGAGCTCTTCCTTGCCCAAGAGAGCGACGTCCACAGGAGGACCTGGGAGGCTAAATGGAACTCACCTTCACTTGGCTGCTATTTGGCCGTGGTTTCCTGTGGTTGTCAAAACCAAAAGGATCCCATTTTTGGGGTAGGCAAATTCACCCATTTTAGAACCTATTTTTAGTGGGGATTGGGATGTTCTGGCCATTTGACCCCATCTTTACACTTGAGCGGTTACCTTGCTCTGAACTTGGCTCCTTCAACTTGATCAAGCGTTAACTTCCCACAGAAGGGCCCTTGTGTCAAAATACGTTTCGCTTGGTTAAAAGCAATGTATATGCCCATATATATATATGTATATGTATATATTGCTGTTTTCGCGCTCTTTTGTTTGACACACAAAGTCAATAAAGAAAACTGATACCACGGACACCGAATGCAGATTACTTGCCCAAAGCTACCGTTTTGTGTGCCTGTGTGTCCCCGCCCATCCATTTACCTGCCTGTTGACATTGATTGTTTATACATTTCCTGCCTATTCATCCACGCATCTATGTGTGCATCTATTTATCTATCCGTTTGTCCAGCGAAACATGTGTAAAGCATCCACCCATCTACCTATTTATCCACCTACCTGCTTACTTATCTATCCGCCTAATGTATTCTAACCTAATATAATCTGGCTATCTAATCTAATCTAATCTATCTGTCTATCTATCTTTCGACCTACCTACCTACCTACCTACCTATGTATCTACGTCCCTACCTATCTATTTATACCTCCTAGCTAACAATCCAATCCAATCTATCTATTCTATTCTCATCTAATCGAGTCAATTCTAATCGATCTAGCTCTGTAGCTCCCTGTCTCTCCATTTTTCGATCTGTCTATCGGACCTCTTGTTCTCATGCCTAAGCCTCAGCAAGTTCATCGCTCAGAAGCTGAGTAGCGCAGTTGCTACGTGAGCTGAGCAGATGCTTTTGAGCTTGTACATGAGCCAAGCGGATGGTACGCGCTTTGTTGAGCCAAATAGGAGCCAAATATGTGGCATTATGTGGCACAGTTTCAAAACTATATGCCTAATGGGTGCGCACACTCGGCTGTGGTTTTGTGCGAGAACCACAAGGTATATTTGGTTTAGGAGGTTTTCTGCACATGTTTCTGCCTATTTTATTATAGCGAGCTCACCATAAAGGTCCTTTACTTGGGGATCCAATTCTTAATTCAGCTTCTGGAAATATTTCGTAAAAAAATGCAGCTCATTTTGCTTGGGTGAAAGACCGGATTTTGGGCCCAACCTGGCTTACAGTTTCCAGGATCTTTGGCCAGAGGCTGCTGAAGCAGTTTCAAGCCATGAAGGAGATTTTGTTGGCCGGGGATACCAACCGCCTCGTGACTCTGCCAAAGGTGGCTGTGCGTCTTTGTGGTTTTGGGGTTGGGTGTCTTGTCCTCATTCCCAGGCAACAAAGACACACGGTCAACAGCGCTGGCCATGGTTTGCTCAGGTTGCGGAGCTCACTTTTGTGCGCATCAATGATTTGGCAGCCCCGCCCGAGCCGATCCATCCTATCATGTATTTGGAGCCTTTGGTGGCGGTGCTTATTGTTGGCAATGGGGTCATGATCGGCTTTCAGACCGACCCCAGCTACAAGGACTGGCATGGATGGCCCTATGTAGAGATTGCCTTCGCAAGCTTTCTCGTACTGGAAATTTTTCTGCGGGCCTATGTGCTGAGATGTGCCAACTACTGGTGCGGATCCGAGAAGTTCTGGAATTGGTTTGATTTGTTTCTGGCAGCAACAGGCATTTCAGACATCGCTGCACAGCTGATAGCGCAAGAAAAATCGGATATCGCCGGTGCCATCGCCAAGGACTTGGCAAATGTTGCTTTTTTGGTTGCTCGTTTGGGTTTCGATCATTTCCCCTCTGACCAAGAAGTTGTCCAGGACTGCTCCGAGCCTTTAAACCATAGCCAAACTGCATAGAACATTTGGTTTGCTTTGGTTTGCCCTTACCATGGGCGCTTGTGCAGGGTCTTTGGAGTAACCATGCCGGCGTCTCCGTCTCAGTCGGACAGGCACGTCCTTGCTCCGCTTTTGCCGGCTGATCCGCCTTGTGCGCATCGTGAAGGTCTTCCGTATCAAGATCATGCGGGATCTGAGGTTGATGGTGAAAGGACTCCGAGCGTTGCCTTTTCTTTTCTTTTGGCGTTTTGCGCAGGGCCAGTTGCAAACGTGTTTTAAACATCCAAACAAGCTAAACACGGGAACATAGCATCCAGAGTCGGGAGGGTCCAGAGAAAGGAAACAAGTCGTCTGAGCATTGTTATCTCAACCGTTGAGAGGCAAGGACTTGAGGTGCGATGTGAACTCGGTGGCTTGGTTGTTCCTTGTAGTGCTCCACTTTCAGACCAACAAAGACCCACACACACAGACACAGACACACACACACACACACACAAAACTCTGTTTGGACTGGTCATCAGCGCTGCTTGCTCTGTGCCTGGCAGTCGGACAAAACCGCATGCTGCATGTGTGATGGGCCTTAAATTTAGCAAATCGTGAACTTTCTTGACCTCTTTGATTCAGGACTCATCGCCGGAATCCGCACCCTTGCTTTAGCCTTCATTCTGCTCTTCACGGTGCTCTATGTCATCTCGGGCTTTGCAACGATGACCATAGGCCGGCACTTCTTGAAATGCGTGTGGGGCGCCTCAGCCTTGGTGTTTGTCAGGCCCAAACATGCCAAACCAATAGTCTTCCTCACCTGCGGAGAGCGGGTATGACCCACCATACCTCTGGCAGGTATGACTTGGCCCTCGATTTGTTTGCTAGGCTATGTGTGCTCAGCATTTCAAGCCTCCCACGCCATGTTTGGACAATTGTTCGTGGGTAAGAGGCGGTCCGAGCCCCAAAGAAGAGAGGCTGCGTGTGTGCATGTGTCAAAAACATCAAATTTGTTTCCCTTACCTGTGTCCCTTCGTCGTCGGATGAAGAAAGGACCCTGCCACAAATGAAAGAACATGTTTTCAGATGTTCTGGAAAAGGTCAAAGGGACTCTGCCCTCTTTAGCGCAGAGTTTCTCTTGCGGCTGTGGAGGTGGGTGGTGGCTCAGCAGTGAGCCCATTTGCGGATGTGTGCGTGGGCTTTTGGAGGGTACCCCTTTTCGGCTTGGTTAAAAGGGAAACTAATGGGACGACCACTATGTTTGTGCTCCCGCGACTTTGACACTTGCGCATCTGAACCTTTAGGACCATTTTAGTAGAACGCCGAAGCTGTGTTGTTTCCCATGCGGCAGGCTCCAGTGAGCGGACGACAGAGATTGGTCTTTTGATCTACTTTGAGAGCATTCCAGCCTCCATGTTCACAGCATTCAGGCGGACTGGGGTGAAGCTCTAGGTCTTGCTTGCTGTGTGTACTGGGAGCGGATGAATGACCCCCTGGTTGACTACTGCTGTCTCCGGGGACTTGCGGGGTTTAGTCGGGAACCTTGGGGCTTGTTTTAGCGCCGATGGTTCTGCGATGTGCATCTCGTCACAGCCTTGTGGCTTCCTGATCCGCGGCTTAGCAATTTGCCCATTGAGCTCATGCAGGTTGCTCTCAACATTTGCCAAGTCTTGAGCTAGCTCTTGGCCAATGTCCGGAGTTCTTCCTGGGGGTTGGAGCCGATTCGCGCACAGGACCAGGGTTGGGCGAGGCTTAACGAGCAGTTCCATTTGCCTGCGAATCTAAGCCAAATGGTGGTGGATGGGCAGGGTCTACCTTTTCTTGGTCCTTTTCGGGAACATTGAGGAACCCACTCGTGCAGATTCCCGTATTTGTTTTCCGGCAGTCCCAAGTGGTGCTTTCTTGGTGGATGCGACCCTTAGTTCGAGCTTCCGACCAGGGTTTATGTGCCCACCCTCTGCTGGGGAGAGCTGCGGACAAAGGGAGTACGAAGCTTGCGGGGATCAAAGTTGGAAACGTCCCCGTGCTTTTCGCAGCAATCTTGTGACACTCAGGCGCCCCAGGTTCCCAGTCCCAGGGTCATGGAGAGCATCCTGAAATGGAAGACCGCCTGTTTGGACAGTTTCAAAGAGACAAGGAAGCCATCCCTTTTTTGCATCCGTATTCCCTTTCGTTGCAACCTTTCCACATTTGAGGTGTGCAAGGTCTTTCCTTATGTAAGTTCCTGGTAGGGTGGCCTTACCTTTCATCCCCCGTTTGACGTTGCGGTATTTTCCGTTTGAACAAGGCCGTCCCCACCAGCTGCCTGGCTTTGACCAAAGGGTGGACAGTGGCCTCCAGTCCAAGGCTCCAGTCCCAACCTGCCAGGTGCTTCACCGGAGAGTGCGTGAACGATGCGGGCCAGCCCATTCACTCGCTCCTCGCCTCGGAGTTCGGCTTGCTTTTCATCATGGGCTACGTGGCTAGCTATATGCGCCCTGGCAAGACAGACCCCACGCAAGGACGCAAGGTGGGCGTCGAATGGTTCATGAGCAGTTGTCCCACACCGCTTGTGACAAAATGGGGCACAACGTTGGTGTTGCATGGTTTTCTTTTACGGGCAAAAGTAATCTCTTGTTTGCAGCGGGTGAGAGGCCAAGCCGGACTTTTCCACCAAGACTCACCTTTGCCCTTTTTTCCTCTTTCCAAAGCGTGCTCCTGTTTCCGACTTGAGGTTGTTCTTGCAAGGGCTTGCCGGGTTTTCTGCTCCAGGCTGGTGACCATGGGCATTTTTAACGTCATCCTGGCAGTCTATGTGGACATAACCATGAAGGCGGCCAAGGAGATAGGCGATTCGCTCGACCTTTGTCTCGCCACGTCTCTTTGCGGCGCGAGGGGTTGCATGTAAAGCCCGGGTGGGCAAAACAAATTCATGAAGGAAACATGATCAATGGAAATCCTGTTGTAGCCATCCACCCTAGCTTTTGAAAGCTTCCTGTCGCAGGGGGACTTCTGGCAGGTTCTGTCGGGCATACGCATCAAGAACAAATTGATTTAGGATCAACGAAAAGCTGAATCAGGATCAACAACACACTATTTCAGACCATGCAAGCCGTGGGACGAATTCCGATGGCACGAGAGAGACAGAGAGAAACCATGTCAAGGAGAAGGCAGTTAGTAAGTTAGTATCCTGTGCACCCTGGAACAAAGGGCTTTTAGCAAGTCAGTATCCGGCGCAGAGACGGAGAAAAAGTTGGTAAGTTAACGAGTTAGCAAGTTAGCGAGTTAGCAAGTTAGTAAGTTAGTAAGTTTGCAGGTACGCCGGTTGGTGAGTTAGAAAGGATGAAGTGGAACTAAAGGTAGGAGTAGTTAGTAAGTTAGTGTGGAAGAAGGTGTAAAGGAGAAGGCACGAGGTCTGGCAAGATAGGATTCTCCCCCCACACAAAACATGTCGAAGGTCCAACTTGTTGCGACACAGACTTTCATTGATGTAGTTATCGATGATGCCAGGGAACATGTTGCTGACGCCGTTCGTGCCTGAAATGGAGACTGGTTGCTGATGTCCCTGGCATACGAGAAAGCTGTGAGTTGAGCTTGCCAGAGCTTCGAAAAAAAGGATGGGTGGAATTGCTTTGATTTCTGATTTGGCTTGCAGATGGGGGTTGATGTAAAATAGGGCCTAGGGTCAAAGGTACACTCCTACCACAACAAAAAGGACCCGAGCAGCATCCTTCACATCTCAGATGGCGCCTTGTCCCTCGCAGGAGAATGACGCCCTGACTGCTGAACAGTATTCGCGCGAATCAGTGCGAATCGCCCGGACGACGCGGGAGCTCCTCAAGAAGTTTTCGACGGCGTAGCTCAACTGGTGTTGGCCTATTTGCATCATGTTATTTGATGTGTTTTTTTCTCTCCAAATTAGAATCACTAACGCTTCATATCGCTAATAACGAAAAAGGTTGCCATCAGCTTGCATTTGGGTTCGTGGCTTTTGCCATATTGAAGTTGCAACCTGGCTGCGGTCAAGGGCCCGTGCGCGAGCTCTTTCCGAGCCCTATGATATTTTGTGAGACATTGAGACCCCAGCCAGAGGTTCTCAGAACCCCTCAGAATCCAAGAGGTTCAAAGAGCCTTGTCTCCGCTGGGAGTCGCTTAGGCTTTCTTTGCCAGAGCCTAAGGTATCACACCTTCATTGAGGACACGGATGTTGAGAAGACGCCTTGCCTGCGACTTGGTGCGGATGCGGCGCTGGTTTTTCTCGGTTTCGAAACCTCCAACTCAATGTGTCCAATCCCCAGCCTGCAAACTTGAGCCCTTTTGTGTATGTTTAGTGATTTTTGTTTGGTAAGCAGATCGCCTGTATTCCTCGTGTGTTGCTCCTGTGAGCTGAGCTGGTGACCCGTTTTTTTGCCAAGACAAAAGTGGTGGCTTCCCCGTGCTTCCACTCGGTCTCTGCACCGCTGCGTTTGTCCGCAAAGGAAAAGCATGGATTCCCCCATGGTCTACACAGAAGATGGCATGGACAAAGTGGCCATCAGCAAGGAGTTGTTCCTCATGGTGACTCCGTTGTTCTTGGTCAGCTTTGCATTTTCTCTTTCGGTTGCCTTTCTTTTGACAATGCCTGCCTGTAGTTGGTTTGGCAGACAACTAAAAGATAATTCCCCATGAACGGGAGCAAACGGGAGGTCATCCAAGACCGAACTGTGCAGACGCTGATGGACGAGCTGGATCCTCGTCTTCACCGGTTGTATCTCGCTCGCCTCATGGGTGTTTCTACTTGTTTGCACGCATGTGTTGTTTCTTCAGTCAGCCCCCTTTCGGTTGCAAAGGGCAATGAGGATAAACAAAGCACTTTAGGATCATATTCTCTGCTCACACGCGCACCGCTTCCGCAGAGTCAGGCTGTCGGTGCAACTGGTTGCAGTAGTGGAGTGATCAGTTGGCGCGCTGTCTCAGAGTTTGTTTATTTTAGACTTTTGGGTGCCTTGAGTTTGGGAGATTATCCAGCCCTGAAACAGGGAGTAACGCCATATCAGAGACGCAATGCTTAGACAGATGCAGTTGTCCAGGGGTCACATCTTGTTGCTTAGCCCAGCTGCTGGCAAAAGCAAGTACGAAGCTTCCCGATGACGGCTGGCTTCAGGAATCCCCACCCCATCAATTGTAGAGTGACGGTTCACATCGGGTGCCCCATTTTTTACAGTAACCCCCGTGGCCCCATGGTTTCGGCACTTTGGTTTCGGTGGACAAGTGGGAAAAAACAAGTCAGGGGCACCGCGTGTTGAACGAATTTTGGCGGGAATCCTCAGGACCTGCCGCACGACCGCGCCAATCTCTTCGAGATTATCGATGCTGATGGCAGCGGCACGCTGCAAATCACCGAGCTCCTGCAGGGTCTTCTGAAGATTCGCGGAGAAGTCAGCAGCTCGGCTCGGGCAAATGTATTTCGACGACTAAGGGAAACATCGAATGTATGAACAATAACACCCTAAGACCATCCCTCAGCCCATCGAGGGCGTCCACTTGCTTTGCTTGTGCTCTGACACCCCGCAGGTAAAAGTGACACCGTGGCCACTTTACTCGCCACCAAGGCAGGACTGGAGTCACTGGAAGTGCTGCAAACCGAGAGCCGTAGATTGGCTTTGTAGCAAGATCACCATGTCTGAGCCGTAGATTGGCACGGTGCCAGTGGGTGATGTTTAAAGAGGGCACGCGGGGTTGGGCCAATTCTTTGCCGCAGGTGCCAGGCTAGGTCAAAGGCATTTGTTTCTGCATGGGCAGCATATTTGCCTTTGAAGATGAATCCATGTGCTCATGTCACCGCATGCAAGTGTGTGAATGTCATTTTGCTTTTATTGTTTGAAGTGAACCAAAAGGAGTCTCTTATTTTCACTCATCCTATGTGTCCTTCCCTTTCACCAGCAAATGTGACATTCGAACTCAATTATTCCTTCATATATTGAAGGCTGTGCAGGAAACGGCTTGCTTTTCGTCCGCCAAATCCAAAACGCGTGCTTCACATGGAGGCCAAGCAAACAAACAACCCAAGCAGACAGCTTGTCTCTCGGTCGCGCTTCGGAAAACGAGTCTCGCCTCACAGGCTTGCGATATGTTTTCAGCTTTTGCAGGTCAACGGAGAAGCCGCTCACGCTCTGACTTCAAAAAGAAGCATCAGCAGCAACAGCAATTGTGTACAGCCACCTTGTTGTTCAGTCTTTCTTTTTGCGGGCGTGTTCTCAAGCCTTTCAAGGCTTGAACACAAGCAACAAGGGGGTTCCTATGCGAGCTGAACGGCCAGCATGAATCCAATGCCACAAGTTCAACCTCGGACTTTCTGAACTCTAGCTCGAGGATACCTGGAGCCAAAAACACCCCAGATCTCCCTTTTGGGCACCCAACGTTCACAAGATTGACCATGAATTTGGGGGAGGGGGTGACCCAGGGGGAATTCCATGTGCATTTGTTGGCTGGAGAAATCAAAGTCCTTGCTTTGGCTCGGCCTAAAGCCCGGCAAAAGCCCGGCCAGGCTGTGCAGAGCATGGTTTGCGAAATGAAGGAGGACAATCTAGGGTGGCTGTCTCCTTTCATCATTGAACCATGTGTGCCAGTGGCTTGGATTTGCCATTCGGATTTGTTTTTTGCCAACGATGAAACTTCCACTTGGAGAATGCTTGTTTTCCCGCTCGCCGGCAAAAAGCTCAACTTTTCCACACAAAAGACAATAGCCTAGAAGCACGGGTCACAACAAGAGCCCATAGGTGTCCTGTTTAGTTTGTGCTTTCATACCAATAGAGGGCCCTGCTTTCGCTTTCTTTTGCAACTTGTTGTTCTGTGGCATTGACATGTTCTGTTCTTTTTTGAGTCGGTTTCCTGCCAAATGTTGAAGCACGTTGATTTGACTGCTGGAGCTGTCCTGGTACGCAGGCCTTATAGAGCCTTGACCCAGGCGTGGGACGTGCAACCACCCTCGAACCCAGGGCGCGAATCGTCCCCGGCGCATTCGGGACCCCCCCCCCCCCCCGCTTTGCCATTTCGAAGCACTTTGCCACGTGCGAATCGCGAAGACTAGCGCAAAGTCGATGTTTCATTGCGCTTCAAAATGGCATGCAGTGAGCATTGGAACCTTTCCACAAAAGTCACTTGAGCCCCCGTTAGCTTCCCACATCTGGCTTTTCAGCACGGCCCGACCAGAGCTGCTGGAGGCATATTATGGGGCTTTAGTTTCGAGGTCGGAGTTTCGCAGCGTGCTTCTGATCGCTGTTTGTGTGTGTGTGTGTGTGTGTGTGTGTGTGTGTGTGTGTGTGTGTGTGTGTGTGTGTGTGTGTGTGTGTGTGTGTGTGTGTGTGTGTGTGTGTGTGTGTGTGTGTGTGTGTGTGTGTGTGTGTGTGTGTGTGTGTGTGTCTGTGTGTCTGTGTGTGTGTGTGTGTGTGTGTGTGTGTGTGTGTGTGTCTGTGTGTCTGTGTGTCTGTGTGTCTGTGTGTCTGTGTGTCTGTGTGTCTGTGTGTCTGTGTGTCTGTGTGTCTGTGTGTCTGTGTGTCTGTGTGTCTGTGTGTCTGTGTGTCTGTGTGTCTGTGTGTCTGTGTGTCTGTGTGTCTGTGTGTCTGTGTGTCTGTGTGTCCGTGTGTCCGTGTGTCTGTGTGTCTGTGTGTCTGTGTCTGTCCGTGTCTGTCTGAGTCTGTCTGTGTGTGTCTGTGTCTGTCTGTGTCTGTCTGTGTCTGTCTGTGTCTGTCTGTCTCTGTCTGTGTCTGTCCGTGCCTGTCCGTGCCTCTCCGTGTCTCTCCGTGGCTCTCCGTGTCTCTTCGTGTCTCTCCGTGTCTCTCCGTGTCTCTCTGTGTCTCTCTGTGTCTCTCTGTGTCTCTCTGTGTCTCTCTGTGTCTCTCTGTGTCTCTCTGTGTCTCTGTGTGTCTCTGTGTGTCTCTGTGTGTCTCTGTGTGTCTCTCTGTGTCTCTCTGTGTCTCTCTGTGTGTCTCTGTGTCTCTCTGTGTCTCTCTGTGTCTCTGTGTCTTTGTGTCTGTGTCTCTCTGTGTCTCTCTGTGTCTCTCTGTGTCTCTCTGTGTCTCTCTGTGTCTCTGTGTCTTTGTGTCTGTGTCTGTGTGTTTTACCTGTGTTTGTTTGCGTTCTGTGTTTGTGTGTCTTTATATCTTTGTGTCTCTCCATGTGCCTCGTGCTTCTTTTTTCCGTCTTTTTGTGTCTGCGTGTGTCTCCTTGAGGTAGGGAGGTACTCAGGCAGGCAGGTAGGTAGGTAGGCGGTGCGTGCGTGCGTGCGTCCGTGTGTCCGTGCGTGTGTGCGTGCGTGCGTGCGTGCGTGCGTGCGTGCGTGCGTGGGTGGGTGGGTGGGTGGGTGGGTGGGTGGGTGATGTGTGTGGGTCTGTGTGGGTCTGTGTGTGTGTGTGTGTTTGTGTGGGTGTCTTTGTGTGTTTGTGTATTTGTATCTGTGGGCTTTGTGTGTCTGTGTGTTTGTGTCTGTGTGTCGGCGTCTCCGTGTGACAACTTGTGTGTTTGTGCGTTTGTGTGTCGGGTGTGCGAGTGTGCGGGTGTGCGCGTGTGCGCGCGCGCGTGTGTGTGTGTGACACTGTGAACCTATTTGGCCACTGCCTTGTTCGGTTTACCATGCAATTTAGAAGAGGCGGATTAACTGGCTCTACCCTTTCTCCTACCAAAAGGTCACCTGGACCTGCGCAAGAGCCTCTTTGATCCCCAGATGTCATGCCAATTCCCGAAGGCAAGCCTTCCGGCTCCGAACCGTGCCTTTGACCTTTGATCTTTGCCAGGAGAGCGCGCTGCTGAAGACGACGCTGAAGGCAGAGATGAACCTGCTGCAGCAGATGCAACAGAACCTTCTGCGCAGCCTGCTGCAAGCCCCGCGGCTTCCGGGAGAGCCGAACCCTTCACCGGAAAGCCTGGAAGACCTTCCAAAAGCCGACCTTCCGCACAAGGCGCAGCCAAAGCTGCGGTGGGAGCCATCGCAGCATCCTGAGATGCTCGCGGAGCCTGGGGAACCAGACTTCAGCTGAGCAGGTTTCAGCGCCCGGTGATGTTTCGCCGGGCTGCTAAGGGTCTAGCTGGGCCTATGTTGGGTGCTCGGACGGAAGAGGACCATGTTCATGCCGTTCAGCCAACCGCAAGATTGGATTACGCAGGAAAGTCACTGTCTCCGTTCGTCCATCCCAAAACCGGCATTGTATCTTCTGAATCCCCAAAAAGGGCCACATCCGCTGGTGCGAAAGTCACATTAGCCTTTTTGCGCCCAAGGGGCCTTGCTAATTCGATGACCTGTCGATCCAAAATCGCTTTTAGCGCGGCCCAGCCTCGTGAAGCATGTCCTGAGTGGGACAGCTGGCTGAGTTTATACAGGTCAGATTGCGCCTTGCTGCTGGCACGCTGGCGGCATTTGGGGTTCGTTGTTGTTTAAATGCACCCGCATACAGGGAATTGTTCCCTCTTCATTCAGTTTGGTGTAGTTGTATCATTCTGGAGCTCTTGACACTTGGCCCTGTTCCAAGCAGCCCCCTGTGTCAGTGGCGCCCTGGAAGTCCGGTGCATGAGCTTCTTACATCGCGCTCGCGAAGACCCAATGCAAATGCATGTTGCGGACCGCGCAGGTTGTGGGCAGGGGTTGCCAGCACTCAACAGAGACACCCTCCACACTTGCTGAGACACATGAGCATCCCGTGAACAGCTTGCAATGATGCTCGAAAGTGCAATCATCAAACGGGTCGTGTTTCCAAGTAGGGAACCTAACAAATGAGAATAAACAACGCCAGCGTACTTTGTCGACTTGGCCACCAACACACATATACTTTCCTGGCTTGGGATGGTCCGACTGAACGGGATGGTCAGGATCATTGGACAGTCAGGGTGGTCGAGGTAGGCTTGGTTAAGGGTCCGTTTAGGGAGTTTCAAGGTCAGTTTCGGCTTGGTGTTCGGTTGGTCTAGGATTGGTTTGGGGTTGGATTAGGTTGGTAAGATTAATTACTTTCTTGGTTTAGAATACAATGAGATGAATATAGTGGCCGTGGGGTGATTTTGAGGTTGGCTTAATGCTGGGTTTTGGGTTGGCTTACGGTTGGTAGGGGGTTCGTTTACGGTTGGTTAGGATTGGTGCTGGGTCCGTTTAGGGTGAGAGTTTGAGGTGGGTTTAGGGCTGGGGGTTGCTGGAGGGTTGGTTTAGGGTTGACTCGGGGTGGGCTTAGGGTCGGTTCGGGGTTGGTTCGATTTGGTTTTAGGGTTGTCTCAAGGTTGGTTTTGGGTCACTCCGGTTTTGGACCAGGGCGGTTTTGGATTGGTTTAGAACGGCTTTTGGGCTAGGGTTGGTTCTCAACATTGGTCGGTAGGGCTGGATGGTCAGGTGCTGACGGTCGGGGCGGTTGGGGCAGCTGGCACGGTTAGGGTCGAGATGGCTGGGAGGGTTGGGACGGTTGATGTGAAATTTTGGCGACACGAGTCGTGCCGGCTGCATGTCGCATCAATCTTATTTATGCAAGCTGACTGGCAATGTTGGGCCCTTAGATTGCAGTCTGGCCATGGCGATTCTGGCTGCCCACCGCGTTTGTGTCACCCCAGTGCCTCTGAGAAGCACGTGCGAGGAGAAGACAAAGCTGGAAGCCTTCCATAGCTTCGCACTGCAAACCGTGCTGGATGTAGCTTTTTCCGGAATCAGCGGTTCAGCATCACGTTGATTGCAGAGAACAAGGGCTGTTTAGCGTCTCTTGCCGTCGCTTTAGAGCGTGAAACTGGGACTTGGGACTCAGCTGGATTTGTCCCATCCCGGCATCGCCGGGTGCCTCTTTGTGCTCCCAAGGAAAAGCACTCAGAGTGCAACCCCGTTCCCCAATGCTCCCGTTCTTGGCCACAGACCGCGTCAGGTTGCATGGCTTGCGCGCTCTCTTTGGGCAAAAAGAAAAGCAGCGAACGTGCTTCCCAACGTATGCTGCGAGGGCTGCACATCTAGAGATGTGGGTCTTGGACACTTAACTTAGTCAAACCGGTGGTTCATCTTTTGGCATAGATATGGAGCGCATGCCAGCAAGCTTCGAGTTGTTCCAGGCCAGGCTGACGAGCATCACTCAAATACTGATTCACTGTATGTGGATTGCTTGACGTTGGCACGTGCTTTTTGTCTTTTGCCTTGGTTCCCTGGTTCTTGTGAATACGCGCAGTCATATGACATTGGGTCCTGCCCCCGCGCCAAGGAAAGTTCTGGCTCCTTGCTGGATCAAACCTTTTTTGAAGTTGTTCTAGATTGCTATTGTCTGTCTCATGTAGGCCATTCTCTTAGGAATCATGAATCTTTGGACGCTGCTCCGGGGTGGCTGGCTCATCAGATAGCCGCAATGATGAGAAGCTGTCCACTTTCCCGGTTTTGATTGTGACACTGCCGGGTAACTTTGGTCGGCTTTTGCGCATTCCCTTCCTCCTCTTGCGGCAAAGGTCAGCATCAACTGAGGCGGCGCAGTATCAATGCTGCATGAAGGCGGCGTAATTTCACAAGCGCTTGCGTGGAGAAAGCACGTCCGGACCATTCGCGCAAGCAGGTGCTTTGGCGACAGTGGCGTTGAAGCAGTTGAATTTGGCCGCATTTTTGCAACTCACTCGAGTATAGAAAACAGGGACGCACAGACACACACACACACACACATGCACAGAGATCCAGAAAGGCACAGGGAGACAGCCATAAAGAAGCACACGCAAACAAACACAGAGTAGCACAGGACACGGACAGACAAACAGACGCACGCACACACACGCACACACCCAGGCCCACGCCCACCCACACCCACACCCACACCTCTCACACACGACCCACACAAGACCCACACACAGAGACACAACAGACAAAGATTGATATAGAGCCTCACGCACAAAAAACACAAGCACACACACACACACACCCACACACCCACACACCCACACACCCACACACCCACACACCCACACACCCACACACCCACACACCCACCCACCCACCCACCCACGCACCCACGCACGCACGCACGCCCGCGCGCGCGCACGCCCGCACTTCCGCCCACCCGCCCGCCCGCACGCCCGCACGCACGCCCGCGCGCGCACACAGGCACGCACGCGCGCGCGCCCTCACGCGCTCACGCGCTTGCACGCAAGCGCACGCACATGAACATGCACAGGCCCGCGGGCACGCACGAACCCACGCTCGCACCCACACACGCACGCACCCACGCACCCATGCGCCCACCCTTGGAGACATCCACGCGCCCGCGCACGCACCCATGCGCGCCATGCGCACACACACACACATATGCACGCCCAGAGACGTAGAAAGGAGACACACGCAGACTCACGGAGACCCAGAGCGGCACATGGAGACGCACAGAGAGACACAATCACAAAGACACAAAGAAGCACACGCAGACAAACACAGAGCAACACACACACACACAGGCACACAAGCGTGCCAACGCATTCCAGCTCAACCGCAATCCAGCTCACACGCAGACACATACACGGGCACACGCACACACCAACACACAAACACACCAACACACACACACACAAGCGCACACACGCGCACAAAGAACACAAACACAGAAACACACATACCCATGCACACGCACACACACACACACATTTCCCCACACACACACACACAAGCACACGAACACGCACACGCAAGCGCCCACACACAAGCACATGAACAGGCACACGCGTACAAAAAGTACACCTGCCTGAATCACGATACATTGTACAGAATAATATGGAGGGCAAAGTTGCCAATACTGTTCTAGGCATGAAGGCCAGAGTGGATTTAGTTTGCTTGTTGTGGAGTCATGTTTGCGTTGGGCTTCACAACCCGCTTTTTGCACGCCTATTTGTGCCTTGGATAGATCCATCGTTCGTCGTTTTCCTTAAGCTGAGGCTTGTCTTAAGTTACCAGGCGCCGGCAAAGGGTTCACTCCTCAGCTCGCACCAGAGCCACGTTTTTCACTGAAACAAGGGTGATTGGGCCCATTCTTCGTTTGCCATGTGCAAAGTTCCTTCCAGCTGATTTTGACACGAAACCCGCGAGTTGGCGCAGCTGAAGCCACACAGTTCTGTCAAGATCATTGCTCAGTGTGTGTGTGTGTGAATACTCGACAATGCTACCACAACCGATGGGCGACTTCCCAAACTGATGCTTTGGCGATAAGTGATCATCCGTGCATCAAGCACGTAACTGCAGATTTTGACCGCTCTGGCTCGAACCAGATAGCCGCCCGGCGCGACACCAGAGGCCCTTGCCGACTGCAGTTGCCGTGACCCAGCAGCCCGGTTTCCCCCTCCAATTGGGATGTTCAGCCGGGGTATTTGCGGTCACTGCCCTTATGACCATAGTTATAACCCAAGACCCACAACCCCACGCCCAACCATTTGGTTGCTTGGCCGGGGCGCCCTGGTACTTTGAGTCCCTTGTCATGCATCTTAATCAACATGCCACACATCTCCGCGCAGTGTGTCGTTTGACTGCAAAATAACATGGTTGTATCCCATTTGCTGCACTCCTCAAAGCCACAGACCCTCAAGCTGTTGAGGTAATTGTTACCATGGCTTCACTTTGACGTGTCACTTGGAAGCCTTGGCGAAGTGAGAAGCCTTTTTGAAGTCTTCTTGCTGTTTAGCTGGTTGCATGTTCACCTTTGGGAGCCCTGAGAAAGGGCCAAGACTGGGAAACCAACGGTGCCCTCGGGACCTGGCTGTGTGTCAAAAGCAAGGGACCTCTCTAAACGGTTACCATTGGCGAGCTGTGCCCAAAAAAGGTGCCTAGCCTCAGCCTTGGCGCACCAACAGAGAAGGTACCAGCAAGAAAGAGAGAGCGAGAGAGAGAGAGAGAGAGAGAGAGAGAGAGAGAGAGGGACGCATGATCTACTCTTGGCATGTTGCAAACAAGGCAAGGACCCAAATCACTCACTAGGTGTTCACTACGCTCAAGATGTTGAGCTCAAGTCTTGTCAAAGGACCTGTGCTTCCCCGCTTGGGAACCTGTGAGTTGGTCCGCTCGCACACCCGCCTTTCCGCGCCGTAGCCAGAGGGGTGGGGGCGGGTGCTGTGGAGCCTCATGGGGCCGAGCCTGGAGGACGACTTCCATCATTTCGCCAGCTCCGTGGGGCGGTTGCTTCAAGATGCTTAGGCAAAATTCCGCGCTTTAGGCTTGTGAAGGAACAGGAACGAGGAACAACTCCCGCTCATTCTATGTGCACCCCGCCCAGTAGTCCTGAAGGGATCGGGCCGGTTCTTGGAATTGAAAGAATGCAGCGTGAGAGTTATGAGGACCGAGGAAGTCATGGGAAAAAACCCATCCTGAGTAATTCAGGCAATTTATTGAAGAGGGACAGCCCTTCCCTACACATGTATCCTTCGCAGATGGAGGGGCCTGGCCCCACATCTCACCGCGTGACGATTGCGTGCCCGCAGCTCTTTTAGACGGCTCATGGCATCATGGGCTCCGATGGCCCGATGGCCCTGGACAAGGACAGGATGCCACACGCAACGTGCGGGGAGTCCGGGAGGGGCGGAGGCGGGACCCCGTTCCCCCAAGATGTGTGGCTGTCCGGTGGTTGCGCCCTTTGGCCCAACATGCTCAACCGATCCCAACAGGTGACCCGAAAAAGAACAAAGCGCAGACCTCCAGTTGCAGGTGGCCCTTGTGATTTGGAGTCGGAATCACTTTCTGTCCGTACCTAACCACCAAAAGCACCGCAGGATGCATATGCCAGCCTCTTAGATGCCTCATGGCAGAACTTCCGGCAGCTTGGCCCGGGCAACAGGTGAATCTAGTGCCATCCATTTTGCGGGAAGTGAAGTTTCGCTAAGTCTCACACACACACACATTCTTGACATCTCGGCTTGTGGAAAAAAGTGAATCCACCTGATGCGCGGGGTGTTGCTGAGCACGCGAGTTTGAGGCTACTGCCTCAGATGCCTCAGGCTCTAGTGGGTGACTATGAGTGAGGTTTGCATTTGTAAATTAAGGTGGGGCAAAAGGGGATTTCACACGGGATGCCTCCAAAGAAATGGTTTCGGGTTTCGATTTCTTAAAGAAGGCCACTCCTTCCTTTTCTTGAAGATCAGGGCAAGACCCAGCTTCAACTGCCTTTGAGAAAAAAACACGCCGACCGGCATACAGTTCTTCCAATATCAGGGGCGAGCCCTTACCCCCCAGACACGTTTTGGGGTCGACTGAGGCAGCAGCTATTGGACGCCTTCCCGGAGTACGGCCTCCCCGCATCCCCGTCACTACTCGCGGGCTCCGAGCCAGGCTCGCCCGCAAAGGAGTTCGACCCCGGCAAGGTGACCTTCACCCTGGAAGACGCCTGGCTTTCCAGGCAATGTCATACAGATGTTTTTTGGCACTTGAAATTTGTTGTTTAAACCTCAACTTTTTGCAGATACAACAACCATTGGTGAAACCCCTTCGTCGTAGAAACCTGGTTGTTCTAACCCGTCGGAATCCTTTCTTTTCCAACCCCCACCTTCGTGTTTTGTTCTTACTCCTCCCTGTGCTTTGCACTACCCAGGTTGTCATTTTGACCCAAGTATTTGTTGTTTTCCACCCCTGACCTTGGTTTGTTTGCTCTCGGCCCAGGTAAGTCAAGGCAGCCACAAAGTCGAAGCAGGGAAACCACATTACCCACGTTAGTTGATGGGCGGGAGCTTCTAAAATGTGAGGTGTTTAAAAGCCAGACACTCTTCGCCACATGTCTTTTAGTGGCAGAGAACGCTGAGACGTCTACTGGGGCCATAATGTCGAAGCTATTGTGAGTTTTCTGCTTGTTGCCTTCCGTTGCTATCATCATTCTACACCACCCTTGAGCTTGGCTTGCGGCGTCCACCCTCAAGCCACTTTAGCCCACCCTCAACCAACTGTAAACCCCAAACAAACCCACATAAAAGGCAAAGACAGAACAACCTGAACCACCACTAAACCCATCCAAAGTCCTCCCAAAGCCAACCCGAAAGCCAACCAAGCACTCGAAGTCAAACCCAAAACTGACCCTCCACCCACCCCAAAGACACCCTAAATGGACAAGACCAACCCCAATCCAAGACACAACCCGAAACCCGCCCTGCCCTTGCAAACGCCAAGCCAACCACATCCCATGATAAAAATCGACCCTAAGCCCCCCCTCCAAGCCAACAAGAATCTAATGCTGAAACACAACAATGCAGAAAACCAACCCCAAACCCACTGAACCCGTCCAAGCCGAAGCAAACCCTGAGGCCAAGTACACCAACCCCAACCGAACTCAAAGCCCATTCCAAGCCACCCCCCAACCCACCGGAAACCAACTCTAATGTTCCCGGTTAGTGACCCCAAACAGTGGTCAGCAAGTGAGACAGGAATCCACGCAGGCAACATGAAAATAGCCACAGCAGATGCTCAACTACTTCGGCGCAGAATGTGCTGAAACGCAGAGTCTCTATAGAAAGTCTTGCACGTGCTCCTCAATCAGACGCTCAGTGAAAGGAGGTTCCACGCAAGACTTCTCCGAAAGAAATTCTACTAATGTTTCTGGAACATGTCCTGGACAAGGTCTTTGTGGCATGATCTTTGCAGGATCTGCAGATACGAGGATCTCTTAGATTCCTAGGAGAACTCTACAGGGCCTGTAGATCTCACGACACGAACTCCTTGTGAGGAATCTCTGGATAGGATCTTTTGACAAGACTTGCAGGACCCATGGGAGGATCCTCCATGCATGAATTTTTGCCACGTGGGATCTGCGCAGAGCTCCCTTTTACAAGATCTCTTGTGAGAGAACCTTTGCAGGGCACCGCGCCACAGCGAGAGCGATCCGAGCCACCTAAAGTCCGCAGAGGGTTCGTTTTCGATCGCACCAAGCCGGCGACCCGACCCACCCGAAGTCCGCGGAGGGCCCACTTCTGATGTTCAAAATGCGCGTCGAGCCAGCGTGACAGCGATTCAACACGGCCAAAGCCTGCAAAGGGGTCATATTCAATGCTGAAAATCTACACCAGGCCGCAGCCAGAGCGATCCGACCCACCCAAACTCCACAGAGGGTTCAGTTTGCACCGCGCCACAACGAGAGCGATCCGACCCAACCAAAGTCCGCAGAGGGCACTTTGGACCTTCAAAATGTGCACCTCAACACAGCGACAGCGATTCAATACACCTAAAGTGTGCAGAGGGTTGATGTCGATGCCAGAAAATTGCGTAGAGCTTGAAAGCCACTGTGAAGGAGGCCTAAACTTACCCGAGGCCAACCTGAAAACAACCAGCTTGTTGCTGTTGCTGGTTGCCCTGGGGGTTGTCGAGCATGATATAAAAAAACAGCAAGTTTTGCCTCCAAGAAGAAGACATGTTTGTTCCCCCCCTCCCGCCAAACTAACCCAAGCAACCCCCAAACTCACCAAACAATTGTTTAACTCTACACCCATCAGCCCAAAGCCCACTCCAAGCCCGCCCTGAAGCCAGTCAGCCAGCCCGGGCTTAGCCAGGGTAGATGATTATACGGGGTTAACAAGCAAGGCTTGGAGGGTTGAACCAAGCCTCTTCTGATCATGGTATTGGTGTGCTTGATTCAAGCTCTCTGAGAGCAACCAAGGAGAGCGACTCGCAGCTTGCCCGCAGATAGCTGGGTTTTTTGATGATGCGTAAGGCCTTCATGACTCACTGTTCCCCCTTTTGTGGCTCTAAGGCCGTCTGTGCTTGAGGAGTTGGTTCATCATTCAATTCGCTATCGTTTATTTTTCGGGGAATTCCAGCACGATTGAAACAAACGGGAGCTTTCGTGACCTCGGCTGATTCTTCCTTTGAGCTCCTTGGCTTCCCCGGCCTAATATGGAATTTGAACTGGCGGTTTGCCATTGGAACCACCCCATGTAACTCCCGTGACTTTTCAGTTCGACAGGGTCACACATGCCAGGCTGCCAATGACAGAGCAGAAGAGTGACAAGAGTGACAAGAGTGAGCAGAGTGAGCAGAGTCAGTCGTCCGTCACGGATAACGCTCACAACTCTGCCCACCTCATCCAATCTGGTTTGGACGGACTCGGGCCGCAGGAGGCAGGGACCGTTGCTTTTTCCGCGGGGCCTTCTCAAAACGAGCCGTGTTCTTTTGGTTGTCGGTTTCAAAAAGACAAGCCGACAGGCAAAGACTCGTTTCGGGGGCCGCCTCACTTTGGGGATGCCCACACGAGTCACCCCTTTTGGGAAGATCGCTTTAGCTTTGGCGGGTCGAAACTTTCAGTCTGTAACTTTCCTGATCTCCGATTCTTCGCCCGGTCCATCCCTATGAAGTTTGGTTTTCAAAAAGATGGACCCTTGTTGGATTGCGTTTCAAGATTCAAGGGAGAAGGAAACCGCTCCAATCCACAGGAAAGGGAAGCCAGAGAGCCACCGAGGAAAGGAACAACGAGGGAGGAAACGAGAAAGGAACTGAGGAAGCCCAAAAAAGAACGACAGGCGCGAGCGGTACGTCACCGACTGCGGCTGCGCCTAAATGCGCTCACCGCGGACAGCATGGTCTCTGGCCAGTGCCTGCATGAGGCGATTTCCGCGCTTGGCCGCCTTGTCTGGAAACCGACAGCCGGGCCCTGGTGTTTGGCCCCGAATGTGTGTTTGGGCCCGTAAACCCAAGAAACAGGGATCAAACGCAAACGGCCAACGAGTCCTCAACCGGACGGGCCCTCCAATGAAATGAAGCATGGCGTCCCAACTTGATAGAGCTCAAAATCTTCTTTAACATGTCCGACGGCGGAAAGCGACATCTAGATCGAGGGCATCCACAATTCTGACTATGGGAAGACTGTCGGTTTGGTTCATCTCGCCAAAAAGCTCGCTTGATCTTTTCCAAGGTGACAACCAACCACCAGATCTTCCCGTCCCAAAACAGAATACATACCCATGCAGTACAATGGTGGTAGGAGAGTCGTTCCAGCAGCCCCTAAGAACAAGCCTCACGTAAGTACACACAATCTACGATGTCGCACCGGTGATTACGACGTTGGCAAGAACACATTGTTTCGGCAAGGTGTGAGAGTGCTGCCGTGAATCCAATCATGCGATGATGTTGTGGGCCCTCCCCAGATTTATGAGTAGACTGATCATGTGGCGGTTTTGTGAACAGAACTCCACCCCAGAATGCACAGGCGGTTGGGGATCCAATCATTTTTCTGTGAGTTGCAATACGAGAGGCTCCTATCCCAGCGTCCAGTTTGGCAAGGGAAAAACCCTTGCCTGTCAGAAGGCCTACATGCATTGCACTGTGGACAGGCTGCTCACAGCGTCACAACCTCTCACTGGGCAAACCATTTGCTTGCCTTGTCATTCCCAAGGGGCTTTGACATGCTATGTTTGGCTGGCACGCTGGTAAGGTGATCTGACTTGTAGCATCGGCCTTTTCGAACGCTTTGCTGGCAAGCTCGGCCTACACTGATGGGGGAAACCACTTGCAAATTTACAGTGCTTCGTGAAAGATGGCAAGCTTTCAATGCTCAACTCAATCAGGCCTTTACTTGACTGCTATTGGGTTGGATCTTTAGGCTTTAGCTTTTTGGGAAATCAACTGACGGTTTCCATTAAACCCCCAAAAAGTTAAACTTTTTGCAGCGGGGTCAACAGCAACCAAGCTCACAGGGGAAGACCTTACTACCTTGGAACAGTGCAGCCAGGGCTAGGAGGATCACTGGGCGAGTCCCAGGTTTGACGAAGTTCTCCATCCAGGATATGAACGAGTTCTTGAACCAGATCGCGGATTTCATCAGCCTTACCTTCGAGGCAGATCTTCTGCCACATGGCATGTCTCCACTGAGACGTTTATCCTTCCCAGAATTCCTCAAGTTGTCCACCTTTCAAAGCCTTGAGAAACGTAGCAGACACACGAGACCATAGCGGACCACTTGGAATTTGAGGCATTCCTCAAAGCTCGGCGAGGCTGATAGGGTAATGGTGAACCGCCGGACAGGATCTCAGACAATCATTGTTGGGAACCCCTTCAGACCATGGCCTAACGTGTGTTGCCATATTGCGTCACAAGGCACGAGGGTGCAAATCAAAGCATTCGGTTGCCACTTCAAGTGCTTTTTTCGCCCTTTGCACACAAGGGTAGGAGCGTGAGGGGCAAAGTTGCAAAGGGATGCAAAGGCACCAAGCCATCAGCATCGCGAGGATGCGGAATCCGAGTCCGACGACGATGTTGAGAGCTTCGCCACATCTATCAACATGCTTTGGCTCAGGGATGCTTGGCAAAGCATTGTCGTGCTACGTCCTCCCCGAGGCCTTGCTTTTCTTTGTTTGCGTTGCAACCCCACAGGTGTTGCTGTTGGGGACAGCTTTACTTTGAGTGGCGGTATTTGACGGTATAGACATATATGTTTTTCATTAGCTTAGGCCCGCTAAAAAAAACATGGAGAATCAACACCTGGTGGAGGGATCTGCTTTCGGGATGGTATTGTGGATTTCATGCTAGTTTGCAGAGCCTTCCACCAACCACCAATCCTGCAGCTACGCGGCAGGTTCCAGGCATACTTGGGTGTATTTCCGTTTGTGCAAGCCAAAGATTCTAAGGTTCTGCAGTGCAACTCGCAACTCGCAACCACATGAGTCGAATCCCGAAGGCCTCATTTCCCTTTGGATGCCAGTTGCGCATGGCTACGGAGTGTGTCTTAAAATTGGGCGGCCCAAGAATCAATAGGGTTTCCATGAGGTTTCTCCCTTTAAACCTGACATCCCCCCAAAAGGCGACACTCACAAAACACCACTCCATGATGTTTTCTACATACATACATACATACATACATATATATATATATATAGTCAGCTTTCAGGCAAACCCTAGCGTGTTTAGGGTGAAGCCGGCTGCCCCCATGCCGCTCGCCGACATGTCCATTTGGCGGAGTGATCCATGCGGAAACCAGGCAGTGAAGGATCTCTCAAGAAGGACACCCCCCCCCATGAACCCTTCAATCAAGCAGCAGGGGCTTAGCATTTCCGAGCCGTAAAGCCACAACCTGGAGACATTAAAACGAGTGCCAAAGGGTTGCCGCTTGGATTTGCACGTAGCATCTCAGAAGCCCTTTGTAACCCCTCCCAAGTTCCAGGGATTCGACCACGTGGCCCTTGGTACCCCTGCATCCCACCCTTTGTGTACCCATCATTTGTGCTGTGGCATGTTGCAGGAGCACAGTTTTTCCGCTGCGTGGTTGACCTGCCGAAGTTGCTTTTGCTTGCTTCAGTTTCACCCTTTTTCTCCTTTGGTGCACTCCTCGCCAACAGACGCCTTGTCCCAACAAGACAGGGTTCCCGGTTTCCTTCCGGGCCACTGGTTGCAACCCTTGCGATTGTCTCTCCCTGTTCCCAGAAAAATTCCACGCTAGGATGAGAGCCAAAAGCATCACCACCGTCGCAAGCCGGTATGGGCTTGGCCTGCCCGAGAGTCCTTCGGTATCCGCCGCCGTTTGGCAAGATTGTTTGTTTTGGTGACTTTTTAGGGTTGGGCCGCACCCTTGAGGCATGTGAAAGGCAAACAATACTGGCTGTTGTTTAAACCAACTCCTTAAGGTTTGCCTTCGAAAAGATGAAAGGCAGCCCAACCTTGATGCCGTTTTTTGGATTGGCACCCTGTTTGGGGCCAACAGGAAAATGGGACACAAGTCATTACCCCCAAAAGAACATGGGCCATGCCTTGGTCCAAAAGAGATTGGGTCTACATTACCCTTTTCCCTTGAGTACTACGGGGGTATTTAACACCATCTTAGGCGAAAGTGGTTCATTGAAGGGTCAACATTCCAGGCTTGCAGTTGTGCCGGTTTAATCTTGGTTTACACTGATACTTGTCATCTGGTGCAAATAGGATGCGATAGTGCACACAGATCCCTATAATTGTCAGCAAGGCATTTGGATGAAGCCTCGACTCCTCACCAACATCGGATGTCAACTGGGGACGCAACGGATACCCTGCCGCCAACTACAGGTAGCACGGAACTCGGCAGGGAGGTTTTGAAATCGTGGCTCATCAGTGTTGTTTTGTGCCATTTTCCGTTGGCCCGTGACTCGATGTGACAGGCATAGTTGAGCAATTGTGGGTGGGATGTCAGCATTGGCCTTTTCGCTCACTGGTCTGCTTTGCAAAAGACACCCAGGGTCCAGGGCTTTGTTTCCCCCCTTGTGCTGGTTTCACTCTCAAACATAGCCCGTTTGACTTCAAGTTTTAGTCACTTCCTGAGTTCCTGGACTTACACTCTTTTGTGGAGACTGTGTTATACCAGCTGTGTTCGGACAGTTTGGACTTTTGGCAAAACTGGGGCGAAGCTGTGGAAAGCTAAGGCAGCATGACGGCCCACAGCGTCTTCCCGGACCCACCGCCGGCCCCGAGGGCCACGCACAACGCAGCGCCCGCCCAGGCGATCATGGACATCTTCTTGGCGAAGGACCGGCGAACTGGGCATCCCGCGATGCTTGTCTATGCTTGAACGACAAGGAAGGAACACACGGGTGCCAGTTGGTGTCGATTTGTTTCCACATTCGCAGTAGATCTGCGCAAGTTCAAGTGAATTGCGGCGTATCCAATTTTCATTTGCGCAATGCGGCAGTTGCCCTGCAAAACCAAGTCAACCTCATGTGGAGCAAACATATATGTTTGCTTTCGTGCCCAATGGGCGAAGCCCATTAGATAAAGAGCACCAGTTGAGACGCCTGGCCCCTTTGAAACGAAGCCATTGAACTCGAAAAAACCCCATGAAATGCCATTTGACCCTCGGTTTTTTGAACCATTTGCCATGGGACATGACCCAAAACAAATCATGCTGGCTTGAAAGGGCACCCCGCAAACCAAGGGTTTGAGGTGACGCCCGATTTCTGGACATACACCAAATAATAGCTGTGGCCCGAAAGGAAAGTGTGCTGCAGCGTGCTTGTCAGATGAGTTTGGGTGTCCATGCTGAAGGTGTCTCTGAACAGGGACCCTTCAGGGAAGCCCTCTGAGTCCTCAAGCTGTCCATTCAGTCGCAAGGGAGATGGCAGTCCATCCCGCCAGTTCTGAGCATGACCCTACATTCCAGCAAGGAATGTGGATCATGAAAGCTAGCTGCAGCGGGAGTTCTCTAAGCTTTAGCTTCTTGGGGCTGAGCTTCCGGTCCATGCCTTATGAATCGGGGGGCCACGTGAAAGACCTGAATCGCATGAAACAGACCGTTGCCTGGGCAACCCCCCGTCGTTGTTGGGCTGGCTAGCTTTCGTTCACCCACCTCTCAAGTGTTGTGTCCCTCCAGGCTTTGAACTAACGCAAAGGGGAACATCACCAGAAAAGACACACCCCTGGGCCCTGGGTGCTACTGATTTCCGATTCTCCAAAACAACTCGCAGGGAGACGGGTAATTTGTTAACTTTCCCTGGCCCCCTATTATAAAGCAGGATCGGTGTGTATGTGTGTGTGTTGGTGTTGGTGTTGGTGTTGGTGTTGGTGTTGGTCTTTGTTTTGTGTGTTTGTTTCTTTGTTTGATTTCTGTCTGTTTTTTGCTCTGACCTTCGAACAACCAGACATTCGCGCGGAGGAGGGCGAAGTGCACCGCCGGATCTTCGGGCCGAAGCATCTGAACCAGTTCCGATCCATCAAGGCCGGAGAGGGCTGCGAGCTATGGCGGGCCATGAGCATCGCCTTGACTCGGTTAGCAGCCAAATCCTTAGCTTTGCAGGTTTTTACTTGGTCGGGTGGGGTTTCCATTGAACCACAACTCAAACTTGTAGCAGAGAATCTGAGCACAGTTGAAAGTCTGGACATGTGGCTTTTGTTGAAGCAAATGTGGGGTAAGAAGCACAAGGCGGGAGGGAAACGGCAAAGTTCGGACCCGGCTGCAGAAACTGCCGTTTCAAGCAACATTATCTCCGCCTCTTAGGCTTTTAGACTGCCTTGATGTTGGCTGCAGTTTTAGACACGGAAGCCGACGTTGCGGCTTGCCCAACGCCAGCTGAGGTTTGCACCATAGCACAAGCTTATTCTAAGAGAGCCAATGTGGAACCCAAATGCGGGCATTTTTTTACACGCAAGTCTGGCCATCTTTGAAGGTAAGGTAGAATGTGCTGCAAAAGTATGCAAGGTAGACTTGGCAGCTCAGATTGCTCCAGTGATGCCGTTGTCCGCTTGACCCTACCTGTTCCAGAGTTTTTTCTCCAGGAGATCCTACTTGCTGGGGATACGAACCGCCTGGTGGCCGAGCTGACCTTTGTGCGGATCAACGACTTGGCGTCTCCTCCGGAGAAGCTCCACCCGTTGATGTACATCGAGCCGCTGGTGGCCACGCTGATCGTGGGCAATGGCATCATGATCGGCTTTCAGACTGTGTCCAGCCAGCAGAACAGCAGCCATGCGCTGGATCCAATGGCACGAACAAAGGGTTTCGCGAGGAGGTATAGTTTCCCTTTAACCTTCCCCATCCCCCCTTTTGGGGCGAGGCGGGTATTTGGAGTATGGCAATTTAACGGACCCAGAGTCTCAGAGGGTTGACGAAGAGGTCAAACGGAGAGAGAAATAGCGAGAGAGAGAGAGAAAGAGAGAGAGAGAGAGAGAGAGAGAGAGACGAGCGAGAGAGGGGCACCCCGTCGCTCAACCAGCTGATTGAAAGGGCTATTCAGATGCCAGTGGGACACAGTGACCCCGTAACCCCGTCCCTAGGATTTTTTACAGGTCCCGGGGAGGCCCGGCTTTGGGATCAAGATATATATATATATATATATACATATGTGTGTGTGTATGGTATACATGCTTTTTTTTTATATGTGTATATATGTATATATATATATATGTATATATATATATATATATTTATGCCTGTTTCCTACATGTCAGGTTTCACTAAGTATGGATCAAACACATGACTCTTGGGCAATAGCTAAGGTAGTTGTTCCGTGTGCTGAAATTGAGTGCGAGCTCAGGACCCAGCGTACGCGAATTGGGGGGGCTGGACGTATCTGGAGATCGGCTTTGCAGCCTGCCTCCTGCTGGAAATCGGGCTGCGGATGCACCTGCTGAGGTGCTGGGGTTATTGGTGTGGCCCGGAGAAGTGGTGGACACTCGGACTGGTTGGATCCGTCTCCCCTCGAACATAGTGTTTGTGTGTTCTTTTTGTTTCATGGGGGGATGAGGCAGTTTTTGGAAACATGAACCATTCCAGGAATGTTGCAAATAATGTTCTGCCCTTTGTTTGACAGGTTCCCCCACTTAAAATGGTCTGTTTTTCTGGTTTCAACCTGAGGTATGCCTGGCCATGTTTTGTGAAGCTGGAGTCACAACAGCTTCGGTCAACATATCCTGCCTCGTTTATGGTCCAGCTGAGACTAAATTTCAACCACAGAAGCCAGGTGGCGAACTCTCATTTTCCAACGGCCATTGTTGGAACCGCCTATTTCGGCTCATAGGGATCCACCCTCCCATGGCGGCGAATTGGCAATCAGGTGCCCCAGCAGCGCGCCCAAAGACCATGAATCCTAACCCTTCGCCTTCCCTGACTCGTGACTGACAGGGGATCCCTTCAAAAGTGTTCCTGGCACCCTGGGGGTTTGTGGCGAGTGTGGCAGATCTTTTGGAGACTAGTGGACTTCACGTTGAACCTCCAAAATAAAGCTCGGCGTGGCTAAACGTTTGTCAAGAAGGGTTTGCCAATGGCTCGGCACGGCTTCACGGGAAGCCTGGAACCCATGTTCAGACGTGGTGGACCTACATATTGCGGAAGGGAAGGGAGCATGGGTTGTGGCTGGTTTGATTGCAATGCTTGACTTGAGGAACCAATGAAGCTAATGCATTGTCAACGGACAGACAAGGAAGGGCCGGCCGAAAGGGAAGTCGCGGCTCGTGCTGAGGAATTGGTTTGACTTGCTCTTGGCCTGCACGGGCTTGTCGGACATTTATTTCGGGCAGCTCGGCAGCTGGCTCCGGCTTATATACGTCATAGGATTCGAGCCCCTCCCCGCACGGAGGGCGGGATCCGTTGGTCCTGAGGCATGCCATGGCAGACCGGCAAAAGGCACCCGGTTGCTTTTGGCATTGAAGCACTTACACAATTGCGAGGGCTGAGTGACACGCTTTCAACCAGTTTCTAGTCCCAGCTCAGACGGTGCTATGTTTAAAATGTATCTTTGAACAATAAAAATAAAAAAAAAAAACAAAATACGCCTGCATGCAATCAGATTTTCTCCGGATCTCGTTTGCTGCAGAATGACGCGGATGTCTGGACCACTTGGGCCGTGCTGCAGTGCCTTGCTGGGCTTTTCTCTAAACAGCAGAGAAGCAGTGCCGACATGGGGTTTCGCGGAAGGAATTGCTCGTGCGGAGGCCTCCGCGCATGCCGTAAGTCGCAGAAACCTTGATTTATTGGTCCTCTGTGCGTGTTGTAACTGACATGTCTTGAACAGTGATAGTCAGGATTGTTGCTTGCTCGGCTTGAATCGCTCATATGCGTTGCATAGTGCCATTGATGTATAGTTGACACTTCACTTCGGTTCCAACAAGCCGAACAAGATCCCCCCACGTAGCATCTGCGGAAGCGTGTCTCCAACCACAGCTTCCGCGCCGGAAGCGGCGGCTGCAAGCCCCACTTGCTGCCAGGGGACTTCCAAGGGCGCAAAACCTGGCGCCTTGCGCATTCTTCCCCAGAATTAGCTCTATTTAGTTGTTTTGCTATTTTTGGGTCCCTTTGTTCTCCACTAACCAGGCAAAGAAGATAATCTTTTGCTGGGGTCCTAATTCCAGCCTAGCATTGAGGTTGTTCTTCGAGGCAACGGACTCGGTGGCTGGCACTTCGCTGCTCAGATTTTGTCGCGCCTTGTCCATCGCGCCGAGTCGAGCGGGGCGGGCTCAGAAGCTGCCGGCTCAATCGCAACATATCGCAACTTAAGACTTGGAAACCCATTCAGTGTTTGTCTCAGTTCTGGTTTCTGCATCTGCGTACGGGTACCCTCGAAAGCAGGGGCCAATTTGGAGCCAGTCGGCGAGTCCAGCCCTAAGGCTTGATCCGGCTGGTCCGCATAGTGAAGGTCTTTCGCATCAAGATGCTGAAGGCCGACCGGCAAATGCGTTTTGGATGTTCAGTCAAAATGAAGTTTCGGGTGGCCTCTCGAGAGTTTTGCGTCCTTTGTGAACGGTCAGTCTGATTCCATGCAAGAGCTGCTGATGGGAAGCATTTTCGCACAACAAATGGGAACGCAGTCGTTATCATTCTCTCCTGTATATGCAATCAGCGGCCCTGCAGGCAGTCAACCAGCAGGAAATGCACTTTAGACGTTGCACCCCCACCCCCTAAGCAATGTATTTGCACTAATCATAGAGGGCTCACCTCAGCCCAAAATCAGCTTACCCAGGATGAAGGTCTCTTACTAGGCATCTCGCCTCCAAGGCCACTTGCCTCAGGAGAGGTCGGCCCGCCCAGAAAGAACCCTGAGGGCCTTTGTCGTCCTCGAAGGCCTTTTTGGCCAGCCGAGGTGCTCGGTGTTTTGTATGCCTCGGTGCCATGGTCGTTCTGGGGTTACTTTGCTGGCTTTGCTGGATGGGTGTGGTCTTCTAGGCCTTATGCGGATGGAAGCGCGCAGAGCGGGAGTCGCTTTCGCCTCATATCTGCGAAACGTGTTCCGCTGTCCTGGTCTTCCACCGTGCCTCATTTGGCACCACTGCTTGGGGTGTTTGCTTTGTTCCTTTGCCTTCTCGCCTGAGGATCCACGATTTCACTGGGCTTTCGACGGGACTGTCAGTGTATGATCCGTCTCGTTGGTTTAGTTGCTGCCTTCGGCTGCGTTATTTCCAGGCGCCTCTGCGACTCTGCGCGCGCCAATCCTTAGCGAATAGGGGGCCTGGGCACCCAGGCCTGGATCCCCAGGACAGGTTCCCCTGCACTGAGGCATGTGCTTTGGGTGATGTTGCTTCCTTGCTGGGGGAGCACTTCGCTGTCCCTTGGGCGCAATGCCCCTTTCTTGAGTGCCGCTTCATCGACACGCATTGTCCGGCATTGTGAAAGCAGGAAAGCCAGCCGCGCAAAGCGCGTTTTGACTGGCGGTCGATCAAGGCTCTCCCACCCATCAGTTGGTGTTGAACATGCGGGCAAAACGAAGCCCCCCATTTGTATTTTTTTCTTGGGAACCGTTTCTGAGCGTCAGGACCTGCGGCTCATGGTGAAAGGCCTGGTGGCCGGGGTGAAGACTCTGAGTTTGGCATTTGCCCTGCTTTTTGCAGCCTGGCAAAGATTGCCAGCTCGCTCATTGTCATTCCAGGCGTCAGGTTGTTCTTATACGATAGTGATTTTTCAGTTGTATACACCTGTGAACCGCACTCTTGTTGGCGTGAGCAGCAATTTCACGCGGACCTTTTGTGTTGCAACGGCTTCTAGCCAGTTGAATGCTCCCGAGTGCCTGGGTCATATATCCAAACTTTGCTTTCGCCCTTTGGAAGAGATAGCTTCAAGCCTCAAGCCAAGTTGCCTAAGACTCAGGCCTAAGACTAAGACAAAAAGACGGAACAGGCAGAAATCGCCCCCGCAAATCACAACTTGCACCCCCTGTCCGGTGTCCAACGTCCGACTTGCCCCTAAGTGCCCCATGAAAGCTGGGCGCGCCCAGGCCGTGTTGTACGTCATCGCCGGCTTTGCAACCATCTCCATTGGCGTGGATTCACGCACCCAGGCCATCGGCCTTACAAGCACCTTGCATATAGGGGATGTGTTTGGCTTGGGCATTTTTGGCACAGGATGCCTGGTCTCAGACAAAAGCAGACTTTAGATTCAAGGCAGGCACCCAGGAGATGTATTTTGTAGGGCCTCACAGTTGTGAAGCTCTTGGTCCTCGGGCAATTGCGTGCTGTTGCTGGAGGTGATGGAGTGTGAATGGTTCCTCAGGACCCATTGAGGCTCGAGTGTCGGCTGTCACACAGGTTCAATCACCTGGAAGGGTGAGTATTGGTGAGCATATGGCCAGGCAGACTTGGACTGCCTCGGGCTTGTAGGGGAATCTGACAACAGCCTCCGCCGAATCTAAGTACGGGCTCGAATCTGAGATGAGGTTACTTTCAGAACATCCCAGCCACGATGTTCACGTCCTTCCGGTGCTTCAACGGGGAGTGTGCCACTTGACAGTCGTTCGCACGTCGTGGTGCGACGCTCGAGCAGCCTCAGTGAGGGGGGAATATGAGTTTGTGCTTGAAGCTTGGGCGCGCGATGTCTCTCAGAGTTCCCCCCTCTCTTCCTCTCTCTTTCTCTTACATATATGTGCATGAAGTACACGACGTGAATAAATGAATATATCATATGAATGCAAAGCTTTTCGAACTTCAAGCCACAAGGAAATTCCTTGATATGACTTCTTGCGTCAGCCTTTATTTACGCGAGACTTCTTTCGGTGGGAGGCCCGAGCAATTCACCTGGACAACTAATTCACCTGTACGCAATCGATTCAGAACCATGGCCGGGGGGAGGCGTTGTAGCCCACTAGTCAATGAGTGCCTATGATGAGGACCATTGAGTTACACAATGTATATTTGCTTTGCGACCGTCGCGCTCCACAAATTCAAGCGACAACCTCGGATGCAGGCAGGTCATTCATGAACATGGTGCAGGCAAAGCAGGCTGTACCCTCCTGAGGGCCTGCGGTATTGCAACGAGTTTGCGGGGTAGGTGTTGACATCGCAGAGTACAGTGCAAGGTTCCAGGTGTGAATGATAAATCGTGTAGATTGCGGGTCATGACCTTTCCATTTGCTTCATCTCATCTCCACACATTGCCATATCTCCGGGATTTGTAAGATATTTCACCCAATTTGCATCTGAGGTGAATGATGCTGGGCAGCCGATTCCGTCGCTGCTGGCTGCCGAGTTTGGTCTCCCCTTCATCCTGGGCTACGTGGGCAGCTACATGTTAGTCACCATGGGTGTCTTGACTTCCCGGTTCCGCTGAGTTTTTGTTTGTTTTTTTTGGGGGGGGAGGGGATGTTGTCTTTGTTGTTGTTTTGGTTTTTTTTTGGTGGGGGAGGGGATGTTGATTGCGAGAAGGTGGCCAAAACGCTTGCTGCTTGCCGTGTTTTGTTGTTACTTGTCTTCAACCTCAAGATTCAACTCAACTCAACATGCATCTTCAATCTATCAGTAGCCATTGGCCGTAGGCCGCAACATGAAGCTGCCAGAATCAACATTGAGGGGCGGTTTCTCAGTTGCCAGGTTTTGTTGGAGTCTAACTATTTCACAGGTAGACAGGCTGGTGTTTCTGCTTCATTACTGGAGCTTGCAACCCTCCCTGCGGGAGCTGCAGCTCTGATAATGTGGGGACCATGTTTAAATTTGCCAAACGAAACCGATGGTTTTTGTTTTTACAGCGGACGAGTTCCGCCATACTCGCACGGCAGATGCAGTGCGGAGCATGGTCAGGTCGAGGTTCAGAAGGGCCGAGCGAGATCGTTGCTCGTTCTGACCGAACGGCTTGCTGTGAACCGGCACAAGCAGGTGTCAAGCTGTGCCAAAACAGGTCGGCTCAGGCAGAGCACGACCCCCTGCAGGGGCATGTGCACCTTAAATCTGGAACAGTTCAGTCCCGATGCAAACTGGCAGTGGAGTCCGAAGTGGCCATCCAGAGCCCTAACCAGCCCACGCAGAAAACGAATTCTGGCCGCTACCGTGAGCTGACCGGTGCGTGCTGGTGGAAGCGATGAAGCATCTCCCCAACACTCACCAAATTTGGAGACAACCGGGATCGGGTGCTCCTTGAGTGCGAAATTCACACAGGCAGCAAGCTCCAGCCAAGAAAGCTGTACACTCTCAACAACATCGGAAGAGGCTTGTTGCTGGAGCCACTCCACAAAACTGGTCACAAACCTGCTGCCAAACCGCCGTGCCCCCTCAGAAGCATTCCACGATGAGAGCCACCGAAGAGGAAGACCCTCAATCCAGCATCCGCCATCCACATGCGGGCGAGGCTGAGGTTCATCAGGGGCATCGTCACCCGAGAGCACCGGAAGTGCACCAGCATGGAGCGTGGAAGCAACTTCAAGGTGCAGGTCGCGAAAGTGGTCCACCGCAGCAAAACTATCTAATTGGTGGGCGCGAAATTGGCCCCAAATGTGCCAAAAACTGTCTGGCCGCATCCTATGAGCCTGTCCAGCAGCGTCGTCGGCCCTCTGATTCCAGTAGGCCGTCCAATCCTCGAGGTCAGAGATCTCGTTGGAGTGTTCACGATGAGCAGAAACGTGCTGGACCAGCACATTGTTCGGGGGCATGAGGGCTCCCAGAGGTCACTATTGGTCTCCGGCGTCTCAAAGTCAATGTCCTGGACCAGTGCAGCACACCCGCATGCTGCATAGGCACTGTCGGACCAAACCGTGCCCAGAACTCTGTGAAGATGCAACCATGTCACCGCGGCCAAAATGGCCCGAAGTTCGGTTCGATTCACATCCTGCTGCAAACCTCCTAAAGGGCTGGCACACAGCTCAAGGTTGTGCGAAGCCGAGATCACCGCCCAGGAGGCATATGCACAGGAAGGGGATGATGGGTGGGCGCAACTGCCGTCTGTGAAAAGGTCATGTCGGTGACCGGGTCGAGGTTGGAGATGCCCAAGTACAAGGTCATGTTGTTGATAAAAAGCCCATCGCAACAGTTGTTCAAAGGGGTTGGCTGATGGCAGCAAACGTTCGGTGAGGGCTCGTGGAAACTGGGCCCAGTGTTGTACTGCCCAAGGGTGCCGGGCATGAACGGCCGCCAAGGCCGGGCACTGCCGACAGCGATGTTCCAGTGTCCTCCATGTGGCAGTACTGACAAAGCGTTCCCTTGACCAGGTACTTGCCATGCGAGGATCCAGAAATGAAAGCACCTTCCCGCAGTGCGTTCACTCTTGCCACATCAAGTGCAGAAAGCCGGAGCTCCTTGTCAGAGGGTGGCCACGTGAGCCCATGCAACCCAGCATAGTCATGTCGGTGAGCGACTTCACGCGAAAGGCGCTGTGTCCAGGCATCCAGGAGTCGTTCCCTAATGTGTGGCCACGGATCCCGCAGGAGATCCAGTGGCAAGCCCATGTGGTCAACAAAGACGGGGGGCTCAGCGATCTTCCAAAGGATAGGTCGCATTGCTCAATCAGCTTGCTGCAGGGGCCTGCGATAGTGCTCGGCAAACGAGCACCAGAGATCAACAAGGTGGTGGTTCTTCCCAATGAAGCGCTTGAAATCCTGGAAGACCCGGATCAACTGATAGGCGCCAGGGTCCGCAACATGGTTGCCAGAAAGCAGCGCCAGTCGAATGCCCGGATGGGCGCCAGCGTGGCCGAAGCCCAGGGTACGCACGGCCTTGGTGCGAAGCTGCACGATCTGTTGCCAGGGCAGTAGGGTGATGCCAATGGCATGAAATGCCTTGGCCCAGAAGGCCTGGATCAGGATGGTCACTTTCTGCCGTGTAGAAGCCCACGAGCGACGAAGTCGAGGCCACAATGCCTCCACGGACCCGCAGTTGGATGAAGCCAAGACGTACTGTTGGGCCACTACTGCATCTGATCGGCAGCAACTGCGCGCCTTGGGCAACCGAGTTGAACTGCAACAAGCTGACCTGGGCGGTGCCATGACCTACTGCGCTCGGCGTGGCCTGGGATCCCAAAGGGATCGTATTGCATACCCCAACAAGAGAAAAACTCCTGCATGACAAGCCATCCGCCAATGGTGGAGCCCACATCGTTGCCAAAGAGCTCGGGGCTGTCCACGTAGGAGCGCGGTATGGTCCTGGGAGCGAAGACGCTCTGGTCCAAATCCAGTCGATCACCGTCATGGCTACGACCGACAAGCTGCAGCCTTCGGGCATGCCAGTGTTGGAACAGAGGGTCGCCAATGTGGCCCTGCACCGAGAAAAAGCTCTCCGTGCCGTTGAGGTAGCGCTCCCACGCATCAAGAAGCCCGACTGGAAGCCCCAAATGTTGAGCGACCTGGAAAAAGGGTCGTCGAGGGATGTGCTCAAAGGCTTTGACCAGGTCGGTCACACATCCGACGAGCGGCTGGGCCTGCTGCAAGGCGCATTCAATCAGGGCCTGAGCCCAGTGCCAAAGATCACCTGCTTCGCGGCCCGGAAGAAAACCACGGATGCCCCCCGGGAGGACGGTGCCCAGCTTCTTGATCACCGAACTGGCCCGCAAGGAGCTCCAGCTGCTATACGCCACCGGGAAGATCACGATGGGCCTGTGCTGGTTGACCGTGTTGGAGACCGCCGACTTGGGCAAAGGGAGACAGAAGCCCTTGAGCAATTGCAGCGGCCAATGTTCCCCCGTTTCGATGCGATTGAGGAGTTGGACCATCTCTTCCTTGAACGCATCGGGCATCATGAGAAGGTCAAGGTAGTCGAAACCATCGGGCCCACGTGCCGCTCCGATGGAATATCTCTTGTTGGTCATGTTCCAGGCGTGCGTGGTGATGGCGGGGAAGTTGAAGTGGACCGGAGGTACATGAGCTCGCACAAAGTTGAAAATGCGCTCCCATTCACAGTTGTTGGGTGGGGCCACGGTATTCCACCTGGCAGACCAGAAGTGCTGGAAGTGCTTGAGGATCTGATCCGGTTGAGCGACCACTTGTCGATGCTGAAGCGCTTGGAGGATGGAGCATCGTTGCCGCATGTTCCATGCCTCGAGGGCTTTGAAGTTGGCCTCAAAGTCCTGGGACAGCTCGAGCAAAAGGTCTGCACCGGGGAGCAGCGCCGGGAAATCGGCATGCTCAGTGTAGGTCTGGATGGGTCGCAGACGCCACCAGGTAGTGAAGTCCGGCTCGAAGCCTTTGGCAGTCTTGATGTTGTTCCAGGTGAGGGCGGTACTCGACCGCGGATGGAGATTCGCTGCTGCGTCGCACGTTGTGGAGAAGGCTCTGGAATCGACGAACCTGGTGTATGCGTCCAAGAAAGTCGGAGGCCGGAACGACTTCCCCTTGCCGGCTAGGCCGTAGCTTCGAGGGTTGCGCTGGTCGAAGGTGAGGCTGAAGGTGTTGAGCACGTCCACGTGCAGCTGGCGGAAGGCCACCACCAGAAGAGGTCTTGATCATTCCATGTAGGCTGTTCTCAAACGCACGACCAAAGTGCTTGTAGTACTCGGCGAAGGAATCCGGCCATGACAAGACAGATGGAGCCACATGTGCTGTTTGCTGCCAAGTAGGGATGTCGACCGCGGACCACGGGATCTTGGCAGGCATGGGCCAGCATCGTTGCGCAGGAACGCAGAGAGGTACATCAAACCATCCCGTGACAGTGGAGTGATCCGCAAAATCATCCTGCACCTCTGCCCTGTAAAAGAAATGCCGAAGCTCTGGACTGACGAAGATGAGGTCAGGCTGGGTGCGGCCCTTGCAAGTGGGAAAGGGGCCCTCCTGGAAGCGCTCGTTGTGCAGTGCCTGCACCTTGGACCAGCCCAGAGCACGCCACTCCTCAAGCTCGGGAAAGTCATTGCCATTCAAGTCTCCACAGATATAACGGGGTCCACAACGACCATGCACGATCTCAACAGTGAGCTGCTGAAGGAGCTCACGGGTGGCTTCACGCGCGCGTGGCCACGTGGGACCAGGCGACCACCCGTACAGAACCGCCCCAGTGACGTAGAAGGAACCGAGGTCAAAGAAGGAGACTTGCACACGACCGAGGGCAAGTTCCCCACCCGGAAGATGCATGCGCGCGCGATGAGCTGGCACATCACTAAACTGAAAGACACCTGACCACACCCCAGTGCTCAGGCTTCGGGCCCGTAAAGGGACAGGCTCTCCGGGGACCAACCATAGTCGTCGATGGTCACTGCCGGCAAAGCGGCGAAGAGTTCGGCAGACTGCCTTGATCCCTGGCAGCACACACGCACACCCTATGTCATTCCCGAAATGCAGGGCCGGGGTTGATTCGCGACACATTGCAAATGGAGAATCAGAGAAGGAGGAAAGACCCCATAGTTTTTCCGGTGGTTAATTAGTGGCTGACTTGCTGCATGTAAGGGGGTCATGCAAGCGGAGCCCTGTAAACCAGGTGGAAAGAGACATTCTTTAAGGTTGCCTCACCCCTTATGGCGGGCAAAGGGGATCCTTGGGTCTTCTGAACCGCTTTTCAGCTTTTGTACGGCCAGGGGAAACGGGCATCGTGAGAGGGGGCAGGTTCCCACTTTCCAAGAGGCCACTCCCGAAAAAAGTCGGTGGCCAGTGAGTGGGACAGGACTCCCACAGGCAGGGGCCATCATTTTCCATCCGTCCTGGAGGAACAGAAGCTGCCAAACAGCAGAGCAACCCACTGGCCAGAGGCCAAGAACCCACAACCGCCCCGTGTGCTTGTGGGGAGCGGTATGAAAGCTCGGTATGAACGCTTATAGAGTTGTTGTTTTTTTTTGTTTTCCCTGGCGGGGGCCTGAATTTCCCGTTGGCCTTGGGACCTCGTTTCGTGTTGCGCGTTTCGCTTTCTCTCGGAAAAGCCGCCACTGCACGCGGCAGTGGTCTGACTCCGTGGCGGCCTTCAGGGATTTTCAACGTGATTTTGGGGGTGTACGTGGACATCACCATGCGGGCGGCCAAAGAGAACGAGGCGCAGTCAGCGGAGGCCTGGAGAGCTGCGTCGCGTCCATGATCTGCCTCTTTTGCTCAGTATCGTTTTGGTGGTTGCGGGCTATTGCATGCGCGCTATTCGCGGCCGGCCCGCGGCCCAACCTGACCTGTGCGTCAAAACGCCCCTTGTTTGGATGTTTGGAAGGATGAACCCGGTGCGATTTGGAAGCTTTCGCGCTGCCAACAAATGCATGGCCCAGTCGATGCTTAGGTATTTATATTGAACATGTACATGTTACGGCCGAGAGCTTTTCATATATTGATTCACGTTCCCACATGATTCCTTCAAGTCACAATGACTGAGGCGAATGCAATAGATTTGACAGGTTGTTTTTGCAGTACTTGAGAGGCAGCTGTTTGAGTTTTACAGTGGCGCGACTAACATCAAACAAAGGAGGTACCGGCCACAACCATACACCTTGTATTCCTGTATAGCCCTTAGATGTCGCATACCCATACAGATTTTCATGCTTAAGGCTGGCACTCCCAGGTTGAAGCGACTCTTGGGGCACGTCTTTGGGGCACGCACGGCAAGGCCCACAGTCGGGAGTCCATCCGCATCGCCCGGACCACTCGGGAGCTGCTCAAACGCTTCGCGGCGGCCTATCACGTCTTTACAGAGCTGGACGCTTGGGACATGGCGGAAGTCAACGCTGGTGTTCATCGAGGTCCCCCAGTAGTGCTCTTTTACCCTTTCTTGTTTTGTTGGGAGGGTTCCCCTACTAAAATAGGCTACAGAAAATATGGTACCCTTATTCTAACCTCTCTGCTGGAGGCCCTAGTCATTATTTTCGGGGCAACATCCTTTCAGAACATTGCCAACAACCCAAATAAGATTTTAGTGGGATGTCAACAATTTCAACCTCCAAATTTAACTAGAGCCTCCAGCAAGATGCCCACTTTGGCTGTGCCATGTTTCGCTCAGAACTAGGCTGGCTTCCTTCGTGCTTGGTTTGTCTCTTTGACCGTCGTGTTTGAGTGTTTGCGTTGCTTGCTTTGTTCTGGGCTTGTTTTGTTTCTTTGCTTGATGCTGAAGGGCCGATGGGCCGTCAGCAATACGTGCGCACTAAGGAAGTGGACCCAACCTCTCCAGAAGACACGAAAGATAGCAAGTTTTCGAAGTTGCCATCCTCCGCGCTGCTGACAGAGGATGACTTGAGGGACGTTGCTATCACCAAGGAGGGCCCAGACGGCACGTTCATTCCGTCAGTGCAAGCCTTTTATGCCACACAGCCAAAAGAAGCAGCTCCCACCTCAGGTTCCTTGCAAAGCGATCATGTTGCTCACAGCTTTACCCTGTTGATTGACAAGTCAGACCAAGCTGGATCAGACGCCATGATCTCAGGTCTGTTCAAATGGTTCCGTTTGCTGGAGACCTTGCTACAAGAGATTCCTGTGCAAATGGACCCCCCCTTCTGAGTGTTCCCTTCATACCCCAGCAAACCGACCCTCAAAACACCTCTCTGCAGAGGAGCTGTTCCTGCTGGTTATCCAAGACGGGCGGGTGCAGAAACTGATGGACGAGCTGGATCTTCCGCCGGACCGTGCGAATCTGCGGCTCAGAGAAGCGCGAGAGAGTTGCAGATTTCAGTTTGAACGCCTCGATTTGGGTCCCTTTGTGTCATGTTGGTTTTTCCTGGGTCGACTTTGTATCCTTGCGGCTCCCTTTTGTGACAACCTGTGTCACTTTGGGAAGGTCGGGAAGGGCCCTGGACGCATGTGTAGTTTTCTCCTGTCTTCTAGCAATCTCCTTTCTGGGAATCAAGCTTTTTGGGCTTGACAAAATGCAGCAACAGTAGCATGCATGAACCTTTGGTAGAGGAATCTTCTTTGGCCCCGTTCCATTCTGATTTGCAGTACGAGCATTGGTTGTCATATGCAGGGGGTCTCCTTCAAATTTGATACCGTTGAGTCAATGAGCCTGGCCACTCTAGCAGTATTTGAAGGCCCTGGGTGACCTTGAAGTATCTCATTTCGGAGGGGTCCCTAGCTTTCCATGGCGATTCGGTTCTCAGCCTAGGTTCGAGATCATCGCCCCTCTGACATGGGGCACATGGGGCGATGGGCGATTCGCGGAGGTGTTGCAAAGTTGAAAACGGAAGGTCACATCCACGCCATACCCAAAGCTAATAAGCCGTGCCATGCCTATCATACCAGTACAGTCCTGGAACCCTTCGTTCCTCTTGAGCCAAGCTGTCGCTGTGGCAAGGCCTCACCCTCGCATAGGGGGCGATCCTCACGTTAAAATGCAAACACCCATGACATGTTTGGCCATTGCCACGCATTTGAACCTGTCCGAAGTGGGAAAATCGGCTGGAGTTGGAACTGAGCGACGCGTGAACCACAACGTAGAAAACAAGTCTTCGATGAGGGCGACGCCTATGCGAGGGGACCTGTCTGGGGGTTTTTTGAGAGCGACCTGGCACCCACCTTGCATTATGGCCCCAACTCTATATCCCCTTTTGGCGGTTTAAAATATTTAGGTGTAAATATATATATATATATATATTACACATTTGTAACTATACATATATTAAATATGTGTGGGTCAATTTAACATGAGTTTCCTCTTGGTGGAGTGATGTTTAAGGGGAAATGAAGGAGCAATGTTTTCAGGCCTGTGCTTCATCAGTACAGGCCTGCAGGAGGAATCTGTCGATCGTTTACTGGCAGGTGCAAACCATGTTTTCCATCAGATTCTGCAAGCATTCCGTTCGGAGCCAACTGGCGCTATGCAAGGCAGGTGCAAAGCTTGGACGCAGCATGATGCAGGGTCAGAGGCCAACAATGCCCGGCGCATTTTGCTGCATGCCGCTGAACATTGGATGAAGCGCGCGAGTTGTTTCATTCGTGAGTTTAGTTATGGTGACTCGGGCCACATCAGTGTTGGGAAGGAGCAGGTATTTCATAGGACTGATGTCGACCAGCACACGCAGTTACAGGGGGGTTGCGCCCTTTACGGGGGTCCATTTCTGGTGATTCACCCTCTCACCAACTTGACTCACCAACTGTGACGCAGACAGTCCTGAAAGGGGGACACTTCAGGATGCAGATAGCAGCGGCACGCTGCAGATCGCGGAGTTGCTCCACGGTTTGCTGAAGATTCGAGGCGACTGGCCAGGGATTAGTGGGCCTTGGAAGCAGACTTGCAGTTGCTTCCGTGGCAAAAAGGCACCGTTTCTGTTTGGTCCATACTTGTTTGGGGGGCGTAAACAAGCAGTCTTCGAGCCAAAGCACCGCTGGCTGAAGGCGCGGATGGGCGGCCACATACGCAAAGCTTGCACTTCTGTATCAAGTCACTGTCCCCAGAGTTGAATGGGATATAAAGCGCTTCAATGTGGCCCGTTCATAAAATTTATATTGGTCAAATACAAACAGCCGATTCTAAGCCCTTGAGTGGGATGGGGTTTAGGCGCCTGAGTTTCTGTACCCGTGCTGCCCATTGGGTGCATGATCGCAGCCAGGGCCTACGCATCAAACAGAAATTAATTTAGGATCTGGTGCACTTGGAGCAAAGGACTGATAGTAGGTCAGCATACGGCGGTTAATAAGTTAGTAAGTTAGCAAGTTAGCCAGTTAGCAAGTTAACGTGTTAGTAAGCTAGCAAGTTCGTAGGTGTGCCTGTTAGAATAAGTTAGTACGTGAGTAAGTTAGCCAGTTAGCCAATTAATCATTTAGCAAGCTTCTCATGGGGAGCCTGGGCTCATGGTTGCGCGCCTGGCTTGACTCGTTTGGAACGCCACAACTGTGAAATGTTTCTTTAGCCTCCGGTTGGGCGATTTTTTAACAAAGTGTGACCCTTGAGCGTGACCCGAAAGCCTTCTCCCAATTTAAGCAATGTTAGAGGGCCGAACTGAGTCTCTTGTTGGGGCACCCTTTGGAGGGACGTGGCTACACACTTGTCCTTCCGAGCGGGCTCCCTCCGCTATCTGCAAGAGGTGCTTAATAGAACGACCTAGTTCAAAGCGATTGACTTCAAACACTCTTGGGATCCAGGGAATGTATGGGAAGGTTGCTGTTTCCGTCATAGTTGGGGAGGGGGAAGAGCCTGGATGGTACATATTTGGGGTCTTCGGGCTTGAGGGACGCATGTTTAATTATAAGGTGATGTTTGTTATTACTACGCGACTCGGGCGTTGTGGAATCCTGTGACTAAAGGCCTGCCCACCACAAGCAGCACTTCCTGCTCCAAAAGTGCTGCAGCGTGAGAAGAGGAACCGCGACCCACGCAGAAACAATCAAACATTCGAGCAATACTGTCTGGAAATGTGTCTATCGCAAGCTTGGTTTGCCACGAGCATCATGGGAGCTTCCTTCAAGGCGTCCTTTCCCCTGCTGGTCAGCACGGCGCCAAACAAGAATTCTGAAATGTGTTTCCTCCAGTTGTGGAACGGAGGCCTGTCAGGTAGCTGACGGTAGGGGGGATTGTTAACAGCTCCTAGTGACAGCGGGAAGGCGCGTTCTGCGGTAGTAGTGGTAGTAGTAGTAGTAGTAGTAGTAGAAGACGAAGTAGTAGTAGCACTGCTACGAAAGTAGTAACACTTTCAGGAGCACTAGTAGACGTAGTAGTAGTAGTAGTAGTAGTAGTAGTAGTAGTAGTAGTAGTAGTAGAAGTAGAAGTAGTAGTAGCACTTTCAGTAGCACTAGTAGACGTAGTAGTAGTAGTGGTTGTTGTAGGAGTAACAGTATAGTAGAAGTAGGAGCAGTGGAAGTGTGGCTAGTCGTGGCAGTATTTGTGGTAGAGAAGAAGTAGTAGGTGTAGTAGCAGTAGTAGTAGTATCTAGTCGTCGTCGTAGTAGTCGAGGTAGCAGTAGTAGTCGTGGTAGCAGTAGTAGCAGCAGCAAACACTGCGGCATGACCATGGAAGCCAAATGCAAGCAACAGCTCCGTTGGACAAATCTGGGACAGCGCACAAAAAATGACACCGAGCAGGCTCGGTGTTGTCGACCCCAGCCGCTGAGAGAGACTGGGAGCGCCCCTGATGCGACGCCAGCCTCCGTGTACTGCCGCGCTACAGGAAAAAACACAAGCGCCGCGACACCTCCGCCGCTGCAGTGGCAGAACAAGTGGCCAAAAAGGCAAAGCAAAACCCTCAAGCGCAAAAGCGCTGGCGGCGAGGGAAACTCAGCAGAGCAGGCCAGCGGGACCACACCGAGGCGGACACCGTGTCACCTGCGCTGCCACTAGGCTGCTGCATGGGCATCTTCCTCATGGAAGGAGCACCAGAATCAGTGGAAACCGGCATGGAGCTTGACTTGTTTGGAACCGGCACGGTGCTGTGAAGTGTTTCTTTGGCCTCTGGTCGAGTCGGGCCGAACCCTTTCTACAAAATTGAAGTGTTGAGCGTGACCCGGAAACATTTCCCCAAATTTAGCAATGTTAGAGGGCGGCCCCCAATTATTTTTGAGGGATTTGGCTACACACTTGTCCTTACGAATGGGCTCCCTGCCCAAACACGTGCAAGGGCGCAGCTATTTGCAAGAGGTGGTGAATAGCACGACCTAGTTCAAAGCGATTGACTTCAAACACTCTTGTTGTCTAGGGAATGTATGGGAAGGTTGCCGTTTCCGTCATAGTTGGGGAGGGGGAAGAGCCTGGATGGTACATATTTGGGGTCTTCGGGCTTGAGGGACGCATGTTTAATTATAAGGTGATGTTTGTTATTACTACGCGACTCGGGCGTTGTGGAATCCTGTGAGCTAAAGGCCTGCCCACCACAAGCAGCACTTCCTGCTCCAAAAGTGCTGCAGCGTGAGAAGAGGAACCGCGACCCACGCAGAAACAATCAAACATTCGAGCAATACTGTCTGGAAATGTGTCTATCGCAAGCTTGGTTTGCCACGAGCATCATGGGAGCTTCCTTCAAGGCCTCCGGCGCCAAACACGATTTCTGAAATTTGTTTCCTCCAGTAGTGGAACTGAGGCCTGTCAGGTAGCTGACGGTAAGGGAGATTGTTGACCAAGAGCCACTAGCGACAACGCGTGCTGCGATACAACTACTATTACTGTTGCGTCAAGGAGTGCACGGCGGCAGACACAAAACCAGTACAGCAGCACCGGCTACCAAGACACCCAGTTGCGAAATGGAAAACACCCAGTCCGCTCTGGACATGCTTGACAATTATACGCATATATGTTTTAAAGTCACAACTTTTCAGAACAACAGTAGCGCTGAAGCGCACATTTGCAGCAGCGGTCTCAACTTTTTAGTGAGGAAGTTGCACATGAGGTCACTTTCGCAGCCCCAGCTCAAGTGTCGCAACTTTTCGCGTTCAAAGTAGAAGCCGCCTTCAAGATTCCCCTTAAAGATACGCAAGCACCAAAAGTTCAGGGCTAGCGCGGCTAGCTCAGTCAGCGAGTGAGTGAGCGAGTGAGCGAGCGAGTGAGTCAGTGAGTCAGTGAGTCAGTGAGTCAGCGAGTCAGTGAGTCAGTGAGTCAGTGAGTCAGTGAGTCAGTCAGTCAGTCAGTCAGTCAGTCAGTCAGTCAGTCAGTCAGTCAGTCAGTCAGTCAGTCAGTCAGTCAGTGAGTCAGTCAGTCAGTCAGTCAGTCAGTCAGTCAGTCAGTCAGTCAGTCAGTCAGTCAGTCAGTGTCAAAGAAAACAAATGCAAAACAAATAACCAAAATTGACAAACCCTACGTCCAAAACCTCTACGGGCTTTCGGTGGGTCGACCCCACAAGTCTCGTGGATTTCCGCACGTTCTCTTTCGCAGCCCGACCGTGGGTAGCTCCGTAGCTCCAGCCAGGCGGAGAAGCCAAACCTCGCAGAGGTTTGCAGTTTTTCGCGATTTCTCTTCCAGCACCGAGGCGCACGCGCATGTTTTCTGGCAGGCGTTCAGTTTTGATTTGTCTTGTTTTTGCGCTGAGTGGCTTTCAACTAGTGTCCGTAACACGGAAGTTCCTTCTAAACTTCCTGGGGTTCATTACGTAGGCTTCTATTTTTTTTATTTGGGTCACTTGTTTTGTTACTCGGACTCTGTGAGGTGAAATCAACAAGAGTGACACCATCGCGTCACTTCTGGCGACGAAGGCGGTGCAAAGCATGCTCAGTGAGTTTAAAGAGGACACGTCGGACGTGTGCAACGCGTCAGCCGATCGAGCAGCGCCGAATACCCAGTGACTTGTGGTACTGCTAAGATGGCCCTAAAGATTTACGGTAGCCTTGCTATGTCAGTCTATTAAAGTCGCCAATTGGTGGCGTCGGCCATCTTATTTTGGCACCTTTGAAACAAAAAAGGGAAGAGTGGAATCCGCGGCACAATGGGAGAGAGCAACAGCGACAGTTATGTCTGTGTTTGTGTGTGTGTGTTTGTTGAAAATACCCCTTTTCATCTTGCCTTGATGGGAGCCAGGAGCCACACCCATGTTCTCGGCTCCCTTATTTTGACTTTGGCTTGTCCATAACGCCCATGGCAGCAGAGAATGGGGATATGATGAAGTTCAGTCGGGTTTCCTTTTTCAGGCCGATTCTTTGGATGATGAGGAGCCATTCAATTTTTGTTTTCGTTTGATGGCTGTTTTACCCCAACTCCTAGAAACTCAACAGTGAATCCCCTACTGAGAGCCAGCAAGTATTGCATTGCCTGAAGGAACGGCGGCCCAACACATGGATCCTATGCCCCCTGATGAAACCCTCCTTCCAACAGACGACCAACTCCTAGGATGGCCCAAGACGTGATGTTCGAATCATCTCCCAAAAGGAAATCAATTGGACTAGAAGGCCTCAAGTCAAATGAAAGACCAGTGGCTTCATTAAAGCGAGGCCCAGACCGCCCATAGGTGAGGCTTGCAAAGCAATCATGAAGACACCTGATGGGGTTTCTAGGGTCATCGCCAGTGGAGCATCGTTGTCGTGTGCGTATCGATTTTACTTGTTTGTTGTTGGCTTGTATGTGTGTATGTATGATTGTTTGCTTGTTTGTTTGTTTGTTTGTTTGTTTGTTTGTTTGTTTGGTTGTTGTTGTGTTTTTTTCCTTTTATTGTGCTTGCTTGTTCACTCCTGCGTTTCTGCTCGTTTGTTTGAGAACAACTGACTTCCAGGTGGCTTTTCGTTTTGGTGTAGCAAGCACTCCCATTCAGGGGCCATATTTTGCCGGAGGAGTTGAAACCCGATGTTCCTTGCAGGGGTCCCTTTTTGGCCAGGCAAAAGACCGCCCTTCGGTCACCGCAAGTGTAGTTCCTTCCTGTTCTGCTTAGTGTTCAAAGGGGGCGCGTAAGGAACTGTCATTGGTCACAAGGACTTCCACGCAGGGAGCAAAACATCCGCCTCTCTTTCTTCCAATGCGGGCAAAGCGAATTAAGGAGACCGACCGTTTTTTCCCACCAGGAGAGCATGACGATGATGCGGTCGCTGAATTTGGGTATTTCCAACCGTCTCGAGAAGCTCGAGGATGGGCCGGGTGTCCGTTTAGGCCAGCATAGTTAGTACCCGCCCGCGATTTGGGAATGATGTTTGTTGGACGCCTTCAGACTCGGTCATCGGCATGGATGGTTTTTGGAATGGAAGGTTAAGTTGGAGGCAAGCCGCCTGGGTGATGCCGGTGATGCCGAGCCCTTGCGCGAAGTTCCATGCATGCAGGATGATGTTGGGAATGCTGGGCGTACACAAGCTGGCACCTGCACGTGATTCCGGTGATGCTGGCGATGTGAAGAGCTGCCATGTCTGACAAGAAATGCGGTTTGATGTGCGAGAGGATGCTGGGAATGCTGGCTGCTCGTGCGGGCGATGCTTGCGATGCCGGCGGTGCGAAAGCTGCCATTGTTGCGCGAGAAGCGAAACTGCGCGGGATGATGCTAGAAATGCTGATCTGACAGCTGACACAAACTGCACGTTTGAGGTGAGAGTTAGAGGTTAGGGTTGGTGTTGGAGGATAGAGTTAGAGGTTAGGGATAAAAGTGAGAGTTAGAGGCAGAGAGGTTAGGTGTGTCAAGAATTCGCTGCGCCCTCTCAGACTATTGACTAAGAACACTCATTCCCCTTTGCAGAGTCTAACGTGGCTCTTGCACAGGGGTCAGCGGATTCCCATCGGGCCGGGGGAGAAGAACTGGTGGGGCCCACACTTCAACTTGGGGGACAGGCGCGCTTGCGGCTAAAAAATGAACTTGCCTTCAACTTTAAGGGTCTTGGTTCCGCCAGACTGGGCGCCAAAGATGGCAATCCTTTTCGTTTCTGTCAGCATGTGCTCTCAGGTTCCCAATCTGAAAGGTTGGATGGGATAGAACCCAACGTCCGTGAATCCAGCCCTTTCAATGCCGGCCATGGAAATCACCGAAGTGTTTGGTTGGCTTCCTAAACGAAGACCCAGTTTTTACATTCCCCTTTCCCGTATATCTCGGTGAGATTGACATCCCTAGAAGCAGTTTTGTTCATAGACTTTATACAGAATACGGGGTTGGCAGAAAACCCATTTTGTAGGACCGCAGAAAGGGTTGAGCAAAGTCACGATGATGTTGTAGGGGTTAGTTTTCTTTGTATACCATTGGCCATGTTGAGGGGTAGGCCTGGTTCTGTGATTCTGTAGGCACGAGGTTTGGTTAGTGTGGCATGGTGTAGGGATTGGGTTTGTCTGAAGTATTTCGGTTCTCCGTCCTTCGGTTCTCGTGAGACAATTCATGTATTTTCAAAATGGGTGTCCGTGCCATTTGGAACATCGGTTAGGACGACCCAACGCGCCCAAATGACCAAAAAAGACTTTTTGTCAGGCCAGCTCTGGCTTCAAGCATTTGTGGATGGCCGATCCCTACGAAACGACCAAATGGCTGTTCCAACTCCACCCCCTCCTACATGAGATGGTGAGCACTGGTATTACATTACCATGTTCTTGGTTCAAACAAAAACAGCATTCACCGTTCAGGCATGTGTATGTACCAAGAAGCTGGCTGACCTCACGGTTCGTTTTTTGGGGAAAATGTGTATGTTCCAAAGTTGCCACTCAGCCATTTCGCGTCAAGGTATCTTTTGTTTTTTCTTCGCAGGTTCTGGCCGGTTGTCCATCGCAGGAGCAAGGGGAGAGGATGGAGGAAAAGTTGATGGAGCCCGCCAGGACTGACATCCGCAAGATTTGGCACCCCCGAGAGCTATGGTCTCAGCCAAGACCTGCAGGCCTTTCCACCCTTTGCCTCTGTGGTTGGGGGGTTGATATGGGTTTGGCATTGCTTTAGTTAGTCTTGGTTTTAGCATGTTCCCGCCCCCCCCCCCCCCGGTTCCCCCCCCCTTGGTCCCCACACCCCTCAACAGGCTGGGCTAGGGGCCCCGGGAGATAAGGGGCATAGCATGATGGGAGGGGGGGGAGCTGGATCTTTCATGGCCAGGATGGCTTGAGAAGTGCTGCGCAAGTTCGCTAAACTTCAGGCCATTTGCACTGCCGACGTTATGAAGGATGCCGTGAGTAGAGTGTCGGAGCTTGCTGCCAGCGACCTTTGCTTGAACATTTCGGCAGGCAATACATCATGACAGGCAATGCCTGTTGATAAACGTTCCCACACGGATGCGGCATCCCTTCCGCAGTCCTTCCCGTGTGGGCAGCAGCAAGAGAAAGCTTTGCACGCATGAAACGGTCCAAGAAGTGGATTGTGGCTTCATGACCAATTGCAGAGCATCGAGCAAGTCCCAATGCTGCAATGCCATGAGTAGGGGTCAGCAAGGTGTTTTTTATCCTTACGGCCGTCCAAGGCTCTGTCCAGCTCAAGAGATGACTGCAACCCATGCAGGTAGAACTGCGCATCTACAGCCCAAAGTTGGCCGAGCAGCGTTCTGAAAACGCCTCTAACTTTTAGGGCTAGATATTGTGGGAAGTTGTAAGACACATGCCACCAGGATGTGTTGACATGACTTGGCCAACCTGACTGCCTCAACCTTCAGATGCCCTGCGAAGAGTTAAGAACCCTGTGTCCACGTGGTTGAATGAATGTCGCGGTGCATGTGGTGGCACAAGACTAGGATTTCGCCACCCCCTCAAAAACCGACTAGAAATATGGAGTTGGGGGACCCCTTATACTCCTTCCTCTTCTGATCGGCGGGAATACTGGGACCTTGTATTCACCAGTTGCGTGCCAGGAGCTTCGTCTCATTTGCCAGTAGGAGGTCCTCTATTTCGGAGAGGGCGCACTCGAAGGCAATTGTGGAAACGACGAGCTCGAAGGGCCAGCCGCCCCCTGACCGCAGACTGCTACTCTTTGCAAGAGTGCTGTTGCCTGTTCAAATTGCGAGCCAGGAATCATCAGGTTGCCAGGTTGGACAAGCAACATCTGGTTTGATGAATAGCCATGTGTGCGATTTTTGAGAATCAGGGCTGGGCGCAACCCGCATTCTTGCGTTACTCAGTTGAACGCAGCTTTGCCGACTTGTTTACAACACCAATGCCAACACCAAAAGTAGCAGCAACAGCCACGGCAACGGCAACGGCAACGCCAGCGGCAGCAGCAGCAGCAGCAGCAATACATTAGCGGCAGCGGCAGCGGCCGGTGCAGCAGCAGAGGCCGCAGCGGCATGATACAATAAGGGAATATCCAGCCGCCCATTAGTGCGCAAGCGCATCAAGCACGGTAACAACAATGACTGCAAAGTGCAAGCTTTAGATGCTGCACCTTGGTGTCATGTTCACAAACCCTACAACAGCCTTTTGCCCAATTCAACTACTGTTGGCCAGGCTACAGGGGGCACCAATGCCATAAGTTAGCCGGTGATTCGCTTAGGCCTGCGCCGACGAGGAAGCTGCTGACACAGTTGCCCTTGAAAGACCTCCAGGCGTCGGTGCTTTGGCAGCATGCGTTGCAGCTGCTATGCCTTCCGGGTGCTATCTTGGCTGTAGTTATACCAATGCCAGCTCACGCCTCGTGTTCAACCCGCTCAATGACGTAGTTCGCAGTGCGGCCATTTACCTTTTCATCATGGTGGCTATGACCTGCTTGTGGGTGAACATTGGGGTATTGAACGAACAATGAACCAAACCGCCAAAGTGGGTGGAGGTACACCCATCCATTGGCCAAGACACGGGCGCGAAATGCCAGCAACCAATCCCAACACCCATGCGTCCTGGCGTCAAACATCATGCACCAGGCTTGGGAAAATGTGCTTCCCATCCGTGGCCCACAGGGTTCTTGAAGGAAAGACCCTGCAATGTGGCGATGTGATGCGCGAGGTTCTGCTTTTTTTTTGGGGGGGGCTTATCTTTATCCAAAAAGAAGCCCGTGCTTGTGCGGCATTGACGTGTGTCGAGACTGGTCGCGCAGCTCAGGCTCAACCAAATGTTCATGAAGAGCCTGACACGCCTTGCCCTGGCTTGTGAGGTTGGCGCAAAAGCTTTTCACCCGGAAGAGACGTCCAGTTGTTCCGTGGCATCCATTTTCTGTTTGTTTGGTGTGTTTTCCACGCAACATGGTCGCCCCAGAAAGGCATCCTGTTTGAATCCACCTTTCGGTCAATGGTTGCAACTGGACCAGGGTTCCGCACGGGCAAGGCGCAAAACTCAGGCGTGGCCAAGCCCTTGGGCTTGCAAAAGAAAGCGCCCAGACATGTTTGGGCCAAGTTCTTTCTCCGAGCGAAATGCACCACCAAAAGCACACACCCAAATCTGGCTTCGGGTTTTCTGATATTTACTGATCATTCTGAGTCTAGGCATGCTAAGGAAAAGCCGGAAAAAGAGCTGCGAGCAATGACTGGTTGCTCAGGAATAGGAGGCTTTTGAAGATGCTTGACACGCTGGCTAAGCCACGACAGTGTAGCTTTTCACCCCTGGCTCGAAGCCAAGTAAGCGGCTTCCACTGAGCACTGGGCCACGTTGGATTTCGCCTGTGTTTGATGTGTGCCTCTCGCGCGCCGGAGCCGCGAGAGGGAATTCAGACCAATCGCAGGAAGACTTGCCACGGCAGATGTCGGGAATGCCTGCACTCTGGCCTTGCACTTGGCCAATTTTGAGTGGTTTCTTGTTTTAAGTTCCAATGGCCCGTAGAATGGCATGGGCAAGCGTGCTCAGGGCCTTTGGCTGACTATTTGGCACGCTTATTCGTCTCAGCACACTGAACAGGAAGAGAGGAGAGCACTTGTCAGCCAGGGGGATTCGTAGCCTGTTGAACCCCCGCTTGCAAAACGAAGTGCCTTATCCAATGTCCTGTCGGAAACTGACAAGGTGCCGAAAACTGAGTGGAGCGCAACGTGAGAGGACATTGGAAGGAATGCTGCCCGGATAATGTTCGCAGGCGGACAAAAAGTCTCCATACCTCAGCGAGGGCGGGTGGGTTTGGAGTCCAGTCCACAACGGCCCGCAATGGCTGTGCAGTTGGTCAGGACGGAAGCCAAGAAAGGCCAGCTTTGGACACCTTGTCTAGTCCAACTGAAAGTGAGCAAACTCAGGCAATCACCACAAAATCGCTGACACACCTCATACAACCCTCATAACAGACAGGCAGTTTCACTACAGGCATGCGCGACGAAGCCAGAACGAACAGTGTGGCAGACCCCGTTGGAAGGGAAGAACCAGCATGCCCCCCAGCCCCCCCACAAAAACAAGCACCAAAAAAACACAAAAAACAAAAAACAAGAGCCAGCACCCCCCAATGGCTGGCCAATTGCCGGCACATCGATTTTGGACAAAACGATGTCACTTTATGTCTAAGTGACTGCAAAACCAATTTGCTAGCAAGTATCACTCATCTGCACTTAGTGCAATTTGTGCAATGATACAAGTGACCTTCCAGGGTCCTTTGGAATGGGGTTGCAGGGGAAAGGGGAGAGCGGCAAATTTGGCAAGTTTGAGGTTGGGAGGGGTTCTTGAGGAGCGTGTCACGGCGTGTCACGGCGTGTCGGGGGGTGGCCAATTGCCGGCACATGCACGTTGAACGGTCACTTTTTTGGATGTGAGCGTGTCACTAGCGCGGCCCCCCCCCCTCTAACCCCCGCGCGTTGCATGTGCAATGATCATACATGTCAGCCCAACCCCTCAACCGGATCCCCTCTGGTATCCTGAAGTGACGCTTCAACAAAAGTGACTTTGCACTGCACTTTGATGATGGCAACAAAAATCTATGTGACTACAAAACCATTTTTGAGCAAGTGCTGGTCAATTGCCGGCACTTCACCCAGGACCCCAATTACCGGCCATCGGGGGGCTTGGAGAAGCCGGGAACGATTTGTGTTTGGTCACGGGGTGGCACTGCGGATGTGCTAGATGCTGTCATTCGCAGGATGGCGCGGAGCCGGACGAGCCACCAAAGCCCAAAGAGGATTTCCAGGAGCGTGAATGTTGGCCCCTTGAGGTTTGTCCCCTAAAGTAAATAAGGGAAACCCTCTTGAAGAGGGGTTGGGGTCCCTCTGAAAAGTTGTGGATTCCGGGTTTTGTTTTGTCCAGGGGGCTGGGCGCCATACTGATAGCTGGAGTTGCCATCAAGGACTGGTTCGCTTTTAGCTAGGAATTTCTTGCAGTACATGACCATCTGCTGGTCAACTTGTCCAGGGAGAGCACATGAGAGATGAGGGGGCAGCAAGCAAGCAAGCAAGCAAGCAAGGCATCTCAGTGCAAGAGCGCAGGCAGCAACTAGTTTGAGCTGTCATTGTACCCTCCAAGGGCCAATGCCAGCAATATTCAGCAATCATCCGGTTTCAGCGATGGGCAGCGTGACCGCCCAATTGTCTTTTGACCATGAATCAAGTCGATCTATTGCATATCCAGCATTTACTGGCCTGCCGGGTCAGAGCATTTGCATTGAAGTGCGGATCAAAAGGAGAAGGGTCTGGATTGAGGCTGGAAGAAGCAGCTGCGACAGACTCCTAAGCGTTGCCAACAACTTGACGATTGAACAGGCGAGTAGTTTTTTTAGCTGGCACCGGCTGCAGTCGGGTCAGAAGCCAAGCCGCTAGAAGCAAGGAGTTCCATGTTGGCATGTGCATTTGTGGCGCGCTTGAAGCGTGTCGCCTGTGCACACGTGTGTCCGCTGTTGGATCCCGCTTTATCCACTATGCACACACAAGTCGCACGCATTCGTTCGCATTCGCACGCGCAATGGATCATCCCTGCTCGCAACAGTTGGGCATCAAAACCTAAAGGTTGACCCTTCACCTCGCAAAAGTTGCCATGTTTTTTGACTTATTCTGCGTTGGTTTCAAGCCTCACTAGCTTTGGACTGTGATCGAACCATGACTTTTATGTCTGGCCGGCGAGCGTTGAGGTAGGGTGTTCAGATGGGATGGAACCGCTGCGCAGGAGTGGTCTAAAAGCAGGCTACGCCAGATCCAGGAGTTGAGCCAGGTGCGGTGCTGGGACTCTGGCGTCCTTTCCTTCAAGAGCCCCCCTTTTCAGATGTCACTCCTCAAGTTTGGGTACGCACGTTTTCGGGGAAGATCAGCTTCGTGGTCAAACAGAAAGTATTGCTTGTTTGGGTCAACCCACGCAGGATTTGAGATGCGGTTAGAAGGGGCGCCATGAGGAAGCCTTACTGCTTTAGGAACCATATGTTTATTCGGGATGTATTTGCAGGATACTTGCTCGCTATTTGGATCGTTTTGCAACGGTTTTCCAGCTGTCTTGGAGGAACCCTTTGTCAAAGATCTGGGACGCGGTGTGTCCATGCCAAGTAAATGGCAACCTGAGCAGGTTCCCCCTAACGTTACCCACAGTGCCTGAGGAAACTCAGCACGCAGCGACAAGCAACCCCCATGGTTCCTTGGTTTTTGGCTTCCCTGATGGCTCGCTGTTTTCTGTGGGTGCTTTCTGCTTTTTAGTGATGGAGAGCAAAGCCCTTGAGGTGTATATAGCTCTTACCCACCTCCCCACCCCAAGCGGAAGATTTCCTTGGCCAAGTTGCCTTCATGATCATCGGGCATACAGATCATATCGGTTGAAGGCCAACCGGCAACAATGTGTTCAACCCAGGGCAATCTCAACCCCGGACGAATGACTCTGGGGGAGTCGTACGGGCAGTCCCCATGGCTCATGCACCAGGGGTTCCTTCTTTGAACGCGCCCGAAACAAAGGTGCCCGAAAAGAAGCAAAACTCCTGTAGAACCGGACCTTTCAGCCTTTGAGGGAATCAGGAGAGTGTTTGGTTGACACCTGGCTGGATTCCCACAAAAATGATACCGAATCTTCTGTTCGGCTCCACTCACTGGTCCAGCCGAGGAGCTGGACAAGCTTTTGTTGGAGCTGGTGGAGGCTCACGAGCGCCTTGGAAAAAGGCAAAGGCGTGCGAGAGATTGGACCTGTGTGGTGCGCTCAGGTTGGCATGGAGCACGAGAACCCAGGATTGAGGTTTGGGTTCCATATTTATCTGCAGAAAAGTACTCAGAACAGTTGTGAAAAGAAAGGGTTTTATGCACCCAGATCCCGCTAAACACACTGTTTTGTGGTGTTGGGACGCAAACGCACATCCCCCGCACCCGCACACGCCCAGGCCCACGCACATGCAAACGCACACGCACATGCACATGCACACGTGCGCCACGCGCACGCACTCACGCGCAGGCAAGGACTTACATGGACGCACATGCATGCGAGAGTGGCAATCGTCCCAGGTACGAAGCACTTTTTGCTTCTTGCGCTTCCGTCTGCGCAAGTTGAAGACTACCTCGCTTGTCTCAGCTGTTGATTCTTCTGTCTGGACAAGTAAGCACCGCTGTGTGCGAACTGGTCTTGCAACTGTTCATTGGGAATTGCCATACGTTTGTCACCGTTTGTCTTTGATCGTTGCCCCTTGATTGGTGATGTGAGCTGGTGGTGCTTGGGCTCTGGCCCAAAATGCAACAAGGCAGGCAAGGCACCACTAACCTTCAAACTGCAGTTATCGGTTCGGTTCAGTCCATGAGGGTGGTCCCAATCCTGACGCTGGGCGGCGCCCTTAGGGATGCTTTGTTTGAGGGAGGATCCGTGCAATCCAAGGTTCAACAGCTCTGGAATCGGCTAGTTCTTGCTAAGATTTGGAAGCTTTCATAGGAGAATTGGCTTCCAGCACAGTACCCCGCAGTCAGCGCATGGGAGCCGAACGAACGAGCTGAGAGCAGTGCTGGTCTTCCCAAGGTGTTGTTACAGCAGCCCACGGTCTAGCAGCTCAACGATCATCGGTCCAAGCAGCAGGCGGGCTTCTCACCCGAGACAGCTTCCAGCATGCGATTCCTCCTGGTCCGTTAGAACATCTTGATCTTTCCCTGCAACGCAAAACCACAACTGGCCAGATAGCATACCTTCAGAACTCGAACAAGTAGATTGACAAGGCTTGAGTTTTGGGCCTTTTTCGTTGGGCCCAACCCCGCTTGTTTGAGGCCTATAATAAAGTGATGGGAAAGGCAATTACGCATTGACCATTGCGAAAACGGTCTGCGCGTTCTCGACGGCCAGGCCACGGTGAATGTTGCGTCACAGCAGAAAGCGAAATGTGCAAGGAATCAGCCCTTTGAAATTTCAGCTGTGCGTGAAAGCTCGTGATTTGCATTGGGCCAGGTTGACATCCTGCCAAAGTTGTTTTCTCTGTACATTATATGTTTCTCACACGTCTTATGTACATGTTTTTCACGCGTCCGAAGACAGCCTTTCGACCTTCTGGCACTCCATTATCCACAGTCAGTGCTTTTCAAAGGGGGACAAAGTTCATCTTGCAGATTCGCGTATTTGCAAGTGAGGTTTTTTTTTTGATGTGGCCGGATTTTTGTCATGTCTCCAGTCTTGCAAATACACAGGGGTAGTGCACGTCCAATGAAACGGGATCGCCCATCGGTAGCATGTTAGCACTCCCTGGTCAAGTTTATTGCGGAAACGGTGCAGTACTTGTATCGTTGAATCCCTTAGAAGTATCCCCCTATATTCCAACACATGCTATTGAACTGCATTCAAGTCTATTCGCCTGACTGTGCCTGATTGAGGGGACCCCTTTCATTGGCCCCCATCAAAGCGCTGAATTCGGCTGTTCGCTTCTTCGCTTCAGGCCGCCGCGCGTGCCCAAGATCAGCGCTTGCGTGGAGGAGACCATGTTCCCAGTGTTCGAGCATGCAGGCGGATGAGCGGGAGGAATGGGAACCTTCGGATTTCCAGGGAATTTGTCCAGAAATAAATGGGCAAACTGGGAAAAGGGCTGCTTTTTGAAAAGAAGGATGGTTGAATCAACCTTTGAGTTTGCAGTTTGTGAATGAGCGACTTGGAGCCAACTCCTTTTGATTTCCTTGCGGTGATTTGGATCCCCAGCTCAATTTGCGGAAGCCACATGGGTTCATATTGACCAACTGGAATGCTTTCGCTTCAAATTGTGTGAGTGCATGTTGCCGGCCGTTTTCCCTAGCTCCATTCAAATGGTTCCTTGTGTGGAGAAGACCTGGTGAATGGACCTGCGGGCAGCCAGCCTCCATCTCCCAAGTAGTCTTTGGCCCACAGAGAGGGGCCATGCTGTTTGGATTCCCCCATACAAACACCCTGCAGCTTGACTGCCCTTTCGGTCTTCGCAGCACAAAATATTTTATACGAGCGGGATTGATTTACCTGTTTAGTTTGAGCAAACCATTTTGCCCTGCAATCCTGGGCAGGCGTCGTTTGTTGACGCTTAGAGTGTGACAATGTGCACTTAGAGCGTGACTGGGGGCAGAATGTGGGCGGAGCGCCTTTCAAGCAGCCCCGCAGGAATGAGTGGGCTTTATGGCAAGTTTTCCCGTGTTGGCGTTTTGAAGGCTGTTTCCACTGTACTCGATCGAGTTCCGGAAAGGTTCACCTTACCCAGAGGTCATCATTTTGGCCCCCACCAGAATTTCTCAGAACCGCCGCCAGAGCCGCCGCCGGCGCCGCCGGCGCCGCCGGCGTCGAGGCGACCGGAGTCACCGGGGGGAGGGCGATAGACAAAAATGTCGGAACTAGGGCTGAGGTCTTGAGTGCTTCGATTTGTTCAAAAGGAAAGCTCGAAATGGGATTGCCAATCTGGCCTTCTTTTTCTGGCCCTGCTTGGCAGGGAGGCACGTCCTTTTGTTGTTGTTTTCAATGCGCAAGGCTCAATGGCACAAGGGGGAGATGTCACGAGCGTTGTCAGGTCCATTTAACACATTCAAAATGCTAGGGTGAGACGCTTCAAGTGGGGGCTCCCGGCTGGGACACTGTATTCTAATCACTGCCTTGGTCGGTAATTAAAACATAGAGTTCCCATTTTTAATTTTAAGAGGAATCAATTCTCAGTCTGATGTTGAATCTGACTTTAAATAGGAATATGTCCAAGTAGGACTTGCAGCAGAATTCGATAGAATTTCAATGGAATCTAACAAGGAACACAAGCTGATTGTTTCTTCCACTTTGCCTACTCTCAAAAGAAGAAAACCGAAAAGACCAAACAACTACACGAGAGCAAACCGAAAACTTCAAATATATAATCGATAGAACATGCAAAACACACAACACACATCGAGACAACCAAACAAAACCAATGAACCTTGAAAAACCTGGAGAAAGCACACAATATAAACATGTCTCCAGAACTCTTTTCAACATGAGCTATGTTCCAAGGATTTGCATGGTTGCCTTGATCCAATGAGCTATGTGTTGCTACGCTTCACCATCCATGAACACCAGCACACCATCAGTGGCGTGGAAATTCGGAAGTTGCTTACCCTTCGCATGTCCTTTTCGCTGAGTGGGTTCCTCACGGTTGGTCACTGGGCAAGGGTCCAGGGATTGTGAGAAATGCCCGCTGGCTTGTGATGCACCTACCATCGGGTGGTTCTGTCAGGCCTTTGTTGGCCCGCAGTTTTAGGGGCCGTGTGTTGGCTTTGCGGCTTCATGTTTGAAAGCAGTGGCAATACCGTTTTGGTTTTTGCTTGTTTAGGCCTTGGCTCAACAGATGGACAGCAGTGTGACTACGTGCCTTTATTTTGTGGTCTTGTTTGCTTTCTTGGCCTTTTCCCAAGAGAATATCGAATCATGTGTTGCACTTCTGCTTCAGGAACGAACAATTAAAGCAGCCGAGCCCCACATGTCCCAAACTTCAATCGTTGCCACGATTCGTCATGGACACTTTGGCACCTTGCTGTTGGCAATTCAGAGAATGGGTTTGTGCAATTCACGGCCAAAGCACCAGCAAAAGCTTTCAACATGATGTGGCTATTTGCAAACTGGGGCCAATGATTCGGTATCCAGGCACCAAACTTTGGGCCTTCCAAACAGGCTGTAGGAAAACCAGCTGGGGAAGCACATGCATGTGTCAGGCGAGTCATGTATCTCCAGAAGACGGGTCCGACCCGCCCTACTATGTTTATGAAGCCATTTCTGCGGCCGATTGTTTTGCAAGCCAGCTTTTGAATCTGCATCGATGAAGGGAAGACAAATGTTTGCCACAGCAATCGGTGGCTTCCAGCTGAGCATGCAGGCCCTTTTCAGTCGCCTAAAAACAAGTTGGGCTTTCGCCTGGGGGGGAACAGGTTTGCTTTCACAGTTGCATGACTCAGGCCTGAGGTGAAACGTATCCTGGCCGGCACTTGGAGCTTGTGACCGGTGCACCTGCAGATTGTTGTGCGTCTATGTGCGACTTTTCGGAGCACATGCCTCCTTCACTGCTCATTGAGCTTTTGTCCATTTTGTGTGTGCGAGGGCTGTCAACATAAGGGTCTTCTACTCAGATTTCCTGGGGAGCTCCAGGCTGGATCCGTCAGCTCTTGTTGCCACTTTGAACATGGCCCAGCGGAGTCGCTTCATGAACACGAATGCATGTGCAGTTTTGCGGGCGGGCGGGCGGGCGGGCGGGCGCATGTGCGCGTGCGTATGCGTGCGTATGCGTGCGTACGCGTGCGTATGCGTGCGTATGCGTGCGTATGCGTGCGTATGCGTGCGTATGCGTGCGTATGCGTGCGTATGCGTGCGTATGCGTGCGTATGCGTGCGTATGCGTGCGTGTGCGTGCGTGTGCGTGCGTGTGCGTGCGTGCGTGCGTGCGGTCCTGGGTGGGCGGGTGTGTGGGCATGTCTGTGTGTGTGTGTGCGGGTGTGTGCGTGTGTGTGTGTGTGATGGTGTGTGTGTGTGTGTCTTTCTGTTTGTGCATGCACGTGCACGTGAGCACACGTGTGCGTGTGCGTGTGCGTGTGCGTGTGTGCGTGTTTGCGTGTTTGTGTGTCTTGTCTGTGTGTGTGTGTGTGTGTGCCTGTGCACGTGTGTCTGTGTGTGTGTGTCTCTGTTGGTGTGTCTGTTTTGTCTGCAAGTCTGTGCGTCTGTGTCTGTGTCTGTGTCTGTGTCTGTGTCTGTGTCTGTGTCTGTGTCTGCGTCTGCGTGCGTGCGTGCGTGCGTGCGTGCGTGCGTGCGTGCGTGACGCCGTGCGTGCGTGCGTGCGTGCGTGCGTGCGTGCGTGCGTGCGTGGGTGCGTGCGTGCGTGCGTGCGTGCGTGCGTGCGTGCGTGGGTGGGTGGGTGGGTGGGTGGGTGGGTGGGTGGGTGGGTGGGTGGGTGTGTGTGTGTGTATGTATATGTGTGTGTGTGTGTGTGTCTGTGCGCGTGTTTGTGCTTGTGCTTGTGCCTGTGTGTTTATTCGTGTTTGTGTTTGCCTGTGTGTGTTTGTATGCCTTGTCTGTGGCGTGGGCACCCTTCAGGGACCATGTTGGAAGGTTGAGGGGGTGCGGGCGTGACCTGGGAACTGCGCACCTACATTTGTTTGTTGCTTTTTGCGTTTCAATTCAGTATTCGATCGGGATGATAGGCTGCTATCCTTGCTTGCTTTGTGCATGTGATTGTCATTTTGCAGGAGCGCGCACTTGGCACGCGTTTATCGCCTCTTAATTATTCGTGTCCACTCTACCGGTTCTTAACTCCTTCAGCTTGCGCCGTGCTCAGCATTTTAAATTTAGCTGCAGCTGCAGGCTGCCATCCTTGCCAAAAGCACTGTCAGACCGACCTGAATCTTTCGGACATTTGTTTTTTAATATCTGCACAGCAAGACCATTCGAGTGTGCTTCCCACAGAGGTGTTCACAATTCTCGGTGGCTTAGTGCCTAGCTGCCTAGGCGTTTGTTCAGAGGATTTGGGATCCACGGTGTTTTAAAGCAGGTTGAGACCATGGCGCTTGAGACTGTATCCGTTCCAAAGGTTGATGGCGGCTTCGGTCAAGTTTCAGAGGCAGAAGCGCCGGCCCCCCCCGCCTGGCACGAAGGACTTAGAAAAGGCTGAAACTGGATGACTGAATCCCCTGTAGATGGGTATGTTAAGGGGATGAAATCAAAATGAAGGAATTGTGCCATCTACTTTCACCATACATGGATGGTCAATGCTATTCGCCTTTTTGGACCCTGGTCTTATGTTGGCCTTGCCCCTGAAAGAGTGTCTGAAAGCGGATCCTAAATTACCATGCAAGCAGAACCGGAGCCGCTCAACGCTCAACGGGCTCGGCTCAGGCAATTCCTTCAGGAAGATGACTCCGCAGCACGGCAGCATGCGACATGTGGCCTTCGGCCTGTGCCTTGCTTCTTCGTTTAAAGTGGGCATATCTGCGCGGAATGACAATGGATGAACGGGCAGGTGGAGAGAATGATCTAGCGGTAGGTGATGTGGCAAGTGATTTTGATCATTGACATACTGCTGGCTTGATGGGTGCAAAGGCAGAGGGCGGTGGGAGGGGTTTTCACTGCATTCCTTTAGTCTTCACAAACATCCAGGGTTGAAATCCCCCCTCCGGACTCCATGTCAACGGGTGGGGCCTTGGACAAGTGGCACCACTTCTGCAAGACTTGGCAACACATGGCCGTCTTTTGGTTGGCTCAACCACAGGCTTGTTTGGTCAACCTGTCACATATTTACACAACCCACCGTGGGATCCAAGCAACAAACAAACCTCTTGCATCACAAGTTCTGCTGTATTTTGCAAGCATATTATTCACTCAGAAAAACGTGTTTTTGCGCATTGCCTTCGCTGTGACTTTGCCGAAGGTGAAATCCCGGCGCCCCATTTCACCTTGGATCGGCCCTTTACAAGTGCACAATTGAAGCATGCTCGGAGGCAATGAAGTGTTTCTTGTGTGAAAGCTCAGTAAGGTCAAACATGTACATGCTTTTTGTGACTAAACACATGCTTGATAATTGCATGCCTATCAACATTTATTATTGTATGAATTCTGTCGATTCCATATACAATTCCATTGAAATCCATTCCGTCCAATGCAGTATCCAATCCAGCCAGTATCTACCCATCGATGGTCTTGTTCGCGTTCGAAAGGCACCTGCCCGCAATGAGTCTGGGGGATATCGAGGCGCGAGCTCCGGATGTCTCGGAAGGAATTGAAAGCGAAACCGATACTGGAATTGACGTGTTCGAGGGAAAAAAGCGGCAAAGCCTCCGAATAAAGACATGGTTTTGTTCCCTTGCAAAAGCCAAGGGGCGAGCATTGCTCTCCCCCGAGACTTGGGGTCTTGGGCTAGGTGGGAAGATGGCAAGGTCCGGAGAGGTTCCGTCATGTTCCTTTTTGTTTTTGAGCTGACGCTGGGGACATTCCTCAGGCTGGCGTTTTTCAATTCCCTCGATTCTTGGCTCTGCTTGGGGTTTCCTGGGGTTGACTGGCACTTAAGCAGGGCTACTGGGGGGGAGGCTGCATCTGCAAGAGGGTTGTGCAAGGGTGCACGCAGGAGACCAGAGGTTTGGTGGGGGCAATATGTGCTACAGTGGCCCCATCGCGCTGCGTGCTAGGAGGCTAGCTGCCACCACGCCAGATCGCGCTTGAACCCCTGGCCCAGACTGAATCCGATCCATTGCAGCAACGGGTCCCAAATTGAAGCAGTGACGACAAACCTTTAAAACTTTGGTCAATTGTGACGCTTGAACCGAAACACTGACGCGTAAGACTCCCTGGCGCTCAAATTCGGGTGACGTTCAATAAAAATCGTTCGAAATGAAGAAGTAGCCATTAAAGCACAAGCCTAAACCTTGAATCCGAAAGTACGATTCTTGCTTCGAATATCTGTTTTTGCTAGAGTGTTTTAGTTTTCCTGGGATTGCGGTCTTCAGCTTCATCTTCTTGGTTTGAAGTGGCATGCATTTCAGCCTTCAGCCTCAAATTTGGGCCCTTTCCGCAACACCCCCTCTGTGCCGGAGAAACGCGCCCTGGAGGAGAGCTCGGAGGGCTCAGTTGCCTCGTCGCGGCGGCGCAGAGGCCGGTCGTCTGGGTTTTTGGGGGCGGGAGAAGTGCCTTACATCATTGCCTCTCATTTTGATGCGGGGAGAGAAGTGCCCCTATAGTGCCCTGCTTTTCAGGGCTTCACCTGCCAAGTAACGATTGTTCAGCTGGAACTTGAGAAGCAACTTGTGTCCTGTTGGCTTAGTTGGCAACACCTTGAAAGACACAGACCGAACACACACTGGAGTTTCAGAAGCCGCTTGAGAAGTGAGACGCCTCAATCAGAGCATGTCCTTTAAGCTGGCAGCACTTGATCCTGAGTTTATGCAGACGAGCTGCAAAAAGTCCTGGAGCATAACCCAAATAGGACCCCATCGATGAATCAAGGCCTCTGGCGCCGTTTTGCCCCATTCCCAGTCTCAGGCTGACCGGAACGGCTCAATCAGGTTGCACTTTTCTGGGATTTCCCCTCTGGCTGGTTGTAGAAATAAGAGTTCATCGCCAAAGGAGGTGGTTTTGCGTCTACAGAACTTAGCTTTTTGGGGTGCTGTTGAAAAGTTGCTTCCTTTTGGTAGTGACTTCTTTGTCTTCTAAAGCTTTGTTTTAACGCCCGGCAGATTCAAGGCGTCATTTCGAAGCAGAAATCCCACCCCGAGTGTTGAATTGGGATTGACCAGTTCATGGGAACCCAGGATTGCCAATGCCTTGGTTGATTTGATCTGGGGGGGAGGGGGGGGGGGTGGTGTGGGTGTGGAGGTACCATTTAGAGGGAGTACTCCACTGTGGGGAAACACCCGCTGAGGTCAACCTTATAGGAAACCTGTGGCAGTCACTCGCTCCATCCAGGCTCAGAGTTCTCACAGAGAACGGAGGCGGGACTGGCTTGGTGTTTTGCACCAGTTGACGCAGATTCGCTGCATCGAACAGTGAGGGGGTGTCTTTGGGCTTTTTGGCTTGACAGGTCGAACAGCTTCTTGCCTTGAAAGGCACGCTAAAGGAAGCCAACCATTTCGATGGCGTCCGGGGGGTGATCGAGCCTGACGATTCCTTACTGTAGGATTCCTTTTTTCTAGTTGGGGAATTGTAGTACTTTGCTCAGAAATGGGTATGCCTTATAAGAAAGGGGACCCAAGGAATTGTGGTCGTCCGGTAAGGCGCGAAATGGCACCCTCAAAAGAAGACATAGCATAGGTGTAAAGGGAAGTGTCGAAGACAGATCACGGCAGCTTCCTCTTCAATTGGCCGTTTTCGGTAGGTCATTCCGGCATTTGCGGCGCAGGGCGCCTGCGAGGGTAATGAACAAATCGACATGGCCGCAGTACTCTTGGGCGCACTCAGGCAGACCGGAGTTGCAATGTGCTTCCTGAAATGCAAGTTCCTTTTGCTTCGTCTTGCCTTTGGTTTGCGCTTACTTGTGCTTTGGAATGTTGTGTTTGGTTTGTGCCCTATCGTTGTCATGGCATTCCCTGAAAGGAAGCCATAAGGCATGGCTGTTCTTGTTTTTTGTTCAGCTTCCAGGGTGACTCATGACCAAAACGGCGGCCATTGACCCAGCTCTGCCGTCTAAAGTTTTGCGAAACCAATTTGGACTATTGGGTGCGCAAACTCGGTTGTTTGTTTTGTGCGAAAACAACAAGGTATTAGGAGGCTTCCGGCCCATGTTTCTGCCTATTTTATAGCGAGAGGTGTATAACGAGCTCAGCATGGTAAAGGTCCTTGACTTGGGAATCCCTTGATTCAACCTTTGGAATTCCTAAACAAAATGCAGGTGGTGTTTTTCCTTTTGGGGGGTTGGTGTTTTTCCTTTCGGCGGGTTGGTGCTTGTCCTTTTGGGGTGTTGGTGTTGTTCCTTTCGGCGGCTTGGTGTTTTCCTTTTGGCGGGTTGGTGCTTTTCCTGTTCGGGGGGTTGGTGATTGTCCTTTTGGCGGGTTGGTGTTTTTCCTTTTGGCGGGTTGGTGTTTTTCCTTTTGGCGGGTTGGTGTTTTTTTTTGGGAGGGGTTGGTGTTTTTCCTTTTGCGGGGTTGGTGCTTTTCCTGTTGGGGGGGGGGGTTGGTGCTTTTCCTTTTGGCGGGTTGGTGTTTTCCTTTTGGCGGGTTGGTGTTTTTCCTTTTGGCGGGTTGGTGTTTTTCCTTTTGGCGGGTTGGTGTTTTCCTTTGATGGGTTGGTGTTTTTCCTTTTGGCGGGTTGGTGTTTGTCCTTTTGGCGGGTTGGTGTTTTTCCTTTTGGGGGGTTGGTGTTTTTCCTTTTGCGGGGTTGGTGCTTTTCCTGTTGGGGGGGGGTGGTGCCTTTCCTTTTGGCGGGTTGGTGCTTTTCCTTTTGGCGGGTTGGTGTTTTTCCTGTTGGCGGGTCGGTGTTTTTCCTTTTGGCGGGTTGCTGCTTTTCCTTTTGCGGGGTTGGTGCTTTTCCTGTTGGGGGGGTTGGTGTTTTTCCTTTTGGCGGGTTGGTGTTTTTCCTTTTGGCGGGTCGGTGTTTTTCCTTTTGCCGGGTTTGTGCTTTTCCTTTTGGGGGGTTGGTGTTTTTCCTTTCGGCGGGTTGGTGATTTTCCTTTTGGGGAGGTTGGTGTTTTTCCTTTCGGCGGGTTGGTGTTTTTCCTTTTGGTGGGTTGGTGTTTTTCCTTCTGGGGGGTTGGTGCTTTTCCTTTTGGCGGGTTGGTGTTTTTCCTTTTGGTGGGTTGGTGTTTTTCCTTCTGGGGGGGTTGGTGTTTTTCCTTTTGCGGGGTGGTGCTTTTCCTGTTGGGGGGGGTTGGTGCTTTTCCTGTTGGCGGGTTGGGGATTTTCCTTTTGGCGGGTTGGTGTTTTTCCTTTTGGCGGGTCGGTGTTTTTCCTTTTGGCGATTTTGTTTTTTGTTTTTTCCCCTTCGGCGGGTTGGTGTTGTTAGGTTGGCTTCGAAGAGGCGTCCTCGTTTGAACCCTTTCGCCAAAGCTTCCTTTCGCCAGGGCATGGAGGCTCTGAGCTCGACCAACCGCAGCCCGCATGGAGAAATCGGTCCCACGAACATGGCTGAGGGAGGGTACCTGGAAGATCAGTCTCCGTTCATGGTTGTTAATTTACATTTTGCTTATTGCGGTTTAGTGGGAAGTCCCCACTTAACTGCTAAGATCGATTTTTGTTGCTCCCCTTCCAACGCCAACGAAGTCGAGGGCTTGTGTGCGTGTGTGTCAGGTGCCATGTTAGCGGCAGAGAGGGTAGCCCGTGATTTGGAGCCCTGGCCCTGAAGCACCGATTCGGCGACATGTTGGTCCCTGGGCATCCCTGATTTCAGGTCTTGGGATGACATATTGCCTCAGACGCATCCCAAAAAACCACAGCCATACAAGGAGATGCGCTAAATCAGCTGGTAAAAGGTGAACTTGAGCGGGAAACGTACCATCCCAAAAGCGAGCACGGGACTTGAAAGAAAGCCCCCGTTAGAGGACACTGATCGTCCAGGGGTCCCTTTCAGGCTCCATGTTTGGTTTTGGGAGGGCACAGGTGGGCCAGTAACACAAATGCGGAAGTTGAATGCTCGTAAAGTTTTGAATTTGTCCTTTAAGGATTCCTGCTTTTGGTGGTTTGTCTTTTGCTAGGGGCTGCTCCCTGCAAATCAAGATGGAACTCAAAAAGGGGGTGTGCCCATTTTGAGGTTGGTTTGTTGTTTGACCTGGCTTGCTTCACGTTTAAGATATGGCCTTGGAACCTTTTTTTTGCGCCATGTACTTTGCTGACAGCAAGCTCGAGAGTTTTCTTCGGGAGAGCCACCATTTGTCAAGCTGTTGTGCGAATTGTGTTAGGCTCTGAGATTGAGTTTACTGGTACCCTGAAAAATGGGTAGCCGGCACGGCGTTCACACAACAAGGATGCCCCGTTGAACATCAAAACAACAGTGCTATTTTATGTGTTTCAATCCAAACGGGAATTCACTTCCTGAGTTTCTGGACTTCAAACTTTTCGGGGAAAACCATTTTAGCAGTACACAAAAAAAAACTTGTTTAACGGCCCATCCCCTCAGGAAGTGCGGAAAACAGTTGATTTCGCTCTACATGAACCCATGGTCAGTCATTTGGTTTTTGGCAAGTCGCAGGTGGGAAGGTTCCGCTTCAGAGTTCAGGGGGCCTGCCAGCCCAGATGCCTTAGGTTGGTGGAGTGGCTCGTTTATCACAGGGCGGACCGTTTTGAAACGCCGCAACGTAACAACGGGACAGGTCGGAACTGGGAAGTTTGAGTGCCACCTTGCACTAAGGTACGCCCGAGCTTGCTGGTGTTTTGCACCTTGCCAGCAAGAGAGAAAAAGGGGCCATCCAAAGAGCTTGCCAAGGAACCTAAACACCTTATGTTGCTTGGGTAACTTGACATCATGCAAGTCAAGCACTTAGAAGGCGTGGACAAGTTCCGGTGAGAACCGTAACAGCCACAATTTGCGCGGTGCCACTCATCGTGATTGCAGGTTACAAGTCGGTCCCTGCAAGAAATCGTTGGTTCGCCGAGGGGGTGCCGGCAGGTTTCAAGACATTCACCCAGCCTTGTAGGTAAGGGGGATCGAGTAATTCTAGGGGCGGCCTGTTTGTCACAAGCTCGGCGAGCTTCTTTTTCCAGCATGACACCTTAGGGTCCACCCCTAGAGCTCGTGCAGGCGCCAATATAAGGAGGCTGTAAGAACCCTTCCTTGTGCCAAGGGGGGGGGATCCTTGTTTCCTCCACGCTTGCAAGGGTGACAAAAAGGAGGCATCGGTGATTGAAACAGAAACATGTTTGACACGGATAGCCAAGCTCGCTTTTCACAACATCCATCCACTTTGGCAAGCGCGCCTCGCTTACCGAGGTCACCCATCGCATCTGCACAAATAAGCGGCGTGAATACCAGGCGCGGGAAGACGAAGTGGCCTCACTACCGCTGGTTGGTCGGACCTTTGACCTTCAACTTTTGGGGAAAAACTATGTTTTCCCAGTATCCTAAACTCAAAGACCTTCTGAAAAACAGTTCATTTAGTTCACACACGAAAATCCTGGCTGCGGCTACATCTTAAAAATAATAATAATTAATAATTAAAAAAAAAGACGAAGCAGAGCTGAAAAGTTGAAAGCATGTCAATAGAAGCGTTAGAAGCTGAGCAAAGTAGTGCACACTGCCGACCTGGGGGAAACGTAATTTGTGCACCTGGGGTTAGTAAACGGGGGTCCCACATCAACGATGGGGCACCTGGAATACTATTTTGAAATCCAGGTCAAGTGAGTTTCCATTTGAATTAGTGTTGGTAGACTTGAGTTTTCATTTGATTTAGTATTGCTGGAGCTTCATTTTCAGATTTCGAACTGAGTTTCAATTTGATTTAGTATTGCTGGAGCTTTCTTGTGAACTTGGAATTGAGTTTCAAATTGATTTAGTATTGCTGGAGGTTCCTTTTGAGATTTGGAGTTGAATATACATTTGATTTAGTATTGCTGCAGCTTCCTTTTGATATGGGGGCCAGGCAACAGACGTTATTCCCGGGGTCCCTGAAGCAATGTCGAATTGGGGGCCTGGAGTACTACCCTCCTTTATGGGTTTGATTGTGGGCAGGTGTTAAGCAAGATACATGTAAACAAAAACACATGGGTTTGGGAAAGCTGACCATTTTGAATTCGAGGAGCAGGCCCAAATCCAACAGCAAGGCCTGAAGCATCGTCAGCATCACCTGTGCTGTCTATTTCAGCGGCCCCTGAATAATGTCAAGTTGGGAACCTGGAGTACCCCCCCCCCCCGGTTTGATTGCGGACTGCTTTTAGACAAAAGACATGTAAGAAAACAGGGGTTTGGAAAAGCTGGACATTTTGGATTTTGGGGAGCTGAAGAACAAGGTTATAAAGATCCAAGGGCCAGGTGTTAGGTTTGCTGCCTCGTCTTTCGTTGGCAGGTGCTTGTCTTCATTCCGGGTGCATCTAGTAATCCTAGGTGGACATTATGTGGGTGCAACCGCGGGCTGGGGCCAGGGGGCCTAGAGTCTTGAAGGCAAACGCTGGCATGTTGCAACTGGACATTTACAAGTTTGTTTGCCTCTCAATGTCAAAGTTGGAATGTTGAGCCCGGAAGCTTTCGGCTCCCAACGGGGTTTTGGAGGAAGACCTGTGAAATTGGTCGGGAAACTCCTCTCCCCCGCCCGCAGGCTCCATTCCGGGCATGTCAATCAATTGAAGTCTCCGGCACATGCCCCATGCACAAATTGGCGACCTTGACTCAACTGCACGGAGAAAGAGAGAGAGAGAGAGAGAGAGAGCAAAAGAGAGAGAAAGAGAGAGAGAGAGAGAGTTAGAGAGAGCGAGAGATAGGGAGAGAGGGAGAGAGAGAGACTCAACTGCACACAAAATCAGATTTGATGAGCCTCTGGGTGCTTCTTCTTCTGCTAGCTAGACCCCCTTCCCCCAATTACGCAAGGGCAACCTGACTATTTAGGTAGGATCAAAAGTCGACTGGTTGTGAGAGATGCGAAACGTGCCCCTTCATAAATCCAGCCTGCCACCGACTGCGCAGTTCGCCAGCCACCGAGCAAGTGCCATGACTGCAGTGGGCGCTTGGATTGGTTCAGTCTGAAGGTGTTGCTGAGTGCATTGACCGACAATGGCCACTAGAAGGGACATCTTTGCATTCCACGCCAAGGACCTACAGAACTCATAGACTCAGTTGGGGGATGCGGGAATGCGGGAAAAGCGCTCCGAAAGGACTCAGCCAAAGGAATTCTCACCGGGACCTGAGCAATTGCCTGGCGCTTGTGGGCCAGAGCGTCTTTGTAGGCTGTTGGTTCTTTCAGTGTGCGGTCGCAGAGCGGTTGAAAAATGCTAGGCTTGGCCTAATTACCTTGGTCCTTCAGCTTCGATTTCCAAAATGTTTTCTTCCTTTGGACCACCAACGACTCCCGATGACTTTGGGACCCCCAGGTGACTATCAAAAAGCAAATGCTCCAGGCGTGCTTGTGGCCTCCCCCCCCACAACAAAAAAAAGGAAGTTCCTGAAGCGGTCATTTTTCGACCTCGCTTTGGTTGATGCAAGGCGAGTGACCTGAGAAGTCGGGCGACTACCAAAGACAGGACTCGGATGCATGTCCCACAAAAGGGGGAGGCATGTTGGAGCCGCCGGCCAGGAAAACACGTCGGTTGGCACTATCTTCAAGAATTCTCGGACCTTTCTTTCATGTTCAATGAAGGATCCCCTCGAGAGCAAGTTGCGCCATGTTCCCTCAATCAGGGGTTGGGGCCCTGGGATTTCTCTCAAAAGGTCTGTGAGGGAGGAGTCACCTTTGCCTCGAGTGCTGCTACGCTCCGTGTGTTTTCGTAGCCGGCGCAGGATCCTTGTTCCTCCCTCACGCTTGGGGCGGCTTGTGAACAGCCAGGCCAGGAAGCCCTTGTCTCGGGTTGGACCTGTCGGGTCCACGTAGGGTCACTCAAAACCATCTTAATCTGGATGTCGAGGAGAGGTCCCAGTCACGACCTGCACCATGCGGGGGCTGTGTTTGTTTTTTGCTTGTTTTGGTTTCCACTTGTTTGCTCAGTGAACCAGGAAGGGTGCCGTTGTTTCCCGATGGCCGCTGCGCAAGCAATACAGTAAGTAGACCAGCCAGTGATTGCTGCCGTCTCTTTCGAACTGCTCTAGTTCTTCGACATCTTCTACAGCGTCGCGATCATCCTGAATTGCATGACGTGACCTGGCTGCACTCCATCATGTTGTCGTTATTCTTGTTCTGTTTGCCGTGTCTGGAAGTCTGGAATTTGCTTCGGAACAGTGAGCCTTGGTCGAGTACACAGCTTACACACCTCCAGTTGTGTTGCAAACTGATACAGTACTGTAGCATACTCAGCCAAGCCGTGTTTGCCCACTTACTTTTGGGCCCCAAGCAAGCGGGAAGCCGAAAAAGCACTCGATGCAAGCCCGAGAAGGAACATAGTCATCGCTGAGCCAGTAAAATAGTGTCAACGAGTGCTGAGATGTGTTTGACGTTGATATCCCTAGCGGCTATTGCAAAGGGCAATGGAGCCAGTTACACGGAGACCGTTCAGATCTGGACTGAATCCGCCTTCCTTTATTTTGCCGTGGTCCACCAGGGGGCCCCAAGAAAAACAACGTAATGTTAATATGTTATTATATTATGTCAATGTTCCACCGTGACGAAATGACGCTGGCAAGGATGGGTCTTCAAGCTGACATGCTAGTGAATGCCGGTGCCTGAGTGTCGCATGCCTTTGGCAGGCTTGAACAGTTCCTCAAAAGCGTGGGCCTATGGCATACGTGCAGTCTTTCTTGAACACTCTCCAAGAGGGGCGGAATGAACGTTGCTGACGCTAACAGGTGCACAGCCGCGCTGAAAAACATGTTGTGTTGTGGCCGCCCTGCTTTCGGTGTTTTTTGCATACCGACGGATGTCCCCCCCTCACTTCCCAATACTAACCCTAGAGCAGAGAGATGCGTGCCGGGTGCTGGGCCACTTGTCACTTTCTCATTCCCAGCCAGCCCGGACTTGCACCTTGCAGCACCTTCTGAGGAGTATGCGCCGGAAAGCGAGCAACTGGTCATGATGGCTGAGAACATCCTCGTGGAGCCTTGGCCAGCACAGAGCAAAGCCCCACGTAGAACGAATGCACTGCCAGGGTCCCAAAATGCAGGTAAACCTTATATATATATATATGCAACCCCCCCCCCATGGACCCTGGTTTTACTGCCTTTTGGGGATGGCAAATCTAGAATTTCCAAATTTATATTCTCGAAATTTCCAATTGTGGGTCCCCAAAGCGTGATAATTTGGAGCCCGGAGTCCTCCACAATGTCCCAGTATGATACCCTTTGCACATAAGATGTTACTTCAACTAGAATTGGAATTTTGAATATAGTTTAGTATGGATATAGTTTTCAACAATGTGTTTATGTTCAATTACAGCTTAAACAAGCAAAACCTTTCCAAATAGCAGCTACATGAAAATGTAAATATATATTTTCGGCTAAACTCCAACTAATCTATAACACAGGAAGTTAGATGGAAGTTTTTTTTCCAAATATAATCCAAGTGGTAAGTATAATCTAAGACGAACACAACTCAATTTGCTTTTGATAATATCAAGTGAATAGAGACTACATCTCAAATATAATTCGTATTAAATATGGCTAAACATTTGGAAATTAAAAATCGGATTTGTGTTGTTTACATTCTGGCCCTTTTGTAGCATAAGAAAGGTCCGACATTGAACTTGTTAGACGGTGTTCCAAAGGGAAATTTCAAGGGAAGAGAGGTTCAAAATCTAAAACTGTCTCGAAACAGGGATTCTAGCTAAACCGTTGTATTTAAAGTTCTATTTGCGCAGGAAAGTTAATTCTATGTCAAAAGGTGGAGGTAGTAGATGAGCAAATGTGGACAGGTAGTTGAAGAGGGTGGGGGACGGTGTGTGAACGTACATACATATGTATATATATATATACACATACATACACACATATATAGTACCCCCAATGATCCTGCGCCTCCTCATAAAATACTGGAAAATGCAGTATTTTTGAGCGTTGCACCTGCCTTTGTTTACCTCCTGGAAAGGGGTCAACATGAGCATAGCTGACATGAAGCTCACCAAAAGCACTTGAAAGTTTGTCTAACCAATAACTTGAAAGTGTGTCCACTGGATCGCTAAGCACTTGAAAATTTGCTACTATCGGATGGAAGATTCAATATTGAAGATTACACAGAACACTTTCCTGAGAATTGTCAATCCTGGCCAAACCCAAATAGCATTAAAGTTCTTCTAACACTTGAAAGTGCTTTACCACTGGATTGGGGATCAATATTGAGGAGCCCACAAACCACCACTTTCCTGAGAATCATCCATCCTGGTCAACCCCTAAAATGTTCAAGTTGTTCTATCACCTCGAACATCCGTTACCACTGGATTGAACTATTTCACGGAAAACTTTTCCGAGAATCTTATTGAACACCGAGAGAATTGGGACAACCCTGGAATTTTTAAAACTTTTTAAAAATTATGGGATTCAAGATTCAAGATTCAAGATTCCCAGAAAATATTTTCTCAGATTCTTGAATCTTGAATCTTGAATCCAGAATTTTTAATAATTTTTAAAAATTCTGGGATTCAAGGTTCAAGATTCAAGATTCCCAGAAAATATTTTCTCACATTCTTGAATCTTGAATCTTGAATCCCAGAATTTTTAATAATTTTCAAAAATGTCTGAGTTGTTATTGTATTCTTGGATGCATTCAAACTCTTTCAGATTGCAGGTGCTGATGTCATTGCTTTTATCACATCTGTATGCATGCATGCGTATCATATACATGTACGACCCTCCCCCCAATTTTGACACAAACCCAAGAAGCAAACAGAAGCATAAAACACTGGAAAATACAGGTCAACCGCACCAAACCAGGGTCCATGGGGGGGGGGGGTACCATATATATATATATATGTCACTATTTGTTTAGACCCTTTTGCGACCTCAAGGAAACAAACCAATGCCCAAAAATTGGGACCCTGTCTTTTAAAGAACAAGAAGCTACTCGTTTGCTACTCTTTGTCCAAGCCAAATTTTTGGAACTGGATCTGCCCGTGGCGTTCAATAGGACAGCGAAGCTTAATGGCAAGAGCCCTTTCGAGAGTGTTGGATGTTGATCACATGCCATGCGACTCACACAAAGTAAAATGTTTAAAACATACAATGCAAATGGCATTGAGAAACAGAAGCTTGAACAATGCCAGACACATGCTCAGAACGCGAGAGAGATGCATGATATGATACGTCAGCCAATGCGGGCTCAACCGCTGAATACCTAGTTACAACCTGTGACACTGCAGTCGCTCGAAACGACAGTGAAAACAAAAAGAAATCAAAATTAAAGGACCGGATAACCCCACATGCTATGTTTTTCCCAAATGTCCACACACATGTACCGTGCGCCCCTTGTATGGATGCGATTACAGAGCACCCAGATGCACAGAATGCAGCGCCTGCCACGACTTCGGCAACGGCATCGCCAAAGTGCTGCGCCTGCCACGATTTCGCAACGGCATCGCCAAAGTGCTGCGCCTGCCACGATTTCGCACGCCCCCCGCCGCGCGCGCGACAACATCCTGTCCCTCTAGACAGCTGCCGAATGCGACCCCTGCCACACAAACACACACCCAGATGCACAGAATGCTGCGCCTGCCACGACTTCGGCAACGGCATCGCCAAAGTGCTGCGCCTGCCACGATTTCGCAACGGCATCGCCAAAGTGCTGCGCCTGCCACGATTTCGCACACGCCCCCCGCCGCGCGCGCGACAACATCCTGTCCCTCTAGACAGCTGCCGAATGCGACCCCTGCCACACAAACACACACCCAGATGCACAGAATGCTGCGCCTGCCACGACTTCGGCAACGGCATCGCCAAAGTGCTGCGCCTGCCACGATTTCGCAACGGCATCGCCAAAGTGCTGCGCCTGCCACGATTTCGCACGCCCCCCGCCGCGCGCGCGACAACATCCTGTCCCTCTAGACAGCTGCCGAATGCGACCCCTGCCACACAAACACACACCCAGATGCACAGAATGCTGCGCCTGCCACGACTTCGGCAACGGCATCGCCAAAGTGCTGCGCCTGCCACGATTTCGCAACGGCATCGCCAAAGTGCTGCGCCTGCCACGATTTCGCACGCCCCCCGCCGCGCGCGCGACAACATCCTGTCCCTCTAGACAGCTGCCGAATGCGACCCCTGCCACACAAACACACACCCAGATGCACAGAATGCTGCGCCTGCCACGACTTCGGCAACGGCATCGCCAAAGTGCTGCGCCTGCCACGATTTCGCAACGGCATCGCCAAAGTGCTGCGCCTGCCACGATTTCGCACACCCCCCGCCGCGCGCGCGACAACATCCTGTCCCTCTAGACAGCTGCCGAATGCGACCCCTGCCACACAAACACACACCCAGATGCACAGAATGCTGCGCCTGCCACGACTTCGGCAACGGCATCGCCAAAGTGCTGCGCCTGCCACGATTTCGCAACGGCATCGCCAAAGTGCTGCGCCTGCCACGATTTCGCACGCCCCCCGCCGCGCGCGCGACAACATCCTGTCCCTCTAGACAGCTGCCGAATGCGACCCCTGCCACACAAACACACACCCAGATGCACAGAATGCTGCGCCTGCCACGACTTCGGCAACGGCATCGCCAAAGTGCTGCGCCTGCCACGATTTCGCAACGGCATCGCCAAAGTGCTGCGCCTGCCACGATTTCGCACGCCCCCCGCCGCGCGCGCGACAACATCCTGTCCCTCTAGACAGCTGCCGAATGCGACCCCTGCCACACAAACACACACCCAGATGCACAGAATGCTGCGCCTGCCACGACTTCGGCAACGGCATCGCCAAAGTGCTGCGCCTGCCACGATTTCGCAACGGCATCGCCAAAGTGCTGCGCCTGCCACGATTTCGCACGCCCCCCGCCGCGCGCGCGACAACATCCTGTCCCTCTAGACAGCTGCCGAATGCGACCCCTGCCACACAAACACACACCCAGATGCACAGAATGCTGCGCCTGCCACGACTTCGGCAACGGCATCGCCAAAGTGCTGCGCCTGCCACGATTTCGCAACGGCATCGCCAAAGTGCTGCGCCTGCCACGATTTCGCACGCCCCCCGCCGCGCGCGCGACAACATCCTGTCCCTCTAGACAGCTGCCGAATGCGACCCCTGCCACACAAACACACACCCAGATGCACAGAATGCTGCGCCTGCCACGACTTCGGCAACGGCATCGCCAAAGTGCTGCGCCTGCCACGATTTCGCAACGGCATCGCCAAAGTGCTGCGCCTGCCACGATTTCGCACGCCCCCCGCCGCGCGCGCGACAACATCCTGTCCCTCTAGACAGCTGCCGTGAGTTGAGATGAGAAGTGAGTGGAGGAAGTGAGTGTGAGTGAGCGTGAGTGAGTGAGTGAGTGAGTTTGAGTGAGTGTGAGTGAGTGAGTGTGAGTGAGTGTGAGTGACTGAGTGTGAGTGAGTGATGAGTGAGTGTGAGTGAGTGAGTGTGAGTTGAGTGAGTGTAAGTGAGTGAGTGAGAGTGAGTGAGTGAGTGAGTGAGTGAGTGAGTGAGTGAGCGAGCGGGAGGAGGAGGAGACGCGGCGCGCGGACGACGAGCGGAAAAAGTAAGAACCCCACACAAAGATGTGGGGAAAAACATTCAAGAGCGCACGCAGATGAGAATCCAGATGGGCAAAAAAACCCGCAAACAAGCCGTGCACTGCTTCTTCCGTCGCGGGAGCTACATCTCCAAAGCTCGGAAAGGGTGGATTGACTAGTAGAAGCTTTCACAGGAGCCAAAACACATCAGTTCTACGTTGATGTGCCGGGGAAGCCCCTGAAACGGGGGGGGGTCGGGACCCCCGACTTTATGGGTCATGGGGAAAATCGAGTCAGGGCTGCGTCCCTCTTCTTTTTGTTTTCAATTTTGGCGACACACCTTCATAAAGCAACCGCCACCTGACCTGGACTTTCTGGGGCTTTTTGCTGGACCGACCTGCGGTCAAAGATGGTTTAACGCATAACGTCCCTGATTAAGCTGCTTAGTGCTCCTCGCTGCTTGCTAAGCGGCGTTTGCTGCAGCTATGCTCGCCACAGGTCCTTTTCACCATTGAGATTTTCGCCAGAGTTTGGGTCTACGGCTGCACCGGGTACTTTGCCCTCAGGAGTGCGAATGGACGCGTCGGTGTTGAATGGTGATAGTCGGTTTGGGTGCTTTACTGTAGTTGTCCGACCACCTGTTTGGCAAAGTTGGGAAGCTCAAACATAGGGCGGCATGTGGGAGAGCAATGACGTACTTGCAACACGAAAGGCATTGCATGCTTTCTGTACTCTTACAGTGTTTGTCGGCTCATTAGGCCAGGTATCATGAAATGTTCGAAACTACGTGAAGGAAGTGCGGTGCACGCTTGAAAGAACACCATAACATGGATGCCACTTTCAACAAGGTTGACATTCGAGCAACACTAATGGAAGCGCGCAGGAACGGGTTCCTGTCCACAAAAGGAGAGTAGTCTTCCAAACTGGGTCTTCGCACTTCCATGTTTGCTGGTGAGGTATATATATATATATATCTACAAATTGCATAAAGAATTACATATGTACATATACCAATGGATTTACTTGTTTTTTTACATACATACACAGAATACAAGTATGTAGTCAATGGCACCGGCACCTGCCTTCATGTATTCGGGCAGTTTCTTCATGCTTCCGTCTTTGAGAGTCGCAGTTTTTGTGGGTGAGCATGTCTCTCTTGCCAGGACTGTTGAAGGCAACTTGCCTGGAGATACAATGGGTGGCTCTTGACTGGTGCGCTCACTTCCCTTGGTCACGCACACGCAAGGCGCATGCACACAAGTGGCGCTGAACTTCATACACCTTATTTCGTGGGCAGATTGTTTGAGTCATTGTCCTTTTTAGGTCAGTTAAGTTTGTTTAAACAAAGAGGTTCCAGCTTGGTGCTATGATCTGCCAGTGCCTGCCCGTGCCACCAATTTGTCAAAACGGAATCCGAGGTTTGAATGGAAAACTCATGCAATGTACTGGCCCACCCAGCACTGCAGCCTGGGGAGGTGCGCTGGAATCCTGGAAGACGACCCTGTGTTGCTTCAGCCCATGGGCATACCTCAATTTGTGAAGTTCAGAAACTGGCCGCCGAACTATCTCTGGGCTTGCCGGGTTGGTGAGAGGCGATCCTGAGCCAAAGGGCGTTGCGGATGTTTTGCAAAAGCATGATGAGCACGTGCTTGCGCTTGATTCTAAAAGTGTTTGGGAAATACCCGGCTGGCTGTTAATGGTGATTGCGGCTTACGCACTTATTCATCACATGTCGTATGTATGTATATAAATGTACACAACTAATACATAAATACACATGTATACACATCTAATTCGCGTCATGGAGATCTGGACGAATGCGCATGGTCGCATGAAGGTAGTCAGGGATAGGCCGGGAGTGCGGCTTTGGTTTTCAGAGGGGAGTCCTGTGAGCTACATTTCGCAGACTGAGGTTGGATGAACTTAATGGACGACGCTCGTTCGCATATATGGTTTTGGATCCCTCTGGCAAATGTAGTTGTACACCCTTTATATGGGATTGTGGCATTTTGCGGAGACCGTTTTGACTTTGGCCAGAACAGCAGGGTTTAACTATCCTGAACTGGCTCAGCAGATGCCTAACTGCGGATTTCACATCCTGGCCTGATCAGCATTTGCATCGCCTGTTTGATGGCCGTGGCCAAAATTTCGTGAATCTCAAGGAATCCTGAGTGGCAAAGAGATGTCCAGATGCTATTATTCTTTCATTGACTTCCCGTTCCCTTCGTTCCCTCGGTCACTCTGTTCCCTCTGTCCCTTCGTAACTTCTATCACTTCCCATTCCCTTCCGTCGTCAACCTGCAAACCTAAGAACTCGGGAGATGTCACGTGCAGGAGGTTGACAAAGGAAAAGAAGTTGTAAAAGCATGAAAGAAGTGAATGGGATCCTGGTCTCTTGACGTGGTAACCCAAAGGCTCAGAAGTCATGCATTAGACCGTGTCCGGGAAGAACCATAAGTTGAGAGAGAGAAGCGACCGGTAAGGAAACAGACTTCACCGAAAGTAAAAGAAGCATGACAGAGAAAAGTAACTTGAAGAAGGAAAAAACAAGAATAACATGCTATTGTTATTATGTTCTATTTGTCTTGTTTATTATATTTTGGATTTTTATTAATTTCATATTTTTATTTACTTGTATTAAGGGAAGTTCCCTGCCCAGCAAAGCAGCGAGGAAAGACAAGGAGAAGGGAGAGAACAGGGTGAACGAGCTGGTTACATCCGTTCGTTTCTCTCGTACACTCACTCACCATACTACCCGTCCAGAAAGGGAGATAGAGGAGTGAAGGAATCTCGCCCACTCGCTTCTCTCGCATCTTGGATGACGAGGGAAAGGTCTAGAGACAGAGAACAGACACTTGACAGTGGGGAACGAAGATATGAGTGAGTCAAGCCTGTCTGTTCCCTCTGTCTCCCCTTCCTTTTCTATCCCATGCCTGCCTTCTTCATTGTCAGGCGTGTCAAGGATAGGAAAAGGAATGGGAGAGATAAAAGGCTCTAGGAACTCAAGAAATTATATTGAAGCCTTTTATCTTTGGCTGTGTCTCTCTTTCCTCATCTTTCATCATTCAAGCATATTTTAAGCTTGAGCCAGCGTTTCTGACCCTGCTCTTTGACATGTAGGGAAACTCTTTGACAACAGATCTGGCACGTTCTTGCCTTTCAACGCGACGATTTATTTCAGTGCTTCTTTTGCTGCCCTGCGTGAGAGCCAAGGCCATCATCGTGCTGGTATCTGGGGTGATCTTTGGCTGGGTATTCCCTCTGATCGCCTGGATTTCTGGCCAGGACATCAGCGCAGGCAAGCAAAGCCTTTTTGGGCAACTTAAAGCTGTGATCGCTTTTGACGTTCACAGGTCCAAAGAGGTCTTGCAGACTGCAATCAAGGACGCCTGGGACTTTTTGTTTGTGGGTCCCTTGCTAGTGTCGGGTCATGAAGCAGTTGGCCGAGATCGGACGGATCTCTCCCGATGCATCACTTTGTTTCCTCAGAGTTTCCTGTGAGGGACCCCCACGAGCGGCTATGCCATAGAGGTAGGTAGGACCCAAAAAGCCATCATTTTGAAAGGGATAAGCCCAAAGAGAAAGGCACCCCAAAACAGGTGTCCATTGTGTCAACTGACTGGAGGGCCTTTTGAGCGAAAATAGGTCACCTGTGCGGGGCATTCAATAGCGCAGTTGTTCGATGGCTCCCTTTTCCGGCTGCTGCATGTTTGTGGGGGCCAACTGCGTGTCAATATCTCACATCTTCACATCAGCAACACATGCCTGACACGGTGTTTGGGTGCGCCCAAGCCTTCAATTTGGCCGCTGCGCGAGGCTTTCTGCGAACGATCTCGGTTTTGCGTGCCATGCGACTGCTGCGAATTGTGCGGGTCATACAGCGCATGCCGATGTTCAGAGCCGCTTGGCGCTGAACTCAGTCGCTTTCTGCGGCAGAATGCTTAACGGCTTAACGTGTGACCCGGGGCCGAGGGCTTTGTGACCCCCGGGGCCAAGGCCTTTGGAATAGCAACGTCTAAGTCCATTGCACCCATGGCATATCAGTTGTTGTATCATACACTTGGAACCTGCTTGCCTGGGAGTTGGGGGGTATTTTGGCTTTTTTTGAGTCCAACTAGAACCCAAACGCAGCTCCACCAGGTCACCCATGTTATGTCGATTGATCGGGGAACCCTGAAATATAGTTGGTGGGCCTTCTGTCTTCCACCAAAGGTCCATGGCGTAGTCAGGGATGCCCAAGAGTTTCAGTCAGGAAGTTTGGCTTCTCCTGCGCGGTCTGACCAGCTCTCTGCGGACGTTGGTGTGGACGGTGGCGGTGATTTTTGCCCCTCGGATGCAGGCTTGCAAAGGGCAATTTTTCCGGGCCCCATCCCGACCCCCTAAGTCATGTACAAAGAGGGGAGGCACCTCCAAGTCGCGCTTTTGTGAGGGAAGGTGCTATTGGAACCTTAGAAGGTGCTCCCGCAGTGTTTTCGGGCGTGCCGGCACTGATGCCTTGTGACGGAGCTGGCAGAGAGCTTCTGCAGGATTCAGCGAGTTAGGTCCTCACCTATTTGTTCGCCATCTTGGGCTGCTGGCTCATTGGTGCAGAGATGAAGAATGCCATGGACAGCATCACCGATCAGGCACGCCTCGGTTTTGCAAGAACAGAAGTTTGGCAAATCCTAGCGGAACGTGTCACCCGCATCCTTGAAGGTGGCGGTATTTTGGGCCTTTGTTTGAAGTGGAGTCGAGGGCGGTGCTCCTTTCGGTCATGTGGCTTGTGCCATGCCCAGGTAGAGCTGGATGAGCTATTGGCGACCTATAAGTATGTCAAGGGCATTGCCCCACTGATGCAGCCGCTTGGCAGGACATCGTGCAGTCATGCGTTGTTTTTTGCAAGAGTGCTTCTGTGATCTTAAATGTGTTCTTGTCACTGCGCCGTGTACGCGCTCACGATGTTCACAAATATAATACTGATACGCATCATATATAGATAGACAGACAGACAGATAGAAAGATGGATAGATAGATAGATAGATATGCTTGTATGTACATACGCGCATGGGCCACGGTCAAGCATGCCGATTTGGTGTTTTGTTTAGGGAAATTGCAATTTTCACCACACAACAGGTAGCAGATGAGCAACTTCCAGGCTTTTCAGTGTGAAGCATGGGCAGTTGACTTGCCGGAGCCTCGTTTGTGATAGTTTTTGATGATTGATGTCAATGCAAACAAAAGAGAATGGGCCTGCTTCGCGTTTCCATGAAAACTACCACAGAGGGATTCAAAAAGCGTACCTCAAGCGACATATTCCTGTCTTCGGTGGGAGGTTGGCAGTGCTCAGGCTTGGCGCTTTGAACAGCCGCATGGCAAGGTCTGTTGCAACTTTCTGTCGCTGTTTTAAGTGTTTTGAGTGCGGCCTTGGCGCCAAAAGCAGCAACACCAGCGCCCGCAGCAGCAGCATCAGCAGCAGCAGTGACGGAACAGTATCTTGCTCTTTGTTCAGCTCGTGGGGGGTGTTCTTGTTCTTCGGCGTAGCATTGATATGTTTTTGAGATGTGTTACTGACGTTTAAGGCAGAAATGAAAAAAAGGCACATCCCACGTGCCAAGTGGTTACTTGATTAACGCATGAGCTGTGAGCTTCTTCTTACGCATTTAGTTGTTCATAGGCGTCCCGCGCGAAAATCCTCACACCACACTAGCCCATACCAAGCCAAACGGACAAACGGACGTGGTCAAGAAGATCCCCGATTCTGAGGCTTGGGGCGCAAGATGCGTTGCATTTCGGTGGAATTGCAACACTGCGTTGCCCAACATCCGCCTGAGGCTTTTGATCCAGTTTCTCACTTTGGACTCCTGGAATCATAAGATGGAGCGGATCATGGAGTGTCTTGGTTGCAGGCCGTAGGGGGCGGTTTATCGATTTGAATTAAGGAGTGCCAAAGACCATGTCCCAGAATCTTGGAAAAGGCAGTGCCCAAGAGGGTCAACACAACTGCTCACTTCTGCCATTTGGAAGGTGGTCCGCGGATTGGAGCTCAACATTTGCGAAAGATTGTCACTTGGACGTGTGTACGCGTGTGTGCACACCCACACTCATTCCAGTTAATAAGCATGACCACATTCCTTTCCCTCATGCCAGATGGAAGAGATTCCCTTGTTGCCACAGCGACGTTTCACTACAGAGTACTGATTTGGACTAGGGCCCCCGAGCAACCCAGGCTTAAGAAGCGCTCATGGCTCAGACAGACACGGGAAAGGGGCATGTGGAGGAGGAAGCCGCCCTTTGCTCATCGAAGTTACAAAGTGTCCAACAACAGCAAGACAGGAGGTCTCACTACTTCGCATTCCCTCGTGCGGCCAACCGCCTGGGAAATGGATTGCACGACCTTGGGATGTGCGTTGTGCTTTTGTTTGCGCTTGGTCCTTGTGCCACCTAACTACAAGGTGGTTCGGCTTCAGCTACACTGGGAGTGGTCATGCATGCTCAGGTATGCACCCTGGTGCTTGGGCTACTTCTACACCTACATTGTCGGGTGCTGAGATGCTCTTTGCATGGTTTGCGGGTGCTTGGTGGACACAAAACCTCGTTGCTGAGCACGGCAAGACACTGCCGTGGCCTGCATCTTGCAGAAAGCCGAGACACGAATCTTCACACTGGCAAACCACCCAACACACAAACATACATCCATGCTGCAGAGTCACAGATCCACATCTTGCAAACAAATTCAAGCACGCACACGCAGACACAGAGAGACACACACACAGACGCACAGACTTGCAGACTCGCAGAGGCACAGATGCATGCGCGCTCACGCGCAGAAGCGCAGACGAACGAACGCACAGACAAAGAGACATGGAGACATAGACACACACACACACACACACTGATGCAAATACATCAAGACAATTATGAACACAGAAAGGCACAGACGAAGACATTGTTCAAAAGACCACACAAGCACAACCCCATATGCACACAAGTTTAAAGGCAACTGGGATGCACCTGGGCCTTCCGAAGCACAGGATTTGGGGCACGCTCAATTGAAGTGTGTGTTTGCTTCGCGGTTGATTTTTGTTTCTTCAAACTAGACACGTGGCTCAGGCTGTAGCAGTCTTCGTGCTCATGAACCTGGTTACCGCCATCATCGTGGCTTGGGCAGATGGGTGGCTGCAGGAACCCATCACTTGCCTGGCCCTCCCGCAGCCCATGCATTCAGAAGAAATGTGACTAGATGAAGACCTCTTTGACCTCCGTTATGATTTTGCGCATGCATGCCCTGCATTTGGAGATGACTTCCTGACACCTCTTCTGTGGACCGATGCTAGGGCTAAGGCCCGGGTAATGTACCCGGTGCACGTATATCCCGATATTTGATCAAGGGATTGAAAGTAAGAAAGAATGAAAGAAAGAGAAATCAAGGAAGAAGAAAAGACGAAAAGAAAGACAGATAGGAAGACACAGATAGACAGAGTGAGAGACAGAAAGAAAGAAAGAAAGAAAAGAAAGAAAGAAAGAAAGAAAGAAAGACACGGGCGCAGCATTTTCGAAAGGTGTTCTTTCTGTCTTTGATTATTTTCTTTCTTTTTCTTTCTTTCTGTCTTTGTTTTTCTTTCAGTACTTTCTTTCCTGGTGCAAGTGCTGCGCCTGCCACAACACCTGTACTCGACCTTGCAAAAATACTGCGCCCACAGCCAAATCTGTACTCGACCTATCTATATGTCAATCTCACACCTGACCTGCGAAAGCGCGGCGTCTGCCACGAAATCTGCACTCCATCTTGCGAAAGTGCTGCGCCTGTCACGAAATCTGCACTTGACCTTGCGTGGGAACAAAATGCTGCGCCTGCCCCGAAATCTGCACCTCAGGTTACGAAAGTGCTGCGCCTGCCACGCGATTTGCACCTCCGAAACAGCCTGCGCGGCCGTGCCATTGAGGAACTCTCTGGCAAACCCGTGGCGCACCCGTGGCGACACCGCACGCTGAACAGAGGTACCCTTCGCGATTCGGTCGGTCTCTATCTTCTGATTCTGATCAACTCTTCAACTCTATCTTCCTACCTTCTGACGCTGGTCAACTTTTTGTATTACGGAAGTTTTTTAAAGTAAACTTCAAGTACAGATAGACAGATAGATAGATCGATCGATAGATCGATGGATTCAATAGCTAGAAAAATGGAAAGAAAGTACTCAAAGAAAGAAGAAAGAATGAAAGAAAGAACGGAAGAGAGAAATAGGGGAACAAAGACTGCAAGAAAGAAAGAAAGACAGAAAAAAGAGACGTAGTCAATGACAGAAAGAGAAAGAAAGAGTGAAAGAAATAAAGAAAGATAGAAAGAAAGAAAGAGATTCAAAAGAGAGACGAGGACCTTCATTCTCCATACCAATAGAGCCCGTGAAGCTGGTGGGCGAAAGTTTCTAGGGCGAGAAGAGAGCCTATAGGAAGAGCTTGCATGCGTCTCATTTTTCGCCCTTTCTTTCTTTTTTTTCTTTCTTTATTTCTGTCGTTCTGTCTTTCTTGCTTGCTCTCTTTCTTTATTTCGTTCTTTATTTCTTTCTTTCCTTCCTTCTTTCTTTCTTTCTTTCTTTCTTTCTTTCTTTCTCTTTTTCTTTCTCTCTTTCTTTTTTTGTTTCTTTTCTTGCTAAATTTCTTTCTTTCTTTCTGTCTCGCTCTCTCTCTCTCTCTATCTCTCTGACTATCCGTGTCTTACTATCTGTTGTCTTTCTTCCGTTCTTGATTCCTTTCTTTCTCTCTCTCTCACTGAGCGCAGCAGCAAGTCTTTTGTGTGACGGTAGCAACAATACTCAAGAAAGGGCTTTTGAGCCCAAATGGTGTGACTTGGAGATCGCATGGAGGTCAATATTTCATGCTCAAGCAAAAGCAGAACAAAAACTACACTCTTCCAGGTCAAACCCGGGCGCGCTTTTGTCCGTTATCAGTGCGCTGGTATCTCCGGCGTGTGAAACGTTCCTCATATGGAAAATGCATGTCGCCAAACGTTGCCATCTTGTTGGACATTCCACCTCCAGCTGTAGCCCCAAACTCTCGAACGCAATTTTGGACGGGGATAGTTCTTCCTTTTGGACTCGTAGTAGTCCGACCACACCAGCATTCCATTTTTTCTTCTCAGGCAGTGTGTTATCCTTGGGCTGTATGTGTCCTTGCGCGGCTTATTGGTGTTGACCATGAGTGGAAGATGCCAATCCGAATCACATCTTGCATTCATGAGCGTTTCGATGGTCAAATGCTTGCTGGGCTGTGACTTTGTAATGCTGAAATACTCGACCAAGGTCTAGGGGGGCTAAGACCCCTGTAATGTACCCGCACGTGGTGCGAGATCATGTGGAAGTCAATATTCATGCCCACGCCAAAGCAGAACAAGCCATTCGAACAGCGTCCCATTGCAAAGCAGCGAAATACGAGCAAAACATCGTCGTTTGCACTGCGAATGCCTAATACTGGAACGCGTGGCAGTGCAGATATTGCTCTTCAATAGCTGCCTGGCCTCAAATTCAAAGGATCGCCTCGTAGCGTTGGGCACTTCTATCAAACAATGATACCAAAGTTGGACAGACGTGATATACTGATATGTACTGCAGATATCAATGCTCCGAACGTTCCACCGGCACATGGGGGACTTGTCTCAAAAAGAAGGCAACTCTTGCGGACTCTTCCAAAGCGGGCCAACACAACACCAGGGTTCCAAGTAAATAAGGCTCACAGTTTTGAGGACACGGAACACCCACCACACACGCACGTTTGCACCCCGCGAGCCATGTGCAATATAATATATGCATGCTGTCCGTGTGCCATCAACCCGCCCTGAACTGGCCCTGAACTGGTGGAGACATCAGTTTATCAATTTGTCCATCATGGCACAAATGATCCAGAATGGTGCCTTACAACGCGCCCAGTATGAAATCCCAATTGGTGTGAAACTGTGTGAAGTGGTAGTCATTGCTCAGGCACGCTAAAAGGATGGTTGTTGAGACATCAAGTTCCTAGGTAGATCATGAGAACCTGACAAAAAAGGGGGCTGCAAACTTTTTGCATGCAGCAAGGGATTCGACTTTCACCTTATCCGGGTCTGGGCTGGAGATTTGCCACATTTCCAGCGTTCAATGCGCCCTTTCTCAAGTTGCATCTCATGAGCAAAAGTTGAGGAGTGGCTGCCCATCCCTTTTACATTTGCCATCGTTGTGTTCACCGCGTTTCAGACGGAGAACAAATCGCCGACCCACGGTATCCATCACTGCATGCCAGCTTGGAGTCAAGGTGGAGAACGCCATGTCAGCGTCCAAGATGGACGAAGACCAGCGCCTCAAGCAGCTGCTCAGACAAACTTGACACGAAGGCTATAGAGCTTTTAATCGGGGCGCGTGGACCCAGCTGGATGCTCAACCAATGTCAGGTAAGTAGGTAACCTTTGGTGCAACTGGGGTAGCCAGGTTGGTTCCGCATATATAAGCAGGGCTATGTCCCACCGAGTGGACTGAACATCCAAGATATCCAAGCAGGGAGCGCTATTTCCGAAAGAGCGCAATGTCAGATGGTCACAAGCGCCATGGTCGGACCCAGCGTCAGCCGCGCCAAGCTAGCCAACCATCATTCTGTGTCACGCTTTTTGCAACATGGGATTGGCCTCCACTTGCTGGCCTTCGAGTGGATTTCAGAGTGGTGGAAGGAACATTCGCTTCAAGAGCCGATTTCAATGAATTTCTTTGACAGGGATGTGTCCGGTCAGGAAGGCTTCTAGGCTCGTGCTCAATCAAGGATGGAGGACCTGAAGCGGAAGGAGCTCAAGGAGCTTGAGCTGCACGGCGCAAAAGGAACATGAGAGGACTCATCGGTCATTGAGTCTGAGGGCCGTCGCAAGTGTTAGTCTATCCAAAGCAGCACAAGGATGCCGTGATAAATCGGTGGCTTTCTAGCCGGGCTGCTGTCTCAATGACTCAAGCAAGATCACCTTTGATGAATCCTTGGTTTGTGCCCCTGCTTTGCTTCCAAGCATTGACTTGTGGTTGCGGTTGTTTGCATGATTCTGCCAGCCTCCTGGAAGCGCAACATGCAGGGCTTTTGCGTGCATGGCCGACAGACGAGTCGCGGTCGAACCGGTTGCAAAGCACGGCATGGTTTTGATTGGCTGACCCGCAGGCTGCGGGAAATGTCAAAAGGACTATGTTTGAACCCCTGGGTAAACCCCAGGAATGTTCATCGTTACCAAGGCCTTAATTAAGGCCTGGTTGAGGCTTGCCTTTGATTTCGCTGATTTCTGTCTCCAAAGGCCATTTTGCAAGGACCCCTGAAAATACAAAGAAATACATGATTTGATTGATTCCGAATCCCATTTGTCATCGCAAGAGTCCCCCTCAAGGTTCAATTCCTGCAATGCGGATCGCCCCCGGTGGTTCTGCCCGCTGGGATTGATAATCAATCGCTGGAGCTGCTTCCAGTCAGAACGGGCACCTTCAGATGTTGCAAAAATGGCGAAGTCACAGTAACTTTTGAAGGGGCGCGCGGTCCTCAAACCACAAGCCGGGTTTATAGGGTTTTAAGCCACAGATAACCACCGGGCTGAGGTTCATAGGGGTTTCCGGCCAGATTTTGGGGTTCATAGGGGATTTCGGCCACGGATGTTTGGGGTTCATAGGGGTTTTCGGGCACAATTTGTGGCCAGTTTCCTGTATGAACCCCAGTTTTACAGCCCAGATTGACGCCGAAAACCTTGAAGACATTTGCCAAACGCCGAATCCCACCATGTGCCAGGCCAAACGCAGTTCCCCGCTAGCGCTAATGATGTACACATGACTGGGTGGCCAGTTTTCCCTGACCGGATGCCAAACCGCCTCCATCGAGCCACACTTGCGTGGCAGTCAACGCTGTCAAAGGGCAAACCGGTTCGCTTGCCAAGTGCTTTCCACCGACCGCCAAATTTTAACCCATATTTAGCGCCCTTTTAATTTTGACCTATAACTATGAGACCAGTTGATCCAGGGGTTCAAACATTGGACTCTTGAAAATGCTGGCAGATGTCAGTGCCAAGATAAGTGTGCAATTCAGCTTGGTGCTTGGGTACTTGCTCACGAAATGCATGCAGATTTGTGCAAGGCACCTCTTCTACCTCATGGATGCCGATGGCGACGGTACGCTTGATTGGGAGGAGCTGCTTGCTTGGATTGAGCTATTGCCATCAGCTCTAGCCTCCCTGCAGTACCGTCTTGTGGGTTCTGGACCCACAACAAATGCTCGGCCCCCAAAAAGTTCACCTTTTCCCGGCATAACAGGCTATTGGCAAGCCGCTGAATGCACAGAGAAGTGGTCTATCCATGCATTGGCGCCATGTTTTGGCACCTTCTTCTGTGGAATCTCGTTTAAACATATTGAGGTAAGGTTCACTGAATATGGAGAACCAAACATATCCTTCGGCTGGGTTCCAGTTCTTGGGGCCTTTTCGCTACCTCTCGAAAGGCGATCTCCAGGAGCCTTCCCACGGGAGGGGTCCTGCACGAACTCGTCAACTGCTGTGAGTGATCCGTGGCAGATGGGAAGGGGATGCTGAAAAAGCGGCTGCAATCCGCAGGAACGTCAAAGGTCGGAAAAGCCACCAGTGGATCATCACGGGGCAATGAGCAATCGATCCATGCAGGCCTCATGAAAGGTCTCAGCACAAATCCGCAACTTTCGCAACCACAGCGAGGTTTGAGAACGCCTTCATGGACGAAGACATGAGCAGGACACCCGCCAGAACGGGGGGGGGGGAGTGCGCTGATCGTACAACGAGCTCTGCGGGTGAAACGAGCGGACTAATGATGCAGGGCCTTTACATGAGGTTCCTGGATTTTGGTGTTTGAATTATGGCAATGTGGCATCTAGTGCAGAAGGAGTTTCTAACCGTGTGTTTGGGGCCGAGGTCGCTCGCAAAGCGTTGCCTCCCTCTTTGCACACTACTTCCCACTTTGGCTGTGGCAGCAGGTAGGCCAAGGTGTTGGATTCAGAGGTGGGACCGGCCTGTCACTTTCAGCCGGCATGCTGTCTTGTTTTCCAGTTTCTTGTGTCCCCGCACACTGCACGGAGTCCCTCAACAGCAGGAGACTCTTTGCAACGATGGACGCATGCTGAATCTTCCTTGAGTTAGAGTGATGTTCTACCGAAAAAGTGCTGTATTTGCAGCCGGTTTTTTACAAGAGGGGTGGAATCTCCCCACTGCAAGCAACCGCTATTGTTCTTGTTCAAAGCTCGGTGTAACATGTGCGGCAGGGCCCCGTGAATTCCCCAGCCGATTTATAGGATCACCTTAAAGCTGGGTTTTTGGATGTTCTACTTCCAGGGCCGCGCCCTCAGGAAGTGAAGACTTGTCACATCTTGCGGAATCATGATCACTCTGAGCGGATAAGGTGTCACTGCTTACGGAAAGGCAAATGTCACTGCTTACGGAAATGAAAATGTCACTACTTACGGAAATGAAGCCACTACACGCGGAAAAGTATAGGGGTAGAAAAGTATAGGGGTAGGAAGCTCCTTTCTAAGGCTCCTTTCTAAGGCTCCTTTCTAAGGCTCCTTTCTAAGGCTCCTTTCTAAGGCTCCTTTCTAAGGCTCCTTTCTAAGGCTCCTTTCTAAGGCTCCTTTCTAAGGCTCCTTTCTAAGGCTCCTTTCTAAGGCTCCTTTCTAAGGCTCCTTTCTAAGGCTCCTTTCTAAGGCTCCTTTCTAAGGCTCCTTTCTAAGGCTCCTTTCTAAGGCTCCTTTCTAAGGCTCCTTTCTAAGGCTCCTTTCTAAGGCTCCTTTTAAGGCCGGGGATCCGCTTTCGAGCTGGAATCCTTCCAGCTCGAAAAGCGGATCCCCAAGACAACCTTCATCACGGCCCCCTGGAGGGATTGGCCGGGGATCCGCTTTTCGAGCTGGAATGCCGGATTTCGAGCTGGAATGCCGGATTCCAGCTCGAAAAGCGGATCCCCAAGACAACCTTCATCACCTTTCAGGAGGGATTGGCCGGGGATCCGCTTTTCGAGCTGGAATGCCGGATTCTAGCTCGAAAAGCGGATCCCCAAGACAACCTTCATCACGGCCTCCTTTTCAGGAGGGATTGGCTGGGGATCCGCTTTTCGAGCTGGAATGCCGGATTCCAGCTCGAAAAGCGGATCCCAAGACAACCTTCATCACGACCCCCTTTCAGGAGGGATTGGCTGGGGATCCGCTTTTCGAGCTGGAATGCCGGATTCCAGCTCGAAAAGCGGATCCCCAAGACAACCTTCATCACGGCCCCCTTTTCAAGAGGGATTGGCTGGGGATCCGCTTTTCGAGCTGGAATGCCGGATTCCAGCTCGAAAAGCGGATCCCCAAGACAACCTTCATCACGGCCCCCTTTCAGGAGGGATTGGCCGGGGATCCGCTTTTCGAGCTGGAATGCCGGATTCCAGCTCGAAAAGCGGATCCCCAAGACAACCTTCATCACGGCCCCCTTTTCAGGAAGGATTGGCCGGGGATCCGCTTTTGCCGGAGCTCGAAAAGCGGATCCCCAAGACAACCTTCATCACGGCCCCCTTTTCAAGAGGGATTGGCCGGGGCTGAGCTGGAATGCCGGATTCCAGCTCGAAAAGCGGATCCCCAAGACAACCTTCATCACCTTTCAGGAGGGATTGGCTGGGGATCCGCTTTTCGAGCTGGAATGCCGGATTCCAGCTCGAAAAGCGGATCCCCAAGACAACCTTCATCACGGCCCCCTTTCAGGAGGGATTGGCTGGGGATCCGCTTTTCGAGCTGGAACGGATTCCAGCTCGAAAAGCGGATCCCCAAGACAACCTTCATCACGGCCCCCTTTTCAGGAGATTGGCCGGGGATCCGCTTTTCGAGCTGGAATGCCGGATTCCAGCTCGAAAAGCGGATCCCCAAGACAACCTTCATCACGGCCCCCTTTCAGGAGGGATTGGCTGGGGATCCGCTGGATTGCCGGATTCCAGCTCGAAAAAGCGGATCCCCAAGACAACCTTCATCACGGCCCTTATTCAGGAGGGATTGGCTGCGGATCCGCGTTATGCCGGATTCGAGCTCGAAAAGCGGATCCCCAAGACAACCTTCATCACGGCGCCCTTCGAGCTGGAATGCCGGATTCCAGCTCGAAAAGCGCTTTTCGAGTGGGTAACATCGGTGATACGCTCATTACCTACCCAAAAGCGCCTTCGGCCACAAGATCCTTTGTCCGCTTTTCGAGCTGGAATGCCGGATTCCAGCTCGAAAAGCGGATCCCCAAGACAACCTTCATCACGGCCCCCCTTTTCAGGAGATTGGCCGGGGATCCGCTTTTCGAGCTGGAATGCCGGATTCCAGCTCGAAAAGCGGATCCCCAAGACAACCTTCATCACGGCCCCCTTTCAGGAGGGGTCCGCTTTTTCCGCAGAGACTGTGCTTTGTTTTTCCGCACATTTGGTTGTTTTTTTCCGCTCTGCGGGGTTCGCACGTTTTCCGCGCGCAGCGCCGAGCCTCTCAGGAAGTGGCGACTTTTGGACTTCCAGCCTGAGGAGTGCAAGGAGCCAGTGGAAGGGGCTGCGCTCTTGAAGTTCCGCCGGCTTTTCAGGGACCCCCAAAAAACGCGCCACCCAAACACTTGAAGTGAAGCCAAACTGGATGCGCGTTTTGGTGGAACCTGGGGGTGGTCAGGGCAATTCCCAAAGGGCGCCAGACTTGTCATGAAAGCTGAGCGCGCAGCTTCTCCGCTACGGTTGGACGCGTAAGCAAAGAACAACAGATCAAATACGCAGGTTTGGGGTTGGCAAAGAAAATCAAGAACATAGAACGGTCAAGACGGTTTAGATTTCCAGTTTGGCGGATGTTTTGGGTGGCTTGCAGGAACCCCCGGACAAGTCAGCCATGGTGTGTAAGCCATACAATTTGCCTTGCTTTCAGGCTGGGAGACCGGGCAGGTTCCAGGTTGGTAGATTGGTTTCTTGATTTGTCATTTACGGGGCGCATTTCTGGGTGGAAGCTCCGGCTGTTCCTGCAATGCGAGGGAATCAGCCTCGCCTGCACTGGCTTGTAAGAGGCCGCCTTGCTCATGATCCGTCATTGCACCTCCAAGACTTGTGGCGTCAAGCGAGTAAGCAACCAAAGTGAGAAGAAACCAAGCCAATCAATGTACTTGAGCTGCACGCGAGCTTCGCGAGTACGGCGAGCACGGCGAACTGGCGCGCATTGTTTTTTTTTCACTGCTCTCAAGGGCACGCTGATTTAGTCAGAGCGAAACCTAGCGGCAGGAAATAACAAAAGGAGTGCAAGGAGATAGGGATAATTCCCAAGATAACCATATCAGTTGGTGGCTGGATCGCTTCCAGTTGTGAGGAGTTGCTATTTCCTCTCCTGGTTTCAAATGTGAAACGATCATGACACGAAGGTAGAGATGTGTGTGTGTGTTTGTGTGTGCTTCAGTGGAACCTCAAGCAAATGGACAATGACTATTGATGGCTTTCTGTCTTTGAGTTTCATTAGGTTAACCAGTCCAGTTTTCAAATTTTGGTTTCTTCACAATTTCCGTCTGCACATATTTTTGTTCATCGTTAGCCGATCGACTCGGGTCGGGACTGCTGAGAGCATTGGCCCAGGAGCTGTTTGACCTTCTTGATGATGGGGACGGAGGCATCGAGACCAAGGAGTTCTTTCATGGGCTCGCGCGCATGAAAGGAGGCTGGGCTGACTCACTCATCTTAAGAACCCCCGAAGTGGAGGCAGCTTTTTGGGGGATGGGTTTCGAAGGGATGCCAAGGTGAATCCAGCCTCGTTCTGGGGTGTCCAAGCTCAGACAGAGCCAAATCGGCAAAAGAGGGCTCGGCTCGGTTTGTTGGGCGCACTGGACTTTTCGTGATTCGTGATCTATGGCGTGAGGATCCCTTCCCCAGGGATCCGGCTGAACTGCAGCCAGGCTCAAGAACAGGTTGCCCTAAACTGTTTGCACGCACGCTTAAGGGAGTCCCCGCACGGTCGCATCCCCAAAAACGATGTTTGTTTCGCCGCACGGGCAACTGATGCGAAATGTTCAGGGTGCTGAGGCGAAATTGCAGCATCTCACGTTTTGTTTCATGGTATGCTTTCGGGTTGCCCCTCTAACATTGCTTCAACCAGGAGCTTGCCTTACACCTCAAAGCCCTGCACTTTCGACTACGAGACTTTCGGTTTTGAGAGAACAGACCTGTCACTGATTGCACCAATCACTTCCCCTTTTTAACAAAGGCACCCTATTAATAAATACTATTTCCCCAAGTTTGCCCAGACAGCCGGGTCCCCAATTCTACTTTTAGATTAGGCCAATTCAAAACCAATTCTGGTCTGTCGGATGTCTCCGCCCAGACCAGACACAGCCTTATTTCTTTAATTGCAACTGAGCCCTTTACTTCTGAACCGCGAAAACGGAAAAAATCAGCCTTGAGCGGCTTCATTCGAACTCGTGACTCGGAAATTACGTTTAAACAAATGCTTCCCCCGTTGTTTGTGTCCGGGAAAGGGGCAGCCCATTTTGACGACCGAAGAGGTCGACCCCAAAGTACCCTATCAATAAATAGTTTTGTCCCCCAGACCTGATTTATTATTGTGGGGCGGGTGTGTGGGGGTTGGCGTGTTATTAATTATTAGGAGGTTCACATGTCATGAATCATGTGCTTCTGTGTGGCCACGTTCGCGTCGGTTGCTTTCCGCATGCTCAAGTTCTTAGGCCGCTTGGCCTCTACGCCTTTGAAATCCAACCTGTCACATGTGCCGGGAAGCCTTGAAGTTTACAGAGGAAGCCTTGAAGTTTACAGAGTCCGGCAGTTTTAACTTGTATTTTCCATTCGAAGGAGGCAGGTGACAAGGCTGGTTTGCGCCATTCCTCGCAGGTGCGCAGTCCAGAGATCTGATCAGGGTGGCGCAGAAAGTGGATGCTTGGCTCGACAGAGTGTTTGCTCTATGCGCCAAACCAAAGGACAAACATAATCCATTGTATTTTGTTGGTGTGGGTTGTGGTAAAGCCCATGCATGACCCTTGTCCAGTTGAAATGGCGGCGAAATTGTGTCAGCGTCAGTGTGGCGCGGGGGCCTTGTGACGAACAGCTCCGCAAACATGCTGCCTGTATCAAGTTGATGGCAGCATTCCGCCCAACATCTCTTGGGCATCAACAGCCACGGTGTAGCCAAGCCTAAGTTGTAGTAAACGACGCTGTGCCTTTGTGGCCAGTCGCGTTTGCGGCGTCAGGTTGAGCTGCCCAGAGTTGCCGGCGAGACAGATGACTCAAGACTTTGCACCGTCACGTATTCCCTTGAAAGGGTGCTGAGATTCTGAGATGTGCTGAAATACCCTCCTTGGCAGGGACGCAGAGCATCAGCCTTGGCCGAGAGCGAGCCAGGCTCTTCGCAGCACGTACATGCTGAAGTACCTGCATGCAGCAAACTGACACGTTGTCAAGGGAATCTTCGTGCTTTCTCCAGATAGTTACCAACGCTTGCCTAACAGCCTTTTTTGGCATCTTCCCCATGTTTCAGGTGCTGTTCTTCAGGAATGCAAAAGGTGCCTTTTGGAATGCCTCGAATTCCCTCAAGGGCCGCATGTGTGCATGTGTGCCTTTGCCAGGCCGCCTTTGTCAAGCTTTGCCCAACAAAGTACTGCAGCACATTGGAGAAATTCCATGGCCAACTCACTTGGGGTATGACTGGGACCCACGAGCAAGCCACTTTAAGGCAGGAAGGCATGGGCTCAGATGGACCGAGGACAGGTTGGGCAGGGACGTCAGCAGCTTGGTCCAAGCGTTCTGCTTGGGCTGCGCAGCCGGCAGTCCCAACCTTAGGGTTCGGCTGAAGCGGAGCTACTTCACGGCAGGCTGATGTTATGTATCCTCAAGGCCAAGCATGTTAGGTCCAAGGGGTGAACCCCACTGAACAAACTGCCTCACCAAGAGAGACGGCGATCATGAGGCATTTCTGGATCCGAGACCTTAGGCTTGGGGGTTGAAGTTGGGTGGATTGGGCGTATGCTTGCTTGCCAATCTTGTTCTGTTGAGACCTAATGAGCGACTGAGCATGCTGTGTATGAGCGGGTGAGTGAGTGTGTGTGTGTGTGCGTATGCGTCGCGTGTTTTGACTTAGTTGTTGTGTGCATTGTGTGGTGTGTGCTTTGTGCGTTGTATGCATTGTGTGTTGTGTGCTTGCTTGCGTGCTTGCCTACGCTACCTAGGGCATGGGGCGTTCAATGAGTGGCTCCCTGCCAGGAAATCCCGTGTCGGGTGCGGATGCTCGCTTCATACAAGTCCGCTTCTTGATTCATATGAGACATCGGAGGGGGGAGGAAAAGGTTTGGCTGGTTTCGGACGTGTCCATTTGCGCTGCCTGCAAAGAAGGTCCCAAACAAAGGGTCGTCACTTTGTCAACCCTCCAGCTGGGAAATTATCCAGGAAATCAGGTCTCCGTATTGTCAACTCTCCTGGTCCTGGCTGGTTGATTCCGCACGTTCTTTGCAGATTGGAAGAGCAGTGGGTCGGGCAATGACATTTCATCCCTTTGAAAGCGGATCCTGGACGTTTGGCATTTCAGATTCTACTTTCATCCTGTTTTGGCGATGGCCCCGGGTGAAGCTCTGATTTTCATCTTCTGTTTTTAGGCGAGGGATGGATCAGGGCTTGGTGAGGCTCAAGCTGTGAGGGGGTTCTTCACAGGGCCCCGCCCTGTCGAGCGTAGGGGAAGAACACGTCCAGAATTGAGACCAAACCCGTGAGGGCTTGCAGTTTTTGGTGGTTTGGATATGCGGTTACGCGAATTTCCCCTTTGGGTGTCAAAGCAGGGAGCTTTTGCCAGATGCTTTCCAGAAGGCTCGGAAAGGAAACCGTGGAAAAAACACAAACCGTTTGGAGGTGAATGAGTTTGGTGAGCGACAAGTTTGGCGCCTGGAATTTGGTCACGGTATGTCACGGGTTTTCCATGTAAGGGCCCCCCTTTTGTTTCCCCGCAGCAGTCCAGGAACCACGCTTAGTCTGATTGAGGTCCCCACTTCTCCAAACGGCGTCGACAATTCGGTTTACTGGCTTGGTTGGGTCCCTTGGGAGAAGTGGACTGGTTGCCCGCGATTTTGGGAAAAATCTAGCAGTTGGTGCTTCGAACTACAAGATGGTAATCCCAATCATGGTGCTGAGTTCAAGAGACCGCATGATTGACATCATAAATGATGACCAGTTGCAACACTTTGGGACCCCTTTCCTTGTAAGCTGGGGAAGAGATTGCTTGCCTGCTTTTCCGAGTTGAGTTGGAGCAGATGCCCAGCTAACATGGAAGCTTCCGTTCAGGAAGACAAGTTCCTTAAAACGCCGGCAATTCCCCGCAAGGACCTGAGACGCCAGGCCGTGAGCGAGGGCGGTCTTGGGACAGTTCAACGAGGGTAGCACTTGCTAGGGGGGTGGGTTGGTCTTGGCTGAACCGAAGCCAATATGCGGGCGATGGCTTTGACACAGGTGTATCAGCTGCGTTTCGTTCACAATTGGGAGTATTTTTGTGCGCATGCATGGTACTTGTATGCTCTGCCAGTCAGAACTTGGCTGGTTGGGGGCAAATGGACAAAGCTTCGCAGTGAATGATACATCATGGCATAGGATGGGGAAGGGGCTCGAGGCCTTTTCGAACTTGCAAGTGTCGAGTACAAAACCACCATTGTCACATGGGGCACGGTCCAACATTCTCTCGCTGGATTTATCGCTGGCGCCGGGCCCTTTGCAAACCCTGTTCACCTTGATGACTATTGGGTTGGATCTTTAGACTTTAACCTTTTCGGAACTCAAGTGTATTCCCTTGAGCCCACAAAAGCAAGAACTTTGAGGGGTCAACAGCAACCAAGTCACCGAAGCGCCATCGGCCAGGTGGGCGCCGCATGTCGGTGGCAATACGTTGCTTGGCAGTTCGGTGTCTTGCTCACGGTGCAAGTACTGAATTGGACAATTTGGGGGTTCCCAGCCGTCCCCTTAGTGTTTGTTCTTTTTGTTTCTGGGTTTAGTGAGGGTGTCCATTAAGTCCACGAAATGTTGAGCTTTTGGCAGAGCTGGATCTGAGAACAGCCTAGAAAGGAAGGAAGCCAAAGGAAAACTTGTTTCCGAAACCCTCTTGCCAGCTTCCATGACTGTCATAGAGAGAGGGAGTTCTAGTCCCATGTTCAGCCTTAACCTTGCTGGACTATTGCATCTCATCGGCGTTCGGGGTGTTGTCCACTTGGGCGATCAGAACTGGCTGAACTTGCCATTGAAAGAGGGTTCCTCACGCAAGGAAATCATATTGTGTAAGGTCGCGAGAGCGTGTTGCGCAAGCAGCTAGCTCCCCTAATAGTGCCCTGTTACCCTTTTTGGGGGGAGGGTTCCCCTACTAAAATAGACTAAAAATAGGGTACCCTTATTCCAACCTCTCTACTGGAGGACCTAGGCAGAGTGGTGTGGGTGATCCTGTAACTTTCAGCTACCTCGGTCCGACAGCGCGAGGGTTCCTAAAGCGAGATGTTTGAAGTCACCGCTGACTGGCCAAGCTTTGGGCCTTCGTTGGCCGGCTTTCGGGAAAGAACTACACTGCAACACGTTAGGGGATGGCAACCTTTCAGCTCAACCCATTGAGCAAACGACCGAAGCATTGGTTCAAGCACCAGCCGATCCTTGCAGAAACCGAAGCGAATAAGTGAAGCATCATGTCGGGTCTCCCTCTCCCAAAGCTTTTAAGCCTTGGATCTCTGGAAATGTCCTGTTGGCGACTGACTTAAGTGCTTCCCAACCCTGGCTTTCCATTCACAGACAAAACTTCTAATGCTGATGTCAGGCTGCAAGATGGCTGTCACTGGGCCATTTACGCACGCATTGTTGCAGAAGTAGAATACATGGCACATACACCTCTACATGTGTATATTAGCGTATAAAGGATGCACATGTACCCTGGGAACGCAAACCATTAGCCTAACAGTGTGGCAGTGATTCTCCTGTTTTTGGCATAAAGGTTGGAAGCATCGCGTGGGGCAATTTGCTTTTCATTCGGGTAGAGGCTTCAAAGGGCAAGCAATCAAGTGAACCCTGTGGCAGCGTGATGGTGGACAAAGGGACTTGGTCGGGCCTTTGGTACCAAGCTAATCTCATCGACGCTGTTGAGGCAGCAGAGAATGGCGTCCCCATACGGTAGCAGGAAACGGTTCTTGTCCACAACCATGAGCAGCCGCAATTGTTTGGTCCAGGCAAACTGGTTTATGTGCCGGAGCCTGTCCAATTCGCAATATCATGTTGTGCATTTGGCTGGCAGAGCGTCGTGTGAAGGGCGTTTAAAGCGGCTCAGATGGTTTGGTGGAGGCGGATGGATGCGGCGTTTCCGACGAAACGCTTCCACGTAAGGGCCGGGCCGCAGAGAGCAAAGATCCGGCAGTGACATTGCCTCTTGGCATGGGGTTGGGCGCTGGTTTTTCTCAGCGCTTGTTGTAGAGGGCGCACTTCATTGATCGTCTGCGTTGGGTTTGTCCATCTCTTCGGCTCGGCAGCATGTTTTCTTATTTTGTTGTCCGGTACTACAATTCAAAACCGGGAGGAAGCGACCCACTTTCCCTTTTGGGAGCACTGCACATTTGGAGACCAAAGCCGAATCTTTCCGCAATCCAGTGAGGCGGAACCGTGCGACTAGGTTTTGATGGTCCATTGATCTCCAGGTCTGCCGAACATTGGCACAGGTGGAACTTTGTCATAGGTCCGGGGACAATAAAATCTGTGAAGCTCCGCATGCCGAATTCTCCGAATCGGAAAAGCTAAGGATGCCATAGGCCCGAAGAATGGCGGCAAGTCACCCAAGTCTCCGAAGGTGGGATTGGAAGAGGCTGGAAATGAGTTGCAAATGAGTTTACGCGAGCAAAAGAGCGGCATGGCATTCGGGTCTACAAAGCATTCCTGCCCAGCGTGCGTATTTTTGCGGCCCAGGGTTTGTAGTAGAACTGAAATCCGCAGGCCATTGCAATCCAAGTTGTAACACTACCTCGCCCAACATTTGGACTCTGCTCTTTTCTTTTTCCCACCCGGTCGTTGGGGTGCTTGGCAAGGGGTGCTGAACAGCCTGCCACTCGTTGAACTCCATTTGAGAGAGTTGCAGATCCTCCAAGTTCTTGACAGGGCTCCTTAAAAGATACATTTTGCCAAATTGAAACATGGCTTGATCCACCAAAATAAAGGGAAGCCAAGGCAATGTTCAGGTGTATAACGTAAGGATCCCTGCTTGAGCTCACTGGTTTTGCCGCGTCTTTGCTTCGGGAACCCCCCGGTTCCCCATACGCTCGCGCCTAGCGCCAGGCCAAGCGTCGCATGGCAAGCATGGGCCGAGATGCCGTTGAGAAGGCGTCCGAAGCACGGGGTTTAGGTGACTTGAAGCACCGGAAGTGGAAGTGGGTCATGGAGGGTCATGGAGGTTAGACCCCCAATTAGACATCTGTTTGTTGAAGTGGTCCCCAAACCATCAAACTCATGATAATATGTCCAAACAAGTTCGGGCAAACATTTACACAAAGGGGTTGCCACAAGACGGCCTGATCCTCCTTAATGTGAGTCACATTAATTGGGGTCCTCTATAGTGTCCAGCCTTTTTGTGGGTTGCTGAAAAAAAACGGGCTCCCCCCAGCAAAATTAGAATTGGCAGTGCTAAAGTAAGTACTGGCAAGTCCAAGTCCCACCCAGACCCCCAAAATGTTCACGAAAGAGGTTCGTGCTGACTGGTTCCACTGTTCAGCAGGGGGCGGGGGGGGCACGGTAACGAGGGTCCAACATTAAATTCCTGCGATGAGAATTGTGACGAACATGCACGCATGCAAAAATGCATACATGCAGGCGACGTGACCAGACATACACACAGCAACATACACCTTACATCGCAGTACGCTACATTTACTATTCCATTTGCCAGTATATTACATAACATTATTTTACATCACAATACAGGCAGGCAAGGCAGGAAGGGGGGCAGGCAGGGAGGCAGGCAGGGCAGGGCAGGGCAGGCAGGGCAGGGCAGGCATGCAGGCACATCATGCATAAATGCGTACATACATATATACATGTATACAGTATACATGCAATCGCACGTACGTATGTGTGCACTTGCGATAGACTTTCTGCATGCATACACATACACATGCACACACACAAGCATACGTATCTTACATCTGCATACATACAAATGCATACACATACATGTACAAACATACACAAGCCGATACATACATACTTCCACATATGCATACATGTACGTACAGGGCAAACTGCAGCGGCGTCACGGGCCCAATTGAAAGTTGGTTTCTGTTTGTGGTTGGTGATGTCAACATTTGCGCAATACATACAGCTAAAACAGAAATACCTAGAATTGCATACAGCCACACGCGTATACATACCAGTGTTACATATACATACCTAGGAGCATACGCATACACTTCATATATTCATATTGGGCGGTCTTGGTCTCCGCGTCTTACGCCGCCAGGGCTACGGCTCCGAGGCCTCGGGATACTCAGGATCAGCAGTCTCGGGCGCCTCCGCACTCTCAGATTCGCGCTGAGGCCTGGGGGTCGCGAAGCCACGTCTCAGGTCCCATCTCAGTTGAGAAAGAAAGGCCGGGGTCCAAAACTAGGTCATGCTTTCGGGGCCTGAATGTGAAATTATGATTTTTGGTGAGCCCCGGGTTGGAGCCAAGCGAATCTGATGCATTGAATGTATTGCTGTATTACCTTCCCAGCTTGGAAGCGTGCGCTAAAGAGTGTTCGCTCGCCGGTGTGCCAGATGATATTGGTGTAGCATAGCATGTCCCTTCGGGCTGGCTGCCCGCCAAGCCGTAACAAGTACATCAGCCTCTATCGAACCTGGGAGTGGTTCGACGGTGAATGATTCGGACTGCAGGCAGGGGGTCAGTTGTTTCTGTTTGTGGCTGCCTTGTGGCCGTGGCATTGCTTGCGGCTGTGTTGTACGGCGGCATCATTTCTCCAATCGCGCTCTGCACACAAGGGGCTTCATGTTGATACCCTCACAGCAATTCACGCAATGCGGCGTGTTTCTTTCGGATATGTATTCTTTCCTTCTTCATTTTTTCGGCTAGGTGTCTAGGTCCATTGCTCGAGGATTCCGGTCCTTAGTTCTAAGTGGGATCGCAATTGTTCAGTGGTAGCCTTCGCTTTCTTTTGTTTGCCCACTGGAGTGGGCTTTGGCCCCAGAAACAGGTCCCTTGGGCCACTGGCGGAACTGGAGCATAGTGATTGCCTTGTGGACATGTATCTATATAGGGTGAACTTCTGGACACTTGGCATGCCTTTACAAGGCCGGCCGCCCTTTGCCCCACTGCTGCGCTTGCCCCATAGCGGGTGTTCGCCCTAGCAATCTCTAGGAGCTGAACCGTAGAGAGTCCAAATCGATTTGCCTTGGAAACAAACGCACGGCTTCATTGCCTGCGGCTTATTCGCCTCCCAGGCGGACCCCTAGAGGCTGAGCTTTCCGGAGTCGCAGCATGTTCTGCGATGCAGACCTCGGGGCATTTGGAAATGGCGCTGGCGCCATTTGGAAATGGCGCTGGCGCCGCAAATCTCTGATCCCCATATCAAGAGGCGCTACCCCCAAACGGAGCTAACAAAATGCCGAGACCCCGTTAGTTGGAAATCACCTGTAGAGCCAAGGGCCCCAGTTTTCCCACCAAGGGGGATCATTTGTGCAAGTGAATCTTGATGCAATGTAGCATCATGCTGCGCACCTGCCGGTCACCTGTTGGAACCGTCCCAATGGATTAGCGGTGCCCGTTTTCCCTCACTCCCCATGCACTTTTTGGCCACATCCCTCCAGATCTCTCAGCCGTGATAGCAACACCCAACTACCCGGCCCAAAGGTGACAACAGCCCTGGCAGGGGAGCACATTTCAGCCCAGTTTCACTCTCGAAAAACCTTAGTTTTATTTGGCGCCCCGAATCCGGGCTTGCCATAGCAAAGGTGCAGCGCGCACGTCTCACTGGGCGCGAAGACCGTAGAATTCACACCTTCCGTGCATTTCCGTGCTGCCATTCGATAATTTTTCTTCTGATGGGTAAGGTGGGAGTCACCCAATCCAAGCTCTGTTTTACCTACGAGGGGTTGCTGGAGGACATGCGGCGGAAGCAGCTGAAGGTTCCTTTGAGGTAGCTGGGTCGCCTGGCCGGGAGTCGGCGCCCACCCTTTCTTCCGCTCACTTAGTCGCCAACTTGAGCAAGGTGACAGCAGAAAAAAGTGGGGTCTTGGCAGCAGCATTCACTGTTGCCGTTGGGAGATCACCTCGTTGGAAAAAGGAAGTTGGGGGAAGAGGGGTTATGTATGGCAACTCCTTTTCCGTTTTGTAGGGGAAGACTCGAAAAAGTGAACCTTTTGATCCACGTACTGGACCAAGTGCGGGAGTCCAAGCCTTCCGCCCAAAATTGGTTGCAGCTCTCACATGGATTGACCAATCCGAAGAGTGAGGCCACCCGTGAAAAAAGTTTCGGGCGACTGCCTAAATTCACCTTGCCAGCTCTTCAGGCTTTGGATGGAGGTTTCTTTCACAGGTTCCATCTGCCCCAGGCGCATGGGATGGGCAACACGGCAGTCAGCAGGGTGCTCGGCGAAGAATGAGCGAGGGCGGAGACAAGAGCGCATGGAACCCCTTTGACTTTCCCAAAGGGAAAGACAAGGGATGAGAAGCCGTTTGATTTGTCCAGACCCGGAGCCCGTTTAGAGGAAAGCTGTGTTGAAAGGCGTCCATGCGGGTTCCATGTTGGCGAAGGGAGGGCACCTGATATGGAGCCAGAGCCATGGAATCAGAGTGACTACTCTGTGACCATGAGGTGTAGTTCAAGGAACTTCCAGTGCCATCCCCTTGGCTCGGAAAAGTGCCTCAGGGCTTTGAATCAGTATCTGAACGGTGTGCAGTTGGGGGCTTCCCTAGGGAGTCATCCCCCAAACTGCTTGGAATCCAACGGTTGGTAGTGCCAAGCCTCACCCTTTTGCAAGCTTTGGTTGTTTCACATGTGAGCCATCTGGCTGAGTCGTTCAATACAGGGTTGCAGATTGAGGCATTAAAAAAAAAAAAAAAAACTGAAGGCTCCGACTGCAACCAGGCCTTGTGGCAATGTGAGATTCTTGCCCGGGAGCTAGTTCGCGCGCGGTGGCTGCAGCCTTGGCCAGGCGGCGCCGGATGTCTTCCTTTGGCACCTTCCGTGGGCCTTCGTGTGGTGCGACTTTTGTTTTTCCTCCCAAGGTGAAGCTGAACAAGCCCGGGACCTAGGCCCGAGAGTGAGCGCGAGCTGAGGCGGGAATGGGGCAGCTTAAAGTCTGTGCAATCTAAATGTTCACTGGGCCAAAGGTTGTATCTTGCAGCTGGTAAAAGGGAGTTGCCTAGGTTGTGTTTCTTATTTGGTTTGTCGATTTTGGTCTTTTTGCAAGACCGGCGCCTTCTCGTGAAGCACCTTCTTGCTCACTGTCAAGACGTTATGCGTGAATACGCAGGCAGTCGTGTTTCGTAGTGTGTCCCTTTGGTTCGGTTCGCGGAGACCTTCCGAGGGCCATGCTTTTGTTGTCATACCGTGGCTTCTCATTGGCCCGAGGCCGTGCCCAATGAGCCCAATGACAGGCTCGCGCGAGAACAAGGGGGCCCCGTTTGTGCGGTTCGTTTTGAAGCCCTCGTGCCCAAGCATTAAGCCCACCCCGCCCTCCCACCCAGGGCCCCAAAATAAGGCCTAAGGGGGAGGGGGTGTGCAGAGCTCGTGGAGAGATGCCGGAATTGGAGTGTGCGAGCGATTCTGGGCGGACACTACTGGGGCTCCCGAATTCAGATTGGTGAAGCATACAGAGCGGTGCCTTCAAGACTATCTTATTGGAAAGGTGCGTGGGCCTTCTGGCAACGTATGGGACTCTTGGGGTGCCAAACTTGTTAGGGGCTGTGGAAACACAAGGGATCTCTTTGAAGGCTTCTTCAACTCCAGGAGGTCCCTCAATCTCCCCGAACCCGGGTTGAATGTGCCACGGTTGTGTGGGATAACGTCGTGGCAGGTCTTGGCATCCCCGAAAGAAGGCCCGCCACGACCGCAGTTGCATTCAGGGCGCGTGCCTCACAGGAACTGACAACAACCAATCATAGCTTGATGCTTTCCAGCTCCTGGAATGCCTTGCAAAATTCCACCGACTCATCCTGAAGCGAGCAGCTCCGTGCGGAAATGAAACACATACCCAGCAGGTTCAAAGACCACCCCACCGGCCTTGAAGTGTTCGTATTGATCACGGACGGGGTCGGGGTGCAGCTGACGGGTCAGGCTGGTGCATAGCGCGCTGAAGGAGAAACAGGCCCGGAGCTGCGGGCAAAGAAGCACCACTCCTCATATGCCAACCACCCAACCCATCATATATCAACCCAAACCACCCCTCAATCCAACAACGTGAACCAAGGCAAAAGCATTCGCCCAAACTAAGGAATTCAAGAAACTTGTTTGTTATAACTGTTCACGTCAAGGTCCTTGACGTCAACTTGTAAAAGTGATGTTCAACATTGCCGGTTCACACTGCGACCCTGTCGCAAGCCTTGTTGATGGAAGGGGTCACCAATTCCCGTTTGGCTTTCCGCGCAATTAAGCTTCACAAATGGGTCCATCGCACCAATCATTTTGATAGCGGCTCATGTATGCGTTGCTTTCTGAACCTAATGCTAGCTGGTTTAGCACCTGTTTAAATGGTGGCACGTTGGGGCCTCTCCGCCGTAAGCTCTCGAACGCCCGTGAGAAAATGTTGCATCCCACTTATCTACAGCGAACGGAATTGCAGACTTGTTGGCATCTCTTAGACTTTGACACTATCCAGAAGGCGGTGATTGACTTCGTTTGTTCATGCAAGCTGCTATTGTTTGCGGCGGCTGCCCAGGTGGACAAGTTTCAATCTGAGGTTCTGGTGCGCCGATGGGACGGGTCTTGGGCGCGTTTGGGTAGGCCAGCAGTTTGCGGCTACTGCCTAGTACTGCTCCTTTGCTAGTGAGCATGGAAACCGCAGCAGAACCGGGCGTCCCAAAAAAGAGATTTATATGCCTTACTGTAGATGCTGTTTTGGGAAGTTACATGTTGACTTGCAGGAGAGTACATTGTGTCGTTGCAAGACAAATTCATTCAATTGGTTTGACGCAGTGATCATGCTCGAGTGCTTAAGCTTTTAACATACATATATATATATGTATATATATATATATATATATGTGTATACATATCCGTCGGCAAAGATCATCGCGGAGTTGCGATCCTAAGAAATCTTTTGGCTATGAAGAATTGGTATAGCTGGTAGCTAGCGCTCCCAGTTGGCTCTCCCTTTTGCCTCCCCATCAAAGGTAGCCCAAATATTGAAGCCTATTTTGAGACACGTGCAAATCACTGTGCTTGCGATTGGAAAAACTTAAGTTCCGATGTCGGGCCGAAAGAGTGGCGCAAAAGCAACATGGGCATAGGCATGAAAGCTACTCTCGGCAATCTGACTTGGAGTATGTTCAAGGGGCCTGAGCATGTCGTATTTGTCAATCCCTGACACTTGGTTTCCACTCATCCAATTTAGGGCGGGGGTCCGGGTGTCTTGATTTTGAGACACCCATTTACAGCGGCCCTGCAGATTCGATAAAGGGGCCATCACCTGCTGACTTGGTGAACCTGTGAACCTGTGGATGCCATGCTAACAGGATATGTGGCTTTTGATTCTCGTTACAGGCTTGACTTCGTGACCACGGTGATCATCCCAATGCAGTGCCCGGTAGAGCGTGCCGAAGCCAGACACTTGAACCAGCACCGCTATCAGTTCCCCGTGCGGCCTTTTGGCTCACAGCCTTTATTTCTTGCACGCTTTCACCGAGAGAGGTGTCAGCACGTTTCATCGGAGCTCTCCGTGGGGCGCCTAGCTTGACTTTGCGGAGGTTCAAGCAGAACACCAAGATCGGCATCAACACGGCCAAGTTTGGCTAAATACTTAACTTTGCATTTCGCTGAAACATGGTACTCGTAAAAATGCATTACACGCTACGGTTGATTCCCTAGATGTTGCAAGCAACTCGAAAACAAGGAAACCCTGTCAATTACTCGTTTGCCAGGGTTTTGTGGTAGCATGTGGTTGGTTCACTTGCAATATGTTGAGGAATCAACCGTAGGTCTTGCAGGTGAACAGTGACTCACCATTGCTTCGTGTGCCATTTGCGCGCGTTACGCAGCCGGCGTTGGTCGGCCCACGCTGGCGTGCCCGTTGGCCTTGTTGTTTACTTGGGTATGGGAGAAAATTAAACCCGGACCGCAGGTTTGAATGTCCACTTGTCCATGTACCAGGCTGATTTTGGGTACCTACTCTTGACCCACAGCCAATTGTTGGGGCAGGCAACGAGGAGCTCTGAAAGCTTCCATATTACCGATGCCTTTGCAATTTTGTTTCCGCAGGTCATTGTCCAGAGGCTCTGGGGGTTGTTGCCAAACAGGGTTCGGCTTCGTTTGGGATTTAGATAGGGTCACTCGTTTGCGATGCGACTCGCCTCAGTGAAACACTTGCCCGCCAATCAATAGCTTTGACACGCTGCGGCAAAGCAACGCTTTGATCGGCAATCGTCAACAAGTGCATGAGTGTTGTTTCCCCCAGTTGAGGTCAAATTTATCATCATGGCCTTAATCTTGTGACCTTGTCTGAAGCACAACCCCAGGCAACCTTGCCAGCCTTGAGCTTTCAGCAACTAGCTTGCCGATTCGATTCCAGGAAACACTTGGATTCCCCAAGTGTGTGACATGGTTCCCTGTTGTTTATACTATGTTGGCACTCGTTTGTCACCGCAGATGGGACATCCGGACATGTTTCCAGACCAAAGATTGCTGACCTCCGGAGCTGCTCAGCTCGTGCGCCACCAGTTCCGGAGACAGAGTTGCCATGGCGGACAAGAGCGGCGAGGTGTCCATGTTCTTGACCATGGTGAGTGCTCAGCCTGAGATCAAGACCTTTTGGCTTGTTTGCCCCAAGCCGACCTTCTTGGCGCACTTACTGGTGCGGTTTTCGGGATAGGCATCAAAAAACACTTATTAGGGATCCAACAAACTTATTAGGGATCAAACAACTCTTATTAGGGATCAACAAAAAAACCTCTTCTCATTCCTATGGGGAGAAGGAAGGAAGGAAGGAAGGAAGGAAGGAAGGAAGGAAGGAAGGAAGGAAGGAAGGAAGGACGGAAGGACGGAAGGACGGAAGGACGGAAGGACGGAAGGACGGAAGGACGGAAGGACGGAAGGACGGATGGACGGGAGGACGGGAGGGAGGGAGGGAGGGAGGGAAGGAAGGAAGGAAGGAAGGAAGCCCCCCGCCCCCAACCCCCCTGCTGCTTTGTAGAATGCTTACAGAGCTTAACGCACGCTTTGTTGAAAAATATCACTTCTTCGAACATCATGGGGGGGCTGCCGCACCTCCCCCCAACTTTTCCGCTGATTTTCGAAACATCACTTCTTCGAACATCATTGGGGGGGCTCCAACCCCCCTGCTGATTTGTAGAATGTTTACAGAGCTTAACGCACCCTTTGCTAAATCATCACTTCTTCGATCATCAGCGCCCTTTGTTGAATCATCACTTCTTCGAACATCGTGGGGAGGCTGCCTCCCCCCCAACCCCCCCGCTGATTTTCAGAATGTTTACAGAGCTTAACGCACCCTTTGCTGATTACAGAGCTTAACGCACCCTTTGCTGAATCATCACTTCTTCGATCATCTCTCTCCTTCCTGTATTCTTTCTTTCTCGCTCTCTCTCTCTCTCTCGCTCTCTCTTTTCTCCCTTTTTCTGCATGTTTATTTCTCTGCATCTTTTTCTTCACTGCTTGCGAAAGTGCTGCGCCTGCGTCACTACCTTGCGAAAGTGCTGCGCCCGCCGCGAAATCTGTACCTGACCTTGCGACAGTGCTGCGCCTGCCGCGAAATCTGTACCTCACCTTGCGAAAGTCCTGCACCTGCCACGACATCTGTATCGCATTGTGCGAAAGTACTGCGCCTGCCACGAAGTCTGTACCGTAACTTGCGAAAGCGCTGTGCCTGCGAAATCCGTACCTGACCTTTCGAAAGCGCTGCGCCTGCCGCGAATTCTGTACCGCACCTTGCGAAAGTCCTGCACTTGTTATGAAATTTGCGCCGTACCGTGCGAAAGTATTGTGCCTGGTGTGCCTGACACAAAATCTGTACCTGACCTTGCGAGAGTGCTGCGCCTGGCACATTGCGAAAGTGCTGCGCCTGCCACGATGCGAAAGTGCTGCGCCTGCCACGAAATCTGTATCTGAGCTTACGAAAGTGCTGCGCCTGCCGCGAAATCTGCGCCCCACTTTGCGAAAGTGCTGCGCCTGCCACGATGCGAAAGTGCTGCGCCTGCTGCGAAATTTGCGCCTGATCTTGCAAAAGTGCTGCGCTTGCCGCGAAATCTGTGACGCACCTTGCAAAAGTGCCGCGCCTGACCTTGCGAAAGTACTGCGCCTGCAATGAAATCTGTACCTGACCTTGCGAAAGTGCTGCGCCTGCCGCGAAATCTGCGCAGTTCCTTGCGAAAGTACTGCGCCTGCTGCGAAATCTGTACCTCACCTTGCGAAAGTACTGTGCCTGCCAGGAAGTCTGCACCTGACCTTGCAAAAGTGCTGCGCCTGCCACGAAATCTATACCTGACCTTGCGAAAGTGCTGCGCCTGCCGCGAAATCTCGCCTGCCGCAAATCTGTATTTGACCTTGAGAAAGTATTGTGCCTGCCACGAAGTGCTGCACCTGCCATGAACTGTCTACCTGACCTTGGGAAAGTATTGCGCCTGCCTTGAAATCTGTACCTGACCTTGCAAAAGTGCTTGCGAAGGTGCTGCGCCTGCCGAAATCTGTACCTGATCTTGCGAAAGTACTGTGCCTGCCACGAAGTCTGCACCTGACCTTGCGAAAGTGCTGCGCCTGCCACAAAATTTATGCCGTACCTTGCGAAAATGCTGCGCCTGCTGCGAAAGACCTTGCGAAAGTGCTGCGCCTGCCACAAAACCTGCACCTGACCTTGCGAAAGTGCTGCGGATGCCACGAATGAATATACATTTTTTTGATCCCTAATAAAGTTTTTTTTGATCCTTTGAGTTTTCATTTTAGTAGGAAATACAAGAATTTTTTTGACCCCTAATAAGTTTTTTGGATTTGCAGGAATAAGTTTTTTTGATGCCTAACAAGTTTTTTTTGTCATCCCTCACCCGCGGTTTTCGGGGTTCTTCGTCAGGTTTTCTGAGCAGGAGTAGCAGGTGCAGTCAGTGTACAAGAATGGCAGCTGACCCCGACTGCAAATCAAAGAGTTATGTCAGGTGGCTCAAACTGCAGGTCATGGCCAAAGTCACTGACATGTACAAAGATAACGCGTTCTTGGGCAAAAGTCTACCTCAAGTCTTGCACATTTGAAGCTTTGTATTCAAGGAGCTTTGTGGCATTGTGGCTCGTTGCATTGTTCGCTCCAGGGTGGAGGGTTGTCCTAGCTGCGGCGAGGACTGTTATTTGTAGGTGGAAGCTCGGCAACCATGAGTCATGCCATCGAGATGTTAAGCAGGCTAGATTTGCAAAACAAACACGTATCATCATGTATCTATTTTGTTCGTTTCCAAGTCCAGAACTTGACACCCGGTGTGCTGTGTCCACCTGAATCAGCAATCCCCCTGCGCCCTGAGAGCGCACAGGTGGACAGGAGATCCAACTTTCCTCGCCATCCTTCCAGGGAGAACCTTGGCCCAAAGCCGCACATCTTAAATGGGTGTGTGTGTGTGTGTGTGTGTCTGTGTATGTGTCTGTGTGTGCGTGTGTTTTGAGGGTACCCTCCCGGAAATTAACATGGAACCTGACAGGGGGATTCCTGGAAGACAATTTTCCTTTTAAAGGGACCTGTCAGGTTCCATGCTAATTGGTGGGGGGGTATACCCTTTGTTTAACTTGCTTTAGTGGGCAATCAACGGGAAAACGGTCCAAAATTTGAGGACGGGTCAGACAAGACACGTTGCATCTTGGCCGTTCAACAGAGTCCCTGGCATTCACCCCAAAGGCAGAGGATTCCGTTCCCTCGAGGCCTTGTCATTAGATTCACAAACAGAGTGCCTAGGATGGACCCCCCACAATATTGTGATAAATCACTTGCAGACTAGCAACAGTACGGCCGCACACAAAGCTCTCTCATGATGTTTGCCCACATCACATTGCCATTCACGGCCCTTGCCAATGGATGAGAACGGCCTCTTTGTTGCACCAAGGAGTCTGTGCAACAGCTTCGTCTTCGAGTAGCTGAGAAGCTTTCCGTGCCATGCGGGCAAATTGCATTGCCACGTAGCTTCCAAATTTGGCGTCATTTTGTAACCTTGGCAACAAAGAACTGCAGCACACTGAAACTGGAAGTCTACACTGACACCAAATCCTCTAAGAAGCGGACAAAAGAGATTGGTTCTCAGTCGGGGTACCGAGTTGCTGTTGCTAGCATCGGGCAGTCGAAGACGTGCATGTGCTTCCCCATGCAGCGCCGCTTGAGAGACGGACACTCCAATGAGCAAAGCTGGTTCTGTTGCTGCTGCTGCTTGCTGTTTCCTTGCATTGCTTGCTTGGCTTTGCTGGCTTTGCTTCCTTGCTTCCCGGTTGTTCCCTTCCTTGCTTGCTTGTGCTTTTGCTTGTGCTTTTGCTTCTGCTTTTGCTTCTGCTTTTGCTTCTGCTTTCGCTTCTGCCTTTGCTTCTGCTTTTGCTTCTCTGCTGCTGCCGCTGCCGCGTTGCTGTGTGATCCGCAGGGCCCCCTGCCTGTATTGAAACCGCTTTTGGAGGCTGACACTTCTCAGCTGACTTGTGCCGGAAGGCTGCGACAGCAGCACTTCACAGCCTGTAGCTTCGCGGGGGAAGTCAGGAGACACGGCATGTCAACAAAATTTGGATTTGGGCCTGTGCGTCGGACAGCAAAGTGTGTTGCAACACTTGGTCCGTTCCTAAAATTCGCTGTGGCAGCAGAGCAGCCAGTAGCATGGGCGGCGACATGGATTGCTGACCTGTACACTGCACCAACACCTGCCCACATTCGTGAACTTCATTTGGCTCCGCCAGGGTTGTGGGAGCAAGGGGTTGATCCCTACTTCTGTGATACAAGGGGATCCTCTCTTTTTATGTGGGGGGTAGTGTTTTGAAGGCCCTTGATTCTTAGAACTGGTCATTCCCCACAGGCCTGTTTTCTGCAGTCGGCCCATCCGCTCGCGAAACCAGCCGCGTGAGGCTTTGCGGGGCGGAGCTGTTGCGGGACAACCAGAAGTTGGGGTCGCTGCCCTGCGCCCAAGGCGGGGGATCAGGCAACCCAAACGAGTTTGTTTCCTCATCCCTAGGAAAATGGAATTCCGCCAGGGGGGAACGCCTGGAATTCCATTTATAGTTCCAGGTTCCTCTCTCACGGGAAGACTGGAGGAATGAAGTCCCCCCCCCCTCCCCCAAAAGGTAGAGGGGATGGTTCGCCTCTTCGCCCTTTCATAAGTCACCCCCAAAGCTGTCATCTATTCACCCGCGTTGATCAACTGCCAAACTCAAGCAGCGCGCTTTGGAACTTGAGTTGTCACTCCAACCTTCCTCATCTTCTGACATTATTTGAGAAGGACCTAGGTGCCTGCCAAACGTTCTTGTTTCCGTGTTTCTGAATGTTCCGGGCACACGTGGTGTTGTTTGTGGCTCGCATGCCGTGCTACCCTTTCGTTGGTGGTTTCGGGTTCTCAATTTTGACAGTGGACGCGCAGGGTATTGCAGTATTTGGACCGCCTGAGCAGGCTTGCCACTAGGCACTTGTTAGAAATTGCAAGTGTGTGTTTTGGTGGTGAGGCTTTGCCAACCCGAAGTGCGACAGCTTGCCGCCGAACCACCAACTCACACGCGAAGCCTTGATGCGACAACCACTTCCAGTCTGTACATGTTTGTGCGAGTGGCAACTGTACCAGTTTCAGTTGTTCTCGCTGTGCCGCTCGCCAGCTTGACTGCAAAGTCAATGTCCAATGGTGCAAGCCCGTCGCTGCAAGATTGGCAACGATTCATTGCAACAACTCGTTCCTTTAGATGATCAGGATGTCATAGGTTTGGCACATTCGTGGTTAATATAGTCCCCTCAAAATGTACATCACAGTTGTTCAACGGCGGCCCTTGCCCCTTTTTGTTCACTAAGATTGCTCTACAGGGGTTTCCCCCCATGAAAACAAAACATGTTCTTCATTTGTTTCCTCATGGGGCCCCCCCTGCTTGCCAGACTTACAAGGGAACCCTGAAAGGACACCTGCTGTTTTTGGCAGGTCCAATTTAGTGGTCAAAATCACGGGCAACATGGTTGGTTTCCCCCTCTTTGAACATTGGCTTCCCCAAAAGACAGCCCGTTGCTGCCAGGCGCCTGTGAGGTGACGGTCATGGTGAGCAGGAAGTGGGACGAGAAGCTGCAGGAGAAATCGTGTAACTCCATGGGCCGGGTTTCCTCACACATTACCTTAGGTTGAATGCGGGCTCAAAACGTGCTAATTTCGCACCGGACTGGTTTTGGGTTAGTAGAATGTCAGTGACGTCCGATCCTCATCCACTTGCATGATAGCTGCGACGGAGCCCTTTGCTGACAGCAGCCAATGTGGCGTGACCTTCTTGTCGTCAGTAGCTGTGACAGTCCGAAGCTAAGCTGCCACAGGCTCTGAGGCTCCCGCCAGTGGCCCGACCAGGACGGCTGTGACTGGCCGAAGCTGCAGTGGGCTACGTTTTAGCACCTGCCTTAGTGAATCATACTGGGTCGTTTTTTCACGATGGCGGCGCGCTGGCTGAGAATCACGGCAAGGGCGTGTCAGCAGTTCACGCATGTGGCGCAGTGCAAGACGAGACGCAACTGTCAAATTTCCTTGCTCGGACAATCCCTGCCCACGATTTGTGCTTGGCTGCGCGAGGCTGCAACTAGGCCCCAACAGATCGGCCCGACTGCGTGCTGGGCCTCAAGCATGCTTCTGACTGATGCAACAGCGAAGAGTCTCAGCCGAACCAAAACAGAAGCGAGGCAGCATTGGCCCCCAATAGCTTGCAAGGCAAACATTCGCAAGCTAGGCAAAGTTTGGCTGCGCTCGGCTTGCTTAAGGGGATTGCTTCCAATACCCGGCCGCAATTCTCAGCTAGGGCGCCCCCTGATTGCGAAAATAGGCGAGCAAGCTAGACGATCCTGAAACGTCGCACTTGCAACAGCTGTTACTTCTGTTAGTCCCAGCTATCGTTGTATGTTTTGCTCGCTGGGCTACTCTACTCATTTGCTTGGCGAACTTTTGCAGGCACTGCGCGGTGCTCGTTTTGCTTCTTGTGCCGCTCTTGTAGCGGTATAGGCCGCCCTGACATTCGCTCCCCGAATGTGGAACTTGCTGGCCTACTAATTTACCTTGCGAACTTGCGCCAGCGTTGCACACGCTCGGGGCTCATTTGACTTCCTGCCTCGCTCTGCAGCAGGGGCTTGTAAGCGGTTTGTTCGTTGAAGTCATGCGGAAATACGGTGCAATGAGAAAAGCAAATGAAACCAACACAACAACATATCATGTCGCGCTTACTCCTCCTGTACATTTGCCTTGCGAACTGTTGCAGGCCCTGCGCGGCTATAGCGTTGATGAGGGGGTCAATGTTGTTTTGCTTCCGTTTTGGGCCGAGCCAAAAGCATACTGTACCGCGCTCGGATTCGGATCGATTTTTTGCTGCCTGTGTGGTTATCCAAGCAAAAAGTTTCTGTGGTGGGACTGCTCGAGCTAAAGTACTGGAAGGGCTTGCCAACAGGGGTTATAAAAAGGCTGAAGCCCGGTTTCCTGCTGGGGTTGGTGCTTCGCAGAGGGAGGCCACCTTAGCCTCAACACGTCACATGATAAGCACGTTTTTCCGCTCGGCATTTGCGCCCAAGGAGCTGCTGGTGGATCGCAGCTACTTCAGCGCTGTCGGGATTTGTTCCCTCTCCGATGGCTCCCTCTTCGCATACAGCCAAGGAGCAGCTGTCCGGGCCAATCTGAAACTATAGGCATGACTCCTTGGCCCTCTGGGCATCATTTATGTTGGCGAATCATTTTGAAGGGTGTTCTCAGGGATCCTTTTCTAAGGGACATACGAGTTTGTATCTTTCCAGGTTCTTCGTTGCCAAACCAATCCTGTCTGGGACGCCAATTCCAGGTTGTCGATGGCGTTCCGATGTGCAAAGGGCGGGGGGGGGAGCAGTTTGGCTCCCTGGCTTGATGGATCCCATCCGCTCCATCAATATGTCCTGCAAACTTGGCAGAAAGGAAGGAATAGCAAGCTTCCACTACCAGCCCCTAACAGAACATTCACGTAGTTACCACGCCATTGGCAAATGAACAGGTCCACGTAGGCGAGACAGCGCCAACCAGGGAAAGGCTGCGACCTTTGCCAGAGTCGCAGTTAGTTTGTTTGTCCAAGAGCTGCAGGCCGACCGTCACGCAGCATATGGCACTGAATACGTCACATGTCATCTCCAAAAAGTGTAGTTCGGTGAGATGACAACGCTGACGCGCTGGAGGAAACAAAGCAAACTGTAGACATGCCACAAATGAGCTGAATTGAGCTCTACCTCGACAAGGCTCATTCTAGGCAGCCTGGATGATCCAGGGAAATATTTCCTTTGACGCCGGACGCAGAGTCGTTCTTTGGAGAGACCTTTGCCACTGTCGACAGAATTTCGATCTCAATAATCTTGATCTGGTTCAGCCAGTGCGTGGTAGAATTCATACGGGTAGTCCGCTAAGCTGTTTAGCTTCAAAGGTTTATATGCCTAGAGCATCTGAAAGAGCAGACATGGGTTACGGTTGTCGCTCGGTCTCGCCGTGTCAGGCGCGGAGCAGAAGCTTCAAGCCCCCCCGGACCAGATGAAAGACAAGGAGGGTAAGCCTATCGACGAGGCGAGGAAGCGACAGAAGCGAGGGACGTTTTTGGAGTTTGGGGGTGTCTGGAAATAGGGGACCTTAATTTACAGCAGGGCACCTCATGGGGGGGGGGGGGTTTTGTTGGAACGGCTTTCCCTCCGTATACCCTCGAAACAAGACACCGAATTCAGGTGTTAGCATGGTTGTTTCCATGGAGTTGCGGGAGAGAGCCAGTTGAGTTCTGTTGAGTTGAGACAAAAGGCGGAGAAACCCGGCCATGTTTCTCTTTCAAAGACTTCCAATGTGTTTTTGTTCGGGGTGCGTAAGCATATCTCAAACAGATGACATAAAAAAGGGATTAATATAAGATACCTTTTGTTTCTGGGGGTACCCTTGTTTCAAACCGACGTCTGGAGGCTCGATGCCTCAAAGAGGCGGTGGAGGGGCGAGTGAGCGGCGGCCTGTGGCTGGCGGGCAAGAAGCTTCGACCCGCGGCAAGAAGCAGGTGTCTTTCAGCTTAGTTTTTGGAAAACACCAGTGATCGTTGCAGTTTTCGCGCGACAGTTGTTGGGTTGGGCTTTTACAAAAACGCCATGCAACACACAAATCGCTTTCCCTCGCAGGCTAGCATTGAACCCCCACATGCCTGCCCATTCGCAGAGGAATGTTGTTTGGGGGCTTCCTCTCTTGGGTTGTAGCCATGCATCTCCTTAGGCTCGGACCATTGTTTGCAGTTTGTGAATTTTGGGTAAGACTGCCCTAAAAGGGGTCAATGCGGAGTCACTTTCTCCCAAGACTTTGGAGTAGACCAAACGAGATCGGGAAAGATCCTTTAAAGAACGGCTGTCATGCTGGTGTCCTGGAGAGGTCACAGTTAAAGTCACAAACCCTCTAGGAAATTTTGGGAAATTTGGTTGCAACGCCGAATGCGCAAAATTGAAGTTCAGCAACATTCAGCAACCATAACCTTGGGTTGCAAGAACCCCGTTGTATGGTTGGAAGTTTTAGGGTCCGGATACCAACTGCTCGGCCAAGTGGGCGTGAGCTTGTTTCTTCCGCGCATCGAAACCGTGCGGGAAAGATGCCTCCAGCAATGCCCGTGCTTTGCCCCAAGGGGCAAGCGATTTCTGAGTTTCGCAACCATCCATTGTGTGTCCAATTAGGGGCACCCCAGCAATGACTGGTTTCCTTTTGGCTTCCCATTACACCAACCCACCCGAGCCTCCAAAAACGAGCCATATGGCTATGAGTAGGAAGCCACCAAGGAACAGTGCGCGCCTAAGGCACAAGGTCACGCGGGTACAGAGGGGAGAGACACATTGTTTTGCATGTTTGCAAAACAAAGCCGAGCCCATTTGCTCCGTCGCCCATTTTGCAAAACCCGAGGGATACTGCAGCACGACGCAGATGAGGAGCTCACCACGGTCTTGGCGATCAGCACCAACTGGCGCCACGACGGCCTCGGGCTGGCGCCCTGGCACGCGGTGGATCGAGGGCCTTTGTCTTCAATCCTTGAAATCCAATTTCTTAGTTTCCCTTGTTGGTTTAAGGGGAATCTATCACTACTGGATATATATATATATATGTATATATATATATACATTAATTCATATTTTTTCCCTGGGGGCTCAAGCGACCTGAATCCCAGCATTTTTTTGGGTGACAGTTTGCGACAGAACTGGGGTTGTAGGGCCCATCAATTGACTCAGTTTGGCCTTTGCATGCCTTTGCAATGATTTGTGATGGGTGGCGTCGCACGTAGGTTGCGATTAGCACCGGGAGCAACGTCCTGATGTGCCGCTTTGATGAGCCTGGCGTGACCCTTCAAGCCATCCTGGGCATGCTGAGGAAGGAAGCATCGGCCTTCGCAGACTTGTTGAAGGCACAAGGCATGTAACTCGACCTTGAGCGCTGCAGTTCTGCAACAAACAGTTGGCACATGTTGGCACACACTGGCGCATTGGTTTCCTGAGTGAGCCTGCAGACAAGGGCTAACTGTACTTGCCAAAGGTTTGGTGCGGACTGTCTAGTGATCACACTGCTTGTCTTGCGTCCCGATAAAGCCAGCAAGCAAGAGGCAAGGCAGATTGCTGGTGAAACCGGCGCCCCAAGCACGCTTGCCCGCGAAGTGAGCCTTATCACAAGGTGAGGCAACGTGCGACGGGCTCATTCGTGTATAGCTGCCTAGTTTCTGCTCGGAGCTTCGGAGCCGGCAAGGCTTTTGCCAGAAAAAAGAGCAGGGATGCAGCTGCGTCCTGTACTTTGCAGGGAAGCGTATGCATCAGGGGGATTGTTGAGCAATGCACGTAATTTTAGCACATGTGGCCTGGATTGTGCTCAAGCTGAAGTTGAGAGGGCGCACATTCTACCTTTAATAGATTCGCATGCAATACGGCAATGTCCTGCCGGGTCCTGACAGTAAACGGGCAACTCATGTAAAGCTATCACCAAAGCCATATTTGGTTGAGCGCAGGTTGGGGGTCATGGGTTAGGGTGGAGGTTGTGACTACGGTTGCATCCTTCTTCCCATGCCACTAGTAACTTTATAGATCTATGTATACCACTTACTACTACTGCTACTACTACTACTACTACTACTACTAATACTACTACTACCGCGACTACGACTACGACTACGACTACTACTACTACTACTACTACCACCTCCACTACAACTACCCCTACCACTACCACTTGTACTACTGCTACTGCCACGGCCATGGCTACTGCTACGGCTACTGCTACGGCTACGGCTGCTGCTACTACTGCTACTGCAACTGGTGCTACTCCTCCTACTCCGACGCCTCCTACCACTCACTCCCACAACTCGTACTGCTCCTACGACTCCTACTTCTACTGCTGCTGCTAGTACTACTACTGCTACTGCTACTACTACTACTACTACTACTACTACTCTTGCTACTACTACTGCTCTTACTACTACTACTGCTCTTACTACTACTACTACTGCTGCTGCTGCTGCTGCTACTACTACTACTACCACTACTAGTCCTGCTACTACTACTGCGGCTACACTGGCTTGGTGCTCGCGTTTGGAGAGACATGCCGTTTTAGTGCAGCCGTTGCAGCTGCCGTTCACTTCATTGAACAGGTGCTGCCGTTTAGTTGAGCATATCGCCGTCCGAGGGGTTCGCAAGGCGTTTTCGATCCTCAACTCGCCCAAGGTGAAGCTGTATGGAAGGCCGGGAAGGCCAGGGCAGTCGAACACCAGACAGCCCTGTGATGGCAGCAGTCTCAGAATCGGAGTCTCGGACATCCGCATTTCCAATGGCGACTGTAACGGTTGGTGCGATTGGTTATCATTCAAAGCCAGCGTAAAGTAGGGTACCCGCAGAAGAGGCTTGCACCCCGGAGTACAAATATGACATGTTAGGAACATTTCACATTTTACTGCTGCCCAAAATGGTGCAAACAATAGAACCGACGCGTTATAACGAGGCGTAGCGTCCAACCATTCAACAACTCCATCCCTGTTCCGTGGCTAAGCACGATGCATGGAAGATGTGGCAACATGAGCGTGGCATGAGTGCGAAACCATCTCACGAGGAAAGAAAACGACAAGCCCAGACAAGAGGCCCGCACAGTGTGGCCACATGCTAGGGACTGCCCGTGGCTGGTGTGGGACAGCGCAAGTGTTGCTTCATCACGTGTTCTAGCATTCAAGCTCCGAATCATTCTGGATTGCGAGGCCCTAGCCAGCCGGTCCGCTATAGCACATTCTGGCTTCTTCTTTTGTGTGATGGCATGATTCAAGAGCACCCCGGAAAGGGCAAGATTGGCGTTAATCAACAAACACCTTTTGGACCTTTTGGTTTCGCACATGATTAGTCGAGGTTCGCATTTCATGTCTGGGCTCTTCGACGGAATTCTCGTGCCCTTTATGTTTGTTGCCTCCTCCAAAATGGCTGCTGTGACGGAATAGGCGGGGGGAGTACTCCCTGGAATTGAATTTGCGGCAGCCCATTCTCCTTTGTTTCTTGAAAAGGCTGGATAATTGATTGCGTAGGGGGCGATCCTTTCCGGGGTTGCAGATACAAAGAAGCAAACTTTGTTGGATGCCCGAAACAATCTGAAACATCAGCGAGCTTAAGGTAACTTTGTTGGAACATTTGGAAGCCCGGTTTTGCATTCCCCGGGCCCTAAGCAGGTGCTGGCCGCTTTCAATTGCTTAGTTGCTGAGGCCGGCTCATGGCCGGATCTTCCAAGCTTCGGCATGGATGGTGTGTCCACTCCTTTTTGTGCCCTGGACGCGGATGGGCTGGCGGTGCTTCCTCTTGGCAAGAGATGTGGTGTGCAAGACTTTGACCACAAACTTTTTTTTTTGCTTCCTGCTAAGTTGTTCAAAACCGTAGCCAACGCATCAAATTGCGATTGTCAGCTCTAAAAACCGCGCCTTTTGCTCAGCAAATTGTTTTCGCTCAGTTGGTATGTGACACGGGATTCTTTGCACCTGGGCAAGGAATTTATGATTCTGTGCTATTTCCGTGGACCATTCGTTCACATTGTCCTAGAAGGCAATCACTAGAATGATGCAAACTGCCTGAGCTCACTGGGTTGAAGATGTTGGGGCCGGGCTCAAGCAATTTGCCTTAACTGGTCCAAGTTGTTTATTTGATGCTTCAAATCGATGTACCAGATCGCAACAGGTCGGGCGCGTGTCGCCAAGTGTTTCCAAGTTCTGGTTGACGTCCCAGTGTTGCTTACGTGGAAGAATCGAGCACCTCAGAACAGGTCAAATGGATCCCCCCCTTTCGGAGGGTTCTGGGCTTTGGGGTTCCGGATCACGTTGACCTTTTAACTCAGGTCCCGGAGGCTCCGAGTTGCGGAGCCAGGCTGAGCTGTTGGGAGCGCCCCTCGGCTGAAATTGGCTGGCGTGGAGTCAGAGGCGCACCTCTGTGAACCCACTTGTTGTCAAACCGGTCTCACCGTACATATCCTATTAGTTAGAGGGGGTGGTTCTGTTTCAGGCTGTCTTCACATCTTTTGCATTTGCGGGCAGATGCCTTTTAGGAGAAACATCCGACTCCTTAAGATGCTTCAATTCACATTGCCCCGCATTCTTGCCCCTTTCCTGCTGGCGGGTCATTGAAGAATCGGGGCCTATCGGTCTTCCTCCCAGCCGCAGTGGGATTCCCTTCCACTGAGTCTCTCAAGTGAACATGTGGGATGGGAGGTCTCAACATGTCCTTTGGGCTTCCCTGCTTAAAAGGGCTGCTTTTTTGGGGTTGAAAGGGAAGTCAAAAGCAAGACCATTGTTAGGGCCCCATCTTGACACCCATCTCGAGCCCGAGCTTTGAGACTCGCAAAGCTTGTCGCAGGAAGCTGCGTGCAGTGAAGCGGGCTCAGGGCGAGGACGAATAGTCACTTGAGCCCATGGAGTTTACCCAAAGGGACAGCAAGAGCGGATGGGTAATTGTTGGATTATCCAGGCCCCCAGTTGAACCCTTAGATTTCCCATGGGGTGGTCTAAGCAGTTTGGTTGGCCATATGCTGGTGGTCAATTTTGGCCGCGGTCCGATTGAAAAGGCATATATCCAAGTTGTTCATTCACCATTCAGCGGGGGATCCTTTGCGGGGGAGCTGGACGCCTGTGGCTGGTGAAATTCGTCAAGCAAAACGAAGAGGTACACGGAGGATCACGGCCAGCCTTTGCCCGAATACCAGATGTCACAGATTGATGTGAAAGATTGACCACATGTTTGAGATTGTGTGTATCGCAGCCTCTGCAAAATGTTGATCTACATTTCGCTGCACAGTGAGGAAAAGTGTTCGGAGTAATTTTCCTTTGCAAGGTCGGCTTTCGCCTCTGCCGCATTGGCATTGGCCACAAAGACGGTGCTTCATGATGCCTAGCCATTGTGCTGAGAAGGCCGTGCATGCAGATGTATAAATATACATGTATATACATAATATGTACATAGACGTGTATGTGGTAGGACCTTGCATGCGGAGTGTCCTAGGAACACTTTCCATACCATGCAGCTCGTTTGCCCGGCGCATGAATTAAAGGCGCATGTCCCACCTGGTAAGTAATGCTTGCAAGAAAACCGAAATAGAAGGACCTTAATTTACGCAGACATGTTTTTTGTTTGCGTGCAAGGGAAATAACGTTGGCCGAGGGGGTTATTTGCAAGTTGGTGGTGCATCAAGGCCCACGCCCAAGCTGGACATTTTGTCATCGGGGGTATGGTATCAGCATGCGATATCGTGACGAGTGGGAAATGACAAAGCACGGCTGCAGGCCCCTCAAAAGTGACAAAGTAGGTGTTGCATATTGTTGCATCGCACCAAAGAATAGTTCATGTTGAGAACCTTTCCCCAGCATACTCCCCACTTTACCCATTAAAAGGCTTTGGTTTGAGCGAGTCCGGAAACTGATTCAGCTGAAGGACCAAACAGATCAGGATCATAGGTGTCCTTGTGATCGGTTCGGTTCAAAATAGATGGGTTTCCCTGGTTTAGATGGGTTCTATGCCCCATTTACCAGTGCCATCTTTGTCCAAGAGGACACCTGTGATCAGGATAGTTCCCCTTTGAGTGCGGACTCAATCCATTTCCGAGGGATTCCGAGGGATGAATGTGGCCCAGTCCAGCAGATCCAGTTCATTTGTTGATCGTCAGGCATCAGGGCCCAATCCACTCGTGCTGAGCAAGTGGGTTTTGCAACCAGTCCTGCCAGGAGGCTGCGTCTAGTTCAGCGGGCTCGCAGAGGCCCTGGTTGCTGCAATGGGCTGCTCAAGCAGAGACGTGGATGGTTCACGTGTCGGCAATGTTGCCCGTTCCAACCTGTGCAGAGTCAGCCAACCCGTTTCTCTTTGAGCAATGTTTACCCTCTCCCCCAATCATGAAAGCAGGAGGGTGTGGGAAGACTTCTTTCTTTTGGGGAAGCCCCCGATCCCCCCCACTTCCATGATTGGCATCGCAGGGCCGCAGCCGCACCAGCCGCGCCAGCCGCGCCCGCGCAAGCGCCCATTCAGGCGGGGGGTTTTGGCGACTTGGGCTCGCTTGGCAGCTTCTGAGGCTACCCTTTGTGGCCCATAAGACTCTTTTCTCCCCCCCCCACTGCCAACACCTACCAACAAATACCAACATGTTGGCCCTGCGGCTCTCGTGGACACAAGTGAGGCCAAATGGTAGCGTGCACGTTCAAGGGAACCCGGAAACAAGCGAACCCTTGTGAGGCCAAATGGTAGCGTGCACGTTCAAGGGAACCCGGAAACAAGTGAACCCGTGTGAGGCCAAATGGTAGCGTGCACGTTCAAGGGAACCCGGAAACAAGTGAACCCGTGTGAGGCCAAATGGTAGCGTGCACGTTCAAGGGAACCCGGAAACAAGTGAACCCGTGTGAGGCCAAATGGTAGCGTGCACGTTCAAGGGAACCCGGAAACAAGTGAACCCGTGTGAGGCCAAATGGTAGCGTGCACGCTCAAGGGAACCCGGAAACAAGTGAACCCCGTGCGACCCCGAAACAAAAGCCCACGCCCCTTCACGGCCTTGCCCCTTTCAGCGACTCAGGGCTCCACGTCCAGCGGCATAAGCCACTCTTGATCTTTGAAGGCATTTCAAGGCTGTGAGAACCGACAAGAAACCAGGCCGGTCGGCCAAGTACTTCGCCGAAAGTGGGGCGATGTGTTGGTCGCCCCTGTCAGATTGGATTTTTCCGTACTTGCCTAGCCGTCTAAGGGAGCCCTTGACTTGGGATGCGATGCTCTCACAGTTTTGGTCGCCACCAACCATGGTCACAGTCGCTGGCTCACCTTCGCAGCTGGCTTGCTGCCTCGGGATGTGGCAGTCATAACTCTCAAGGCGGCCTTGGGCATGTGCTTTCGGTTGAGTTTTACCGTGGGCGTCCACTCGCTGAGCGAATGGCGCGCGCAAGCAGCTTGAAGGCTTAGATCTGAATAACATCCTCGAAGACCTGTGCTGCTGTCGCTTCCAATCACGTGCATGGAGGCGTTGGCCAGGCGAGCTATGTGTGGCATGCATTCTGACTTTGTCTCCGGTGGGCCCGGGGCCGATTTTGCAGTCGTCTTCTCCTGCAAAGGCATCAGCACTGCTTTCTTGCTTTGCCTGTGTACTGCAAGTAAAAGGCGTCCAGAGTGAACCGCAGTGCCTGTCTCTGCCGAGGAGTGCTTCTGCGCAGCAGGTTTCTTCTGTGCCCACCGTCTCACGGCCGCTTTTGCTGCAGCGCTCCACCCTCTTTTGTCGTGATTCTTCTTCAAAGTGCTGCAAGACGTGCTGTCAAACTCAAGCACCCCCGGGCCGAATTCACCAGCTTCTTGAAGAGCCATCTGTGTGTATGCCAGGGCAAAGCGCAGGCGCTTGTATAGGCTGTCAATCCGCTTCTCCGGCAGCGCAGCTAAATGCAAAGCCATGTCCTGGGGAGCCCGCACGCCAAGAACGTACACAGCTCTGACCAAATCTTTGCAGCTGACAGAATAGCCAGCAGACAAGTCACTAGCAAGCGGTGTGTACTGGTACTCAGGGTGATGTAAGCCTTGCCATGCTGCAGGCAAGGTCAAACAGTTTTCAATCCTCGCTCCGTGAAAAGAGGACAAAAGCAACCAAAAAAATAATCCAGTACTGTTACTTGGCTGAGTCTCGAGGCCGCCCTGCTGAGCAATCGGCAGAGCTGCCGCTGCAGCGCAGGGTGCCGGGCTCCTTTGTGCGCTTCATGCCTGCGCCGCACGCGTAACATTTTCTGTGGGCTTTGCTGCCGAGGACTTTGTGCTTTTTCAGGAGCGCCACGCACTTCGCTTCTGATAAGGCGCAGATCTCTGGGTATGATATTTGCTTCAGCTCCCGAAGGCCTCTGCGACCTTTCTTTTGAGACGCTTGCCTGCCTGCACTCCTGCTGCCGCCGTAGCTGAGACCGGCCACATGAAACTTCCTGTTGGTGCCAGACTTTGTTGCCAGGCTTCTGCTGGTTGGCTTTAACCTTCCGCTGGCATATCTCTCTCTAGGCGGCCTCACACGGCCCTTCACTTCATTGCTACGGGAATGAAAGACTGAGCCAGAAAAGCCAAAGAGACACAAGTCTGGACAAGAAGCAAAGAGCAAGGCATGCCGCTGCTTGTTTCACGCACGACTGCTTAATGCTTTGCGCTGGCCTTGCCATGCTGCACTTGCCAAGAAATGTCGCTGCGCACTAGCCGCAGCCTTTCCTGGACTGCCTTTGGCAGGTCCGTGAGCTCCCCCAAAAAAAGTTGAGATGCCCAGCACTTTCGCTGGCCGGTCTCGCTTCTTTCCTTCCACAAAGGACACCGGCATACAACAGATCCCGGCCTTTTCCCGCCCCATTGGACAGTAGGCACCATGCATTTGTTGTGCACTCTGCAGGTGCCCCACTTTCCGTTCTTGGGCTTGCTGACTGCTTGCAATCGCTCACTCAAAGGCTGCAAGGGCACAGCGTCTCGTTGCGCCACCCACCGCTGCTCATCTCTATGCACGGGGTCGTTCCTGTGCACTATTTCAGGGCTGCTCGAAGGATCCTGTATCAGCGACCAGTCATCGGTCACATCATGGTTCTCATGCTCGAGTGACTGCTGCTGCGCTCTGCGAAAGCCATGCCAGACTTTGAATCTCTTCCTTCTTGGCGTGTCTGATGTCTTTGCTGGACTAGGATCACCTTCGCATGCCAATTGGTTCTGGAACTTGCGCTTGGATTCAGGCGAGGTAAACATGGCGCATAGTAAACATGGCACCGCGAGGTAAATATGGCACCGGCCCTTGCTCTTGCTTGAGCATCGCAAGCGGCGGTGGCAAAAACGCTTATACAGCGTGGGGCAAACGATGGCCGTAAGCCCAACATGTTGATTGTACAGGGGGTTTTGCCCGCCCCGCAACATGGGGGGTGGGGGGGGGGGGGGATGGTAAGAACACGTTCCGACCGACGACCTCCCCCTGCCCCCGCACACGCTCCAGCCTCAGCCTTTTCAAGACTTGCCGCCAGCCACTTTAGTTTGCGGATTTTTCAGGGCTCAAGCAGGATGTGTCCTCAAAGGCCGCCTTCGGCGAAACCTTGCCGGACACATGCTCGCGGTAGCACTTGAAGGCTGTAAGAACGCCCTGCATCCCTGGGTTTGCCACAAAGTATGCAGCGCTTAATGGATCAATATGTTGAAATTTGCGACGACAATCCAAATAGCCAAACTTACCCATTCTTCGCAAGCTTCGTTTGACGGAGCCTGCCGCTGCCCCTGCACATTGGTCACCGGCTACCAGTGTTGCTTCGGTCTTGCTGCAACGCGCTGCTGGCAGGCGCGTCCGGGAGCTAGCCAGCAACGTTGCAAGGCAGCTCGTGGAATGCGCCTCCTCGGCAGAGTTCGCAAAGGAGTACATTCACTGAGCGAACGTCATGCAGTTGCGGAGAGGACTCCGGCTTCTTGTCACAGCACGCGTTTAAAGATCGGGAAGCGTCAGATCCAACGATGTGTTTGCTTGGCCGCTGGATATGGGGCATGCAGCCTGCTGCAGTCTGCTTTTCGGGCAAGGCCCGAAGAACAGTTGCACGGGGTTGCCTGTGCGCGCCGACAAAAAGCTGTCCAGCGTGGACCACGCGTTTCGGTGTCGGCTTCTGACGGCAGGCAGGCTTCTTAGCAAGCCATCTGAATTCTTTGTGTTCCCCAAAGTGGCAGAATGCAGCAGCAACTCTCACAAGCTTGTATGTGGAGTCCACCATCGCCCCGCCGCGCTCCGCAATGCGTAGAGCAGCGTCTTGGGGCACGCGAAGGCCAGGTAGGCTACCCGCGAACCCGGCAGCGTCTAGTCCATGCTGATCGTGCACCTTGCGGGCCAGCGGCGTCCATGCAAGGTCTTTGGACGCACTGCCGCTTGGAGCAGCGAAGCACTTCCTTTTCAGTCGTTGCAGCCATGGCTGACCTGCAGGCCCAACAGACGGGCCCAGCACTCCTCCCTTTCGTAGAAGAACAGGTGGCACTTTTTTTCGCTCCACTTGAGCACAGCTGGGTACGAGTCTTGCTTCAAAGCTCGCAGCCCACGGTCATGCTTCTTAGTCACCTTTGCGCCAGCGTAAGACAACTTGGCAGCATGGAATTTCCTATTTCTGCCGCTGCTGGTAGCAAGCAACAGTGCGCGACACAGGCCGCTGGCGTATCTGGATCGTAAGTTGTTCTTCATGGTTTGAAACCCTGAACGGCTGCGGTGAATGCCAACAAAAGCAAGCTAGGGCAGCGCAAGCATTCGCAAGTTTGGTCAAAGTCATGACTGCTCAAGTGGCCGTTTTTACGCAAGCTCTCTGCTCTTTGGCAACGTCTAGAATGACTACCATTTCGTGCCAGCACGTAATTACCGCAGGTCTTGGTAAGCAGATCGCATGAACTTTCCAAGCTCCTGAAAGCGGCTGTGGTCGAACTCTTTGGATCCCCAGCAAAGGCCAGATTTGCCATCGCTTGATCGCAGCCACCACCGTGAGCGCATTAGATAAATCTTGCCTCGTTTGCGTCCACTCCGCATCAGATGTGGCCGCAAGCTTCTCATGCATTGAGGACAGCGGCCCCACTTCGTCGCCTTGTCAAAAGCAAGGTGCCGCACAGGTCGCACACAGTCTCATCTTCTTTGCATATCAAGCCACAGTCTGAAACGGCTCCCCGAGCGTGTTCCACCTCATCGCACGCCAGATCTCAGACGGCGTCCACACATCCTCAGATTGGTTCACATTGGAACTTTCTTGCTGACGCTGCTCAGAGGAAGACGCCACAGCGTCATGCACTTGCACAGCGCTGTCGCCCCAAGAATGCGCTGGAATCCGCAAGAGTCTGTGCTGTCGCGCTGCTCAGCACTTCCAGGCTTGCGCCGCTCGATGTTGCGCGGCAACAGTGCCATGCTTGCAGCAATGTTGGCAGATGCTGACAGAGTTGAAACCAATCAAACATGCCTCTCGCCTCAATCAAGCATGTGTTCGCCACAAACATATGAGTTGGGTCGTCCATGTCCGTCTCACATAGGGTTTTCAAGT